TGTACATTAAGTGGGTTTTGAAGAATGCATGGCAACAATCCCATCATACAAGAGGCGGTCATCCTTAATATATCTAGAAACCTGCACCCATCATTATAGCTACCTTATGCTGCAGAGTATTATAGGTGACGTGATTGATGTATTTGCTGGCAGCTTCGAGCTTCGGCCCTGACATCATCAGAATCCAGGATTAATGCTCTTATAGACATAGACCCTAGTCAGTCAAACCACAGGAGACTGTAGTAGACTCTTCCAACGGACCAATGCACATAGACCCTTGCCTCCCTCAAACCCAGATTTTCAAATCAACTGCAGTGTACGGTGTAAAGGTATCTCTTCCTTGCGAGAGGGCAAATTGGGAGAAATTATAAATCAAATTGGGGCGGTGTGTCTAAGCTATATTCTTAACACCGTGCACCTGCAGCATTAGGCCGCAAAAACATGCGAGCGAAAGCCGCTTAGGAGAGTATCCTGCAAGGCGACGTCGACATTGACGGCAGCAGCGCGGGTCATCGGATGCCTCGGCTTCGTGTCTCTGTTCAGAAATCCAGTGCGGGTTTCGTTTCCCCCGCATGACCTCAAACTTGGCAACGATGCGTTTTCCTCCCTGCAACGCCCTCGTACCATAGAAGAGTAATAGCATTGTCTCCGCTATTGCTTTAGCACTGCGTATCATGATGATCTACCATTGCAGTTGTTTGACCCTGCTTTGGCCAAAAAGCTTGGTATCTGCTCAACTTCAGATATCTTAATTCATCGAGAAGTATTTGCGCCATTTTTGGCCGTGTAGAGGCAATATATCTGGAATACTCTTCATGTGGTGATGTTGTCTTATATGTTGTCAAAAATTTTGGGCGCAGGACTGGGTTGTCCGAATGGGTAAGAGTCGGTGTGTGTGAAGGGAGGTGAATAAACGGCCCAGAACGTTGAACTGCGGGAGACAGCAATGTGGTACTTATATTATTTTTGTGCATCTCTTCTCAACGAACAAGCGACATGGCGCAGCGGAAGCGCGCCGGGCTCATAACCCGGAGGACCTTGGATCGAAACCAAGTGTCGCTAATTCAAAATTTTTTTCCCTTCGTTGGAAAATCTATGAATTATTTTTTTATTCTAATTTTTATTTATTTTTATTTTTAACATGGAAGGCGGAAAGTAATATCGTTTCTTGACTTCATTATTGAAAATTTGGCAAAATAACAATCTATAGGAGGGTTACTAAATTTCCAGGTTATTCTCCTATTATTTCTTCTACGTTTTCACTTTTCCTATAGACCCAAAAAAACCAGCTTACGTTCGATGAAAAGGCAAGTGAGGAGATACAAAGCTAGATTGCAGAAGCGTTGCACTGCAGTGTAGCCATTACAACTCTTGGACGCTGAAATGAATAATACGATCACTGGGTTCAACATCCCTCGCTGCATCAGTTGGAATTTCCCCGCCCTCGAAGGTGCTGCCGACCTCCTTTCAGAAAAGAGTCGTTCGATTGAAGGGTCTTTGATGACATCTAGGACTACTGTTTGCCTTCGGCCCACATTCTTGCCTGCAGAGTCGCGGGGTCCGAATAGGGCAGACATCTGAGACCCCGAAGCGGGGTAAGAAGGTGATATGCCGTACCAAGAAAATATAGGGGCACAGCTCCTGTGCCATTGTCTGAATCAAGGATAAGTGAAGATGATTCGACAGCCATGGCTTGTTTATTTTATCGTCTCTCACGAGTCCAGTCCAATAAAAATGCAACGCTGGATTACATTCCGTATTTTGTACAAGAACACGCCCTTTGTACGTACTACGAACAACAAAGATTGTTTTCGTTTGACATGAATCAATCAGGGGCCCGTTGCTCGGCCTCCGCAACAGTTGACGCTTGTGGATCCAAACTGTCGGCTACGGTCCTGTGAAACACAGCGTATGGGAACGAGAAGAAACTTTTGGCGGCGGATATTATTGCCTGTCCTTCAAGAAAGCCTACTGGTCCTCCTCACTCTTTCGATGCAAGTACCCGTCCTGCGACGCACTCTATCAAACGATAACCTTGTCTTCCACACAAGCTTCTATCATGTCAAGTCATATGCAGGAACGAGGTCGGTAGTAATCTGTACCCCTGTCGAAGCCCCAGGAAAGAAAAGGGGGACAGGCTGTGTGGACTGGGGCAATGGAGATACTCCGGTAGGCAGACGATGCTAGCCTTGAAGGTATCGGATTTACCGAAGACCTATCAAGCCATGGATTTTGAAGAAAAGGCATCCGAACTGAGATTTTGGAGGCTCTGTCTCACTTCATATTTTTTTCTCTCCCTCTAAATGGGTATAAATACCCGCAATGAACTACGACAGAGGATATTTGATATCTTTTTGGAGAGAAAGTGTAAACGCCTTCTTGTGCTTGCCTTGTACCTGACCAATTGCTGTCGGGACTTTGATCAACGGCGGGCCGGTCAGACTAACAGTAGGGGCTGACTGGATCGTGGACGCTACCCGTGGCTGCCCCCTTTGGATCTGGCGTCCCCTTTGGCTGATACTGTTATCCCACGACGACCCTGCCCCAGAATGCCTGTTTTTTGACAAGCAAGAGATAACCTATGCGTAGGCTTGATGTGTTACTACAACTTCTTTCCAAAGTAATGTAAACTTGAAGTTGGCCTCCCTCCTTCCCCTCCCGCGATTTTTTTTGCACACACACTGCATCGGCCAGGAGAGGTAGTCCTGTTTGTGCATTGTTCCTGCAGAACGCGTCTGCCCCGTCAGCGTCGCCGTAAACCTCGTTTGGCAATCGCCCTCCTCTACCCACATTCATTCTCTCGACAACAACCTCCTACCCCCCAGTTCAGCGTCCTCTTTCCCTGTTTTCTACCCCTCCCTTGACACCCAGGTTGCATTTCATTCAGAGCCTCAATTCTGAACAAAGGTTGTTCACGTAACCAAGTTCTTGGTGGCTTCACAAGCCTCGGCAAGGGCTATCTTGAACGCTCGGACTTGGCTGGGGTTCCCAAAATCTCCCCCACACTCTCCTGAGCCGCAACCCGTCTGGCGGTCAGGCTCAAGTGCGAGAGATCACCACTATTTCACATCCTCTTTCTTACTCTTCACGCTCTTATCACGCTGGACGAGATGGATCCAAACAATCCGAACAGCCGCCTTCACCTCAACTTTGGCTACAACGATCGAGCCATCCCGCAAAACGATCGAGCCTTTCCTACCACTCCCTCCACCTTCCCTCAACCTGTCTATCAGGGCCAGAGCGGACATGAGAACTGGGGTGCCCAGACTCCCAATGGATACGGCAAGCCCGCCAACAACAACAATAACGGTTATTTCATGAATGCCCAGTATCAGCCTCAGTATCAAAACAATCTGCAGCCGCCTGCTGCAGCATATCAGCAGCGACAGGCTGGATATGCCAACGACGGCACCAATGGTCTCATCCATCAGTTTTCTCATCAGAACTTGGGTGGAAATCGCCCCGCCCCATTCCCCCGCCAGCCTTCCCCGAACCAGCGTCCCCGTACTGCTGGAACCGGCGGACATGCAGGATATGGAAATTATTTGAACCCTTCTTATGCTGTTCGCAATGCGGCGGCATTGTCCGACGACGAACCGCCGGAGAGGAATCCCGATAAATACTCGGCGAATGTGAAGCACAGAGGTGCCATGGCTGCAGAGCTCGTGGCGGCCTTTTTCAAGGAAAACGTTCAACGTGCCCGCGAGCGAAATGGCCGGTAAGTCGGACATAAGAAACACTTAGGCAAAAAGTACTAACTCGATCAATCCAGAGCCGTCGAACTCGAGCAGATCCTTAAAGATCCATCCATCTCCGACACTCGTAAAGAGCAAAAGAAAATGAATGTGCGCAAGGCTGAAGCCCAATACCTCAGGTTCCTCCGCACAAAGGAAATTCCCCAAAACTTCACCACTCTCAAGGTCATTGGCAAGGGTGCCTTTGGTGAGGTCAAGCTTGTGCAGCGCAAGACCGATGGAAAGATCTATGCGTTGAAGTCTCTGGTAAAGTCTGAGATGTTCAAGAAAGATCAGCTCGCTCACGTCCGGTCTGAGCGTGACATCCTCGCCGAGTCTGACAGCCCGTGGGTGGTCAAACTCCATACAACCTTTCAGGATCCAACCTTCCTCTATATGCTTATGGAGTTTCTTCCCGGTGGCGATCTGATGACAATGCTGATCAAGTACGAGATCTTTTCTGAAGATATCACTCGCTTCTACATGGCCGAGATTGTTTGTGCCATTGAGGCAGTCCATAAACTGGGTTTCATTCATCGGTGAGTGTCGACAACGCAAGCTTGACACACTTGAATATCTGCGTTTGCCATTCAAGCAATTCTGTGAATCCCTGCGCTAATTCCTTATCCAGTGATATCAAACCGGACAACATCCTCTTGGATCGTGGTGGCCATATTAAGCTGACAGACTTTGGTCTTTCGACTGGCTTTCACAAGCAGCATGACAACTCTTATTATCAGCAACTGCTGTCTGGAAAGTCGAACAAGCCTAAGGACCGCAACTCAGTCTCCATTGATCAGATCAACCTCACCGTCAGCAACCGCACCCAGATCAACACTTGGCGTAAATCTCGTCGTGTCATGGCTTATTCTACTGTTGGTACCCCAGACTACATCGCTCCCGAGATTTTCAGTGGCAGAGGCTATTCCTTTGATTGCGATTGGTGGTCTGTGGGCACGATCATGTTTGAATGCCTTGTTGGCTGGCCTCCGTTCTGTGCCGAGGATCCCCATGACACGTACCGTAAAATCGTGAACTGGCCGGAAACCCTGTTCTTTCCTGATGACATTCAACTTTCTATTGAAGCCGAGAGCATGATTAGAAGGTAAATCTCTTTCAATTGCTCACATGCAGATTTCAAAAGCTTGCCTTACTGACATTTATACAGTCTGGTTTGCGACTCTACTAATCGTCTCGGTCATGTTGGAGGCGCCCAAGAGATCAAGAACCACCCGTTCTTCCGTGGCGTTAGCTTCAATGATCTGCGTCGCATCCGTGCTCCGTTTGAGCCACGCTTGAGCTCCAACGTCGATGTCACCTACTTCCCTATCGATGAGATCGACCAGACGGATAACAGTGCCTTCTTGCGCCAGCAGACCCAGACCCAGAGCGATGAGCAATCTGCTGAGCTTAACCTGCCATTTATTGGTTACACCTACAAGCGTTTCGATGCTTTCCGTGGCTCGTAAATGCGCTTTGGCATCATCCGTGCATGTCGCATCTGTCCTGGAGACCTTTTGCTTTCTTCTCTGGGCCACAGTTGCTCGGCTTCAGGGCAAGTTTTCAGATTCATCGATTTCGACTTTCCTGCTTGAGCAGGTATGCTACCTAGCTGAAAAGCCACAGGGCAGGCACACCATCTATTTTCAATTTCTTTCTCTTCTCGGATCTTATAGCGATTGTGAAAAAGGCATTCCTTTCGGCATATCAAAGAATTTCAACTGGCGTTATTCAGCGTCCTGAGCACGATCTGGCTTTTTTCCCGCCTAGTCATTCTGATGGCACGTTTTCCAGAGACACTTTATCTGTTGCACACGTTGAATGTTATCGGTTATTTGAATGGAGATCTGGCTTTGAGAGCCACCTGAGCGAGCAGTGACTTTATAGCAATGGGCGGTGGATCGAGGAATCGATCACTGTGCTGGTTCACAGCAGACGAACCTTGATTTCAAACCTCTTGTGCTGATTTCTCCAAGGTTTTTATTTGTAGTCTTGAGCACATCTCCTGTGGATTCTTAACTTCATTTTTCATTAACGGGGGAAATTTCCCTTAGCTAGGCCATCACTGAAATCATTCGTTCAGATTGCACCTTGTGAATAAGCTACGATTATTATGTGGATCGCAATGACTTCTTGTGAAACCGATAATGTGGATGAAGATGAGGAGTTTGCGAAGCTAATGCAACATGGGAGCCAATACAACATGGGAATCAATAAGGCCGGAACAATACACACGGAGGATAATGTAGGTTGTTCTGATAAAAATACCTGAAGTAACACAAATCACAAACATGTTCATGATCAAACCAAAGCACTTGCTGATCAATCCCAAAATATGATCGGAAAATGATGCCTTTTATATCAGATAAAAGTTGAATTCAAGCAGGAGCTCGTCATCTCCTACATGGGGGAATATATTGTTCTGTCCCTTGTCAACCATCAAAACGCCTATACCTATACCGAATAGAAACACCTGCACCACATCCTTTTGATTAAATTAATCGCCATATTGCCACTCTGAACCAAATCAGAGCAGGGAGCCAAGCGTCTCGGTCATTTCCTGATTGGCGCAAGACCCGGGACACCACTGTATCTCTCTTCTCTTTCCGTCTTGAACATGAGCTGGATCCAAAACTCCTTGCTATCCTCATCGAACCAGTCCCATAACATGCCCTCTCTGCGATCGATCTCTCGAGCCTGCAGTTTGAAACCGCAAGTTTCATACGGTTCTGCTGCCACCAATAGGTACTGGAAATTCTTGTCTGGCGGGGTATCCACATCCTGCTCGAATGCGGACATAAATCGTATTTTTGGAACGACGCCGGGTGTAATTTCAGGGTAGTGCAGCTGGAAAAGCAGACCGTTCTGGCGAGTCAAAGGATCGCGCGTCTTGGTGATCTTATATCCCGGCCGTCCGATCTTCACCAGATTCTTCTTAACCTGGACCTGTGAGGCCAGCGCACCAGGTGCAAGTCCCTGGTCACCTCGTCCTTCCTTTTGCTCCCGCGCTGCACGTCGCGCCAAGTTTTGTTGATGCTTGCGACCCTGGGTGTGGGCCAGGTACGAGCCGTCATTTTGGTGGGACGTCAGACATAATCTACATTCAAACGATCCAAGATGATTCTTGAAAAAGTAAGGATCTTTCTCCAGATCAATGTGTTCGAGGGCGAGCCTTCGCAGACGTTCTCGCCGATCAGCATTTGTCGCAGATGCGGAAGCAACGCCACCACCTCCGAATTTGGAGCCTGCTCGATTCTATATATCATATGAGCAACGTTAGAATGTCTTTGAAATGCGGCAATAGCGGTTGGGAAAAGCTTACCTGGTAATCCATTGCAATAAAGTCAAAAGGACTTTATGTAGGAGAAATTAGATTTATTTCGTGAGATGCGCTTCGGAGATTGGCCACGATGATGATGGGGCGAAGCAAAAGATAGTCTTGCACTTTTGGGGCGTACGGATAACCGAACAAGCTTCAGACTTGCCTACATTCACGGTTTAGGCTTGTCCCGCAGTCCCCTGCGCAATCTGGAAACAGTGTCCAAAAGATGGACGCAGATTTCCATCTCGGCCAGCGATTGTCCTTTGACGGTGCGCTGTGCACTGTACGGTATACTGGTGAAGTCAAGGGTACTTCCGGCCGCTGGCTGGGCGTCGAGTGGGACGACGTCGGGAGAGGTAAACATTCGGGCGAGCATGGCGGGATAAGATATTTTGAATGTGCGTAAAGCTCTCTTTATGAGTTGATGTACCTATCAAATTTTATGGCTTTGAAAAGAAATAATATATAATATAATGCGAACAACAGATTGCTAATAAACGCTGGGATTAGCTAGGCAAGAGCAAGCATTCCACGGCGGGCTCATTCGTGCGGCCTACACGTCCGGTTGATAAGCCGCTGAGCTTCCTCGAGGCGCTCCAAAAAAAGTACGTCTCGGAGGAAATTACAAAAAATGGCAACAAATATGGAAATGCGGCCTTGTCGTCCGAAGATCAGATCAAGATCAGCGGCAAGGTCGTAGAAGAAGTCGGCTTCGACAAAATTCGCCAACAGCTCGCGCAGCTTAATGAACTCCGCATCGTACTGCTCGACGGATTAAATATCTCTGGAATATTACTAAATGGCCGATATGGCGAGCCAGAAGAGAGGGAACGCATGGTGCGGTTGATCAGCGAGACGTGTCCGAAGATCGTTGAGCTCGATCTGAGCAGAAATCTGCTGGAGCATTGGCAAGACGTGGCGGATATATGCAGGGCGCTGCCGATGTTACGGAGTCTGAGGGTGAAGTATGCAAAAAAGTCTTGATCTATAATGGCTGTAACGCTGACTTGGTTTATAGCGGGAATCGGTTTGGAGTATTACGCGCTTGCGAAGGGGCGGATCAATTATCCACATTGCCAAATCTACAAGGACTCGCATTGGATAATACGTTGTTATCATGGGACGAAGTATGTTCTCTATTGCGCAAATGATTTAGCCGCAGATTGCTCATGAATATCCAGGTCTGCGATCTGACTGAGCAGTGTCCATCGCTGACCACGCTCTCTGCCTCATCAAATCGCTTGGACAGTCTCCTAAGGACTTTGCAAGGATCCTGTAAAGTCTCCAAGATCATTTTGGAATCAAATAATTTCTCGTCACTCAGTGCTGTCGGAGGCGCGCTGAGCCTGCCAGGGCTCGAACGTCTGCATCTTCGAGATAATTCGATAAACAGAATCCTCGACGTCGGGCAGAACGTCGAAACAACTCTTCCCCTCTCGATTTCACTTTCTAACCTAGACGTCTCATACAATGCCATAGACCAATGGTCGTTCCTTGACGGACTGGATGGTGCATTTCCTAACATTTCTAGCCTTCGCATGACGCATAACCCCGTCTATTTGACCGGAAATGTATCCACAGGCAAAGAAATGAGCGTAGAAGAAGCGTTCATGCTTACCGTAGCACGAGTTGGAAGACTCAAGACTCTGAATTTCAGTGTGGTACGGTATTTTTTTCATGAAAAAACTGTGCTTCCGATTCTAACAGCTGTAAATACAACAGATATCTGCCCAAGACCGGTCAAATGCAGAACTCTATTACCTCTCGCGCATAGCAAAGGTTCTCGCTGAAGTGCCTCAAGAAGACGAACGACACATTGTCAAAGACCATCCCCGATACGGGGAGCTATGTGATGGTCAGTCAGACCTCTCTTTCATTCCCCCCTTTGACTCTTTTCAGTAGTCCTTCATAGATTTTGCCCTCCGGCTTCCACCTCAACATGTCAGAATAGCTAACAAGAAGTGGAACAGTCTACGGACCTCCAACCATTGTCCGCAAAGCACCGTCTGCCATTGACCCACACTCTCTCGAAGCCCGCCTTATCCGGATAACATTCTACTCCCGGACACCCATATCTCATCACGCAGATCCAACTAAACCGGAGAATTATGTCCGTCAAATTCCCCGCGGATTCAACGTTTATAAGCTTATTGGCATCGTTGTGAGGCTATTCAACGTTCGACCATTCGATGTGCGGCTCATCTGGGAAACGGGAGAATGGGATCCTGTTGCGAAGCGCAGAGACGACAATGAGGATTCAGAAAGTGAGGATGAAGCTGAGCATGCCAGCGCCAATGGTGATCGGACAAGAAACAACCCAGAAGACGCCACAGAAAGTGGAAAGTGGATTCAACGAGAAGTCGAACTGGAGGCTGGCACGAGAGAAATAGGGTTTTGGATTGAAGGGCGAGAAGCCAAAATCAGAGTGGAGCTGAAATGATTGCCTGCTCGAGTCTGCTTCAACAGAGTTTGAGAATGCTGGACATTTAAAAATTACTTGCAGCAAAGACTACCTTATATGCCTTGGGTCAACTATATCAGGTGGATAACGGCTGGCGTTTCAAAGTCGAAATTTGGAAGGCCTACATTGGTCTCAAATGAAATTTCAATGATAGAATTGATTGTACCTCTTCCAAGAACGAAGCAGGTTCTTATTGTATTGAATTTTCCCTCAGGACGCTTGCGCAGCCGAAACGTTTAAATTTCCAGCTTTTCTATGCTGTGATTGTGTCCCAGTAATTAATCATGTTAACTATGAAGTAAAATCCCGCAGTATGCCCCCGTTAGAAGACCATAAACGCCATGGCCATTTCGTAATGCATGTTGGGTCGCTAAAAAGATAGGAGGAAATAAAAGGGTATTGGCACGCCTTTGCTGGCTGCGGTCGTGAAGCCGAGACTGCAGCTCATTAGAAGTCGCGCCGCTTATATTTCTCGAGCTCCTCTGCGAAGTTTCGATTTCCGAGAAGTGGATCTTTCATCCCGACTGGATGGAAATTGGACGTCAACACAACAGCTCCAACGCACAATACGTTTGCTTAAAATCTCCTTTCATTGATCGCCACCACCGGAGGCGACTTACCAAAAGGATCAATATCTTTATCAAGCAAAGACTCCGTAGCCTTCTTCATCTCTTCCTGAGCTTTTGGATTCTTCCACCCCCACCCTGGCTCATTTTCGCCTGAGCCTTCCCACACAGGTCTACCCTCAGCAACTGCAGAAACAAGGGGAGCAGCTTGTGCGCCGAAAGCCTCCGAAATAGCTTGTTTCCCACTAGGCCCGGCGATTGCCACTCCTCCAGCAGCAGCATCAACGGGGCGGGACTGCGAAGGGGGTGGGGAGAGCTCCGCAGCTAATTGAGCTCGAGTATTTGGATGACGCGTGGTGGGAGTCAGAGGCTCTTTGGAGTCGGGAAACAGAGAATCTTCATCGAGAAGGTCGCTCTCAGATGACGAGGAACGCATCTGGCTATCGCCGTCAAAGTCTCGGTCTATTTCTGCAGAAGGAATAGAAGGAACAGCGTCAGTCCTCTGAACAACAACTTGGCTTTGCCCAGGTTCCGCTCTGAAAGGCAAGACAGAGGTTGAGGAAGAAGGTATGGACATGTCCGGAACATTCATCTGCTGCTTTGCCTTCTTGGAAGCAGAAGGAGGAGCGGAAGGCGAGGGAGGGGAATGCTTAGTGGTATGAGATTCATCGGAGCTAGAGCTATCCGGTGGAGTCTGCATCATGGGATATTGCAAGATTCTGGGAGATAAATAGAGAAGCTGACACTTCTTCAAGATAGCAAAGAGAAGTATATCGAGATGAATGTAAATGTGAGAGGCAAAAAGAGGCGCAGAAATATGACTTGGGGGGGCAGATGGCATTGAAATACATCTAATATTGAACAAACAGAACGAGGGCTTACCTGACATTATTGTATTGCCTTATACGGAAAGACCAAATCAAAAGATGTTTGCTTGTACTGAGGAATTGGACAAAAGACGATCTATAATCGGGAAAGGGCAGCAGGGAAGCTCTTGCTGTTATTGTTTGCACAAAGACGGAGTCGATTATCGTGGATAATCGGAGAGGCTTCGCTTGAGTTGCGGCTCTGTTCGGCACACCCCACGTTCTCGGTGCAGCCTTACCCGGAAGCGTAACTATGACCCCACTAACCTGTGAACTTTCCCACCTCAACTGTTGCGAATTAACTTTAACCCAGACAAACCCACGCTAGAGCCTGTGTTGCCGTCCATTGCATTTCAAATCATTCTGGTTGTCCGCGGCCTCATTTCTTGTCACAATTGACCAAACATTCAAGTCACTTTGCTTGGCTTAGAGCCTTTTGGGATATCAGAGTTGCAAGCATGAGCAAAAAAGCTGTTCCTGATGCTTGGGATGACGACTGGGAGAATTCGGCAGATGTGCGTGTGCATGAAGAGTCCTTTTGCAGTCATTGAATGATTTGGGCATACTGATGCCATTGACAGCATGAGCCGGTTTCGTCCCAACCTGCAGTAGAGAACAGTCCACAGATTCTGTCGAAATCCCAGCGATTGGCGCGGCATCATGAAGAGAACAGGAGACTATGGAACTCTGCGTAAGTCGGTCTGAAATATCCAATGACCGTAGACCGAGCAACATCTAACCTCGACTGTATAGTGAATCCAGCCAAACATTTCACTTCCTTGAAGCTCGCAGCGATGTGCCGCTGAAGACCGAATTCAAGCCTGCCATGACTGTATTGAGCCGCAAGCCAGCGCCGAAAATTGTACAAGCTTCTGACCCTGTGGCTGGAATAGCCCGGCTCAAAGTGGAAGATGAAAACTGGGACGAGGAAGAAGATGTACAAAAGAAAAATACACCGACCCCCGAAGAGCAGAGACAGCGCGCCCAACGTGAGTTTGCAGAGAAGCAAAGACGCTATGAGGAAGTTCGTCAACGACTTTTTGGCACGCCGGACTCTGGGTCTCCCAATTCGTCTCCGGGTACTGTCACGCCGCCCAAGGTCTCACCAAGCCCGGACAGCGGAAGGGGTAATAGTCGTGGCGGAAGAGGCGGTGGACGAGGCAGAGGCAGAGGTGGCCGCGGTGGAAGTCATAGCGGCAGCAGACCAGCTTCTCCGGCACTTTCGGGGGCCCCACGTGGGGGAAGAGCCTCACGAGAAGGTTCCCATGATCGTGAAGGAAGTTCAAATCGACAACTGTACGACCCGATTAGCAGTCCCAAGCCGAGCTCTGTATTCCTTCAGAAGCGGGAGAGTCGAGCAGGACCGGCTGGCATGTCGTCCTCACCGGGACCTGGCGACCAGCAGCCTATCCGTGCACCGCGAGGCCCGGATGGAAGTGGGAGAGGTGGTTTCGGCTTTGCTCCAAGAGGTGGTAGAGGTGGATGAATGGATCAGCTTTGAAAAAAAAAAGCCTGTCATTTTGCGAAGCCTCGCGCTCTGAACTGGGGGACCAGGATCCTTGACAACAAGAGCAATTGAGGACTAACGACGACGAAAAGAAAGTGCTACTGATTCTTGAAATGGGAAGTCACAGAGGCATATCCGACAACTTCAAATGTCAAGGGCGGCCTCAGCATACCGAATGCTTGATCTAAAGGAGAAGACGCTTCGTCGCTGTCAAAAAATCCAAATTACCCGAAGCCCTCGTCCGATGCTTGGCATCATTACGTCTGCTTAGACAGAGGTACAGCTGAACAGGTGGAGAATGGTCTTTGCCACAACACAACCGAAGCATACTACGACCGGACAGTCTAAAATGGAGGATTAATCCAGATATTACGGCGATGTGTCGGGTAGACCCAGGGCCAGCCTCTCCCCCCCAAATCTACTCCCTGCAAGCCCAATCTCAATAATAGAAGGAAGAGACGACTACAATTACAATACCTGCTACGAGCCTGGCGATGGCATGTGCTAAGGGACGTAATAAAACGGTTGGTGCATTGTTCCTTGGCTACTATAGTCTGAGAGGGCTTGTGCTGCAACTTATTGCATTTCTGTTTATTGCATATCGATTCTTCCCATACTCTAGGTTATGTAGTAGGGCGGAACGCATTTTGATACCCTTGATGAAATGATAGAAAAAATAATCTGGCATTCCGAAAGCATTTCCTTTGCATACACCAGAATTTAGCCGATTAGGCCTCGGACTTGTGGCGCACTTATCGCTCGGAGTGAATAAATTCTGTCTTCGTCGTCTTATTTATCATCACTGTTTCCGATACTCCGCCTTTCCCGTTTCAGTGATTCATATATCGTCGGACGTCTAAGATCTTTGAGACTTTCAAGACGCTCCCTGGGGAGACGTGTCGACGCGTACAAGACGTGATATATGACATCAGGGCTATTAGGGACCAGAGGACATTTCGCATGTGAGATTTTCAGTTTTGGAAGTTGAAATTGTCGTTGAACGTCTACAAATCTCCAAATGTTTTAAACGTCCTCTGAGGAGACGTGTCGACGTGTCTAGGTCGTGTCGAATATGACATCACGCTTCATTCAATGTCCAAAGCCAACTTTTGCATGTAAGAGCTCCAGATTAGGAATCAAGAATCATCGTTGAACGTCTACGTTTCCGAAAATTTTCAAAACGGCTTCTGGGGAGACGTGTCGACGCGCGCTGGACGTGTCGTTGTGACATCATGTTCTCAGGAGATTTCCAATATATCCTTTTTGGGATATTGTATTGAATCTTCGTCGAACGTCGATGAGTTGCACTCCAATTCCAGAAGCACGAGCTGGGGACACATTTCCGTTCAGAATATGGGCTCATTAAGGCTTTACGATACCATCCAGTCATCTCAGGATCCAGCAGCATCGGCCCGGCTTTGCCGCTGGATCGTGGACTCCAGGCACGACATGAGGCTTTCTGCCTTGTCGAGAACCAAAGGAGGACGTGGGGGTACGGGTGGTTATGGATAATTATCGGCCCGTGATAGTGAATCCACTCAACGTGGGGCCATACAATTTTCAATACTCTCCAACCACGGTTGAGAACCGATTCATGATTTCAGAAAGGCTGCAGGATTTGTTGCAAGCCCACACGTATCGTAAACGAATGCCATGATGAAAACAAGATATTTCTGGATCTTTGGAGCTCTTCTTTTGCGTTCAATTGTAGCAGAGATGCGAAGGCCGGTGCTTAATATGAGTCAGCCGCGGGGTTCAGTCCTAGAGATCCACCCCACGCTGGAGGAGAGTGTACTGCTGCGTGGGATTTCCCGAAAGGGTTAACAAAACACAATTAATTGTCAGGTACTGTATAGGTATAACCCCCACGTGGGATGACGGGCTGTCTGGGGGGTGGGATGATATCTTTCTGCCCCTCCAGTCAATTGAATCCACCATCCATGTGAAATTATTGCCTGGAACGCATATCCCGAAGAAGTGAGGATATCTTTGGCAATTAAATTCAAATTAATTCGTGAATAGCCATTTTATTGGCTGTTACCTCCACTGTGGCTTTCCCACAGGCGGTCATCGTCGGGACATTCTCCCGACCTTTATCCGTGTGTGGAGCTGTATTTAGACATCATCATTGCCGGCCAACTTCCGCGTCTTCATTTACAATCCATTTCACGCCCCGCATTCATTCCTCCTTCCTCACATCCTCTCTTATTTCCTACCGCCCATTCTTCAACATGTCTTCGTCCTCTTCCAAGCCCAAGGTTTTGCTCCTTGGTGACATTGACCAGTGAGTTCATTCACCCCTTCTTTCAGCCCCTCTGTTTTTCTTATCGTGCCGATACCGGCTATCTCCGCCATTCACCGGCAACATGGACAAGACGCCGAGGGGACGTTTGTACGACATTATCCAGGAGCAATTGAGATGAATTGTGCTTTAAACTGCTGAAATCAATTTAAGTACGTCTGTTAACCAATTGCAGTGCTCACAACGAGTGGAAAGGCCTGAGTGATGTCGCTGAATTGGTTGAGCCTAAATTGACCAATCGCGCCGACTTCCTCAAGCAATGCAAGGATGGCACATTCGACGGAGTGGTCGCTGTGTATCGAACATTTGGCTCGGCACAGTATACAGGGTTATTTGACAAGGAATTGGTCAGCTCCTTGCCCAGCTCGCTGAGATATGTTTCTCACAATGGTCAGTCATTCTGCTAGTTTTGTTCAATACTCTCCTTCCAATTGCTGTTTATCGCGCCAGCATTGGATAGCCTCGTTTGACGAGCTTTATGATTGCCACCCTACGTTAAATACAGCATTTTTCAGCAGCAAGCTAACAAACTTTAGGCGCCGGATATGACCAAGTCGACGTACATGCTTGCACAGACAAAGGCATTCGAGTATCCAACGTACCCACTATTGTCGACGATGCTACTGCCGACGTGAACATGTTTCTGATTCTGGGTGCTCTGCGCGGTTTCAACGCAGGCATGATTGGTCTCCGTGAAGGCAAATGGCGGGGCAGCCCATCGCCCCCGCTGGGTCACGACCCAGAAGGCAAGACCTTGGGCATCCTCGGCATGGGTGGAATCGGACGCAATCTCAAGAAAAAGGTCGAAGCGTTTGGCATGAAGGTGCAATATCACAATCGGCGGCCGCTGTCGGAGGAATTATCCGGCGGAGCAAAATACGTCAGTTTCGATGAGCTGTTGAGCACATCGGATGTCATTAGTTTGAACTTGCCTTTGAATGTGAGTTTCATATCTTTTCCATCTGCGAATCATCTCGGGATGTCTTATGTTACATCATGCCTAAAGCTTGAACAAAATTTGCTAACGAGGTCCACAACCTACGAAAAGAAAAATACCCGGCACATCATCTCTACCAAAGAATTCGAAAAGATGAAGACCGGCGTCGTCATTGTCAACACTGCCCGAGGCGCCGTCATGGACGAGGACGCCCTAGTTAAGGCCCTCGACAAGGGTCTCGTCTGGAGTGTCGGCCTGGACGTATACGAGGAAGAGCCCAAGGTGCACCCCGGCCTAATCGCCAATCCTCATGTCATGCTCGTTCCCCACATGGGTACTTGGACTGTAGAGGTAAGATACCATGTCCACTATTCATCGCCTTTCCATTTTCATTTTCTTCCCTTCTTGTCATTTCTCTTCTTCCCAACAACAAGCCTCCCTTCTAAACATCGAAACATACAATGGCTGACGAACATAATCTAGACTCAAGCAGCAATGGAGCGCTTCGTCATTGAGAATATTCGTTCGGCAGTGACTACCGGCAAACTCAAGTCTCCTGTCCCCGAACAGGCAGACATGTAAGAGACACTTCTCAGCAGGACTGCTCCATAGGGTACACAAAAAATATATATATTTCCATTAGCCAGCTGGAGTTGGATACGTGGATACATGTATGGATACATATATCAGAATTCATAGACGAATCGATGGAATTTTCACCCTCCATTCATATATGAAATGTCACATTGTGAGATTCGTGAGAAACATTGTCCTGTCCAACATGCACTGGATCCAGCCAGCCAGACAATTACAACGTGACGTGCGCGACTGCAAACAAATCATATCATCAATCTAGATTAAATTCATCTTAACGTACACAACAGTCAAACGATCTTCAATCTCTCCTCCCCTTTCCCCCTTCTCGCTTCAGGGAAATCCCATGACTATCTGCATCTTTGCAAACACAAAAAGGCCGAAGACAAAAGTATCCAGCTGGATTCACCGCAGCCCTTTCATATCATCTTCATTTATCATGAATTCGTCAAACAAAAGTACAGAAAGCGGCGCGCGCTGAACAAGGCAACCATGTGATAACAGTAGGGTAGATGTCTAATAGGGTAGATGTCCCAAATGAGTTGAGAATGCAATGTTTCCCAAAAAGAAATGACGAAACGATTTGCACACCCGAGGTCTAATCGTCGATATAAATTGTCGCAAATGGGAATACAACTGGAAATTTGAAAAGTGACAATATGCCACGCCGTATGTAAAAGTCATGCTGTGTAGACTTTAGAATGCGCAAAACAACGATCAAAAAACAAAGGAGAAAAAGAAAAAGAAAAGAAAGGCAAATTTATCATGTGTCGTTGATATCGTCATAACGTAGCATGAATAAGATGTATCCAAAGCGGGATTTGAGAGAAAAAAAAAATGTAACGATAGATAGAAAAAGCTCGTAATCGAGGTCGGGAAAACGATCCAGAATCCAATTGATCAATGCTTCAAGGCGATTTCAAATTCCCAACTGTGCCGGTAGTGTTCCCTAAATGTTGCAAACCAACTACTGATATAATAGTTGTAGCTGCTAAACAGCGGTGGTAAGTTTCTTCCACCAGCTCTCCTTCTTGGGCGTTGGCACTTTTCCGTCAAATGTGCGTGGTGTAGCGTAGTAATCGCTCTTGCGACGAGGCGTGGCGTATCGATCATCGTATCTGTTGTCATTATAGCGATCATACTTGTCGTACTTGTCGCCGGCGGGAGCGTAATTGTCGTAGTATGAAGGTCCACCATCCGCGGGGACTCCACCGCCTTCGCTGCTCCGCTGTCCATTCGCGAGAGGGACCTCGCCTCTGACTGCAGCGGCAGCAAGACGTTCGCGCTCGATACGTCGACTCTCGCGTCTACGACGTCGCTCCTCAACCTCCTCTGGGGCCATGCCTGCGTAACGTGCTTCGCGGCGAGCTCGACGTCGTTCGCGACGCGCAATTTCGTCTTCGTCGTCGGCCAGAGGATCTTCGACAACTTCGCCAGGGTGCTCGTGGCTGCCGCGACTCCGCGTGCCTCGGCTTCCGCGACTGCGGGCGCTCCGACTATGACGACTCTCACCGGCGGCCCCACCGACAGCTCCGGACATGACGATAGGAGGCGGTTCAATGACGGTGGGTTCAATGGGCGGAGGAGGTGGTGGGGATGCATTCACTTGTTCGACCCACGAAGTGGTCTTGTCTGTCGCACGACTGCCAAAGTAAGGTATTGTAGAGGTTTGGCCGAGATATGCGTGGTAGTCGTCCAGCTCGACGGGTGCGTGTCCGCGAGTGTTGGCGCTATTGCGCGGATCAAAATAATCTTCAACTGGGTTTCCAGCGGGTGGGACAGTGGTGGAGGATTTGCGGCGACGACTGGAAGAATGAGGCTCGCCTGGCGTACGTGCGTAGGAAGCTGTCCCACCAGCGCCACCAGCACTAATGGCAGCAGAAGCACGGCGACGTTCGCGCTCCTCTCGTCGCTGTTGACGACGTTCAGCACGTTCCGGATCCTCCTCTGGCGTCCGCACGGCATGTGAGCGCCTGCGCTCCGGTTTACCCGGACGATGCTCGACTGCCGCAGCCTCGTCATCCATAGCAAGGGCCCGTTCTCGCTGCTGCTCGCGCTCTCGTCGACGAGATTTCTTTTCGGCATGCCTAATCTCTGCTTCCCTGCGAGCTTCTTCCTCTTGGGCTAGGCGTTCTGCCTTTGCAGCCTTTCGAGCACGGCGTTCCTCTTGGTATTTTTGCTCCGCCTCTTCTTCTTCACGAAGCCTTCGATCGCGATCTTCTCTCGCCTTTGCTTTTTTGACTCGCATTTCGGCCTTTTCGAGCTCTCGCCGTTTAGCTTGCTTCTCTTCCAAACGCCGGATTTCAGCCTGTCGCGCTTCTCGTTCAGCGGCTTCTTTCTCTGCTCGTCGAGATCTTCGTTTCTCCCGCCTTGGATGCTCCTCTTCGACATCTGTGACTGCGCCACCGGCGGCTCCCTCTGCGACAAACCCAGCTGCTGCGTCCTGCTCTGCTGCGGCTGCCCGGCGGGCCGTGCGACGGGCTCTTCGTTCCTCACGACTTTGACGCTGCATCTCCTCGTCTTCTAGTGAGACGCGCGCTCGGCGAGCCATACCATCTTCACTTTCGTACATGTACTTACTTTTTCGGCGTTCCTCATTCTGAGGTCGTGAGCTACTCTTAGCCTTGAATGAGCCGAACAGGCTCATTAGCTTCTCCGTAGGCTTTGCGGCAGACATGGAGCGCTTCAATGGTTGATCTCTCGGTCTTTCTACAAAGGTAAGATCGTCTGGACCATTGGGAATCTCAGGCTCGTCTGTACGGTGAGCGGGAGCGTCACGCAGGACAGCGGCATCTTGATGAGTGAACATTTGATCTTCCGCCCGCGATAGCTATTTCGCATTCATTAGTTAATTGAAGCTTGAAGTTTTGGTGAATGGAATTGGCAATTAGTGAAAAGATAAACACCTGGCAACTTACACGATGGTGCTCTCTGCGTCTACTACTCCTCGTTCTGTTTGGGTCCTTATTACGAGAAGATTTCTTCCGACTTGGCGGGTCCATGGTAGCAGGTACGTCAGCAGGAGGTGGCACAACGACCACGTCGTCATCATCAACCATGGTTTCTAGGGGCTCTATGGGCTCTGGGACCGGCTCTGCGGTATGATTAGCATCGAATCCGCGTGGGAGCGAGAAATTAGCATAGACCGTACCTGGTTCATCAACGTCATCAGGGTCTGACCCTGCATCTACTAGTTCTACAGGGACTACGGGGTCGACCGGTTCTGGAATCGATGTAGGCTCCACAATTGCGGCAGGCGGATGTGGGGGCGGGGGAGGCGGCGTTGGCTCTTTTTCCACTGTTTCCACTGCTTCGGGGACCATTTCTGGCTCTTCCTTTTCCAGTTCTGGAGTGGGATCCACACTTGCCGGTTCGTTATCCGTTGACTGAGGCCGAGTGTTACCCTGACGTCCAGAGTTGACGCGACGCGCCTTGGTTCGCGGCGGCGGCGTGCCAAGAAGCAGCTGCGCGAAGCTCAGACCTCTGGATGGAGTTTGTCTTTGCTTTGGCTTGACTGCTCTGGCGCCTTCAGAAGTTTTCGGAGTCGATATCTCACGTACCTTGTCTCCAGAAGAATCCTTGGTCGACAGGCCCGGGGGTTGGGTTGTCTCTTTCGCGGATGGTGTAGCCGGCTGCTTCTTCACGCCTTTTTTCGGTGTGGAACCCCAAAAGCCCCAAGAGAGAGCGCTATCATCCCTCACAATCTTTGAACGCGGCTTCTTAGCGGATTGCGGAGCTGCCTTGGCCGGCTGATCATCTGCTGGCACAGGCTCTAGTTCGGGCTCTGGCACGGGCTCTGGTTGAGAGTCAAACTCAGGCGCAGGAGATTCCTCAGTAACAGCACCAGCGCCACCTGATGCGGCGCCAAGATCAATGACTTCTACGATGTCATCGTCTGCATATTCAGAAGGAAAGCTCCCAGGAACAGTAGCAGATGCCTCTTCCTTTGGTGCTTCTGGCTCAGGCTCAGGCTCAGGCTTCCGCTCCGATAGAATGCTCTCGCGTGCTTTGGCAGATTTGGATTTGGATTTAGACTTCTTCTTGGGGCCCGGGTCCTCCTGGGGCGGAAATTCAGGCTCAGGCGGAGGTGAAAGCGGAAGCGGCGCGGGTTCGGCAGCTTCGTCTTCTACAACCTTGCCTCCTTCAAATGCTTTGATTTTATCAGCGACCGATAATTTTCCAGGACCTTTTGGCTTTCCAGCTCCAGTCTTACCGGGGATTGCTGATGTCGCTACCGCGGGTGGGGGCGGTTTATCGATAACGGCAGCTGACACGCTCGGTTCGTTAAGCGCCAGTTCTTGATTGGCTGTGAGGTTCTCCTCCTTGGATGCCTTGGGAATTTTGTCAGCCTTATTTGTTGTCCTGCGGGAACTACCCCAGAAACCCCATACGTCTGTCTTCTTTTCCTCGACTGGGACAGGCTCCGGTAGATCGAACTCTTCATTTTCAATCGGTGTAATTTCTGGCACGACTTCGTCGGCTGCCTGACCTTCATCTGTGACTTTGACTTCAGGCTCAGATTCGGGCTCTGGCTCTTTCTCCTTGGCAGCTTTTGCTGCTTTTTTCGCAGCCTTCTTTGCCTTCTTCCCCTTTGGGGCTTCTGCCTCCCTCTTAGCCTCTTGCTGCTTTCTCTCCTCCTCTTCTTTTCTAACTCTCTCCTCTTCCTCCTCCCTCAACCTCTGCTCTTCTCTCAATGCCTCTTCCTCTTCTTCCTGTCTTGCCTTTTCCTCTTGCTCCTCTTTAGCCTTCGCCTCTTGCTCCTTCTTCAACCGTTCCTCCTCCTTCTTTTTCTCCTTGGCACTTTTCGCTTTGGAACCGGCCGTGCTGCCACCACCAAGTCCAAAACTTCCCCAGAAGCTTTTGGCTGTTGTAAAAGCACTATCTCGAGGAGGCTTCTCTACCGTGTTCGTTGATTCGTCAACGATTGCAACAATCTCATCCGGATCTTCCTCTGCCGCTGGTGCATCGAGGTTTGCGCCGTCAAACTCATCTTCGTTCGGCGCCGCTGGAGCGGGTGGTGGCGGCGGAGGCATTGGCTCCTGGTCTAGTGGTGCATTGCCCGCATTTCCCTTTTTGCCCTTCTTCTTTTTGTCCTTCTTCGTAGTTCCCCATGCGGCCCAATCATCATCGACCGGCTTCGGCTCCACGATTGAGTCTGGCTGCATCAAAGATTCTGCTGGATCATCGTCAACAACCTCGACAGGGTCATTCTTCTGCTTATTGTTCTTGCTCTGCTTGTCCCAATTCCAGCCCCAGCCTTCATCAGCTGCCGCGCCCTTGGGCTCATCAATGGCATCTGGTTTCATGATATTGTCCTCAACAGAGTCTTGAGGAGCTTCGGGCTCGGCGATTGTTTCTGCACCCTTCTTTCCTTTCTTGGCCTTCTTTGGTTTACCCCATCCTGCCCACTCATTGGCACCCATGGAGCTGTCTACCACCTCGGGAGCTGGCGGCGGCGGAGGCAGTGATTCGTCCTGATTTTGTACTTCGTCATTTGCCTTGTCGCCATCCCAGTTCATCCAGTCGGGCTCCAGAGGCTTTTCACCGGCGCCTCCGTCGGTGGCTTCAGTCGCAGCACCACCATTCTTTTTCTTCTTCTTATCCTTCTTGGATACTTCTCCCCATCCTCCCCACGCAAAGTCGGATGCCGGTTCTGGCGCTGGAGAAGTAACATGTTCATCGTCCTTCGCCGGGCCCATATCAATTAGAGCTTCTCCCATTTCGTTGTTTGTGTCGACGGCCTTCTTTTCTGAATCTGGAAAGTCACCACTCAATGGCTCCTCAGGTTTGATTTCGGCGAATGCTTCTGCAGCTTTGGCCTCTTTCTTCTTCTTCTTTTTCTCCTTCCTAGACATAGTAGTAAATTCAGCGAATTCATCCCCCGGGTTGTCTTGTTGTTTCTCTTCTGGCTTCTCTTCCGTTATCCCATCGCCAGCCGGAGGATCGCCGGACTCTCCAAAATCGTCAAAGTCAAGAGAAGTATTTTTCTTCTTTTTCCCTTTCTTGCCAGTACTTACGCCCCATGGGCTCTCTCCCTCGGGAGGCTCATTGGACTTTTCTTCGTCGACAATCTCGATACCGCTTGCATTATCTGTATTACCCATGCCCCACTTCCCGCTATTGCCCCAGCCGCCCCAGGTGCCGCTTCCAAAAGAGAACCCATCTGAGCCTTTGTTATCATCTCCACTCCCAAAATTAAGTTCAATTTTGGGGGTCGGGTCATCCAAATTGACATCATCAAAATCCTGCCCTTGCTCATTTGAGGCTGCCGGGGCCGGCGGAGGCGGAGGTGGAGGAGGTACTGTTTCAGCGGCCGCCTAGAGTTGTCAGCTCAAATCAAGTAGGTACTCGAGGGGGGGTCTTACCTGGCCCTTCTTTTTCTTCTTGTTCTTCTTTGGAGGCGCAAAGCCCCATTCTTCGTCTGGATCTGGATCCTCGCCTGCAATGGCAGCGGCGGCACTAGCAGCAGCAGCAGCTTCTTCTTCTTCAGCCCTTTTTTCTTGCTCTGCTTTTTCGGCCTCCTCTCGCTTCTTCAACTCCTCCTCTTCCTCGTCAACAGCCACGTTAGGCTCCTTCTTATCGTCGCCGTCGCCGTCGCCATCTCCCCCACCATCGCCGCCACCTCCATTCTGACTCCCTTCTTCCCCTGCTCCTTCGTTTCCTTCTTGCTCATGATCCGAATCGCCAGCCTTGTTTTGCTTGCTGTTGTTATTGTTGTTATTCGGTTTCTTTTTCTTCTTGTTCTTGCCTCCCTTGTGTGTCCGAGCATTTGAGGCATTCGAAAAATCAAGCTTGATTGGACTTGTAAGGTCTTCAATCTCAAGAGACTTGCGCTGAACTCTGCATATTGAATAGGTAGGAGGGGGCGTCAAAGGCGATTCGACCCGCGAACTGGCCAATTGATCGGTAGGTGAGTAGTCCGGAGGCGCATCAAGCGCTGCGTCACCGTAAGGAGGGGGAGGGTTTTCATATATTTCGAGAGCGTTGCATGTCCACTGCTTGCTATTCAAGACTGGAGCTTTATTGACATGAGGCGCCTGTTTTTCCAGCATGGCTTTAGCTTTCCATGATTTGCGATAACTGACACAGAGCATGCCGCGATCCCATTTTCGAAGAGAAGGAGTTCGAGAGTGGAGAGTTGACGGATGGCGTACCAAATTCAAGTTGCATTTCTGCCGACAGGATCTTCTTGCAGCAATGTGGGAACCTGCCCATTGCGCCGCTTCCTGGGCCGTAGGCCACAAAACCTGCTCTATTAAAGATTCCTCTGATATGCACGATAAATCAACTTGCGCAGTATGGGTCAATGCTCCTTCCAAATAATCTCTCGAATTGGACAAGACAGATACGGCCATCACTCAATTCCTTGATAGATCTATGCGTTGTGTTGTTGGTCGAGCCGCTGCAAGACACACTCTTTTTTTCTTGACAACCCAGCTGCAAATCGAAAATGGATGGCGGGGGAAATAATTTAGAGACGCGACATGCGGGAGCCAAGGGCGAACGCCTCCCGACGAGTGAGCTAGCAAACCCTCAAAAATCGGCACGAATGACGATTCTACACGCGACACGAGCGTCGGACAAGAAAAGAGCCCCACCGTCAACCGGACGATCATACAGAATGAACAAGCACCGAGTCAAGACAGGAACCAAATTATTACTGTATTTTTTGGTGGCGGAGACAGCACCACTTCAGACCTTTCCTTGCTAGGGAACGATGGCAGGACGGGGCGAGACGAGACGAGCGGAGCGAGAGCGGTCAAAGACCCTGGTACCGTCAAATTGTTTCCCTCTGCCTGTCTGGTTCCCTTGGTTCCGCACCGCCGCTAGTAACGCAAATGGCTTCGGGCCTTTTTCTTCGCTCTCTTCTTCCTCTTCCTCTTCCTGCTTCGATGCCTGCAGGAAAGCAGCCTTTTCTCTCACAAACGAGACCCTTTAAAGATAAGCATGAAGAAAATCGGGCTCTCCATTGACGATTAGCGTAGAGGCGAGATGCAAGGAGTCAAGGTGTCGTCGCAGAATAGCGGTAGTGGTTGGATTCCTGAAATTAACTTTTGGCACCTGTGAATAGTAATGCCCCTCACGTAGATGGCTCGCTCACATTGGGGATGAAAGGCCACAGTACTGCACTTGAGTGATTAATCTCTAGCCGAGGTGGACGCTTGCATGGACAGAGTGATAGAGAGGATCAAAAGCATTGCATAAGACTTGAAAAACTTTTCACCTTATTGATTTTCTCTGCATCTGTGTTTCTGGCGGCCCATAACGTTCGTAGCAATGGGTCATCATGCAGGGTCACCCAAAGTGCCCTAGAGTAACTTACACCGCATATCCCGATTAATGCAGATCCAATCCTGTGGCTTTCAGAGGATGCACAGAAGAGTCGAGTGGGCACAAAGGGGGTTGCAGCAAGATGCCTCGCATGATTGTGCCCTGGAATAGAGAGGAGGGGCCAACTAAATGAAGAGGGGGTGGGTGATAAAGGACCCCAATTCGATGAAGAGAAAAGGCGGTGATGCGCAGCAGGCATGATTCGCTCGGCTTCAGAATTGTGGCCTCGTAGTGGAACCCAATCAGCCCAAAACATTGCCTCATCTCATCAAATCAGAGAGGGCAGAATCACTCATCCTGGGCCGACACTTCTTCTCCCCCACTTCAGCCATCATACTGTCACTTTTTATTGCCATGCCACCTTTTTAATTGGCTCTCATGCCGATTGTCACCACAAAGAAATATCATCAACTCCACGCCTTTCCCATCCCCTCGATCCTTCTCAACCATGTCTTTGACCCCTCCACAATACCTCTGAGGCACTTATGGACAGCGTGTCTTCATTTACAATTACTCGTGCCCAAGGTAAGCTTCTCCTTGTCGCTTTAGACCTTTTTTTTTTTTTCTTCTTCGCTAGCGAATTTGCTGCTACAGTGCTTCTCGTACTTTCTTCACCGATTCTTCCCTTTCACGAAACAATGACCTAGCTGGTAAGAATTTCTCGCAGAGGCAATTATTGCCAGCGAAGAGTTATATAAATATCTAAAAACCTCGTCATATCAAATAAATCTTGATTGTTTGCTATGCCTTGGCTTTCAACCGCATCTTAATAGCGCAGCGAACTTAGAGACTGGTAAGAAGGAGGGGAAATGATTCTATATAACCGACGCCCTTGCTGCCTTGACCGAAAAGGAGACTGTCCTTTCTTTTTTGGCAATTACCCACTGGACTCAATGAGCATCCAGAGATTTCCACAGAGGCATCTCATTTGTAAGCCGCTCAGCCACCCAGTCCGCTGCGGAATGAAATCTTCCATGTATAAGCAGCATCGTGTGCATCGTCTTAATGTCGCAGATCCGCTCAAGGGGACTTTGCGGATGGCGTCGACTCGATGCTGTCGTCGATATGCATCCGTCCGAAGATCGTCGCTAAGATCAAGCCAACTGTGGTCGACAAAGTAGATTTCGGCCGGGTCCATCTCCATGGCAATCTTGTTCAAAGTGTCCGTCAGCAGTCGCGAGATGACAGGCACCAGAGCGTCAGGAATATCTCCGTGAATGAGCATTTCCTTCTCCGCCTGATTGCGCTCAGCATCACTCATCCCAGATCCCTGATACGCAGATTTGATGGCCTGGTCCATCTCGTTCAAGACGCGATCAAACAGTACAATCGGGACGGGGCTTTCTTCCAGCCCCTCGGCGATTCTTAGCAACGCTTGCCAGTGTTCACTGCTTGGACCAAGCCTGGAACTTCGGTGTGCCGCTGTATGTACGCTGCGAATGCCACGGACATTATACCGAAGAAAGAGCCGGGGAACACTGCAAAGAACTAAAAACAGCGCCGGCGAGTTGAGTTGGCGAACTTGAATCATGAGTTAGCTGCTAAAGGACTCAATCAAAATTACGGAATCATCATTGTCCTACTCTTGTCGTTAAGAAATCCTTTGTCGTCTGTATGATCCTTGCAGACATGCGCCAAGCGGAATAGTTCGTCCACAATGTAGTTCACAAGGTCCATACTCCACTTGACCACGCCAGAAAGTGATATCAGCGTCTCTACATCAACAGGTTAATGCACGAAAGAACTTGACGAACCACTGGACTTAGCACATACCTGGCATTGCCGCCTCCGTATCTCCACCAGTGGAGCCTGGGCGCGCCGCATTATTAAGGGCAAATATGAATGAAAAGGAAGTGATCCTGAGATTTAAGGCCGCTCTGGCCAATTTCGCTGTGAGACTCTTATTTGCGTGCTCTCCTCGAAATCCTAGAATGCCTTGCATGCTGAGACAACGATGCATGACATTATTACGGAATAGTTTATCCTGGATATTATCAAATGACCAATCTGCGTTTATTGCAAGAGCCCGAAAGATCTCGCTGAGAAAGGCATGTTGAAAAGCTACATCGTCAGATTACATAAAATTAAGTTGAATCTCGCTCTCTACTTACCAGGAGCGGCGTGAGGCTGTATAGCGGCGACAATATCATCGTTATTATTGTGATGAGTACAGGAAAAGGCGAATTGCAATGCAAAGGCGATAATCGCCACGGAAAATCGTGCTATAGGATGATTTAGAAAATATCATGTTGAGGTCAAGGGGTTGAGTTTACCGTCATCTTTTGAATCGTTGAACTTCTGGAGAGTATACTGCATAGGTTTAAAGCGCGCTTCGCCTTCAGCGTCGATCGTGACAGCTCCACAAGCATTTGGAGACAGTGTGACGTGAAGACCTATCCAATGATGAGAAGAAAAGAAAACGAAACCGCAGAAAACCCTGCTTCTGAAATTGTACACTTACATGTTTCTTCCGCTGGAAACGCAAAACCAGCCTCTGCAAGACCAGATACCTTATTCAGGTCGGGGTCTGAACTTATTACGCTCATTGAATCCCTATTATGAAACACAATGGAGCCGTCACTCTTGCCAAAGGCAACGACAGTGTTGAGATTTAAGAATTGAGTAGAAAGAATTGACTTTTCGGAAACATAATCTTCTAATCGACTGAGTTCAAGACTCTGATAGCTTGGTCAGAAACCAGTGAAATGTTAAGGATACAAGGAAGCAGGGACTGTACTTCTCTCGAGGCGCCGACATTGTTCTTCTTTGATGCAAGCTGGTTAAAACTAGAATGTAAGCTTTGGGAAACGGGGCGCAACTCCCATCGAGCTATTACGCTGAAGCTCTCAAGAGCCTTTTCCGTGCTGTCGTTCTCTGGTAGATGAGAGAAGACCGCAAAAATTGTGGGGTATCTAGGTTCTCTGCCGTTCAGATCCGGTTCTGCGGATGCAAATTCCAGGTGAGACAGCTGCGCTGTTTGAGGATCGATGTGTGACACGGTTCCATCAGATGCCAGAGCTTTGGTCAATGGAGAACAGCTGTTCTCTACTTTGAGATGACGAACGGCTATTCCAGGAATTGGCAATGGCGCTGTTTGCGGCTGTTTGTGCCCGGGGGCAAGATTCCAGCTGATGGTGATTCGATAAATTCGAAGACGTTGAGACACATTATGCGTCACTACGAGAAGCGACCCATCTAATTTCCTAGTCTTTAGCATTGAAAATTTATTTTGTTTAGTCTGGCTAGACGATACCTTTATCGCAGCAGATAGAAGCATGCGTGAGGAGATCATTTGAACTTCCCACACTTTCAAGTTCGGCGCCCGTCTCGTGCCACTTCCCATTGGTCTGCTGGTACAGGAATCTCAACGACCCGCCGCGCGTAATGGCAAGCAATGCGGACTTGTTGAGCGGGTGATGAGGGCCATTATTCTTTACATTTCCTGCGGAGTAGACCCATTGCCCATCTTTCCGGACTGCAGGTCGATAAAGAGGCGACAATCGGGAGGTCAGCATCGCTTGGTGAAGAGGAAGAAGACTATCGTACTCACCACCCTATCCACGTTCAACCAAGAAAGGCCTACGATGGCGCCCAAATCATCGACTTGGTCGATCAAGCCAGAGTGTACTACAGACGTACGATTAACTGTAATAACAAGATTTGCAAAAGTAATGCGGCCAGCCACGTCAACAATTGCCAGCTCGGTGCCGGGCGGATTGAAGGAGAGGTGAGCCACTTGCTGCCCTTCAGGAACAGAGGGCAGCGATTGAATATAGCTCACATGGCTTAACCCCCAAGATCCATCCCTGGGGCTGCAGCGAAGATTTCTAATAGCCACGCGCTGACCGTCGCGAGTGACGTATGCGATGCAGCCCACTTTTGACCAAGCCACTTTCCTATTTTACAATCAGAAATGATCCAATGTGCTGCCTGAAGGGGATTGATTTAGAGGCCAGTGAACCTACTGGCAACACCCGCTCAATCGCATCTCATCTAGCCGCTGAAGCAGACCTTTTGCCGGTGGAAGCGGCGGCAACTGGAGGGGTTGTGCGTCGCCGAACAAGTCGGCCATATCCAGAGCGTCATCCATCATCAATGGCATCGCGTGAACACACGAGCTTGACCATATAATTGAATTGTATAGATCAAGGTCAACTGGCGAGATATTTTGCTTCTATGATCTCATATACTAGACTTGTGAGGCTCGTACAGCTTGGGTTTGGAGCATTTAAAAAGTGATAATGGTCTTCCGGGATCTTATGTCATTACGCTCGACAGATTCCAATGCTAAATCTTTCAGCAAGCCACAGCGAAAGGCTATGCTATTCCACTGGAAATAATTCGCGTGTATGTATTATAACGGCGTGATATCTTTTTACATGGGGGATCTCAGCCCGTGATGGACGAACGTTAAGGTCGCCCAATGGAGAAATGGCGTTGCTGAGTAAGGGAAGTACACAGTCGAGGATGGGTTCCAATGGTTAGACTAGGCCTTTAGGGATATTTTAGCGAGATTTGCTAAGTTTTCCGGAGTTGACTATCTTGTGCTTCGACTAACTAAGGTATAACGACAATAAGAACCTTAAAGAACTTAGTCATCTATCTGACTAACTTAACTGAGATAAAGTGAAGCGTTTGTCAAGTAGTGGTACATCTTCTATTTACCACCGTACAAGTTCTCTATATCATTCAATATCCTCGACATACCTAATTGCAAGAGAAGGAGACATATATACAAAATATGTTAGAAACATTTCTAACCATTACGCCTCAATTGGATTAGAAATAAAAGAGAATGCCAAGGCTATAAGCTTCATGGTAGCGAAAAACATGTCTTACCTCCCACTCAGTACTGCCGAAATATCAGGCAGTTTACGGGACCTTTTTTGATGCTGGCAGAAATCTTCTCAGCTGCGACTTGTCCTACAACTAACGCTATCAAACATATTCGGGCCGTCTCGCCCAGTTCCCACGAGGTATGTGACTTGTCCAAAGACCTCAGCGGCAACAACTTATCCATCGCCATCATCACGACTGTTTCCAGGCTTGCTAAACCACTGGAGCCATTTGCCTGTCAATGATGGTGAATCGCCATTTACAATGATAAACTTCGTATCCTTACTACAAGTAGGCTCAATATGATCATTATTGATGCATTGTTTATGATTGTGGTGATGTAAATAAACAAAAAACAAACGAGGCCTTTTTTCATCTTAGCGAGAGTTGGGGCATTCGGTAAAGCGCCCCGTTCTGGGTAATCGCTCCTTCCCCCCATGGCCAAACGACGTAGTCTGGAGTCGTCTCAGCGCCCGCATGCTGCCCACGAGAGAGGGATCTACTCTCAATGTGTGTTTCTCCTCCACCTCCAAACTTCATCTGATGAATTCTCGTTCTTTCTTACCACCACATCTTTCGCCTGTTGCCGCAATCACTGTGCTATTCACGGACGCATATTTTGCAGGACAAGGATCATCCCCTTTGTGATTTTCAGCTGGATGAGTACATTTCGTTAAAACCTCCGACCTTCCCCCCCTTCTTCCCTCGTCCTGTCTCTCCCCGCACAGGACGAGATTCGACTCTCTTCAAACAATGTCTCTACATCTCAGCATGTTGTCCGATTCATCGTCGCCATTGAGCTCTCCGCGCTCTCTTTCACCATCTCCTCCTCCTTATTACTATCCGTCGCCGACGTCGTCGCAGGCCTCACCAGGTTCCTCTCCTACGGCTGAGCCCTTGCTGGACTCGCTACCTGTCAGAATCGAGAGAGATGGGCCCCCTCCGACAAAGAAGCGTCGCACAGCAGAGAAAAAGGAAAGGAGAACGCAATTTCTAGATCTTCACCAAATGTCCGATGTTTATGCTTCCGATCAAAAAGAACAGCTAGATCTCTTACTCAAAACTCTTCATAAGAAGCGAAAGATTGTAGTGATTGCTGGCGCAGGAATCTCTGTCTCTGCAGGCAGTATGTATATTTTTCTGGTTACGAAATGGACTCAAGTCTGACCTTGGCTATTTAGTTCCCGACTTCAGATCCTCTACGGGACTATTTACCACTCTTCGTCGCCAACACAACCTGAAGGCCTCTGGAAAACACCTCTTTGATGCGTCTGTCTACCGAACTCCCGCTTCCACTTCCTCCTTTCACGACATGGTTCGAAATCTCTCAGGTCTCATTGAAACAGCCAAACCAACTGCATTTCATCACTTATTGGCCCGGTTAGCGCACGAAGGTCGCCTGATGCGACTTTACAGCCAAAACGTCGATTGCATTGAAACTTCGCTTCCACCGCTCGCTACACAAGTCCCCCTGAACCCGAAAGGGCCTTGGCCGCGAACAATTCAGCTGCATGGAGGTCTCAGCAAAATGGCATGCGTTAAGTGCAGCCACTTGGCAGATTTTGAAGCATCTCTTTTTGATGGCCCTGACCCACCGATTTGCAAGGTGTGTGAGGAGCTAGATTCTGTGCGCACAAATATCGCAGGAAAGCGAAGCCATGGTATTGGAAAGCTTCGTCCAAGAATCGTTCTGTATAATGAGTACAACCCGGATGAAGAGGCAATTGGCGCTGTCACAACGGCGGATTTGAGAAGTCGGCCTGACGCTATTATTGTTGTTGGAACAAGTCTGAAAGTGCCAGGAGTCCGGCGCATAGTAAAGGAGATGTGTGGTGTAGTGAGATCAAGGCGGGATGGGGTCGCTATCTGGATCAATAACTCACCGATGCCCACCGGGCGCGAATTTGAAAATTGCTGGGATCTGGTGATCAAGGGTGACTGCGACGAAGTCGCTCGCCACGCCGGCCTGAAACGCTGGGATCATATCGACGAAGATAGTTTTGAAGTCTGTTCTGAAGAGGATCGAGCCAAGATCAAGTCTGAAGGCAAAGAAATGGAGGTTCTTTTGGAAACTCCTCGCAAGCGGAAGCATCCAGGCGTGGAGTCTATGCAGGGTGTGCTTACGCCAACATCAAGCCCTACTCCCAAGCTGGCTATACTGGAAAACACCGGCGACGACGCGATGGCGCAAGTCGAATTCGCAAACCAGACGACGAGCAACCCCGCCAGCCAAGGACGATCCATTGCAGACGTACTCCTCCAACAACCCAAGCCAAAGGGCAAAGGGCAAAACACAAAGAGAACCGCCTCAACATCATCATCTACATCACGTGCAAAGAGTACAAAACCAAGAAAGGCCCCCGCCAACACCAAGCGCTCTGCAGCAACAGCAGCATCAGCACCACCAGCAGCGACCGATCAAGTCAACATCAAGGAAACATTTAGAGTTACAAAGTCTGCTGCACCTCCGACAGACCCGGCCGAGACCAAGCCGTCCAAGCCGAAGAGAAGATCAATTGAATTGCAGGATATCCTCAATCCCGCCTAAAACATTTTATTGCAGAGTTGACGCTCGAGCTCACGTGGAAAAAAAACAAGGCTTATATCCTATGGCGTTATTGGTCGCATTGCTTATATACAATAATTTTTCTGTTTCATCCTTTTCTTTCTTTTTTCTCTCTCTTCTATATTACTTTCTCGTCACCCCCAACGCCAGCGCTTGGCCTTGTATTACTATATCCTTTTACATTTTGTTTTGGAACGCGCAAAGGAGTTGGGGGGCAAAGTATAGAAAGCGCAAAAGGAGCAAAGTTTATAGCTTTAGTCGAAGAGCTTGTCCATGTATTTTACAAAGACGTTCCTAATAACGCACCATTAGTCCAGCTCTATAGCAGAAGAAGAAGAAGCAGCAGCAGCAGCAGGAAAACTATATCAATAGTATATTACCTCGCAGGTCTCGGAACGTAATTCCGCGTATACTCTTCTATTTCGTCAAGGTCCTTGAACAAGTCCACTTCCTCTGGCTTGAGCCACGTCGTCTTTTTGTATATTTTCCAGAAAATAAAAATAATTGGGAAAACGCCAATCATGGTATACCTATTGTCGCCAAAGTCAGCCTTTACTCTTTTTCTTCCCCCCTCCCCTTTTCTCTTCCTTCCCTTTTTCTGTGCGGGGAGGGGGGGACGGCGGGTGATGGAGAAGACCGGTGGGTTCTCACGAGACGCAATGCCAGACTTACGAAAAGAAGAATGTAGGCACGTCCCAATTTCCAGGAAGGAAGACTATTGCATTTGTCAGTATTCCCTTCCCTCCCCCCCCAAAAGAAGAAGAAAAGAAAGAAAGAAAGAAAGAAAGAAAGAAAGAAAGAAAGAAAAATCGACGAGAAGAAGAGATGAGAAGAGATGATTCCAGCCGGAAGAACTAAAGGGAAATCTGGAGGGCCGAGGAAACGTACCGGTATAACCCCCGACAAAAGCCATAGTCAGACATCCCGCCAGACCATAGTACGCCGCATATGGCTGCCACCAGCCCTTGTGGGGCAGCGAATCTCGCGAGAGACCCTGCACTTCACACGCGCGTTTGAATCGAAGAAAGGTAAATGCCATGACGGAGAAGTTGAGCAGCTGTGAGGCAGTGACCTGTTCGATGGACATCAGTGTGTCAGTTTCGTTTGATAGACAAAAGGAGATGAGCTGGATTAGAATATAAAGACTCGAGTTGTGCCAAAAAGATATATGTATGCTTGATAGTGAAGATAAAGGTATATAATTTGTACAGACATAGGATTAAAAGGCAACTCACCAAATTGACAAACCACTGCAGCACGACCGAGGCGCCATTCGAGACCTGCAGAAACGAGAGCAACGAAATCGCCAGCACGACGACGACACAGTATATGGGAACGCCCTTTTTTGTACATTTTGCCAGAAACCTCGGCGCTTTGCCTTCGAGCGCGAGGCCATAGAGACTGCGGCTCGCGCAATAGACGTAGCTGTTCCCCGCGGAAAACGCAGACGTCAAGACAACCGCATTGACGATATCCGGAAGAACGCCAATCTGTAGTCGGCGCATCGCAACGACATACGGCGAGGCCGCTGCGCCGGGCAAGTTCTTGGAGAATGCATCGATCAGCTCTGGGTCGTTGTAGGGCACGTTGATCCCGACGCAGAGAGAGCCCAGCGCGAAAAAGGCAGTCAGGCGGTAAAACACGACGTTGTAGGCTTTTGGCATCACGGCGCGAGGGTTTTCTGCTTCTCCTGCCGCCATGCTGACCTGGGATTGTTGTTATTCTTGTGAGCAGAGGGGAAGGGGAACTTTTGTTTGACTCCGTAATAATAAATAATGACTCCATAACGGTTTTAAAAAAAGGGACAAAAAACACAAATCCGGCAGGATATACGCACATAGTCGCAACCACTGATGGTAAAAGAAGCCAGAATCAAGCATTGCAGGAATCCTAAAAAACGGCCTAGGTCTCCAGTCTTGTAATATTCAGCAAAAGCGCCTGGATCTTTCCAGTACCGGAACCCGAAGCGGTCGTGGAGCGGATTCCCGCCGAGCATGGTGACAATGGTGTATAAGATCAGGCCGATGATGAGGATGACTTTGCCTAGAGACAGCCAGAATTCGGATTCGCCGTACCAGTGGACAGCGAAGATATTGATGAGTCTATTGCGCAGTCAGCCGGGATGATTACGGTGTTGAGGGCGGGAATTAAAAAATAAAAGTAAAAGATGAAGGATACGAAAAATAAAAAAAAAAAAAAAAAAAAAAAAAAAAAAAAAAAAAAAACAAGATAAAGAAGATGTGAAATAAAATAGATAAAAGTCAACTATAAAAAAGGGTTAATGGCTTACGCGTATAAGACAATGACAATGGCAATGATGCCGCCCACGGGTACGGCGTCACTCCAGAAATTGATAATAATGTTGCACGCCACAATCTCGAATGGGACAAGAGCCGCTTCAAATACGAAGAAGTTGTATCCCGCTGCAACTCCAAATGCTTCGTCGACAAATCGCCCTGCGAATCGGATGAATGGAGATGATATGGGTAGGTATGTGACCATTTCAGCCATGCCTATCGCGGATTAAAGAAGAGGCCGTTGCGTCAGTGAAATTGCGTTGTTTGCGATGTGTTGCGTTGGGCTTCGATTGAAAGCAAATACTAAATCGGAAGTGGGGATAGCAAGGAGCTTTACAGTTTGTAATTGTCAGAATAAATGTGCACCTATTTTTTTGCAATTATATGAGATTATTTCCTTTTGACTTGTGCCCACAAAATTTTGAAGATTTGCCTATCTTTTTTTGGTGGGCCAGATATTGCAATACTGCAATCACCATGTTCCTTTCCACGCTCTGCCACATCAAAAAGGCTTACACTCTATCCAAATATCATACAACAATATCTTGACGAGGTCTTGAAAAGGCAAAAGCAAATTGATAGCCATGCATCGCAGAAGGTAGAGGGAGACTTACCAAAACGAAAAGGCAATGAATAAACTTGCCGGTCCACCATGCAACAGTCCCTGGCCAATCTGAACATACAGTGCTGTTCCAATCGTTCCGCCAATTCCAATGAGTTGAATATGACGGGGTTTCAATCTTCGTTGGGTATGATCGCATGTCGGTTTGAGAGACGAAGACGACCTTGCAAGTTCGACCGCAGCTCCATTTGCTTCTTCTTCTTCATCTTCCGTCGCTGCTCCTGCCGCCACTGCTGTAGAGCCGGTCTTCTCCTGCGCCTTTGCTATGCGCAGCGCAGGACTGTCGTACTGCGGCAAAGCAATTGACGACGATGACGATGATATCATGTCGTTGGTTCAACGTCCTTTCGCGTCTAACAATGCATTACCCCAGTGAAACGATCAAAGAAGTGGAAGGAACAAAAGCGATAAAAGACAGCAATATCAGCGTATGATCAAATTCAATGGATGTAAAAGACTTCAATGTTTTTAGAACCAAAATTCGGATCAGGCATTGCATCAGCCCCGCCATGCGCGTAACCTACCCCAACAACGCTAAGACCCCGTGGGCCGGTCGACAAGTGCTGAAAATCCTTGGCCCCACATGGTCTGGGCCTGATGGGACATTCGACTTTGCCCCTCGACCAGGCAAGATCACGTTTGGGTATCGCATGATTGGTCATGATCGTTGACAGCTAGAATGAGCAGTTTCGATGCGATGCTTCTGCGTCATTGGTAGGTTATTGGTCATTGTATCCAGGGGGGTTGGCCTCGTTGACGACGTTACTCTTCGGCTTCGATTTCTCTGTGACGTTCAGAAAGAGCGGAGAGCCGAAGGAGTCCCGTCGGGCCCCTGGAGAGGAACGGGGGCGAGGGAGCGGGCTCCGGGTATGTCATCAATTTAGTTTATTACTTCGGGTCCGGTCAAAAGGAAGCAGACTTCGAGAACGGAAGCGAAGACCCTGAGCTTCTGGGCCGACAAAATAACTAAGTGTACCGTTTTTTTATGGTTCTGACGTGAGGTCTAAATTATCTCTCCGCCTCAGGCTTCTCCAACATTCGCTAAATTACAGCGTTATTAGTTGCAGAGAGGCGCTAGTTGAATAGCTATCAGTAGCTCAGTAGTCGTCCCAACCGCTTCATCGTAAAGCAAATCTCACTCGCAATAGCATTGAGAGATAAAATAGAGGTATGTTTGCCAAGATCATAAGAAGAAAGTGACACTGGGGAGATGCTATTATTTATCGTATAAGGTTCAAATTGAATGTTAAAAAAGGAAGATTAAGCAATAAAAAAGGACATACCTTAAGGATGAGTGTTACAAACACGTCGTCCGGGTATTCCAAGAAACAATAATATAGTACCCGTAAGAAAATAACATCTTAAGCCAGTGTAGAACACAATGCCATATTTGTATTTACTGAAGATGGTACACGTCCTGCATTATCCTTGTTTTGCTGTTACGGGGTTCGCTGCGGACGCTAAACCGCTGTTGTTGGAACTGCACTCTACCAATTGCTCTTCATCCCGTGACTCTGTATTGCAATGTGAGAGGTAAATATCATTAGGCAGCAGCGTAGACAACCTGGTAGGTAGCACAGAAAATCTCCCGCATCACTGCTTGATCAATAGAGAAGGCACGAAGCAGAAGCGGTGTGAGCCGAGCCTTCTCAGCCTTGTCCAAATGCACAAATGCACAGCTGAGAAGTACACGTTGTCCTTTCCCAATTCACAAATGCATTCTCACTGTCCAACATCGCCTCTCAGCCAGCGAAATATTTTTGACAAGCCCGTCTACACCATGGAGATCGTCAGGTCCGCAGAAGGCTTCAAGCAAGTCGAAGGCAGATATACGTTCAGCTACTCATCCGTTATTATACGAAAAAATGATCAGCTATATTACGGAAAAGCTCCTTTTCGCGGCCCAAAACTTCTTGAACTCAACTTCTCCGACCTTTACGAAGTGGAACCACTAGAAGCAGAAGATCGGGGACCCAAGGTGAAGCCCACCTGGACTGTATTAGACTCGCCGCACGACTATTACGTCAAAACACCAGACCTCTGGGCTTACCGGGGACCTGAACTCGAACAACAAATCCTCCACGAGGTCGAGGCGTACGAGCTGCTGAAATGCCATCCTCATCCTAATATCTCATTCTACGGCGGCTGCCAAAGTACGAATGGACGAGTATCAGGCATCTGTATGAAGCGGTACACATCGACATTGGCTCAAAAAGTTAACCCCGGCCATTTCTGCAAAGCCAATTTTCTCACTAGCGATGTCCGCGCGTCTGTCGACTCTGATGCTGCCAAAGCATGGCTGGCTGGCATCTTGGCGGGCATCCATCACCTTCATTCGCTCGGCATCGTCCATAATGACATTACGCCCTCGAATATCATGTTTGATGAGGACGGAACAGCTGTACTCATTGACTTTGAGGGTTGCCGAAAGATTGGCGAGTCGCTGGAGATCGTTAGAAGAACATATGGATGGCATGATCCTGAGGTTAAGACCGCGTTGGAGAAGAACGATCTTGACGCCTTTGCGGATTTGCAGACCTTGTTAATCGGGACGTCAGTCGACGACTTTGTGTTTAAGCACGGATAAAAACCTTCCTCAAAAACTTACAAGATGAAGGAATGAGATCGGATGATTGGCTTTGTTAGTAGACTCTTCTTCGCATAAAATGTGACTGGTTTGCAATATTGATAATTGCACGCTTCTATGTCGATTCGCAGGCCGGGACAAATACGCCTCCACTTTTGCTCTGAGCCATGCTTGACCTTGACTCACATTTTCCTTTTCCCTTGTGCACCTCTGGGAGTCAGCCGCAATTGTCTTGCTGCTCAGTTTTTTTCTGGCTTTAGAGAACAAATTCTCTTTGACGGGAGAAGACAGGAGCTCGGACCCCGCAAAAATACCAAAGTGAGTGGCAGATGATCTTCGTTCCACAAAGCCCACACGAAACAATACAACCCACGTACTCTGTGCTCAGTGGCTGCCCCTTTACTTTTTCTTCAGCCCTACCACGTAGTTTACACCACCCTCCAACAAGCTCCAGCTTGCAAGCTCGTGCAGCCATATCATTGGCCCTACTTCCAACGGGATCGGCCGTGTTTCCTCAGTGTCTTTCCACATGATTGACTCAGTGGTAAAGGTCGTCATTTTGTGATCGGCATCGCCGTCGTCATGGTCAAATATGCTGTTCGTATCTTTGATAGATATGACGAGTCGACCGCCCTTGACTGGGTTTGCACTGGGACTGGAACTGGAACTAGCACTGACCGCGCGTGCGTCTTGTGCCCCCTGTGTCTCCTCAGAGATCATGGTCGTGGTCGCAGGACCGGGCATTTCAGTTGAGAATTCAATCTTTGCACTCGTGCGTACGAGCACTCTGTGGACACCGCACACAATGTCGCCTACTTGGAAATTGAGATTTCGGATGTATGCTGATGCAAAAGTCTCGTGGGGGGCTTTGGGCCTGAGCTCGGACCTTGTCGTGCGGGGCGGCGTTCCAGAGGTCCCAGACGTCTCAGCTTCAGACGCAGCCGCGTATTTCTTGCATAATGCCTTGAGGGCCCAAGCCTGCGGATACCAAGTCGCAAACGTGACCATGTTCCGGCGGACATACGCATTCAAGAGCTCATCTCTAGTCAAATGATCAGGGAGCCGCGCAGTCGGGACGGTCTTCCGAGCTGCATCGTAGACTATGAAGACTTGCTCGTCGCCGGAAAGGATGGACTTTGGAATCGATTCAATATTGTCAAATGTCGATGTTGCAATTGTGGTAGTTGAAGACGAGGAAGCACTGGATGTGATACTGGGTTTTTGGCCCTCGTCGCTGGCAGAATCTGGTACTGATTCCTTCGACAACGACCCCTTGCGCATATCATGTTGCACTCTTCGCGCGAGGTCCGCGTGTCTGTAAAAGAGATATGCTATGCCGATGGCAGAAGTGCTCGACACAATGGCGAGAAAAGTCGCAGTTGTGCTGCGTCCTGCCATGGTGTGTTTTTGGTTTCGTTGATTTTAGGCTTGATGCTGATCAGACCTCAAGGCGCTCTCTCTAATAACAATGACCACGAGAGTTGTCAATTGCAGAACACGCCCCGTGACGCACTGCATAATATCAGCATAACTAGCATAAAGTCCCCCTAGCCTTAACTCTCGATCCAAGTTATGGGCTTTTCAAGGCGCTTGCATAATTAAACTATTGCATAACTTACCCGTTCACGAGAGGGGGGGCCATAGCTGGAGGGCCGCTATTTCCGGGCGATTCGGATGCAGCAAGCTCCGAGTCCGACGGGCCGAATAAATAAATCTTAGGCTTGCCTCATAAAGCAAGGCGCTCTGCGATTAGGGAGGCTTGGTTTTGCACCATCTTTTTAGTCGTGTGCTAGAACACTTGTTGAATAAATATTTTAACTATCTCAAGTGTAAGGGGAAGTTGTCCCACTTTACTTTCTACTGTAAGAGAAATTACGGTTCTGATATGGGTCTCTTAATATTTACTGTTGAGATTCTTGCAACGTTTTGATAGCAGTCTCGATATAATAGTTATTCATACACAGAATCCGTAACTCCAAACTTCCGAAACGCAATGTTCGCTAAATTTACCGAGACTTCTGGGGAAGGATATCACGCGGAAGGTTAACTAATTCTCCAGTAAATTAGTTAATCGAAAGCCTCAGTTCTAGGGATGTCGCAAGGTGACTTTCAGGCATAACTTACAATCCACCGACATAAAACTGAAACGTTCTCACCCGTCTCGGTGCATAGAAGTTGTCCCGGCAGGCAAAGTTTTGTATAACTATTGAAAGTCCACAACAAATTATGCTGTAGCTTAGCTAATCAGTCTAATAACACTCATCTATTATCCGGAGGTGGGTTATTGTTCAATTTGACAACCGCCTTCATAGACAAAAATGATCGGAAATATACTATCAATAACCACGCGAGGGCAATGCTCCTCAAGACGACATTACTTCAACATGGTTTGATCTCGGATTCAACCATTGTGCACACGGTGCATGCCAGTGCATATCACCCATCATACCGGAAAGTGCTGCCGGTCAGTGAGAGACAAAGGATATCCACGTCAAAGACTTTTGTTGAACATCAGCCAGTCCCAGAGGTGGCAACCACTTGGCAAAGTTAAAATGACTCGACGCCCAAAATTACCAATGGCTTGCTGTAACCGCCGGGCCGCAGAAGCAACGTGGCTTTATTCTAAACTCGCAGCAGCCAGCATTGGCATGCTTGGACAGGGGGAAATCACTCCCATTGATCGTCGCATGGCGTTGAATAGTCTACAAGGGTTAAGGAACCGTGGCTTGGTGAGAAGAAGTGTAAATCCACCACTAAATATTAGTTTTGCCGTCGATTGGCAAAAAGTATGCCCCGCTGCAAGGGTACCAGGAGCCAGAAAAAGAAATCAGGTGATGTTATGGATATGTAGTAACTAGCGCAGAAGAGTCGGAGGGGCACAAAGAGGGGGGAATACAAAGGTATATGCAGTAAATGTGAAAGGGTCCGCATGTTAATCTAGCATGCACTGGCAAAAAAGAAACGGCACAGCGAGAACCTCTTTGGAACTAAAGAGTTTCGACGTTAGGCACCAGCGCAAGCACAGGCCAGGCTAGGCGGCCAGGCTTCCACTAGAATTTCTGCACTGTAGCAATAACAAAAGCCCCAACGAGCGTGGAGACGCGTAGGTCTGTAAGTTACTTGGGGTGAGCTATCAGGGCGACCTACTGTAGCGAGGGGTTCTTAGTGGTCATAGTATTATATAGTAGAATAGCTACACCGAGGAGTCTAGGTAGACAGGCTTAGCGGAGCGGAGAAGATAGTTGATATTTGCTTTTGGCGGGACAGAGAAGAGTTCCCAATATTGGCAGGGAGATCTGTTGATCCGTGCGGTTTCAACTATCTGAGACGATCAAGCATTTTTGAAAAATAAAAATAAAATAAATTAGTCAAGCCCGAACAATTCAGCTGGATTTGCGCACTTTCCCACGGTCCTGTCAATCTTCAGTAAATCCGAAGGAAAGTGTAAAATACCTCAACAACTGATTGCACGGTTGATCAAGGATACAATGCAGGGCTCTTATTGTGATGATTCAAGAGGTCAGAGCGGGAGCTTTTCAGAGCCTGCATCTGATACCGTAAAACGTCAAGCCCAAGCTTCTCGAGCCGATTTAGCCGATGGGGTATTTCTCTGCCTGGACGGCCGGACAGTGTTGGACCCGAATTGACAAGGTTACAGACCAATAATTTACACCTAAAGGGTTAGAAGTTGCATATTGTTACCTGTGCTGTAATATGGAACGATATCTGGATGGTACAGAACGTTCTATTTGAAAAAGTTTGCTACGAGACGTCTCAGTATTATCTACAGTCATATGCTGCTTTGAAATTCCAAAGGCTGCGACGGACTTCATTCTGTTGGATTGAATACTCTCGGCAACTTCGGATGGAAGAAGCAATATAAAGTGTTGAATTCACGGGACGGCTTGCACAGAACTCGAAGTCAACCAGGAGCACAGGTTTGGTCGCCCGCCCAAGGTCTAGAGATCTCCATCTCTGCTCAACGACAGCGCCTCATGACGGGATATCAAGAAGCATTGGTACACGATTGGCCGCCTGACTTGCGTGATCGGCGGAAAGAAGACAAAGAGGGTGCGAAAGGTGGAGCTTAGCTATGGTATTCAAGACCATCTCTTGTTTCATATTCGCCGCCAGCTGCGGGTGGTTGAGAAGAGCCTATCTCTGTTACAGGTACAAGCAAGCATCCGCGGGCCGAGGGTTCAAAAACGTTGTATGCGCATGGGCTCGATCGCAATACTGTCCCGTGCGTAATCTCACGGATGCACAGTAAATGCGGTCAAGGGAAGGGGACTTCTCAATCAAAATAGTTTGAATTTTCAGAAGCGTTCTGTTGATCTTTAGTCGTAAAATCGCACGATAGAGAACCTAGTAGCTCAGATTTTCTTATGTCGGCTGCTCTATGCATGGTTGATGATTCGAGTTGAAGCGACAGCCAAGTTCACGAATAGAAATGGAACCATCTAGAACTGATCTGATTCGGACCGTATTGCAGCGATATCGGTTTAATAAGGAATGATTGACAAGTTTTACCTGGCATTTGGCCAAGAAAAGGGTCCCACATGTGCCATGGCCCACAACGGCGTTAAGGCGAATCCACCTGACACGACGGACGAGCACAGTCTTAGAGTCTCGAGGCTTCCACTGCTGGGGATCCCCAGATCGTTATCCCAACAAGAGCGTGAATATCAGTCGTAATTGCCTCTGCGGTGGACCATAGTTGCGACAGTGAAGAGAGGTAGGGAGGTAAAAACGAAGCTAAAATCCAGCCGCGCAAGAGAGAGCTGGGTCTCCCGAAGATCGGGTCCACAGAGGCCCTGTACGGAGACATGAACAAGTCTTTGGAAGCGGCATGGTCAGTAGCCGAAATGGAATCGCACAGTGCACTCTTGCTTGGCTTTGCCTGGTCAGGACACCGGTGGGCGAAGCGTGAGTAGTAGTGCGACCCCCTTGAAGGAGGACGGATATCGTTTCCACTGCGGCCGAACATCTCAGCTGGATACAGCCACGTTGGGAAGGAGGTCATAGACGTATCATAGGGGACCTCGAAAAAGCAGCTCGAAACCTTTGGTAGCTTAAAGATTATCCCGAGTAAGAGGCCGCTTGGACCACCTTTCCATTGACTTGGAAACTTGGTCCTGCGTTTGGGAAGGCACTGACGACATTGACATTGTGCAAATAGAGGGCGCAGACTCCTGGAAATATTATTGATAATCCAGGTTTCAACTGTTTTTGCTGCTGGAAGCGACCTTTCGCGATCAAATGAATTTAGATCAGGGAGATGCAATTGGACTTTCGTTAAGTCCGTGACAGTGCTCGTAGAATTGCCCGTTGTTGGAAAGGACGAGGGCATATCCATGCTTAGCGCGAACGCGGCGGCTCCAGCTGGATTGGTCCGCGCATGCTCCTGACAATTAGCAGAGACACACACTCATGGGCACAACGAGACTATGGCCAAATGGCGGTGACCGACAAAATGGTTCATCTCTCTCAAAGTGCTGACCACCAGGAATGAATGTTGCAGTGGTTGGGTCCGACGACTAACTATGACGGTCTTCGAAAGATTGAGGGATGGATGAGACACACAGACGGGTACGTATTGTGGGCTAGAAAGGGGATAGAGAAAAGTGATAGGGCTGGCCGTTTGTGCGGCAGTGCGTCAGATATTGGGGCCCAGGTGGTCACCCTCTCCCTTCTCCCGTGCGGGCGCGTTGCGAGAGATGGCGAAGAGGGTTCATGTCAGACAGGGATACCCTATCAAGTGGCGGATACTGCATTTTGATAGAAGTTGGTGCGAGGGGGTTTAGTATGAGGGCGTAAGTGGTAGAAGTAACTTAGTCAAAGTGTGCTGGGGGGTTGACCAGCGATACAGACGACGTTTCCGACCCCCTTGAACAACACGTTAGTTTAGGGTCTCGCCCGCCAGTCCAACAAAGGACGACAACAACTTCAGCAAATCAACGTGGGAGCCAGGGGGGCCAGTGAGGGTGAGGGAGATTGGTAAGGCAGCAGGTATATTTAGACGTCTGACAAAGCAACCTGCGATCATAATGTGGCTACCTATCATATCCTTTTGACTGGGTACCTTAAGGCACCTACCTAACCTAAGATATAACTACTGTTTTCATGTGCTCGAGCAAACCCGTATTAACATAACAAACCCCAAGGATGAGCTGAAAACGAGCGAGGGCCGGATACTGAATGAAGAGATCGAGCGACTTGAGACGACAAGAGATGGAATAATGGAAATCAGGTGAGAGTCGGCGATTTGGAAAAGCATCGTGCGAGACAAATATAACTGTCCGAATTCGTCCAGGACGAAAGTGGGATCCGACCAGGGGTATCGCCATTCAAACTTGACAATCAATTATACTGTGGTTGATGTTTCTCTCTTGCCAAGGTCTTTGGGTGTTGACGTGCTTCTCACCATACGATACGAGTACTTTCCTCTTGTTTCTCCCCTTGAGTTTAACCGAGCCCATACCTGGTCGACCACGAAACACGTGGCCCCATCCTGCTCTTCTTCTCCCAATTTGGTGATGAGTGCGAGGTGACTACCAGGTGAGTAACCTGGTAACAATCATAGCTCTTGCTCGAGGGACCGGGGTGGATAGTGAGAGTGCAGTACTTCCGATAGCTGGCGCGTAGGTAACAGTGCAGGGCATACGTAGTACATCATCCACTCCCTGCGCAAATTTCCCAACTGGAGATTTTATTATTGCGGAGAATAATAATTGGCGATGATGACGATGATATTGTCCGTTTCAAACCAGGTTCGTCCAGCTCACTTTCTCCATTTCAACGTCACTAGCAACTAGTTTCTTGCTTTCTGTTAATGCTGGTCGCAATGGATTTATAAGCCATCTTCACCTACTGTCATTTCCAATTGATCTGATCTCGGAATCGCCTTTGACGCTTCGGGGGTACCGACAAGCAACACTGACCGTATCTCCGAAATTCAAATTGTTACACTTGGCTGCCTTGGGCGAAAGCTGAACCTTGGCGCGACGGTCCATGATAGGGACACACCCCAATCTCGATATACAAACGAGTTCGAGTAAACAAAGCTGTAGCACTGTAGCTATCACATTTTTGCGGATTTCATTTCCTCAATGGAACAACGGAGAAGTAATAAGAAAAGCAAAGGTTAAGCCAAAAGTTAATATCGCAGATTCGGGATTGATTACCGTAGCTGTCGCGTTATTTTGTTCTACAGACATTGGCAAGTTGGTCTTGAAACGTACCCCCAGCATGTCTCAATCGGGATGAAGGTCTACACGATTTGTCCCACGTGCTTTTCGCCGAGAGGGGATCAGAGAAAACTGCAAGCACCTGAGCTTTGCAATGAAGGGTCTCCCGAGCAGGAAGTGCTCAACTCGGACGACCACACACCTCTCGGCACACATCAGGGTTTCATTTGAATTTGAGCGTTAAAATGATTTGAGATAGAGTAGTACACTCTTCCCTTTTTTACATGTGCAAACACAAATAATCGTAGGCAGAAAAGGACCAAGCTCAAGCGAAACTGGAATGGTCTCAGCTCCTAGGTACAAGCCGGCCGAAAGATGGTCCGGTTGAAGTTTAAGTTTGGTCCTAGGCAGTGATGGATGACGATAGGGGTTCAAGCTGATTACATGATCAACGGCGGAACGAATTCCAACCGTCAAAACCCAACCACCCGATCCACGCATGCGGATAAGGTGTCCGCAGCACGCTTGGATCAAATCGGACACGGTGTAAATGTTTGTCCATCTTTTGACTTTTCAGAAGAAGGGATAGAGCCTGCAGTGCCTGGGATCTGTGACTCAGGTTCAAAGGGTCGAGATCGGTCTTCGACGTACCCGTGTATACAGCTCATCTCCCAAGCTCGTAGCTCGTAGCTCGCAGCTCGCAAACCCAGGGTGTGCCGATGACGCACGTTGGATTGCAGCGTCGTCTCTCCGCGCGTCGGGTTATTTTTCTCGTTTCTCCCCCAACAAGGGCGCTTCGAAGGTTTGGCAACTGTGTGTTCGAATGGACGAGCCAAGGACCTGCGCACGTCCATAAGGTAGGCTTGTCAGCGATAAGAAGAAACCAGTGAAGACCATTCGAAGCTATTTTTCACGGGTAAGGTATGCACAGCCTTGGCCAAGAGTGGGACATGTATGTGTAATTGGAATTTTTACGGATTCTTTGACGCGCGACGCCTTACGAATGACTTGTCGAGTTTGTGTGGTATGTGCGGAACCGTGTGGGAGTAAAGGATGCGGGAGGCGGGATGCGGGTTTGCGGGATGGAGATGCAACGACGGGATCACTGTATTTGCAATAGAAAGGGAAAAGCATGTTTCGAGTGCATCTCTCTGTTTCTGATCGTCGCAGGTGGAACACTAAAAGCACACAAAGCAAGAAGAGGGAGCCAGCGGGAACGAGATGCCACTTTCGGGGCTTCATGCCCGCGAGGGCGAATCATTTCTTGGGGAGGGGTCTGCAGGCTGTGGTGGTAATGGGGGTGGGATCGAAGCCGTGCTCACCGTCAGTTTTGGGAGACGAGTGCGAAGGATGAGTGATGAGGCGGTTGAAGAAGTCGGTGACGATGGAGGAGATGTACAGAAATTCCATAATGGGGGGATCTTAATCTTTTTGATTTCAAATATCTGGAGCGGAGGCTTGGGGTGGGGATGATTATGCAGCCCTATCCTGTCGTTTGTGTGTTGTTTTGCCTATAGTGAGGGAGGGGGGGGGGGTACTCGTAGTGTGGGTGGGAAAGTAACCTTTTTGGCCAAAGGGCGTGGTGATTAGGGAGAATGTGGTGAGCACACGCAGGAAATACAGTACTAGCCCATAAATGACGGCAATTTCCACAAATGCCACCCCAACCATCCTCCGGACCACAAAATATATTCATGGATAACTCAATGAGAAATTGATATTAGAACTTGTATTTTGGCATATAAATAGAGTAGATAGTGACTTTAAAGAATATCAATTTATTATTGCTAAATCCTGGGTCAGTATTTTGTGTACCATCCACCTGCTGCAATTACTGCCTCGATCCGTCGGGGCATACTCTCCACTAAAGAAACAAATATTTCCTCACTAATTGCATCCCAGCCTGCCTTCAAAGCATCAAAAAGTCTTCTCTCAGCCCTCCAATCTACCGATGTATCGTCAAGGAGCTCTGGATGGTGCTTATAAAGCCATTCTTTAAGCATATGCCAGGCGTGCTCTATAGGGTTCAAATCTGGTGAGTACGGGGGCCATTCCATCACTGGTATTCCATGATCCTGAAGCCATTGTCGCGCAATTCTTGCCCGGTGTATTGAGGCATTATCATGCATGAAGGTGAGGCCTGGCTCATAGATCTGGGGGATCCCTTCTTCAAGAACTGAGATATATGATGCTGCACTAGAGCCACCCCGAGCGGAGAGGGGATCTCCTGGCATATCAATTAAATCAGTCCTCCCACCAGTGTAAAATCCACCCCAGACCATGATGGTTAAGTCCCTGCCCTTGCTGTATGGTTGAATCATAACTTTCTTCCATTTTTCATGTGGCTTTCGGAAGACCCAGCAGCGCTGTTTTCCTGCACCACGCTCCACCAAACACTCATCTGTCCATATGATGGAATACCACTCCTGAACCCAGTCGCGACGTGCCAAACACCATTCATATCTCTTCCGTGCAGCCTCAGGACCAAGCCGGGGCTTTTTTTGAGCGATCCATTTTGAAATTCCAGACTCTCCAAGCATTCTTTTGATGGTGTTGCAGGAGACATCAAGCTGAACTTCTTCGATCAATTGCTTATAATTTATAGTTGGGTCTTTGCGAATTAATCGCTCAATTAGTCGTATTGATCGATCGCTCAACTTTTTAGGCCGTCCAGGACGTTTTTCAGGGCTTGGATTGCCTGTATCATGGTAACTTTCCACCGTACGTTTGACAGTGGAGTATGGTATTTTGAACTGCTTAGAGATCTCAGCATTCGTATGCTTCAGTTTTGAGGCCGAACAAACTGCAACGCGTTCAGAGTTACTCAGCTCTCTCCGCCTAACAATATTGCTGGCAATTGGAGCCAGCGGCCTCCTCAGCATGTTGCTGTCTATTGTTGAATAAAAATGCTCATGATGGTGGACGCGACGCGTCGGAAGAATTGCCGTGATTTTTGGCGAGGTACTGTACCTAGGTACCTCCATACGGACGTAGTGGAAGTCGAAAGCACAAGTGATTAACTTATTGAGTATTTGCACGCGGGAGGGTCTGTTGCATAGTAGCCATGGGATGCCTGCCCACACCCGTACAAAATATGCATCTGCCATCAGCTACGATAGGTAGCTTGTCTACTTCAGTAACTTGGAGCAATCTCGTGCAATATATTGTACTGTACAGCCTTCATAATTCGCCATCGCTCCTTCCTTGGTACATCCTTAAGGCTGTTCGCTTAACCAGCAAAACGGGGACCCCCAGCCGAGCTTGGCGCGGGATCGAAGCGACCAAGGTGCCAAAGGGAACCGAAATAATAATCAGGGCGCTTTGCCTTGTTCGTTTACCCATTCTTTGGCACCTCTTTTGGCCCACCCGCACGAGTCACAGGGTTAATGGATGCCTGATTCGCTCTTCCGGTACGTGCGAAAGCCGATGTCCGACTGAATATGAAACAAGGCACTACTGGTTAAGTTAATGAGTAATTCAGTCATTATTTCCCTTCTCGGTCGCCCTGATCCCTGGAAAGTTTATAGAGTTTAATTAATTGTATTGCGATGAAAACGATGGCAACACAGGGCAACCATACTTTGTGGGGAAGTAATAGAGCGTGGTGCGCGTGTCCCGGAGCTGTTGAGAAATCCAAAGCGATATTTGCTCCATCCGGGGGAAATAAGGTGTGCTCAGCTGATTATTCACTGCTCTGCCTACAAGAGAGAATGTACAGTAGAACAGAGTGCGGAAATGTTTTGCGGATATCTGGTTATGAATGCATGTGCACGTATGGTTCTGCTCGCATTGGTTTCCTCGTTTCATCATCCAATTTGAACCATGTCTCGAGTTCCGGCCTTTTGCTCAAGGTATCCCCGCTGCGGCCGATTCTCCCGGATGATTAATTATGAATTGGAATCCCAGCCGACGAGCTGGACGAAAGTGTCCGAGCCCGTTGTGCACTAGTTTGCAGGGGGAGTCGGACTGTAGGGTAGCATCAGCCTTTGTCCGCTGCCAGAGCTTGGCCTCGTTGGCCCTTGACCTGAATTGGTCAACTCAGCCTCTCTATCCAACGTGAAAGGGAAAAGAGGATGAGTAACTTATCCTGACACCCGCTATGCTATACTCACGCATAACAAATCCACTGCCTATCCGTACACGCACCGCACTGCGTTCCCCCCCAATCCTGCCACACCATTCATCCACCCACCCCCAATAACAGCGACCACATACCTTTCTCAACTAAACCTACTACCTACCTATAGCGACTTGCAACTACTAATCCACCCATCCCTCCCCCTCCACAACTCGACAGGACCCGTCTTCGTCACGGCCCATGGCGTGCATGGGTCCCTTATCCAATTGCCAAAACGTTCGCCTGCCCACCCTCCAGGGCGGCGCAACTCCGTCACCCGCCGTCCATGATGGCGGTTCCGGCTTAGAGCTCGCACCTGGCTCCTGCGGCCCCAGAGCAGGGGGCCACGAGTTGTTTCTAACCCACCCGCGACGTATGCGACGTTGCTCCGCCGGAGGTCCGGGAGAGGATCCTCCTTCCTGCCAGCCATGGGGCGGCTTGCGTTGATAAATACAGCCTTGCCAGCCTCGTAGACACCTTCGACTTCAATCGGAATTTTCTGTCACTGCAATCTCTTGCTCCCTTACTTTTCCTTCTGCCTCTGCAACATCCCCCACCTTTAGCCTGATACAACAATACAAGATACCAAAACATCTGAGGCTCTTATATACCTATCATCTCCTCCGTCCTCCCGCTGCTCTATATAAGTTGTTGACTCCAGCTCTGCCCCACACCAACACCAACATACGTACAAGGACGACTATCATACGTTATATATAAATAGTTCTTGATTATCTGGCAAAGGCCCGTCATTGTTCCCAAGAACTATCTACGCAATCCATACATATACATTAATTATCCGTCTCGTTGCCTCTGCTTTGTGACCAACGCTGTCTGATCACATATACACACTCTGCTCCATTTATCTACGGCAGCTTCGCACGCAAGCCAGAAGCTAGCAAGATGAGCCGACAATACTCGTCAACTGCCACCTACGCGGCAACGCCCGCTTCCAGATACTCGAACAGCCACGGGACCAGCAGTGCATTCAGCGAAAGTGCAAACCCAAACGAGGATTGGACCAAAATTTCGGACCTGGCTGAACGACGACGAATTCAGAACCGCATTGCTCAGAGGAATTATCGTATGTTTAATCCATCTATTTGCTACACGAATTTCTCATTCTAACATTTTCCGAAAACAGGCAGAAAACTGAAGAGAAGACTAGAGGACTTGGAACGACGAGCGGCATCCCCGCCGCAGACAGCGGCCGAGGTGAACAAGACGTACAGCAGTCAAGCCCAAACTGGCGATGACAACCAGACCGTGCCAGGAAATGCCATGCCTGTGGTTGTGGAACCTTCTGTGTGCAAACCAGCCTCACCTTCTCCGCTCATGAACAATCATCCCTACCGCCAGTCGTTCGATGACCGAAATAGTATGTTTTCACATCAATACACCCGACAGCTGTCCACCTCACCGCCGCCCTTTTCGTATTCGTATCCCGCAGACTCGGCTGTCTTCATGCCATACCCTCAGCATTTGGCCTACCACGCCATGCCCCTCACAGCATCCGACCTGTCGACACATACGAATTATCTGGCACCACTTTCCAGTGCTGCTGGCATCTTGCCTTCGACAGAAACCTGCATTAAAGAAGAGTCCAACTTTTATGCAGACGAGGAAATGTTAAGTCCCTTCAGCACAAGTTATGCATTAATGGCGGGAATGGACATACCGACGCGGCCGTACCATGACGCCAGTCTTCAAGTAAGTCTGTCTAATTTCACAATTCATTTTTTTAAAGGTTCCATTTAACTAACAGCCTCTTTAGCAGACGCCACCTCTGTCGCAATCGTTTGATCCGTCAGTGGCTCCTTCGCCATCGGAATCATCGATAGCGTTCCCAACTACACCTGGTTCTTCACCAGGCTCACCTCTTCTTTTCGTAATGTGACTTGGCGTGGAAGAAGGATGTGGTCTGAAATAGCTCCACGTCAAGTTGGTTTTATACACTCAAGATTATGCACAAAATGACGGCGCAAATGACTTTTCTTTGAGAGAACAGTTTTGGAAAGGTTTCAATTTATTATTACTATTCATCCCAGCCCTCAATTGCCTGGGTTCATTCCTCTCTCTGTTTATTTTGTCAATTCCATTGCTCATCATTTACAAAGTACCACAGCTATCAGGCTTTGTGGTCGGCTCTCATCTCCTCTCGGGACAAGGTGTTATTTTGAATTTTAATTGTCTCTTTCCCTCCGGGGTCTGTACGGGAAGAAAAGGGCGTTTAATGAGCAAGTGAAGGAGCGGATAATGTGACGGCTGGCGGCGAACAACACGAAAAGGATGTTTTGCCCTGCCGCTTCCCACTCTTTGTTATATTATCAACTATTGAGCTATATACACGGGTATTTTCAACCGGGTCGAATGCTTTCTATCGCCTATGTTACTAAGATATGTCCCTACATGAGTGGAAGCAGAGAAGAAGAGAAAAGCCTGTCTGGATAACTGCCTATCACCGATCAAACAGGAAAGGGGTGTCTTCCTTGTGACGGTGGTATAATTCAGGGTCATACAGTTCACGGGATTCCCTGCAAACTGCGGGGAATACCCACAGCGACTGTACATGCAGCTCAGCCGATAACTAAACCTGAAGAGAAAGATGCAGTGATGTCATTCAAGCTCAGCCTCAGAAGGACTAGTTAGGTATGATGTTTCAATTCTTTGCAATCATTGGCCTGAAGACCTTGGAGACAAGTCCAGCGAGGCTTTGATTGCCCACGGGGATAAGCCTGCAATGGCTGAACGCCATGCCAGAACGCGCTCGGATACTTGATTGTGATCCACGCAATGGTAGCCTTATGGGCGCCTTATGAGCTTGTCGATTCTCAGCGGTCTCGAGTCTGTTCGCCAAGGTGGCTTTCAGTACCGAGTAGTGCAGTGACAGCAAACTGAGAACCTCTAATGCATCGAAGTTCTGCTCCCGACTTGCACGTAAACCGTTTGTATTACTGCACGGTATAATATGTTCATAACATTCAGAGCATACAACATCTATGATTCATACGGGGCCATCCTGCCTTGCGCCGTTTACCTATAACCAGCTTGGCTTCACGGGAATGGAAACGCCGGAAAGAAAGGAAAAAAGACGCTTCTTTTCGTGCAGACACGGGGTACGCGTACAGTACGATTGAGTGATTGACATGTGCATACTGTAAATAGTCATGTATTGGACAGTAGTGGAGGATTGGGGGCTCGCACTAGCACTCATAGTCGTGGCCGCTATGTACAAAGGAAGTCTAACGGGACTGCGGACAACGGGACTTCCGATCGATCTGCCCCGCCCTCCGTTTTCCGTCCGGTCAACGGCTATTGCGGGTTCCGATCGCTTTTTAACTGACACCGATGGGCACAAGCCCAGTTTGGGAAATTGGGGGCAAACTGTTCTGGATAAGAGGGTTTCGCTTGTATCAACCGGCTCGGCCGAGAATCATAGTTACGGGCGAACTCCTTGCCCATGGATCCCCTGGCCCAAATCAACGGGCTGTAGGAGTAGAAAACGATTGAGGAGCAAACATTGAGCAGCGAAAGAGCGAACGCGCCAGATGGCGTCAAGGGTTCTGAAATTATAGAGTATTGTGCATGCAGTACCAAGCCACCTGATTGATAAGTTGAATTGAATAAGGTACCTAGGGGTATCTTCCATGGCACATGTACATTGGTCGCTCTATCGTGCAAACTTTGGGTTTGCGCTTGGGCTTTCCTTTCCTTCTCTCATTTTCCCCAAAATTGCACTTCTCTTAACCAGATTCAGTTAAGATTCTTGGGGGCCAACAGGCACAGGCTGTTGGCTTGCTCGATCGATAGGTAACCGAGCGGTGTCCACATATCGGCCCCCTAAAGTTGCCTTTGAAACCAAACTCAATATGGTTTAAACCCTTTCAGTTCAGTTAGCGATGCCGCTGTCCTGTACTGAACCAACACCGACGTCATGGATCTGGAAACTTAATGTCCTTCGCGAACATTTTTGGCGCAACGCCCTTACACATACATTTGATGATTAAACAAGACAACTTTTCAGACGGGCCATCCAGTAGAGCCTCAGCCACGACTGTATGCGAAATCGGCCGTGAAGCAGAGCCAGAGCCACAAACCGGGCCAAAAGAAGTGCGGATTCCACCATTGAGATAACAACATAAGGCCAATTCAGTACGGAGGTACTCCAGTACCTCTCAGGAAAGAAAATTCCAGAGAACCCAGAAAGATTTGTCATTATATGTAAGGATAAAGTTTTGACGGACTGCAAATCTCAGCAACGCTATTGGCAAGCTGGTTGATAGAATATTCAAGGTATGTCTTGTTAATGACGTGGCTTCAAGGTTTTCAATCCAGTGCATTCGAATTTTGGGAATGAAGAAGCCTCTATGTCCGTTTGATGCTTTGGTTTTTGGAAATACTTGTCCCAAGTGATCATTCCACGTTAGGGTCAAATAGATTGAGTTTGACCATGTTCTACTGTTTATGCTATTCTTCGTTCATAATATATTGTTCCGATCACATATGCTCTTCCTCAATCGATTCGGTTGTCCATCTTTGGATTAACTTTTGCTTTATTTGATTTATTTGATTTGATTTGATTTACTTTGTCTCTCTGCAATTCTGTCTTATCTTTGAGCGTGTCATGTGCCCCATGTTCTGCCCGCAGTGCAATTCAGTTGTTTGTTCAATCTGTTCGTTTCGAATTTGAACACTCCCCCATCTCTATTTTGCACAATGTGGTTCTGACTTCGGTGTAGGGACTTGGTGATAGAAATCCCTATTTGCCTTTGCTATCCTTTTGAGCTAGATTTGTCTGTGAGAGATTTCAATTATGGCAGAGGCAGGGGAAAAGTCCGCCAGTGCTCATTTCATTGTGAAGAGGACAGATTTATTTGGTGGCGAGAGGTGAGTCTACATGTCTTTAGAACGTTGGACCCTTTTCGAATTTAGGTCACCATTTGCTGCTTGGAACACCACGCTGTCATGCTATGTCATCGGTTCTGTTTTTTTATCTCGTGGTTCCATTTGGGGGAATTGTATTGCCATCTGTATTTGTAGGGATAATGTTATGAGGCTTCACAACGGAACAGATCATCAGATGTTGGCCGTCCCGCATGCCGTGTGCTTCTTGCTTTAGATTACTGACGTTTCTTGGCACTGTATTGAGATTTTCCATTACAAGCACACTCCACATTGCTTTTCCTACTGGTTCTTTCCTGCATTTTTTGATCATTTGCAGTACATTACAGAAATGCTAATATGATGCTTTGACCAGACCATGGAATTCATCTGACTGGACTGCAAGCGATGACCGTGTACGCGGCGGAAACTCTCATGTACGTTTCGAGAATATAGTTTACTGCCTCAAGCTGCGTTTTCCAAACCGCACTGCATTTACTTCGTCTCCAAATGCGTCACTTGAATAAACATATCTAATCTATTCCGTGGGTAGTCCTACCTCGACTGTTCGGCGTCGTCTGCTCTCTTCCATGGCACATTAGACATTGAAACTCTTGGCGGCGCCGGCTTTGCAAGTCAGCGTACCACTTCAACCGACAAGACCTGGGATGTGTCCACGTACAATGGGGTATTGCTGGAAATTGATCAAGCTGATGGTACGTTCTTCAGAGGATCAAGCATGACCGGTCCTCAGTTCTATCCAGTGGCTGCACCACGAGGATGGACCTAGTTATACAATAAGCCATTCCATCGTCTAAGGGGAAGCAGGAGCTAACCTCTGCTCAGAAAAATCATACACATTCATTCTCAAGGACAATTTACTCCCCCAGAACCCATCCAATGGCCGGGAACAAGCGACTATTTCCTATGAGTACGACTTTGTACCCTCACAAAATCAGAGTCATCAGACTGGTAGTCCCACGACAATATACATTCCTTGGAACAAGTTGAAGCCCACGTACAGGGGCAAAGAGAAGAAGGATGCCGAGCCGATTAATCTCAAGAATATCAAGAGATTTAGTATCATGATGCGAAGGTTGGTATTTCTCAGCCACTTTTTCTTTAATATTCGCTTTAGTTGCTCGTCATTCTTCCAATTAACCATATCAACCTCCTACTTTCTCATCATCGCAATTTCGAAATCTCATCCTCCTGCCCCATCATTTCAACTCATTATCTTCATGTCTCCACATTCCCTCGTCTTTCCTCATCGCCAACCTTCCTCTCCTCTTTCACCTCCTCCCAATTATTTACCCTAAACCCATACCCTGTCAAAGCCAATTCACAATTAACATTATCGATATTCCAATACAGTTTCTTCGGCACACAACACGGCCCATTCAATCTCTCCATTCGTTCCATCTCCGCAATCTCTCTCGCCAAACTCGACAACCACCACCACTACGACCAAGATTCTGCCTTTCCTCATCCATATACCGATGACCCTCATGACGAATCTCCTCGCCAGTACACCGACAGTGATGACGCTATTGACGAGAAAGCATCATCATCTCTTCTTCCTGCTCACAGTGGCAAAACCCGTGCCTCCTTTTCTCACATCGACTCTCAAGGCGCTCACGTCATTTATATTCCCGACGACCTTGACGGCGACCATGACGACCATGGTACTAGCTCGTCTCAAACAAATCATCGCATCTTTGACATGCCAGGAGGAGGTATATTGCGGAGGCTATGGACTTGGGTACTTTCCCTATCTTCGTTCCTTGGGAGATTTATCATGCGGATAGTAAATTAAGCGTTAGGGTACACCGTACAATCCTTTTTCTCTTATCTCCTTCTATTTCCCGTTTAGATTATGCTCGTCCGGAATTCGGGAAATTACTAGAAGTCTAGAAACTGGGCGAAGATCACAAAAGGCAGTAGAGTGTAGACAGTAGATTTATTCTGTCTCTGCTGTAAGTAAGAAAAAAAGTAAAATAAAATAAAATAAAATTGTATGTTATAGGACATGGTCATATGAGATGAGATTATAGATAATCTATAGTACTCTTACCTTTAACACCCTGCGGGTCATCGTCACGGACTAATGTCCCATTCTCTGTATTCTGTTTCATTCCATCTCATTGCACATCAGAGGGCTTTAGTTGAAGGTTTGTACAAACTGCGCTGCGCTGAATGTTGTCCTGTTTATCGAATCCACTTGTCTGGAAACGCGCATACATTCGGGTGCGGGGGAAGAAAAGGGATGACGAGGATATAGTAGTAATATCGATATTTTAAAGTGTGGATTGCAAGTCCTACACTTACTATTACAAATAAAGTTACAGTCCACTACCGACTACCCTACAATGTAGGACGTCGGAGAAAGAAAAAAAAAAAAAAAGACATACATCAAGAATATATGTCTGTATATAAGAGAGAAAAAAAGGAAGACCAAAAAAAAAAAAGAGCGAAAAGAGTAACCAAACTACAGATTCGCAATCTCGGTAGGATACAACAGATTCGCTCTGGCGGTCTCACGCGCAAACGAGGCCGTCAGGAGCGCGGCATAGCTCCACGTAAGGTCCGCTGCGCCCTGGGGCTGGCCAGTCACGCGGTTGAATTCCTCGGTGAGGTGGCCGTTGGAGGGGGTATGATATTTGACGCGGCGCAAAAAGGCGTCGCCCCAGCCCTGGAGGGCGGCGAGGAGCTCGTAGAATTGCGGGTCCCAGATATGGTAAGTGGTCGTGGAGACGTTGACGTCTGCGGCAAAGTATTTCCAGAAAGGCAGGGACGTGGTGGTAACGGTGATGGAGGTGGACGTGGCGAATTCAATGGAGGCGCGGTATAGCAGCTCGGCCATGGCGCTGGTGGCGAGATACCAGGGGTTGCCGAGGCTGGTGGAGACGCCGTCGTAGACGTCTTCGGGGTAGCGACTGTTATGGCGGATGCAGTGGTTAGTAGGAAATTAAAGTTAGGTGTTTGGAGGCGTGGGAGATTTATTGACATGGAAAGGGGAGATATGGACTTGATTTATAGAGTGGGAGAAAATAGAGGCAAGGGGAAAATGGGAGGAGGAACGAAGAAAGGAAGAAAGGAAGGGAGGACATACCCGACAGCAATACCCAAGGGGTTGCCATTAGCATCCTTGGTGGCAGAAGTGGCTATCGGAAAGACGTCCAGGAAAGAGGTGGCAATCTGGTAGGCAGACACCAAGACTTGGTCATTGGTGTATGAGTACACGCCATCGCCGGCGTAGCCGTGCAGGACACCCAGGACGACGGCAATGTCCTTGTACGAAGACTTTCCGCGCATGACGGGCCCGTACTCGTACAGGATCAACTGGCGGAGGGGGTCCCAAAACTGGGAAAGAGTTGCGGACAAGGCGGCAGCGGCATCCGACAAGGTCTTGCTGAGAGCGCTGTCGCCCATGAAGCTTGCGAATTGGGATCCCATGACTAGGGCACGTCGCTGGACCATGCGCGTGTAAAAGTGGTCGGACGGCTCTTCTTCCCAGAGGTCAAAGGACGGGGAAGACCAGTTGGTCGCGACAAATTGCAAGTCACGGATCATGGGTGCAACCTTGGGGTAGTTGTTCGAGTCGTATAGCTTTTCGCGAACCGTTTGCTTGGACCCTCCAGAGGCAAGGTACGCATAGGAAAACTCCATCAGAGTAATGGCTCTAGTGGCGGGTCCGTCGTTTTGAGGCCGTCCCCAGGGGCCTGTGAAGATGGAATTGTCCAGGTTGAACTTGGGCTCGCCAAGACCGGTCTGCAGACCGGGATCGTTTTGCTCTTGAGCGCCAGCGGCAGCGTACTGGAAGAGAAGGTTCTGGTAGAATTGCTTCCGTGCCTTGTTGGTCGTGAGAGAGTACATGGTATTGACGACATCCATGGTCAACGAGGCGTCCCGGACCCAGTGGTAAGCATAGTCGGGGGCAGTGTAGCTCTGCGCGGCAATGACGGTTCCGGGAGCGGCGCCGGGAATGTCAATGTTGTTGAACATGCGTGTCTTACTGATGCCAGCTTCGCTGTTGTTGTTTGCGGCAATCCACTGTGTGATATCATCTGAGAAGAACTTTGGCGTCGCGTATGCCGTGTACACTGGAGGCTGAGGGCTGTTGGGAATGGCAGCGCCAGTAGCGATTACCTTTTGGCCCAGCTGTTGAACATATGTCTGTCCAACATCAAGCGCCTGGTAGGTGATGTTGACAAAGCTGGTTATGCCGTCAGGGTAAAGACTGCCTGATGCACCCCACAGCTCCCAACTCCAGTCTGGGTTGGCTTGAGATTGGAAGCCAAGAGTAAATGCATTCAGGGGCGTTGATACTCCATCGGCATTGGTCCAATAAAGCGTCACAATCTTGTCATAATCTACATTCTGAGATGGGCGTCAGCGATTAATCATGAAAATATTCCTCCTCTCGCGTTTGCTGTGAGGCCAGATGAGAATTTGGCATACCTTGACGTAGGCAACCACGCTGAGATTTCCACCACAATAGCTGTATGACTGAAGTGCAATGGACGCATCTGTAGGAATGGCTGCGGTGATTGTCTCATTAACACAATTCTGAGCTACGGCGCTGGCGCAGAAAAGCGAGCCAGCAATGGCGCCACACACGCGATTTCTCCCTGACAGCAATCTCATTTTGTCTTTCCTCGAGTCGTAAACGGATGAACTCTGATACTCCACAAAATAATTGCCGGCATTGGTCAGTATTTATACATCAAATTTTTGAAGTCTGAACAAATGTCGAAATTGGTCGGCAAATTTTTCATAACACGATTCGTTCCTGCGTCTTCCCCCGCATCTTCATCGCTCTTGCATTTGCATTACGGCGGCAAAAGAAAACAAAAGGACCGAACAAGCATGTTCCATCCATTGCATTTTCCTCATGAAGCTAGCCTCACGAATGATTAGCAATTAAACTTTATCGTAACTGACGATTAGATGCAAAATAAACACACTAGAAGAAAAAAGACCTGGGGAATTAATCAGAGACACGGCCGAGATCCATTGTCGGAGAACGCTAAAGTACAATCGAGTGCGGGGAACATGGGCTGATGCTTATTCAAAAAAGTGTTACTGTCATCAATTGGGAAAGATGGGACCGAATACAGCCAGAATGTGTGGCGATGTTCTGGCTCGACGGTGGCTCGGACCCCTGACGGCGGAGGATAGCCAGAAGGGGAAAACCAAGTGGGTGCGGGGACGAGGAACGCGGGTGCGGGACGCACGTTTTCCCCTGGGGCAAGCTGTCAACCTTCTCCGCACCTAAACCCTGACTCACTGACGAAGATCAGCGGTGATCCTTTTTGGACGATTTCGTCAAGATATTATACCTATTGACCATTTCGGTAGTCGATCCGTTTTTTTCTTTTTCCATTCTTCATAGCAAATTGATCTTTTGGATTTGAATTTCTCAATCTTTCGAACCTGCCGCATGTCTTCCTTGATTCGTGTTCTGTCCTCCGTACGTTGTCGGCTCGCGCCCTCCGCGTAAGACATAATCAGTGTGCCAAAAACAAAGTGCTGCTACCGAGCTGTGGGGTGGTGCGGACGGTCGAGCAGCATAGAGCTAGACAGTGTCGTCAATCAATGGTAGTGCGTTTCCCACAACTGGCCTCGTGTGTCATTGAGTAACTGGTCCTTTTGACGATATCCTGAGATAGGAAGATAAAGTCTTCCTATCTCGGTTGCAGACTAGTGTACGATTTCCTTGGATGACTTCGGGATGATCCCTAAGAAAATCCCGCAATCTTGCCCCACAAAGATGTATCTTCCGATAAATATGGACGCTCAAACCTGTTGGGGGGAAATCCAAAGGGGTAATTATTGCAATAATTGTCGAAGGATAATTCCTAATGGACTGACAAGACTGTTCAACACGTGGTCAACACGTCAAACTATCGAGGTCTCTGGCTCGTGACTGTCACGCACGGAAGCATGTTAGATCCGCGCCGGAGATGATGTTCGCGTCGAGTTGAGAGTAATACAATAGTACTTCGTACTTGGCTGTAAATATTGATCATTGGGCAGCGCTAATGCTCTTGCATCAATGCCGTTCAATCATCACGATCTTATAGCATTATTGGACCCATCTGATACCCCGGGACGATTTGGCCCGAAGTTCCCTGATCCTGGTAAAATCTGGACTCGGTATGGATCTTCGTGTGATGTCAATGCTTGCAGTAGTTGTCGTTGCGCGTCCTGTGCTCAACTCGCTATGAAAGAGCAAGTCCAAACACCATCAAGGTTGGGTGTGTGGGACAGCACTGCGCACAGGAGCGTCGGAGCCCGATCCAAGGAGCATAGCGATCAACCTGTATCAATTATCATTAGGCGGATGACGAATTTGTTGAGATGCATTTTCTCCATGCCTTTGACGTGATCCGAGTGTGGTTTAAAGGCCATTTCTTAATGCTTGACATGGTTCCATGGATTGGCATATGATTGGCCTTTCATCAGTGTTGAACCGAGGCTGCTCCATGCTTTAGATAAGAAGTGTCCTTTGGGACTGCGACATGAGCTCTGGTTACTCCGTAGTTGTCCCTTTTGTTGCCTCATCTTGTCTGCACTCTATTGGTTCAAGTGTTGTTGTTCAGCTTACTCGCCAAAGCAAAGCGCCCCCGTAGATACCTACTCTTCCTATCTTGGTAACTTGTTTCCCCCCCCCACTTGGCTGTACTCCGGTAAGACCATGATGTAAGGTGCCGACCTCCTGGTGTTTTTCTCCAAGAGCTGCATGAAATAGCTCAGACCTACTCAGATCTACAATCAATTTGGAATTGCCCAAGTCATTTAAAAAAGCAATCTTGAAAATGTTGGTCCAAGACCCCAATCAATTTCAAACGATTCTACATTTATTTCAAATTCAAATACTTTCTCTAGTTTAAATAATGGAAATTGAAATGAATAGATGTGGGGGAAAATAAAAAATAAAATCGTGCAACTAGAATTATATGCATGAAATGCCACAGATCCAGACAATGTCTAAAACAATGGAAATCCATGTAAAATAAAATTTAAAACTGACAAGCAAAAGAAGGGAGAATGGAGACAAACCAAAAGCAACGCCGACGCTGCAATGGTGTGTTTCTTTTTGAGACTTGTAACACCAAGAAAAAGAAGACAAACTCCACCTGCATACATATCCCGAATACGCCTACTGTGGGCCACACCCATACACTGCCGTGCCGTACTATTGCAGCTCCTAAAGAAGAATTGTTCACAATCCGGCAAGTTTTACCGCGCTCCTTACCTGAAAGATACACTCATATTGAACACAAGAATCTCCCTGCAGATACGCTGTACTACCCGGAACAACGGGAGGAGCAGGGAATAGAATTAAAGGGAACACAGCTACTGTAACTTCTACCCTACCGAAAATTTCCGGCCAAACACCAAGAGCACAGCGGAATTCCAGCTGACCCTCCTGTGGCATATGCAGTGGCAATGTCATCACAACTTTATTCTTGTCGAGTAAAAGAAACGGAAACCCTTGAAAAAATACGTGTCGAATTACTTGAAGCATATACATCCTCCAGTACCGGAGATAGCGAGGTCGAAAAATTGACAGCTAGAAAAGAAGAATTCAAATCGTCCATGCCATAATTTACAACGCTCGATAAGGAAACCATCACATCGGCGCGGCTTTTACATGAAAGCTCCCAAAAGATAATGGCAGCCGGATATCTTTAACGCAGCGCAATAGAGATGCAAGGCGAGTAACTTCGACAATAAGACAGGTAAAAAATTAAACGGTAAGGAAACATGCCCGATCGAATAGTCCAACGCCGTAAACAGTGGGGCTCGCCCACTCCCTGCAGACTCCAGAAATGAGAGATTAAGAAAAAAAAAAAAGGATACTCCTTCACTGACAGAACCGATTATGCTGGCCCCGTACAAATCTAAATCTGGGCCCTGCCCCGAAAATGTCCACCCAATGTGCTCGGTACAAGTTGTTAAGTCTAATTACTCAAGACCAGAAACCGTCAAAGATGGAAAAAAGATGACATGATGAAATGAGGTCCATGTCGAGGCGATGACAGTGCGGATGATGGTGACGATAAAGAACTAATTGTTGTCGGTGAGGAGGTAAATGGCAAAAAAAATGTGACAATAGGCATCAAGTCATGCTGCAAACAAAACGCAGCGCTAGAGAAACTCAATTACAGAGTGCCAACCCCCCAAAGAGCAATGGCGATAAATGACGCGGACAAAAGGCCGGTCAGGCTGGGCACGATAGATGGGGAAGCGCCAGTCGATGGCGCATAGTTGGGTCGGTTATCCTTTTGCCCATGGCAGTTGTGTGTACAACCCTTGAGCGTTTGGAACACATCTGGACAGACTGCAGTGGTGCTGTTGAAGTATTTGAGAGGCACCCAGACCTGTGAGTACGCGCCAATGTCAGCCACCCAAGTCGGGCTCAAAAAGGGGGAACAAAGAGAGAGAGAGAGATACGAGTCCGGAGAATGAGCGAAAACATACCTGAGGCTCTCCCTTACTAAGAGTAACATTAATATTTCCATACTGTCCAGCGGGCTGGTTGGTGCAAGAATGGACTTCGAGCAGTTCGTCCCCTTCGGAAAAGTTGGTGTCGGAGAAGGTAAAGGGTCCGAGATTCTTGCCGTTGGATCCCAAGTTTTGCACAACGGTTACAACAGATACGTCATAACCTTTGCGGAACGCGGCCACGTTCGTGTCAGAGTATATGCACTTGCTCTTCCAAACCCAGTATGGGCTCCAGTTTGAACCGACCGTGACGTTCTTAAAGGCCTGTCGCACCACGTTAAGGGTTTTGATTGTCTGGTACAAGGGTGCAGATGTATCATATTTTGACACCCACATGGCTTCACGGTTTTGCGGGTCTCCCGAGCCAGCAAAGCCTTGTTCAGCGCCATAGTAAATGATGGGGATTCCGTCAGTCAACATGGTCATGCTGATAACGTTTCTTGCTCGAGCAGCGTCCTTTTGAGCAATGTTTGCAAATCTCGTCACATCCTGGTTTTCCATAAAGGTGCCCAACAAGGTGGCATCCAGACACGTCTGCGACACATTATTATATTGTTCCGCCATATTCACCAGATTTTGGCCGTCGGTGTAGGCGAGAGAATAGACCATGGTCCAATACCTGTGGCCGTGTTAGTTTACTGCATGTCCTATATCCAACCTTTTCCGCGCTCTGATAAAGAAAAAGGCAATCGAACAAAAGCTACCGACAAGGATTACTAACGTTCCGTAATTCAGCACAGCCGGAAGTGCATCTGATGCCATGTAATCGCAGATACGATACGCATCTCCGTCATAGACTTCTCCAACAATATAGGTGTCCACTGCAGGGACAAAGTTTGTCCAGAAGCTTCGCTGAACGTGTTTGGCGGCATCGGCACGGAAACCGTCGACTGAACCAGATTCATTAGCGACAACGCCAAATACACTCATTTCATCGCCCTATCGCCACAATACTTACTGGAATAATTAGAAATCAAGTCCTGACCCCACTGGTTAAATATCTTTTGAACGACATCGGACTCAGTATTCAGGTCCGGGAGCGAAAGATCGTCACCACCAAGCCAGCACTATCTTGTGTGTTAGCAAATATTGGAGTTTCCCTTTTTCTCTTTTTCGCTTGTATTCTCGGGGGGGAAAAAAGGGCTACGTACAACTTCGGCATTGGTGTCATTGGAGTAGTTCGAAACGTAGCAGAATTTGTGGAAGTATTGTTCATCATTAAAAGGCGTGAACTGGGAGTAGTCGGTCTTTTGACCCGGGCCACGATAAGCCATGTTATTGGTAACAATATCGACCATCAAATACTTTAATGAAAGTTAGCAATTGTAACCCTTTTCAACGGTGGAGCTCGTTCAATGGGCATGACTACGTACCATTCCACGTGAGTGCAACTTCTGCGACAGCTCCTTGAGATCGTCCGAAGTGCCAAAATTTGAATTGATCGCATTGATATCCTTCGACCAAAAGCCATGATAGGATTGTCCAGCAAGTCCATCACCGCCAATATTTTCAACGATAGGCGAGATCCAGATCTATTTCCCACCATGGAAAATCCAGTCAGCACATTTTGCTCTGTCAATTGTAGAGATATGTTGTTTTCGTTTGAAGTCCAACTCACAGCGTCGAATCCCATGCCCTGAATATAGTCCAACTGGCCAATTATTCCTTGAAAACTGCCACCGCAATATTGGGCGGCAGTGGTGTTGCACGGTGCTGATGTAGAGCCATCGCTGCGCGCGAAACGGTCAGTGATAATTTGATAAATTGAACGCGTTCTCCAGTCGGCGGCATTTGCGGCGTAGATGCGGGGAACGAGTGTCACAAGCACACAAACGAAAGTAAGCAGCGGACGAGAGGAAATGAAAGCCGTCGACGGCTTTGTCGACGTGGTGGGTCTCATTATGACAGCCGATAACAGACTGTGGAATAAATTGAAAGAGAGTGGGTGCTACTGCTTCACATCGGACGAGTCGACAGCCGCCAGGAAAGACGTTGAAAGGAGCGGCGATCCCAGGTGGACGACGACGAGGTTGAGAGGGGACAAAAGGTTGAGACGACTTGAAAATAAGAACTGCGAGGTTTTACTCAAGTAGAGGAGGCAGGAATAGCGAGCGTCGTCGTGTTGCCAAGCCGGAGGGAAAGGATGGGGGAAAAGAAAGAGTGGCTTGGAACGGGGAGTACGGAGAAGGGCAGATTGAAAATAGTCAAGTGTGTACCGTCACATTGGAGCAAGAGGGAGCGAGTGGGAGCGGGCGGGCGATCGACGACCGTCAAGTGGGCCGGTGAGAAGAAAAAGGGGGGCTGCCGCTTTTTCATTGGGGTCCGCAAAGACTAGTGAATATTTAATGCACCCCAGTGACCATGAATAAAACATGAGGCGGGTGAGATCATTGCCCTGGACCGCAGAGCTTCCAGGGGCACGATGGCGTCGTTGCAGCAGTGAAGCTCAGGTCGCATGACTGGCTTACAGATGGAAGAGCATACGATGTAGTGATTTTTTTTGAAGCTTGAAAAAGGGTGGTGCGAGGGGCCAGTACGGGAAGTAACCCAGAAAGGGCAGATTTTCGACTCAGGCACAGACAGACACACAACAATGAGAGTCAAGACGAGACGAGACATAACCCGGGCGCTTGCTTAACCAACTTTGGCGAGTAAAGTCTGACCATTCACCTGTTTTCCGTCTCTGCGCCTATAAGCTTGCCGATTTGCTTCCAACAATTTGGAGAAAAAGATGAAAAAAGGTACCCTGAATAACTGTGGTACGCCGTCTCATCGCAGAGATGCAACGCGTCATTGAGTATCCATCAAAGGAAAGATACTTATCCCGGTAAGGGAAACGCGCAAGCGAGATCAGATTTTCCTTTCGTCCCCTCGGTCCCTTGCGGCAGACCTCGGTTCACACCGACAACTTGTGTTCGCCGTATTACTTTTGGTCAGTGCGTGCAGAAGGACGAGAAAAACTAGCCACCAGATGCGGTAAGTCCTCGGAGTCCAGAGAGACTCTAAGGAGCAGAAGACGGATTTCACTCTCAACTTCCCATTCTTTTGCTCCAGCAATGACATCAACGGTTGCCTAAGGAATAATGGATACCCTTAGCCTTTTCCGTTGTGGGAGCCACTAGAGAGGAAGAGATAGAAGAGAAAACCAAACAAAACACAATGGAGAAATTGGGTAAACAAAGATCCTGGAACAAAACAAAGACAAAGTAAAAGGGCAGTCGAGAAAGGCCAAACAGCGTGTCCTATTGATGACGGCGCAGCGAAAAATATCAAGAAAACCTGGTAGGTAGGTTCTCTGAAACCAAGAAAGCCGAGTACGAAGAAACGGAGCTGAGAGAGATAAAGACTTCCCAATGGGGAAACTTACTCCCGTTCTAAAGCGCTTGGGCCAAGGAAACCAGTCACCGGTACCTTCAAATACGCGGTGTATCTCGCCGATAGTCCGAGACTCTATATCATGTGAGCGACAAGGAGAGTACCTGTACACGTGACAGAGTACTGCTGCTAAAATTAAGGTACCTTCGGTCATGCGGTACCATATCAATGGAGTCGAAATAACAGTAACGTTAGTGGAGTGGAAATCTGGGGATAATGCTCTCAAGCACCATATTGGGCGGAATTGAGATGCTAATAAAGCCTCACGGCCTATTGAATGTCGTTGCGCTCGTAGGGCCTAGCTGGTCTATGAATCGCCCACAGTGAAATGAGGACGCAAAAGACACGGATGGAAGCCAATCGCCTAGGTAGTCGACTTGCGAACCTTGTAGCCGTTATCCTTAGACCAAGTTGAAATATAAAAGCAAAGAAACTTTGTGAGAAGGGCGCCCAAAACAAAGGAGAATTTCTGAAGGGGCAGGTGGCAAATTTAAACTTGGACTTGCCCCTCAATAATTATCCACGTGCAGATGGATGAGGGTAAACGGATTCATCATCGCTGAAGCTGGGAGAATTTGATAATGGAGAGAACAATTTCACCAGCAACATTGATTTAAGATTAAGTGGCGCTCAAGCCAGCAATCAAAATTCATACACAGGATCACGACAGCGATAAAGCCCCACCAACTCATGAAGCAAAAATGTCATTAATATTTAAGGTACCTTAGTGATGCCCGAAACCACTGGAAACCAAATTTGAGACGCTGAAGGTGGACGTACTCTAAGCTGCTCGCCTTTCACGATCCCAATCGGACCCCGGCTTCCCAGTAAAGGGCTTGGACCAGGCGCGCCTGGTCCCAAGGGCGGCCTAATCGGTCATCGTAACGAAATCGTTTGTTGTATTCGCCTGGCAAGCTCACAAACAGTGCAATTCCATCCGGGGCAATCACTAAAACATTGCTGTATAGGTGAGTCTTTAACTATTTCTTTCAGCAAGATTCGCCTGGGCCAAATCACCAAGAACAATTAAAAGCGCTTTAATACACTAAGCGTGGAAGCAACTTCATCGGCCGTACCAGACTGTCTCCGAAACCTCGCTGGCCAGCGTTCCTCCGTCGGTCTACACCGTACTTTTCTTCGAGGGATGGTACAGGTACCAGTACGGCTCGAACATGTCTGGGCCCCCCACTCCGGTCCGATTGACGAGAGGTCTGATTAATGCAAAGAGCCAAAGGTAGCTAGCTCTATCCGAAAAAAGGAAGGCTAGCTCAGGGGTTTATACCGCACCCCTGGGCTTTCTCACATGGCATGATTAGGTTTCTTCGTTTTTCATTGGATAAGATGCAAACTTCGGCCTCTTTGTTCCTGAAGCCAAAGCAAGCGAAAGCCAATCATGACCTATAAATCTGCCGCATCGCACGTGAGTGCACCAATACGTCTGACAGATTTAATCCTAAAATGGCAAGAGAAAATTGCCACCTCAAATTCGGCCCAATGATGTTTCGCACTATTCGCGTGGCCTCCTGAATGTTTGCTGGCGAGAAACGGTAACCCTACGGCATGCGAGGCTTTACCACCGAGGGAAGGGTCTCCATGACTTGTTATATAACTCGAGAAAAGGGACAGACTGATACACCTGGCTTATATTTTTGTCTCTTGGGTTAAGAGAACCGATTTGCAAGGAAAATTACAAGAAAGAAAACGACTTGAACGGTGTTCATGTAGTTGGCTTACACTTCGAGATGTTGGAGTCTATGACACCCTGGGGAGCGTCGGATGTTATCCGTAGCTTCCTGCAAAAGTGCCATGGAAGGAGGAAAGAAAATACAAATGGAATTGCCGATGTGCTAGAGAATTGCCGAATGACAGGAAATTTCACAGGAGTTTACGCCGTTGCGACCGTATCCACTCGTTAATGTACCTGCATATTTAGCACCTTCACCATCAGAGCTGCTTCGACCCCTGACTACTACGTACTATATTTTAGGGTTCAAGGGGTCCAAACTGCCCTACGTCCTAGAGATAGAGAGTTGAGGAGGTGTTTCAGATACGCTTAAGTTGCCGACAGTCTCGGAACAAAGGAGAGTATACAATCAAGAAAGCGTAAGCGGCACTTTGATATAGATGCACGATGGAGACACTTGACAATGGTGAGTAAAGCGCGAAAGAGGTATGGGTGATGTGGAACTTTGAAACCTTTCTTTTACACATGGAATGAAAGGCGAATCGGAATACGAGCTGTAGGGAATGTGTTCTCTTGCTTAGTAGTGGAAGACGAGCCACTACGTTGGCGAGTTTTGCCGACGTTTTGACGACTCGACCAGGACATAAGTAATACGGAGGGCAAAGGAGAAAAAAATGGAGTGTCGTATTTCCGGAACCCGCAGCCGAGCTGCGCCGCTATGGGACGCGCAGAATAATGTGAAGAATGACTTAGCGTCTATGCTGAGAGAAGGAGCGAGAGGCAGAAAGTACGGCAGCAGGAGAGAGGAAAGCGGTGAAAAACAGCTCTTTTAGTAAACGACAAGGCGCGCAACTTTTCGATGTGAGCGAGAAAAATGCATGACATCCTTCCCCCTTTTTTCCATCGTTTGACATTTAGGCTCTGTGATCCGCTTGACTTCCAGCTTTGTCCGGCTGAGGCCCGCATTCTGAGAAGGCATTGTCTAAGCACCGCCTCTCCCGCTCCGCTGTTCCTCTGACGTGGTATGCATGAAGTAGTGGCTGGAGAGATTGCCCTTGCCTAGACTTTAATTTTACCAGATCGAGCACATATTGGAGCGCTTTTCACACTGGACGGAGTAACGTTGCAGTCGCTGCGTATTACTTTGCCATTCATTCCTCGCCTGATCAACATATACGGAGGGCATGGAGAAGACAACTGACCTGCCGCAGTGGGGTAGGAACTGACGTGATGAAAACTCCTCTGGGCCAGGGATGCTCAAGTCGTCTTCTTATTTGGACTGCCCCTCAAGTATCGATCAGATGAAGAGTACTTGGAATGTGTTTGATAAGCTACCTGATGAAAAAGCTTTAATCAAATGGGGACTGTGGGTATCCATGGCACCGACCAGTGAGTAGCGAGGCGCGACAAGGTACCTTCAGGGAGTACAGCCCCGTCAAGAGAGACGACTCCTTGCACACTGGCCAGCAAACTTACCTTTGTACGGTAACCCCATCGTCTCCTTCTTCTCGTTTCCTCTTACACCGAAACTCTCGCCCTTTGGCCCGCTTGTGGGTGCTAAAAATGGCTGGGCTTAGTCGCAGAATTGGCTTGGTCAACAATACGGGCTTTGTCATCAGCCAAGGTGATCTGATCGTGATGTTATCATAGGAGTGATGCAGTCAGCCTCACGAGCTGAACGCTTATCGAAACGCCTCGTTGAGAAGTCATGTGGTCAGTGGAAGACGGAACTCTACTGTCACTAAGGTAGAGCAAGCAGAAAAGAGACGAGAAGAGAAGAGCAAGAAGACACGGGAAGTTGCGTATGTCTATTTTGATGACAGATGCGTGGGCGTCGATGGGCTTGGCAGTGGCACGGGAAGAGCAACCGTTGGCGTTGCTGTTACTCCGGACGGTGTGCTTTCTTTGACGCCCTTCCAACTGGCCGGGCGAGAAAGGCTGATTGAGACGGCAGGGATGGGGTGCCTATCGGACCTACCAAAAGGTTTCGCCTAAATACAGTCATTGTCGCTATTCGGTAAAGTACGGAGGCAAGTAGAAAAAAAAAAAAAGAAGAAGAGAGAGTATGGTCATGGCTATCCGACACGGAGGCTTTTGGCTGGAATAGCTGAGCCCTAACTAAATTGACCGACTACAACGCCGTAATTAAAGTCCCGACTAACGTTAAGTGGGACACTTTCTTTGCTTCCATTATTCACCCAACCCCCCAAGGAGTACTAACTGTGTCGTTTGCCCCGGCTCGACGCGAGGCAGCTTGGCTCGTCAACCCGCTTCCCTCCGTGTCCTTGCGCTTCTCGGTAAAGCGACGAGATGCGACCACCAAAAGAGTCGGGTCTCTGTCTATCTCTCCCCACATGCAGGCCCCGGCTCAAACTCCTTCCACCGTTTCTTCCACGAGTCCGACTATGATTAGGCCCCCCAAGCTGCCAAGATGTCGAACCTCGTTGGACCTGGACTGGGATGCCCCGACTGGTTGCTCACCATGCTGTCTCGGGAGTACGCTGGGTACGCCTCGTCTTGCTTTCTTTGGGCCATCTGCTCTGCTACCCACATCCCACACACCATCCCTGACCCATTCATCCCACTACTGCTATTTTCGGTCAGGGAGCTGAACCGAACTGAGGGCGAGGCCTGCAGTAATGTGATTTGCCTTTTGGTCCCTTGCCCGGTGCAGAACAAACGTCAGTATGCGCAGTCAGACTATGTGTGCGCGCGCCTGGCCGCTAGTCTGCCTGTGCGAACCTAGCTGAATCTTTTTCTTGCACCAAATACTACTACTTTCTGCCCTCTCCTACTTACTCATGAGCATAACTCGTCTCTCACACTCATTGTCCATTTTGTGCGTATGTTTGGATGTTCCTGCTGCCAATCCATCTCTGCTTCCCACATAGCAGCGTAGACTGGCAGACCCGCCTCACATACTGTAGCCTCTCGTTTTTCTCTTTCCCTACTCTACTACTTCGACCTTGTTCTTCTCTTTGCAAGCGTGGTTCGCCGGACTCCATGCTATGCAACGACCTTTCTTCCTGATCCGTCTGTCTCCGGTGGCCGTCTCTCAGTAGAGATGAACGTTCGTTCTAACGCTCCCGTGCGCGGATCCGGGATCATGAAGCCGCTTTCACTCGTTTTACTGTGTCTCTCCACCTTTCTGCCTCAACTTCATGCCCTCCGATATGATCCCGAACAGATCCATTGGAACTTAAATCAAAACAGCTCTGCTACCGACCCTATGAACTATTGGGGCTCGTGGGAGGACCAGGAGAAACATGACTATTATCCGTCGCCTGAAAACTGGCGATTTCCCTTTTATACCATTTTCCTGGATCGATTTGTCAATGGCGACCCGACCAACGACAATGCCAATGGCAGCGCTTACGAGCATGATTTGCTCTCCAACCAATTCCGCAATGGTGGTGACATCACCGGCCTGAAGAATTCTCTCGACTACCTGCAGGGCATGGGTATCAAGGTGAGCACAATTGCCCCTTTCTGCAATCCACGACCATCCGGACTTTCCAAATCATGCGACCAAAACAATTGAATGCAAGAAGCTGATCAAAGAATGGCCTGTGTGCTAGGGTCTTTACGTGGCCGGCAGTCCCTTTATCAATCAACCGTGGGCGGCGGACAGCTACAGTCCCCTCGATCTAACGTTGCTCGATCATCATTTTGGAACTATCGACGAATGGAGGGAAGCCATCACGGAAATACATCGCCGTGGCATGTATGTGCTAATGGACAATACCATGTCAACGTATGTAGTACATTTCTCAAGAAAATGCATCGTTTCTGGGATGAAAATATCTGAGCCTCTGTTCACTGACGAACGATTTGTTTCTTTCATTTTGCAGGCTGGGTGACTTGATCGGCTTTGATGGTTATCTCAATACAACGACTCCCTTCAGCTTCAGCGAGCACAAGGCCGTCTGGAAAAGCACGCGCAGATATCACGACTTTTATACCAATGACGAAAAGCATGAACCATGCACGTACCCCCGCTTCTGGACCGAGACAGGCGAGCGCATTGGAAGCAACGTGACGGCATTGATGACACATTGCTTGGATAGTGACTTTGACCAGGTACGTTGTGCATACCATATCCTGCCGAAACTGTCACCCTCAAATGCACATCTCACTAGTTTTGCTTGAGCTCATTTTGTCCTCTTAGTACGGAGATGTGGCATCCTTTGGTGTCTATCCAGAATGGCAAAAACAATTATCCAAATTTGGTTTCGTACAGGATCGGCTTCGAGAGTGGCGGCCCAGCGTCTTGGACAAGATCAAGCATTTCTCCTGCATGACCATTGCCATGCTTGACATTGATGGTTTCCGCATCGACAAGGCCCTGACTATCACATTGGACCCGCAAGCCGAGTGGTCTGAGTATGTCCGTGAATGCGCACGCAGATACAACAAGACAAATTTCTTTATTCCCGGTGAGATCGTCAGCGGTAACACGCTTGCATCTCTGTACATTGGTCGGGGAAGAGAGCCGCACATGTATTTTTCGGACCCACAGCACGCCATGGAAGCCACCGGCGGGACCAACTTGGAGTCGAATGTACGCGAGGGAAACCTGACCGCCTTGGACGCAGCCGTCTTCCATTATTCAGTCTACCGCAGTATGACTCGTTTCTTGGGGTAAGCAGTGTTACTTTTGATCGGCGTGGTTTGTCAGTTACTGAATTTGATGTACAGAATCGATGGTGTCTATGCTGCGGAGATGGATATCCGCGTTAATTGGGCCGATGGATGGCGGGATATTGTAACATCCAATGACTTGGTCAACGTCAATACTGGCAAATTCGACCCACGTCACTTCTACGGTGTCACAAATCAAGATGTTTTCCGTTGGCCAGCGATCAAAAATGGAACACAGAAAAATATCCTGGGGCTTCTAATCACGACTCTGACATTACCCGGTATTCCCATCGCAATGTGGGGAGAAGAACAGGCCTTCTACGTCCTGGAAAATACGGCCGGAAATTACCTCTTTGGCCGGTCACCTATGGTTTCCACTATCGCTTGGCAACTACATGGCTGTTACAGCATTGGCTCCGAAAAGTATTATCAGTGGCCCATTGACGCCGCAATACATGGATGCGAGGACGATAAAATTAGTTTGGACCATCGCGACCCGTCTCACCCGGTTCGCAACATTCTTCGGCGAATGTACGAGTTGCGCGAAATCTATCCTTCTTTGAATGATGGGTTTATTCTGAGCCAACTGTCCAACCACACGTATGACATTTATATGCCAGGAAGCGAGGGCACACCGACTGAGACTGGTCTTTGGAGTGTTGTGAGAGCAGGCTACGAACAGACACAAGACTTCACTGGCCAAGCACAAGGAAATCAGTCCGTCTGGTTACTCTTTACAAACGAGAATAAAACGGTTTCCTATAATTTTGACTGCAACAACGGGACTGATGCGCTCGCGAGCCCATTCGAGAAGGATACGACGGTGCGAAACCTCTTTTACCCTTATGAAGAGTACACTCTGGGAACGATCAACAAGACAGTAGACTTGGGAAATTCGAAACAGCAGACTAGTTGCCTGAGCCAGCTGGAGATGCCAGCTTGGGGCTTCAAAGCATTTGTGCCCAGTGACAAATGGGTAGGCCCTAAGCCAGCAATTACCAGGTTTATTCCTGGACACGACGCTCGTCTTATTTCTACCGTTGCAGCGGGGCAGCAGGAATCGGTCAACATCGAATTGCACTTTTCAGACGAAATGGACTGCAATTCAATCGTGCAGAACATTAAAATCACGTCTGAAACAGACGATTCCAGCACCGCTGAGCTTGACCAGAGCAGCGTATCGTGTAACACCGTTAGCCCGATGGAAATTCCGATTTACTCAGGTGCCGTGGCCACTGAATGGATATTCGCAGCTCGCCTGACAAAAGTGTCAAATGGCATACACGCAATCACCGTCGGCAACGCCACGAATCAGGCCCAGAATGCGACGCTTGGATTCGATAGCCAATTTCTCTTCCGCATTGGGCAAATGGAGAATCCCATGGTGTTTCCCTGGCCGGCAAATTATTCTACTTCGTTGTTGTACAAAGAGAGCAAGAATGACTCGCTTTACGTGTCCCATAAAGCTGCAGGAGCGACCTTGTGGCGCTATTCCCTCGATTGGGCATCGCACTGGAGTCCGTGGCAAGCCTACAGGGGTGGTAACTCTACTCTTGGCCCATCAAACTGGACGGGAACCAAGGACCAGAAGTGGAGTGGCCACCATGTGCAGGTTCAGTACTGGAGTAATCTGACTGCCAGTAGCAACCATATTCAACAGGGAGACCTCGGAAATCTGACTCATCGGCGATTCCCTCACTTATATGTTCATGGACCTTATAATGAGTACGGCTACGACGCTGGATTGACTGGCCAGATGCACCAAGTTCCTAACAATGGCACGTGGTTGTTTGATTTCATGACCGAATGGCCGACAGTCTTCCAGATCAACGAGTGGGGTATAAACCCTGATGGCAGACCGGACCAGACCATGATTCTTGGTGATGTAGATGGAGACCAAGTCCTGGACAGAATCCCGCCTGGTTCCTTGGCCCCCGACATCATTGAGCTCACGAAGCCGCCACCGAGACCACATGTCGGCTATCGCATTGGCATCAATGATGCGTCTCTTCGTTACAAGATGATTCCTACGGGCTCCTCGCACGCCCAGGTTGCACTCTTTGTTCTTCTTGCGCTCGTCCCACTCTTGACAGCGTCTGCAAGCGTGTATACATTCATGAAGTCATTTTATCAAGTCAAGTTCAACGAGATCGGCGTCACCGATAAGAAGCCTTTAATTCCTCTGGCGCTTCGGCGAAACCTCAAGCAGCACCGCATCTTAACGGATCAAAGTCTTACTCCCATGCGCGAAAGGTCTGCGTCTCCTGAGCCCGCGGCAGCGGCGCTCCAAATGGATGCAGGTGCACCGAATCGTCGTACTGTTTTGATTGCGACCATGGAATATGATATTGAAGACTGGAACATCAAAATCAAAATCGGTGGACTCGGTGTCATGGCTCAGCTTATGGGCAAGAACCTAGGCCATCAAGACCTTATCTGGGTCGTTCCCTGCGTTAGTGGCATTGACTATCCGGTTGATCAGGTGGCCGATCCGATGTTTATCACCATCCTCGAAAAGACCTATGAAGTACAAGTCCAATATCACGTTCTCAGAAATATCACCTATGTCTTGTTGGACGCTCCGGTGTTCCGACAGCAGACCAAGAACGAGCCTTATCCTGCGCGTATGGACGACCTTGACAGCGCCATCTACTATTCTGCCTGGAACGCCTGTGTCGCCGAGGCAATCAGGCGTTTCCCAGTGGATCTTTATCACATTAACGACTACCACGGTGCTCTTGCTCCACTTCATTTGCTGCCGGATGTTATTCCATGCGCTCTGTCTCTACACAATGCAGAGTTTCAGGGTCTGTGGCCCATGAGGACTCCTAAGGAGCGGGATGAAGTGTGCAAAGTTTTCAACCTTGACCCTGAGATTGCACAACGCTATGTTCAGTTCGGCGATGTCTTCAATCTATTACATGCCGGCGCTAGTTATCTTCGAATCCATCAAAAGGGCTTTGGCGCTGTCGGTGTATCGAAAAAGTATGGAAAGCGTACATTTGCACGGTACCCCATTTTCTGGGGATTGCACAAGATTGGAAGCTTGCCAAATCCTGATCCGACTGATACAGCCGAATGGACCCGGGATGCTCCAACGACAACTGATGTCACAATTGATGTTGCTTTTGAAGCGGGGCGTGGGGAATTGAAACGCCAGGCACAGGCCTGGGCTGGTCTCAAAGAAGACCCCAATGCAGATCTATTCGTTTTTGTTGGTAGATGGTCAATGCAAAAAGGTGTAGACCTGATTGCAGATGTCTTCCCGTCAATTTTGACACAATATCCCAACGTCCAACTGATTTGCATTGGACCAGTTATCGATCTTTATGGGCGATTTGCAGCACTCAAGCTTGAAAAGCTGATGAAGTTGTATCCGGACCGAGTATATTCTAAACCAGAATTCACGGCTCTGCCCCCTTATATTTTCAGCGGTGCTGAATTTGCTCTCATTCCTTCACGAGATGAGCCTTTTGGCCTGGTCGCAGTCGAGTTTGGTCGTAAAGGTGCCCTTGGTGTGGGTTCTCGAGTTGGTGGTCTTGGCCAAATGCCTGGCTGGTGGTTCACCGTCGAATCAACAACCCCGAAACACCTGCTACATCAATTTAAGATGGCAATTAACGACGCACTTGCCTCTAGTACAGAAATTAGAGCTACTATGAGGGCAAGGTCGGCAAAGCAACGATTCCCAGTGGCACAGTGGGTGGAAGATTTGAATACACTCCAATCTACCGCGATTAGAACGTCAAAGGAAGAAATGGGCAGACTTCGGCCCTTGAAGTCCCCTTCGATGCAGAAGCTTGTCAGCTTCGTCAGTGGGTCCTCTGAGGCTGTAAATAGCCGTAACTCACAGAGTCATTTACCGCCGGCTGCCGGGGCTTTCCTCTCCCCTTCCATCCCTGGGCCTGGAACTCCTTCTACGCTCGGAGCCCCGTCACCGCTCCTCTCTCCCCGCCACTCTCCACCTGATACTCCCACGATGGACAGCGGATACCTACAGCCTCGTTTCCCGGCTGGTCCGAGAAGTGAACACTTGCCTCAAACAGTGTCTGTACTCAGCTTGGATTCCGTTGTTGGAGAGCGGACGGATTTTGCCCTCCAAAAGGTAGATCCCTTTTTCACGGATGCCAAGGGCGAGTATTACCGAGAATTCGAAAAGAAGTTGGATCATCTGGGCGAGAAATCTGCCGATGACCTTATCATTGAGGAACATTTGATGAAGAGTGAGAAGAAGTGGTTTAATCAGTACCGTGATGCGAAGATGGGCAAGCTTCCCGGTGCCGCCACGTCATCTACTTCATTCTTTGGACGAGGTTCACGACCTTCTACGCCCGTTGGTTCCATTTTCAACGAGTCGCCGCGAGCGAGCGGCGAATTCTCGCTCCATGACTCTGAATCTGAGCCTTTTGGACTTGGTGCTGATTATCAGCCTCCTTCGGGGGTGAGGAAGTTTTTGTACCTCAAGATTGGTGACTGGCCGATTTATTCCTTCCTCCTCGCATTTGGTCAAATCATTGCTGCGACATCCTACCAAATAACCCTTCTCACCGGCGAAATTGGAGAAAGTGCTACGAAGCTTTATGTGATTGCTACTATTTACTTGGTCACGTCCATCATGTGGTGGTTGCTGTTTCGCAAACTCAAAGCAGTCTATGTTCTTTCTCTACCGTTTCTCTTTTATGGCTTGGCCTTTATATTCATTGGTGTATCGCCATTTGCGCACAGCTACAATGGCAGAGGATGGGTCCAGAATATTGGCACTGGTCTGTATACTATTGCATCTTCGAGCGGTTCGATCTTCTTTGCTTCGAATTTTGGTGATGAAGGTGGCGCGCCCGTGGCATCATGGGTCTTCCGTTCTTGCGTCATTCAGGGCACGCAGCAGCTATATGTTGCATTCTTGTGGTACTGGGGTTCAACGTTGTCTCGCATGTCGGAAGATGGGGTTGAGACGACCACGGTGACGACCAGCAACTACATTGTTACCTCAGTTACTCTACCATTGGCAGTATTGCTCTGGGTTGTCGGTCTTCTACTCTTTTTCGGTCTGCCAAAATATTATCGTCAAGCACCGGGTACGGTTCCATCATTCTATCGGTCACTTGCGCGAAGAAAAATCATCGGGGTATGTAAACGCATTTTCTCCTATTTAAATCTCTTTCGATTTGTTTTCTTGCCTTTATAAGATTGTGCTCACTAACTTTGTCTTCAGTGGTTTTTCATTTCCGTTCTTCTCCAGAACTACTGGTTGTCAGCTCCGTATGGCCGCAATTGGCGATACCTCTGGACAACGCAACACGCCAGCTTCTGGCAGATTCTCCTTCTCCTGCTCTTCTTCTTTGTCGGTGTTTGGGCGCTTGTGCTCTTCATCCTCGGACGGCTCTCGAAATCTCATTTGTGGATCATGCCCGTCTTTGCCATTGGCCTCGGTGCTCCTCGTTGGTGCCAGATGCTGTGGGGTGCCTCGGGTGCCGCTTCCTATCTCCCATGGGCTGGTGGCTACACTGCCGGAGCGCTTGTTGGCCGTGGCCTGTGGCTGTGGCTCGGTATCCTTGATTCCCTCCAAGGCGTCGGGTTTGGTATGATTCTCTTGCAGACCATGACGCGATTCCACATCACCTTTACGCTCCTCGCGGCTCAGGTCTTGGGTTCGATTGCGACCATGGTTGGTCGTGCAACGGCACCAGACCGCCTTGGGCCCGGAACCATGTTTCCCAATTTGGCGCTGGGCGCTTCAGGACTTCAAAACGCTTGGTTCTGGATCGCCATCTTGTTCCAGCTTGCCATTTGTGTGGGCTTCTTTACATTTTTCCGAAAGGAGCAACTCACCAAACCTTGATGCTTCTTGTTTTTCAACTTTGTCACTGCATTTGCCTATACCGCACCGTTGCATTTATACTTTACCCCTTTTTTTATTCCAAATCTTTGGCCATAGTATCTTATCGTTTATGCATTTTTATTTGCCTCTCTCGGGGAGTTTTTTCCAATTTTCCAAATTTCCATTTTTGGTAGCGCATTTTAAACGTTTGATAATCTCTCTCGTTGTTACCAACTTTTGATTTTTTTTGATTATGACGAGCAAGTTCTTTGTTTCCTTCCTTCCTTTTTTTCTTCTTTCTTTTGTCTTGTTCATGCAGATAGAGAAGAGAAAGACACGAGCGATAGCGAAGCGAGAGCGACTCTAATGAGCGTTGAGCGTGAACGCCGAGCACGAAGAGGCTTTATATAATTAACATTATAAATAGACGGGGGGAAAAGGAAAATCTAGATATGCGGCCCATGCGGGAAGGTTGTGGGGGGAATATTAGATAAAGAGGCTCTTGTGGGTTTTCGATGGCATGGTATGGTATGGTATGTTATGGTAGATTAGAGTCGAGAGTGAGGGTAGGGAGTATATAGATGAGATGAGATGAGATGAGATGTTAGTCAATTTTTTTTCTTACTTGACTTTAATCTGATATCAAAATTTTTATTCTCTTTCTCCGATTCCTTTCTTCTCTTCAACATTCAGAAATATGCTGCTGCTTAATGGTTTAATGTGCTCAAGGTTTCATCAATGCTCGTGTTACTTGGTACTCTATTGGAGTCTTGGACAATAATCTAGAAGCGAGTCTAAAACCGGGTGAAAACACAGGAGGGGTAAAGGACGCTTTCTTGACGTGAGGAGAAGCGGTTTAAGAACAGGAAAGCGTGCAAACAAACAAGAATATCCTTTTCCAAACGGATGGATGGTCCAACAACACCCCGGGGACGATGACGTGATGAAACAAGTTCGCCATACAGTACACGTTACGACGCCATGAGACGATCACCTCAGCTAAAACGAAGAAACAAAGATAAAAAAAAGGCAATAAGGAGAAAATGCGAGAGAAAGAACAAAACAACAAAACAACAGCAGCAGCAATACCAACAACAACAACAACAACAGAAATACTACTGCTGATCAGCAGTATCGGGCTTAACATCCTCCATGACACCGGACAAAACATCAACGACTTCATCATCGCGCATATCCCATAATTTGGACCTGGCGAGGACTTCCCAGAGGCGAAAGGTAACGAAGCGTCTCTCGCAGCCGTCGAGCCGGCAGAATGCAGAGCCGAGATGGCTAGTCAGCGTGCGCAGCTGCACCGTGTGGGGACCGTGCATTTGGTAGGCGTCGAGGGTGAGCCAGTGGCGGTATAAGAGTTCAGTGGCGGGGACTTGTTCGCTGGGTGGGAGGTTTCGCCTGGGGAAAGGAGAAGGAGAAGAGGAAGAAGAAGATGTGCGGTCGCTGCTGCTGCTGCTGCTGCTGCCGCTGCCGCTCTCTGGGAAGTTTCCTTCGTCTTGATTCCCGTGTTGGGCCTCAGCTTCGCAGAGGACGTGATTGGTGATTACTGCCGGTTCTTCTTCGCCAGGGTTGGCAATGTTGTCGACGTCAGCGTTATTGCTGTTGTCACCGTCGGGGAAGAGACTATTGTAGTCGAATCCCTGGGCGTGCGTAGTTCTAGTTGTACAGCTCTCGTCGTTATCATCATCATCCGCGTCTTCCTCGTCAGATGAAGATGATTCGTCGAGGGTGTAATTGTATGCAGCGAATTTGCGCCGGTGACCTGGATCAGACAGAGCATATTCGGTCTCGAGTATCTCTTCATCATCGTCTTTTTGACATTCTTCGAGTACTGACTCGGACAGACTCATATCGACTGGTGTGATTTGAGCCTGAGCTTCAGAGCTTCCCACCTTGTTGCCAGCCTTTTTGATTTGCACAGTCTGGTTCTCAAGATGAAGATCTCGATTGGTTGATTGTTTCGATCGAGTGGGAACGGGACGAGTCTGAACATAAGCCTCGTCATGACCGATTCGTCGCATGGCCCTTTCGCCGTCCAGAATGCGAATGGCGAACTCTGGACCCTTGACAAGCACAAGTTCGCCAAAGACGAGACAAATGTCCGAATGGGCAGACAAGTCGCCTTCGACCCACTGCCGATTGACGATTCCGCGGCCAAACTCCTCGCCGAGCTTTGTAGTCAGAAGCAAAGCAATCTCCAGCGCCACAATTGAGACGAGCGGCAAAGAATCAAGCCATGCGACCTTGGCCGCATGCGTAGGGAGATCACGGAGATAGTATATCATGAGCAATCCGGCTTCGGTAATGCGTCGCCAGCGCTCTGGCTGGTTGCGCAGCGGATACGAACCGCCTTCGGGAAGATCTTGTATGCGCGTGGAGAGAGTATTGACGACACGGGCGCGGCGTTGGAGCATGGTGAGCCAAGCATAGCATGGTGTGGTCAGTCCGAATGTAGAGGGCGGGAAGGCATCCGCGACGTGAGGAAACTGTCGCTTCGCAATGCCCTGCACGATGGAAAGCTCGTAGTTGTGGAGAATCTGACAGATGTGTTTGCTTGTGCGAAACATAGCAGAGAAAGTCCATGGCGTGAAGGGTGTGGTGCAGATGACTTCTAATATTATGTCAACAGGCAAGGTGCTCCAGTGACATAACGCAGTTTTGCGCGCTGTCTTGGAATTCAGGGTCGCATTATGTGACGAAAGCCGCTGCTTTGGCGAGAAAACAGGTGTGGCTTGCACAGGAGCGAGCAATGTCGCAGCGGGCATGATAAAAATGGTGATTAAATTATGTCGCTGTGATTTGGTTTCGCAGCAGCAGTCTTCGTCTTTGAAGGAGCGACAGAAGTTTGACGATGGCGGACAGGTCCAAGAGAGTGTTGATTGTCCGCAGTCCAGAGTGTTGTGAGTAATACACCAACAAGTAGTTTGTGTCAAGAGAATGTATGAGGACTGCAAGCAATATTTATGTGGGAATGTTGAGAGTTCGTGATTGAAGATTGTGAGCTAGGCCGTGAATGTAGTGACTGTGACAATGGTCGCAGAGGGCTAAGAGACCTCAGGTAATAGTGCACAGTAAAAAGAGAAGAGAATTTGAGGTGCTTCATGGTTGCAAGTGATGTGCGAGTGCTGTGGTCTTTTGTATGCTGCTAAGTTGGCTGATGAGGTGAATGTGGGGAGGACGAACACCTTGGTGGTGAAAGATCACGACAACTTGACAGCAGAATAACAAGAACCTTGGTGGATGATGATACAAGTAATCTCTTCAATGAGATTCTCTCACGCTAAGCCATGCACATTTCACCAATTCCTGAAAGTGAATAATGCTGCTTGGAACATTAACAAATTGAAAGGCATATAAATTATATTTAGAAGCTGAAGAATAAAGCTGTCTAGGGACTGGAAATGACGGCATAGTTATCGATAAACTGCAACTCTTAAAGACGCTCATAAGGGACCGATGACATAAGCAATGACATAATCAGGGTCCATAGTCTCCTGTCACATGGCAATCCCTCGAACGCTCATGCTCTTTACCTTGTATTCCTAATAAGATACAGCAGAAGGAGTAAATCACTGGAAGATTGATCAAGCTCTTCATAATCAGTGACTGGTAAAGGTTTTTTAAATTAATGCCAGTACCAGGAATTGGGTTTTGGGCAAGCGTCACCGAACATGGCCCAACTAAGCAGGCGCGAACCCGGCTTGGATATCACCGCGTATAGCCATCACGGAATGCAGTATATCACTTGAAAGAATTGTATGGAGGAAATCACTCATTTTCTGGCTATTTTTCAAAATGGGAATGTGGACTTTGACCTTTAACATTAAGCCTAAGGGTTGATTAAATGCTCGTAGCTAATTCATCCATTTCGGACGGCCCGACTCTAGCAACCAACGGCATCGTTCGAGACTGATGCAAAGTTCCATCCGAACTCTGCACTCTCAAATATCAATTCTTTGGAGCCGGGTCATCATCCGTTCCCTGATATTTGCCATCAAGTCTAATTCCACAGGAGATGTAGTATGGAATCCTGATTCTGACAGAGCCTGCACTAAACACGAAATCGTGCGTAAGCACGTCGTCTGCGAGTCCTCGTTTGTCGGTCGTATTGCTCGCCCTGGCGTTGGTCGTGTTGTCGTAGAAAAAACGAACCCTAAAGTAAGTACCATCATGAACCACATAGTATGCCCTAAAAAGCAGCGCGCGAGCTTTCCAGACAGCTGAGCTAGTCGAAGACCCAGTGCCTGTCATTTGTATCGAATGGAATATGGTTGCAGTGAAGCCAAGGCTTCGCGAGACAGGTCTGTATTTTCCATCATTTCTTCGTTATGCAATATGGTTTCCCCATTGAGTGGTCAATGGAAGTAGTGAAGACCGTGGGCGGACGAGCCGTCTCATATAATGTTTCCATTCAAGGCACCAAGGCCCAAAGGCAATCCTCTCGTATGCACTTGGTTGCCCTGCTATGAACTGTAACTCGCCTTTGTTAGCAACTTTAGTGGGTCAATGCAGGAGAAAGAAGCGCGGTATCAAGGTTCATTTGCCAAGTTCCTCTGACGAGCTTGCTTGGCATTAATAAAAAAAGTGACAATTTCTGAAGATATATAGTGGATAAGAGAGGTGGTGGTTGACTGAGAAGTGCGCTGGGGCCAACTGTTCTCAGTTCAAAGTCAACTAAACTTAGCGCGTATGTGGTCCTGGCCCAGCTGTATACCTAGTTGGTCGCTCTGCTAAACTCCAACCGGCAAGGACGGCGCTTGTGCTTAAGCCACCCTTTTCATTAGCTATACTCTAGTTGAGCGCAATCGCAAGCGTTAGCGTCTCAATTCGGCTTGCTGTAATGAAAACCCTTTTTTTGCTGTGCCGCACATACTCCGTTCTGTATGATTTTGACCGTTTGGATTTGCCTTCCTTTATCGCTGCATGGTGTACTGATTCATGATCGGCCACCTCAATGTCTCCATTCAATTTCCAAGGGAGAAACTTGTCAAGACTCCGCTGGTTAGATGAACGAGAAATTGCACGCGGCCCTGTTGCAACTTTAGTTATCAGAGTTTTTGGCGGTCAGGGCATCGGCGGACATTACATTGAGAATCTCACTTAGCAGCAGGAGTCGCCCTTTTCTCGTTCCGAACAACAATGTTTCTAACAGACTGAATAGTTGAAGCCTTTATACATTGGGTGACCATGGCCCATATCGTAGAAAGCAGAGCGAGATAAACAATATCCGGGACACAGTCAGTCCCTCCATTGATAAATCTCCCAGAGCTGAACCACTGACTGCAGAAGTTCATGCAACGTTCAAGCCGTGGCTGAGCAAAGAGCTCACAGTACACTGTTGCAATTGCGAAGCGCATGGCCCACGCCATTAAACCCGAGACGTCTGCTTTTTTTCGATTCTGTCAAACCAGCTGCAGATAACTGCGACAAAAAGCAAATAGGAGATTCCGTAGACATTCATAGCTGATGGTTCAAGACCGGGTGGTTTGCTCAGAAGGAGCGATTAAAAATGCTAATGTCGAGCTTTACACAATGAAATCGTCGAATGAAAGGACCGACAGCAGAAAAAAGGAGGACGGAGATATCTGTCCGCAATATGGCAAAATTGAATGGTCTTCTCTGGCCGAGGAGCTTTGTTTATGAAAGGACCCAGAATGACACATATCAATGAGCTGCCAGCATCAACGCATGCTGATCTAAACTATAGTTAGCCCGGCCTTTTCTCGCTCCACCACCAGGACACTACCAATCAGTATTTGCCAGGCCGTTGCTCTCCGACACTTTAATTCCATGCTGTTCAGACTATTTCCTTCATGGCTGACAATATCAGCAGGTCATTTCCACCTGCAATGCGGTCGGAATTCTTATCCCCCCGACTCCCGAGTGATTTAGGTTTGGTCTGTGCAATAAGAGGATTAGCTGTCTCTCATAATATTATAGCCGCTTGGCGTTTGGTTCCTGAACTGACGTCGCTTTGAATGTTTACCCGACCCCGAGCGAGAGCTCTCCAAGAAAGTCTATGACGTGTAGAATGATGCAGCGATGCATCGTTCACAGTCAGCAAAATCAGGATAGATTTGGATTTCAAATACAATATGTCTTCTTGTACAGAGTTGTTATTTATTTTTGTCGAAATCCTATGTTTATCGCAAGCTTGTGTTTTTGGTAAATCTTTCTTTGGTGATTCTTGTACCATTTCACAGTCACACTTGCCTCGATTGCATTTGCGCCCCGTACCCGTAGGGCTGAGCATCTTATAATGAAAGATCTCTTTCGAAACACGACTTTTGGCATCCTTCTTCGTGTCATCACCCGTGGAAAAGTCTTACAATATGACGAAGAAAAAGACCCTTCAATATGGAAACGATATTTGGCGCCCGAGCTATCAGCTCACATGGCTACCCATGGAAATCTAGGCGGCGATGCCGATGAAGGCGTCCTAAGAAAAGAAAGCGGAAACTTCTCAAACGGAAACCGAACATCGTCCGATTCATCTCGTATAAGAATCCCAGAGAACACGCCCATCAACGAGACGAGTGGTGTCCCTGTCGACCCTGAAAAGGGGCGAGATGTCAATGTCGTGAGCTGGTACGGCCCTGATGATCCAGAGGCATGTCTATCACCATTCCCTTCAGTCTACAAGAGACAACAAGTTCTTTTCCTCTGACATGATTACAGAACCCGCAGAACTGGTCGTCAGGCAAGAAAGCTTTCATATCATTCCAAATATGTCTCTTGACTTTTTCCGTGTACATTGGCTCTGCCATCTACTCTGCCGGCATCGAAGACGTTATGAGAGATTTCCGCGTCAGCCAAGTCGCCGCGACACTTGGTCTGACGCTCTTTGTCCTTGGCTACGGCATTGGTAAGGTCCCCTCTTAACCTATCTGTATATAGAAAACCCCTTTAACTTAACCTCTTACCTAGGTCCCATGCTTTGGGCTCCAATGAGTGAAATGCCCGCTATTGGGCGTAACCCAGTGTACATCGGAACATTAACCCTCTTCGTGATCCTGCAAGTTCCAACTGCTCTATCCGTCAACCTAGGCATGCTGTTGGCTTTCCGATTCATCACTGGCTTCGTGGGGTCGCCTCCTCTAGCCAACGGCGGGGCCACCATATCAGACATCTATCCTCCCAAACAGCGCGCCTACGCCATGGCCGTATGGGGCGTCGGCGCGGTCTGCGGTCCCGTCATGGGGCCCCTGATCGGCGGATTTGCCGCACAAGCCAAAGGCTGGCGCTGGACAATCTGGGAATTGACATGGCTATCTAGCTTCTCGCTGGTCTTCCTTTTCTTCTTCTTCCCGGAGACGTCTCCCGCCAACATTCTCTACCGGCGCGCTCACCGCCTGCGCAAACTCACCGGCAATCCGTCCCTGAAGAGCGAAGCCGAGATTGCCGCCGAGCAATTCACGCCCAGGGAGATTGCGCTCATGGTGTTAGTCCGGCCGTTTACGCTCAATTTCCAAGAACCCATTGTGCTCGCGCTCAACTTGTACATTGCGCTCATCTACGGCCTCTTGTATATCTGGTTTGAATCCTTCCCGTTGGTGTTTATCGGCATTTACCACTTCAACCTGGGCCAGCTAGGGCTCGCGTTCATTGGCATCCTGGTCGGTGCCTTGCTCACCCTACCGTTCATGGTCTGGTACCTGGCTGCCAAACAGGTCAAGTATTTCAATGAGAAAGGCGAAATCAAGCCCGAGAAACGTCTGCAGATTGCCATGGTCGGAGCGTTTGCTATTCCGATATGCTTATTCTGGTTCGGCTGGAGCGCCCGGCCCTCGATTCATTGGATCATGCCGATTATTGGGTCGGGATGGTTCTCTGTCGGCGCGTTCCTCTTGTTCAATGCCATCCTGAATTATCTGGCCGATGCGTACCCGGATTATGCTGCCTCAGTATTGGCTGGTAACGATTTCATGCGGTCTTGCGTCGGTGCAGCGTTCCCGCTGTTTGCTACGGCCATGTATAAGAATCTAGGCATCAACTGGGCCAGTACGCTGCTGGCGCTCTTGTCCTGTGTTTTTATCCCGATTCCGTTTGCGTTGTACTTTTATGGCGAGCGCATTCGTCATGCCAGCAAGCTTGCCCGTCATGATTTGTAGTTTCATTTGTTACCATTTCATTTTTTATTTTTTATTTTTTATTTTATTTTTATTTTTATTTTTATTCTTCACTTCCATTACCATCCATCGTCTTAATCATCAAACGTCCCTTTCCCCTTATGTATAGATGGTATACACCAGCATCAACATCCAAAGATTCCAGACCCTCCAATAATGCAGGCGTTTTCCCCTCTCTTTCCCCATTGAAATCCGATTTCAGTCGAGCACCGCATATTTCGTTTCAATGGCTTCAGGTATACCGTATGATGTATCACTAGACGTTAAATTCTCAATAGAACCATTCATTTCATACAATACTGCATACATGTGCACCTATTGCAAATATAAACATGTCATGTATGTCTAAATACCACAGTAGTGCTATGTCGAGATAGTGCACGCGACGAAAAACACACACGTGATATATAGTTCATAAAAAGGTTATTGATAATGTACTGGTAATAGTATACCAGGCAGGAAAAACACACGCAAAGTGGAAACAAGAGACGAAGATAACATGCCATCGGGGACAATTTGATGTCTTCCTACGTGCTGACATTTATATTGGTCGTCGCGTTGCTCATCCCCAGGAAAATCCCAGCGCGACACCTTAAAACAAAAGACACAGAGACACATAATTAGCACTTGAATAAACTCATATTTGAGATACTCATCAAAGCGATTACTGATAAAGTTGAATTCATCGTCTAACACTACTTTTTGCTTCAACCCGTGTTGTATCAAAGACAAACTGTATTGGGGGGAAGAGAGAGAAGCGCCAAATCTAAGAAATACATGCATTTCTCCCCTGAGCCATTGTGCTCCATAATCTCTAATGTGCCGTCATCAAAAAAAGATTTCAGACAAGAAAAAAAGCTAAGTATACAAAGAAACAAACAAACTCGACCGAGTCCAACATCGACTCCCAAATCGGCTGACGAGGAGGAAGGAAAAAACAATCCGCCAAGTCGGCCAAGACCCCCATTTTCTGAATCGGGACAAGAAATATATGAAGAAAGCAAGACCCTAATAACCTCAAAAGAGGCAAAGCTGGCCCTGATGCGCCGTTGTGATAATAAAAGAGACAAGAAGCTGATCCGGCCCAAGAGGCGGCGCCAAGAGAAGACAAAAGTAGAAAATACAAAAGTAGGCATGTAGCGACAACAAGAGGCCGCGAGTAGAAAACGACAAGAAAGCTCATCCACGAAGACTGAAAAGAAATCTAATCTAAACGACCAAAACAAGGCAGGAAAGCTAAAAGCTATCCTAAGCCACACCATTAGTGCGCTGCTCAACCAATTTCCACCATTCCTCTTCATCGAGGCGGTGGTTCTCACAAGACCAGTCATCCAAAGAACTGGTAGAAGTCTTGCGCGAAGCAGACTGGTCGTTTCCAGCCTTCTTACTAGGCGAAGAAGCCACCTTGAAATGAGGTTCCGCAAAATCGACAACGTGCACTCCGAGCGAGGCGAGCTCTTCGGGGGTGTGTCCGGCGCCACTAGAGGTTGAAGGGGTATTCGAAGAAGAGGAAGAAATAGATTGGACGCGCTTGACCTTCGCTTCAACGGGGGATTTAGTGCTCTTCGGAGTCACGCCTTTGCTCTTGGGTGTTGCGGTCTTGGAGCTTGCTCCCTCCTTCAGCCTGGGGCTTCCAGAATCAGAGGCAATAGTAAATGCACTCGAAACTCTGCGATTGAAGGGGGAAGTAGCACCTGTGCCGGGATTACCAGACACTGTGCGGGGGGAAGTGACCGAAGGGGATGAACCAACTCGGGGTGAGACAACAAGCGGGGAGGCAATTCTAGGGAAGAACGTCATCGCAGCAGGGCGGGGCGAAGACGCGGGAGTAATTGAAATTGCAGACGACGATGAAGCACGCCGAGAACTTGGAACAGCGGCATTTCGAACCGCGGCCGTGGAGGAGACCTCGCCAAGCGGCGATCGCCTCTTCTTCATCTTGATTTCAAGAGGCTTGCTAGAGGCAGACCCAATTGAAGACCTATTCGAAGATATAGATGAGGAATTAGAAGCTCTCCGGTGCATGGTGCTAGCAGGTTTAGTAGCCAATGCAGAAATACCAATAGCCGCCGGGGCCGGAACAGAAGGAGCGCCAGAGGTCGAGGCAGCTACATCTTCTTGCGACTGCGAGCGTGCCAATTGAGAAGAGGTCAAGTGCTCGCGAGAGCTCGAGATAACTGGGAGTGGCAGACGAGACTTGGGCCGCTGATCACGCGGATGAGGCGCAGCCAACGCCAACGAAACCAGGGCATCAGCCGCAGCACAGGTTGCGGGAGAGAACACGACGGGTTCGCGCAGGTTCTTCCGTTCGGGAGTTGCAGGAAGATCTGCAATCGGAGCAAGTGAGATTGCAGGAGTCTTTTCCTTTGCCGGAACAACCGGCGCGGGGCGAGTCGGAGGCGTTGGGATGCGGGTTCTAGGAAATCTAGAGTCCTCGATCCTGGGATGCAACTGAGGATATCGAATAACCGAACCAGAAGAAGCCAACGAAGACACTGAAGATCCCGCAGGGGAAGGCGAGCTGGTGACAGCGCATTCACCAAGCTCGTCACCAGAGGACTCTGTATCAGAATCATTCATACGATGAAGGGCCTGGGCTGGGTCACGTGCAGCAATCTCCTTCAGAGCTGCCGCCGGTGCCGCAATAGGAAGGTTCGGCGCGACGCGTCGCTTCAAAATACCAACAGGACGTGCCTGGCGTTGGCGGTTGGCTCGGGTCGGCGGGAAAAGGTAATAGTACAGCCATATGATGAACCACGCAGGCTGGTGGTGGTGAGTGGGGTCATCATTGAAATTGACGCTCCTTCTCAGCCGGCGACGAATTCCGCGATTTTGGCCATTGTGCTCACTTACGGACCGTTTATGACGATACAGCGCGTAACACACGCATGCCAGAACGAGCGCGACAACACTTCCCAATATAGTAAGGAAAAGCGAATAGGAGTGCTTAACCATGCGCTTGCAATGTTTCCGACGAGAAACAGCGTCGGTAAACACAGCCACAGAATTATCTGCTGGGTGCGACGGCGGGTTTCTGGTATAGGTCGCCAGTTGGTTACGTGCCATGAACCTCAAGAAGCGAGGACCCTTTTGCTCTGAAGACTTGGCGTCTTCCTCGGCGTCTTCCATGCATTCTTCAAACTGGCCTTTGTGGCTTCGCTTGATTTGCGACGGGACTGCAGTAGATGTCGCCTGAATGGAGGAACCAAAACTCGCCTCCAACTCCGAGGATACTTCAAGCTGAGGAAGTCGATAGCCAAGAGTTGCTTTGCGAACAACAGCTTCGCCAGCAGATTCCAAGCCATGGGCGGAGAACTTGCCGAGTGCGATCGCGAGCTGATCATCGGTCATACCAACAGGCTTCTTTCCGTCTACAATGACTATGCGTTGGTATGAGATCAACGCTTCGTATCCTTTGGCGGTCGCGGCCCATGAGTGGAATCTTTCAGTGGCGTTGGCGCAGTCTGTGACAAGTGCCATGTATATCAGACCGGGCGCATCAGAGTAAGAGACGTAATTGTTCACGACCAATTCGACAGTCTTTCTGATGGATTCAACTGCACATTGCAAATGATCCAGATAAGGTTGAACGGACGTGGACGTGAACTTTGGGCGCAACCGCGCTGACGCGTGTTGACTGATGTGACGACGATGAGCAGTGTGCCTAGTCAGAGCAACACTACTTTCCGAACGGACAGACAGAGAGGTAGACTTCGAGGTCATGCACTGATTTCGTGCACGCCCCTGAAGAGAAGGCGGCGTCGTGGGGCAGGTGCCAGACGCCTGCTTCGTGGAGTTCGGCGAATGCTTGGGCAAAGGGCCATGTACGGTTTTAGGATCTGAAACACCGAAATTTGGCTGATTTACCGCCCCGGGCATACCGTCCATTGGGGTCTGCCTCTTCAATTTTCTAGTACCATTCGTGCCTTTGGGATACGCGGAATCAGGGAATGAATCCGGTATAACAAGCCATCCAGGAACAGCCGGCATTACTCGATTTTGCTCCAATGTCGCGAGCAACAGCATGCCAGTTGCGATATTATCGTTGACAGCATCCAAAATTGATCTGCATAGATTATGAGTAAAAGTCGTGATTGTGTTCCTGCCAAAGGAGCTGACTTACCGAACTTCCTCTACAACCAGTTTCATCTGAGCGCTTGATACCGCACCCTCAGATGCACCTTTCGCAGTGACATCTTCAATGACCTCAGATAGGACTGTAGAAGCAATGTGCTGTACAGCATGCAGACCGGCGGATAAGGAGATGATACGAGATTCCAGTGGATCAGACCGTCTCACAAAAGTGGGACGGCATTCATACAGCGAGTAATTGGGGAGTAAAAGTTGAGTTCCAAAACGGCGCTCCGCCGAAAAGTCAACAAGCTTATAAGGGCTCTTGACGGACATGTGAGTAAGTGGAAATAAGAAAAGCAAAACCAAAAGGACCACAGCAGCTCCGAAGAAGCGCTGGGGCTGAGGCAACCGGCCTGGGTCCGGTATGAACCTCATTTTGAAAGAAATCCGATCTTCAGATCGATGAGGTTATGAAGTCTTTCTTTTTATATTGACGAGCAAGAAAGGTTTCTTGTGATCTCGAAAGTCAAAAAGCGTCCAAAATGAGGAAAACAAGGTCTGTAATCTGAATGAAAACCAATACTTCGAGATGAAGATCAAGCTGGGGAAAATGGAAGATGGTGGAGAGATGAAGGAGGGGGGGCGATACGCGGTGTTGGAGTGTTTGTAAACATCGAAGGGACAGTGCGTGATACTGAAGGCACGACTGAATCTAGAGTTTTCTCGAGCCCAAAAGGGTAGGAACAACCCGACTGGATGGCAAGCACAGCAGCATTCGTTTGCACCTTCATCTCCTTCTCATTTTCTGGTGAAACTTCAGATGCTGCGCCATCAAAATTGGAAGGAGCTTCACAATAACCTAGCAAATCAGATTGAAACCTCATCAGGCTGAAAATAAAGTTTCTATTGCGTTAGCTGGTCCAACTTTGAAATTTTTATAAGAGAAGAACGCTCGAACGTCATTTAGTGACAAAACGCTTCGAAATCATATCATTCATCCAATCTCAATGATGAGAATTAGATAGACCATCTCAACCAGGTACGCCAACCCAATACTCCTCTATGCCACTTTCGGGGGTGAAATTGAGGATCTCAGTTTTCCAAGGGTATCAAATCTGTAATTGGACCGTCTCGAGAATCGGACACAGAGAACCTTTTTCGCAAACACTATCAGGAAGCAGCATGGGAAGCATGACCCGACTTTCCAAGTGCCAAAGACTGAACGTACGTTGTTCAGCCACTGATACGGAAGAATGAAATAAGTATTCGAAAACACCGTATCTGCAAAGAACATTTCATGAAATATCTTCTCGATTGTCGCCTTTTAAAGGTCCAAGTATTGCTGACATATGATAGCTGCGCTCGGTCTTATGCCTCTTCGAGCACACGGTTGGAAGAACCTCGGATAAAGAAAGCGGAATCGTGTCCTTTAACTGTGCAGCATCCCAGAATCGACAAGGGCCCTACCTCATCGTTCAATGAATGGCGGCCGGGGGGCTCAGGGGTGACCAAACGTCTCCGGATGTTGGAAGCCGAACGACATACCCGGGAGAAGCACAAGGTCGGAGTCTTCCCAATCCTGATATAATTTGAAAAGAAGCTCTGAATCTTGGAGTGGTGCATTGTGACCCCTCTTCGAAAGCTCGTTTTGTTTCGCGTATAACTTGTCGAGAGTGGAGGTTGACTCTCTAATAAAGCTATCTCGCAAAGCCAAATAATCAAATCTGACACCAAAGAGTGTTAGAATTTGTCGGATTTGCTCAATGCACATAATTGCTCTCGTAACACTGTGCGTCCTGCTGAAATAGGTAAGGCGAGGATGAGTAAAGTAAGGAGAGCATAAGTCTGCGCTTCTTGTATCCAGAAGCTGGTCTCGGGTTTGCCATAGAAGATGCAAGAACTGCCTGCCTATTGCGTAGGCTCGAAGAGCATCGTGGAATGTATACAGAAAATACTGGGTTTCGTCCTCCACTGTCGGACACATCCTTGCCGCATACTCGATACAGTTCTCAAAGAGAAACGTATTTTCCTTTTCCGGTAGTTTTGGGATTCTCGCCGACAGTGCAACAAAGTAGATATAGCTAAAGAGGAGCTCAACTTCGAAGTATCTCTTGATATGTCTAGGCGCAGCCGGAGGAACCAGCTCAAACCAGTGTTTTAATTCCCGGCGAGCACGACATATATAAGTAGACGGATCAGAGAGTGGCGTCCTGCCAGACCAGAAAAGCTCTGAATAGCATGCAGATTGAATTAGCCGCACACGGAACAGATTAAAAGCTTGATCCAAGGAGGGCAGAAAGGCCGATTCAACATTTGGGCTATGCGAACGTGAGCGATCGCCAGGTGATGATGGGAGAGCGACTTTTGTTGATTCATCAGAGAAGGAACATGCACGAGCATGGACCATGCTGATTGACCTGGATGGAAGTCAGCAGGGTCAGCAAACACCGAAGCTGAAAACGTTGCTAAGCATATTGGACCAACCTATCTAAAGATAAAACGCAGTAGTAAACTCGCTGTCGCATGTCTAACTGAACCTTATCAGAACGTCGTTCAGTTTGTGGATCTTGGTGCAAGCCTAAGTCGACCATCGCACGGGATGCCATTCCAATGAGGTACCAGCTATCAAAATGATGCGGGTCCAAGATACTATATTGAACTAGGAGCAAGATGGCTTGAATACCCGATACTTGTCCAGGGTGTAAAACACGCTCTTGATTTTCTAGGGCCGCAGCTGCATGGGAAGTAGCACTTTGATAATGTGCATCTCCCCGCTCATGGCTCAGAGATGCTTCAGCGATGGCGAGAACCATGCGGACGGTCCACCGGTCCAGGGCCGAAGGCCGGCGACTAGCACCGCCATATACTGCATCTATCGATCCATACAATGAGGTTTCTGAGATGACGGGCAAAAAGGAATGGATATTATCCATATAATGCTGAAATAATTTCGACGTCTCATAGCGTGGAGGTAGTGGCTTCATCGATATGGACGGTAGCTCCTCTACCGTGGAGGCAGACAGAACTAGACGAGCATATGTCATGGCGGAGTTGAAGCCATAATAGTCTCGGGCGGTGGCGTTGACAGCTCTGAACGGTCGTTTTATCAGCGACATTCAGAAAATGGAGATTTTTTATGTAATTGAAAGCCAAGACGCACAGAAATCCAAAACCAGAAACTAGATCATCCACGTCAGAAGCTTCTTTTCGCTGAGCCGCTCGTCCACCTCTTGATTGATATATGGACCCGGCCAACATATTATTTGGTACAGAGTAAGATGAGGAGTCATGCGTTCCTGCCGCAGACGCCCGCTGGCGAGCTTGAGCAAGTCTCTTTTCCAATTTCTCCACACGGGTCTCGAGAGATGCAACATAACTTCTTTCTTTTCCTTTGGCAAATTGATCATTCGCACTGGAGCATTCATTTGCCTTTCCCGACCGCTCACACGCCGAACACGCGGGCAATTTGCCATCACATTTGATCTTCGCCGCTCGACATCTTGAGCATGCCGAAACTGGTCGGCTTACCCTCAGCAAAGGGGTTTCAAAAGAAGTCCCCTTGACCATGTTAGAAAAGGAGATTAATTCAACTCATGTAATGTTATGGCGGGCACCGGCTCTCCACTGATGCCGTCGCCGTGGCACCGAATAGCGCCGATAAACCTTGCCAAAATACAAGAGAACACAGGACAGATCCCCACGTGAAGAAAGCAGAGCCGGGTCAATAAGCGCAATTCATGAGGGAGGCCTCGGCCAATCCGCGGCTAGAGTTTCAAGCAAGGCGTTGCGCAATGTAACGAAGAAATCGCCATGAAAATGTCAATATATCCCGGATCGATTGGCTTAATCCGGCCCAGATGGAGCTTCGCGCAGTACAGAGCAGCGTGACCGATGTCGCACAGAAGCTGGATAGTGTAGGACTTGGGCGGACGGGTACAGGCGAGAAAGTACTGTACGAGAGAAGTGGGGAATCGGAAAGAATATGATTATCAAAGCGTTTGACCAAGAGCGATCCCCTTAGTTTCAGATTAAGTTGGCTGGTTAGTCAAAAATTTGTGTGCTTTTTGCTCTCTCCAGCTTCATCTCCTCGGAGAGGACTCCGAGCAGGACTCCGAGGCTAGAAGGAAAATGACGATCGACTTGGATAGTCCCCCTGTTATCCAAATAATGCACGTAAACAACGTCCTCCTTTTTTTGGACTCAGCAACAGGTCAAACATCAAGGTTCAGGGGGGAGAATATCAGCGCAAAATTTTTTCACGTCCACAAAATCTGATGCTCACATGTAGGTGTGCGTGTCGTGTGTGCAAGTCGCCGACAAAGGAGGGCACGGTATCCCATATCACGTTTCAGCCTAGGACGCATCAAAATGCGACGGTCCCAAAGAAGAAAAAGGGGACCGGGTTCATGTTCGGCCCACTGTCCAGAAGGCTGGTGAAGGGGAGGGTGAAATCTAACGGCTTCCCATCTGTCCAGATCCTTGTCCTGCCCTCCTCGATCCTTGCCTGATGCGAGTCAAGGGCGAAAGGTAGTGCTGGCCCCAGTGGCTCTTGTCTCCAGTCGCATCATGCTAGTACCGTGCTGAAGATGATAACGAAAACCTTGTTCGCCATGAGATCTCTTCTCTGAAGCCGCCGGCCGTAGACTGGTTCGTTTTTCATTTGCCGACGTCCCACCAGAAGCACCCCAAGCTTTGTTCCATCTCCCTGGCCTGTCGAAGCCATAGCTGCCCTAGATCGCCTGCCTGCAAAGCTAGCATAATCCAAACACATGCGGCATCCGTGTATGCAGCTGCTTGTGCTCGGTCCACGCGATGAATTTCGTCTGGAACACGCACAGGCGGCCGAAAGCCGTCAATCGGATCACACCAACCCATCGATGGGTCCCCCCATTAAAGCCATTTCCGTCTCCTAACGGCGTGATTGACCGTCGTCGCCTTGCACCGTTGGAGCTGAACCTTACCTTAACATTCCCCACTGTGAGACTCGTTACCTCTGAGTGCGACGGCTGCGCGTATGTGTTGTGTAATCAGATGATCCTCTCTTCATCTTGCTTCGCATCACATTGCTCTTTTTTTTCGGGACCTGCGCTGGCTGCCGCAGCTGTTTCATGGCGATCTCTCGGCTTCCAGATCCTTGGCCGCTGCCGTCATGGGCGATTGGTTCGAAATAGCGTGTAATGAGATGCCTGTTGCAATTAAATTGATACTTTGAAATCTTGTCTGTTCCCCCGCGCCGCCCTTTTGCCCTTGCATTTCAGATTGCGCTTCAAGGTGAAATCGATGGATGCCAGTGAAGCCGATGTCGCCATTGCTGGCTCACGCACGGGCCCTGGTAAGGCATCACGGCCTGATCCTCAGGCGGAGAGAGAAGGAAGTCAAGACAGTCAAGATTCCATAACCTCGTCCAAGGTCGCGCACACGTTGACCGCTTGTTGCAGATGTCGTCAGGTAAGTGATTTTTTTCTGCCTTCTTCCCTTTTGACTCTTCAATCGTTGCTATTTGCTTCACATCAATTAGTAGTCTTGGCCAAATAAATTATCATTGTTTTGCACAAGCAGCTCATCCCTTTTTTTTTTTCTTGCGAGGGGCAAAAGTGGGGTTTGCTCGTGGTGGAGAAGGGTGAGGATTGATGTTAAACCAACATCCTTTCCCGATGACTACGACCACGACAGCCAGCATCATAGTACCACAGATTTTGATCCAATTTTCAATTGTCGGGTCTACGTCTCAGAAGAATCGTCATAGGCTGACCTCAGCAGCGTAAATCACGATGCGATCCAGGTCTTCCTCGCTGCGGTCCTTGCGAGAGGACAGGAGCATTATGCGAGTACTACGACACCACCAAAGGCAAGCGGATCCCACGAACATATGTGATCCATCTGCAAGACCGAGTACGTGCGCTGGAAATAGAGCTGGCCAGACTTGAAGATGAAGAAAATCAACGCGAGGGCCCCGATCCAGAAACTTTGGTTCGCGGTGCAGATGTCCGACTGACGGAGACTGACGAATCAAGATTCTTGGGTCCATCCAGTGGAATTGCTATTACCAGGTTTGTCATGGAATTAGCAAAACGAAATACGGAAACCAAGAGCATTAGAGAAGTTGTGCCGGATGGGAAGGCCAAGCAGGTTAGAGAACGTTTCGCTGAAGAAGATCTGCCAACCTCGAAAGCCTATCCCTTGACCAGCGCTGTTGCTGCTCCTACGCTTCCCAGTAGGGGCTTGACAGATAGATTGGTGACCAACTTCAATTCAACAGGTATGCACTGGTTCTTCCCAACAATATTTCCTCTGGTGAGGGATTCTAACGTATTATTCGCAGCTCAATACATCTGGCCAACCCTCCACGAGCCAAGCTTTCGACGGGACGTCCAAGCAGTCTATGACGACGTGGCAGACGCTTACCAACACTTTGTCGTGCGCATGGTTTTAGCCATCAGCATGCAAAGACTTGACACACAGTATGCAGGCCTTGCAGATAGCTACTACCTCGCAGCCCTACTCCATCTTGAAGCAGCTGTACGGCTCATGAACTTAAAGACCTTGCAATGTTTCGCACTCATTGCTCAATACTCGCTCCTTACCCCGACACGTACTGCAGCATATTTCATCGTTGGTCTGGCCATGAGACTTTGCCAGAAACTCGGACTCAGTGAGGAGGCTACTATCTCAGTCAGCACGGGCTCACCAGCTGATGCCCTTGAGACTGACATGCGGAGACGACTCTTCTGGATTATCACATCGATGGAGTTCGGTCTCGCACATACCTTGGGTCGCCCAAGCTCCCTCGCTATTCGCTACGATCACATGGATGTGAAATTTTTTTCGGAGCTTGACGATGAGTGCGTCACCCCTGGCGGAATGGTTCCTGGAAAGCCTTGCTGGAAGAAGATGATTGCCATTCACTTTTTCCGAATGAGACTATTGCAGGCTGAAATTAGGGAGAAGCTATACCAACGAAAGCGACCAGAGCCGACAGACGACGGCCATCCGTGGTTCAGAGAAATGCAAAACAAGCTCGAAAACTGGCGCTCGGCCAACCCTACTCAGGACGAAGGGAGCGGATTCGGCAACGACTTCTTTACAGGCCGATATAACACCATGATAGTTTTCATGTTCCGGCCCTCGCCCCAGATACCAAACCCGTCTCCGCAAGCTGCCATCCGTTGCTACGACGCATGTGCATACAACATCCCGATGCACAAGAAACAAATCGAACACCGCGTGGCAGACATTAGCTGGGTATTTACTCAAACAATTTTCATGGCTCTTAGCACCATGCTCTGGACCATTTCGTATGAAGAAGTCCGCGCTCTTCATCCTTCAAACGAAGTCCTTGCACACTGCGAGACAGCTATCGAGGTTATCTTCCTGTGCTCGAAGCGGTGGCCGGGCGCTGCATCCGCTTTGGGGCTCTATGAGAACCTGGTAGATGCCTGTCTCAAAGTATACCAGTCATCCAGCGGTGTTTCACCGTCGATGGATTACGGATCAGCAAAACCGTCACCAGCATCCACACAGGACATGTCTGACAGCTCACCAAGAGCGAGTCCATCTAGCACAACTACGGCATCCACATTTCCTACCACAGCAACATCTTACGGCGCTCTATCGCCCGCCCAAACCTCACCATTTGGCTACCTTCTCCCCATCCCACAACATTCTCCCGTCCTCAAAGAGATCCCAGAAGACAGGGTTCCGCCCTCACACCCGCCCTCTATCAGTGCCCCACCTCCCAATCCGCAAATCCATGGACACATGCCGGGACAGTATCCATATTATGGAAACGGCTTTGGACCTCCTGGGAACCCATTCAATCCCGCTTCACCATTCAACGCTCTCCCTGTTACTGACGCCAATATACCTTGGAATCCTGCTTTTGCAACGATATCCGCCAATGGTGCCAACCATAACAACCTCGCCCCCGGCGCCAACCTCTACGCTGACCCAAGCCTCCTTCTCGGGCCGATGATACATCCCCAGTACCTTGGAACTCCCTGGGGCGGCCAATTCTACACTCAGCGTCACGACAGCCTCAGTCAAGAGCAACAAACGGAGCTCATGCACCACCTGGAGACGGACCAAGTTCCTGATTTTACAAACTTTGTCGAACGAGCCGCCCAGCTTTACAGAGCCAAGTCAGCACACTAGTACACAGTCAGAAAGTGGGCGCCCTTTCATGGCCGTCTGTATCAGTGATAGTGTGGCTCACAAGCTCCGAATTCTCTTGCGAAGATTATCAGGCCCACTTTCGTCCCTGCGGAACAGCGCCTTAGCAATCTCACAGATGAGGAGATGGGTTTTAAGATCCCTGACCTGGCTTTACTGAATTATCAGCCTGTTCAAGAGGGCTTGTCGCCTTAATTCGCCAAAAAGCCACCGGAAGAGCATCTCAACGCTCTTATCATGATCTCTGCATCTCCCTTTTAGGATATCCCGAGACCTCGAGACCGCTACTACCAAATCTCACTTCGACTACAGACATATTTCTTTTCCACCACCTTCAAGATGACCACAACCTCTTCTTCCTCTCGAGATCTCCTTCCCGACCAAGTCGAACAGGGCAGTATGCCTCAGAAAAATACTCAACCACTTTATCTTACGATAAGAGAGTACAACTGGGTTTCTTCTACCCATGAGATTGCTGTCTCAAGCTCTACTCCATGATCAATGTATTTGCAAACAATATGAGGAAGCAAAGACCGTGGTCATAGGACACTTGAAGTTATGACGACAGGAAATAATTAATGGAAGCGATTCACAGTCCAAGAGACTCAGTCAGTGATACTATATGATTATCCCTATATCATTTCCAAAGTCACCATGACTATTGTTATTATTACTATTATTATTATCACCACCAGTGTCATTTTATTAGTACTATTTACTACTCCCAGTATGATATCGGTACCACATTATTTATCATAATCACGATAATCACGACGAAATGATGGCGGCAGATAATCTAGTAATAGGAATAGGAACAGAAATATACCTTTTTTTGTTATTAATACATTTTCTTTACTGTTATCAAACTGTCTGAAATGCCATTGTCATGTACCGTTGTATTATCCAGATAACATCCGCTCATCGATCATCAGAACAAAAAGAATAGTAATTACAGCAGTGTATCATACCATATCGTACCATACCTTGCCATACTGCGCAGATACCCAAGTCATACCTCAATAAACATCACATACCTTACCACACATGCAACACATTTCATCACTCCATCATTTCATCATATCGCTTCATGCCATCATGTCACATTTATCATCGCAGATCAGGTCCACATCACACCTCAGCTCCATGCCAAACACACACGTTCACAATACTTCCGACGAGCCGAAGAGTTAATCCCAATGATAATGTATTTCCATGACTCTGTCTTTCGTGCCGTCCCACTTGATCCTTCGTCCTTGCTCCACATTTCCCTGTCCGATGTCTTGATCCGAGAAGTAAGTTAAGCTGAACTTTTCTCGAAATGGTGCAAGGGGAATCTGCTGATAAGTAGAGGAAAGACGCGAGGTTAATCATGCTGGATGAAATTGGAAGAGACAAAGTGATATGGGACAGCAGTACATGGAAATGGAATGATGGGATTCTTTGAAACCGTGATGGGGGGATAAGGGGAATTGGGGAAGATTGGGGGAAGTTGGGGGAAACTGGGGGATAAAAGAGGAGAACGCGACACAAGTAGGGCGTGCTGACAATTGCATCTCAAAGGGTCCTGTCTGCTCAAGAGGTCGAGGGAGAGTGTTGAACGAAAGCCTCTGCAGTTGAACGAGACAAGGAACCACTTTAATGATGTCAACTAGCTGTGCCCGACTCAATTTCCGTTCAAGTTCAACCCCTCAAGATTTTTCCGAATGCCAGCGGCAGCTTCGGCATAACTCGGAGGATTGGCCTCCTTGTCCTTGCGCTTGGGCTTGGGCTGGGCCGATGCACTAGAGCCGCCGACACCTTGTCCAGGATGAAGACTGCTTCTGCCTTTCTGTGGAGGGCGAGCACCTCGTGCCAAACCCTTTCCCTTGGTCTGCCTCTTGGCCGCTCTGTCGATACGAGAAGCCTCATCCAAAGCTTGCGGATCAGGAGCATGGCTGACCCAGCAAGCAATGACCGCGCCACGTTCACCGTCGAAACAAGAGTCTCTTTTCTCAGGTTCGTCTGGAACCCAATCGTCTTCTTCTTGCGGCTCTGGGGAAGATGCATTGACTTGATTGGCACGACGAACAAAGTACTCGAAGATATCTAGTTCCTTGTTACGCACATAATCCAGAAGCGTTTCGGCGTCTTCAATTCCCCTGGCACCAAAGGAAGCGATGATAGCTTCGCGTCTAGCTGCCTGGCGATATATGAGCGCGGTGACATTTGGCGCTTCACGCGACAAACCGGCTGAAATATGAGCCCCTTCGTAAGTTCTACGGAATGGGTGATCATCTGATGCTGGTCTCAGCGCACACAGCACTTTCCAGGAATGCTCCAATTCGATCCAATTATCGCTGAGTTTAAGTAGTTCCATCCAGTCTGCGCGACTGGGCGAGCGCGCTGAGAGAAAGAGTGGATATCCCTCGCAAACACGAATAAGCTCAGCCACGTTGTGTGCATAACGGCGGATTTCTTTAATAGGTGTCTGCAAAAGCGCATGGCAGAGTAGAACTGAATGCAGGGCTTCAGGGAGGAGAGGGTGATACGTGACTGCTTCAATGCTGTGGAGGTCGTCCAGCAAATACTCGTCTCTGCAAAGGTGGATTTTCTTAGAAGCGGTTTCGCTCATTCCGTCGGTTACGCCTGGCGGAAACTGAAAGAGAGGATTTAGAGATAACAAATTTGAGATCTTGTTGACCGCAACCGGGGTCCAGTCAAACCCGTTATCATCCAGATTCGGAAGCGTAGGAGCCAAGATGTTTTGCTCATCCTCTCCATTGCCAGATGCATGTTGCTCAGATGACTTTGAAGCCTCTGGGATTTTCGGCAACTTCATGTCCTTCAGCAGATTATCCACATACGGATCCCTCTCCTCTGGTTTGCTTTGCATAGCCTTGCCAACCTGGAGGAACAACTTGTCTCTGACAGCTGAAGTAATCCCCAACATGTAATTAAAGTTGGACAGAAAGCTCAAGTAATCTCTCAAAGCGCGTCTGGCATAGGCCTTGACTGCCTTGCATGCTTCCCATCGCTTCTGGAAAGCTTCTTCGCTGTCGATATCATCATCTGCATTTACGCCTTCAGGCTTCCCGCCAAACATGAATTCTTCATAACATTGCCCCCTCACAATAGTTGCCTCCCTGACGTTTTGAACTGCAATGGCAAGATAGACACTGGCGCGGTGAAAGAGAAATTGGTTTTCCATGCTAGAAGGCTGTTCGTCCTCTCCAATCTTCTTATGTGGAGCATGGTGAAACCGAGATTGGGCTGAGTGTGCGGAGCCAGTAGTAGGCCGCTGGTGAGTCTTTCTGAATTTCAAGATGTTTATCCCATCGGTGAGATCTCTTGCCGCCCCATGTAGATCGTGTTTGAACATTTTGGTGACCGCCCTAGTGCGGAGATGCCCTAACTCGCCTGGGCGTTGCGCAACGAGTTCGTCCAAGGCCACCAAATTGGTATTCTCATCGAACAACCGAGATGGGATCTTCTCATGAAAAAAGTGCACATACTTGGCGTCAAGGTAGTTGTTGTTACGCTGCAAGACCAGGTCAGCCAGGCCATCCAGGATCGAAGCATGCTGCATTGCAACAACAGTTGCTGCAATCTCATCGATGCAATAAGCTTGGGCCAGCTTTTGAATGGCAAGCTCACGCATTCGACGTTGACGTTCTCGACTAATTTTCATATGGCTGCCTCCAAATACTTTTTTGTTGCCCTGTGCGGCAATGCCATCACCAGTCATTGCTCGGTGTGCAAGACTGGTAGCCTCCTCGACCAGTGATTTAATTTTAATAATATTATAAAAGACAGCCGCGTCGATTGGACGTGGAGGGTTGGATGAATAGTTGGTATGAGCAAGGTCATCAAGGCTTTCAGTAGGCATCTGAAGCCACGGGCCATGGAAAGCCGAGATATAACGCCAGTGCCTGCATAAAAACATATAACATTAGCTTCTATCTGCTTCATCCACAGAGATTGCCACAGAGTGAAAATTTGCACACGTTTCCATGAACCACGTTTTCACGCACTTGTTTCTTGTGATTTCCAAGGGTGAGCTTGGGGACTGTTCAGTTTGCTCGTTGGTCGCAGTCGTGTTTTGTGCGAGACCTCCAGATTGCTCTTGAGCTGATGATGCCACATCCGGAAGAGATTGAGGCTGTTGTTCTGGATTAGAGGCAGACGTTTCCACCGGCTTCTTCGCCGGCTTCGACTTCTTAGACTGGCTCTTCTTTTTCTTCGCCATGGTCAAAAGAAGTAGAACAGAAAATGAGAATAGAGGTATGAGAATGAAGGTTAGAGGTCAGAGCTTAGTATGTTATTGTTATCGAATGTCTTGAGCCGTGTAGTGGATCGATGATTGACAGTCGCAGCTTGACAAATGAGAAAGATGAAGATGAAAGTGAAGATGAGAGAGGACGCGTCATGTTTCCAGGACAATCGTTTCCGTGACAAATACCTCTTGAGTCACCTGTTCCCCGGGCCTGAGATTCACTGTTTGTTTGCCAAATGAGGCTCGCGCCCTTCACCGACGGTTATCCTACGTCATAAGCAGAAACATGAATGACTGACAAGGCCAGCAAATCCCACAGATTTGTCTTCGGAGAAGATTACATTTCTACAAAAGCAATGCAAAGTGCAAAATATGAAATGGCAAATGACCACCAAAAATGCCAGGGATAGCGAGGACGCTCCAAATGCCAATTCCTTTGTCCAATCCAAAACAACCCAACGCCAGCGAACATGAATCAGTAAAGACTTGAAATATGAAGCCAGCTATGAGCTTAGTGCTAAGCAAGCATCGACAGCAAGTCCAACCCTATACGCGCATTATTAGACCCAGAGAGCTCAGGCAAAAAGAATGGGGCGGTTCCGGACAATCTACTAACCTTCCTTCCTTTAGTCTTACGACATCGTCAATCACTTCCTTATCCAGATCAGGAAACATGCCTGCTAAGGTCCTGCTGAAAGTCAGTGCCCATTTCACTCATCTTTTTGACAATGAAGTATGATATGCTCAGGGTACTACTTACTCGACCACATCGTTATGCTCAGCTCTCTGTATCCGTTGGGCCTCTGCAGCCTCAGCGCTTGCTTGTCGGGCGGCTGCATCTTCGGCGCGAAGCCTACTTCGCTCTCGAGTTTGGCGAACCTCTTCGCGTGTAGGTCGCCTTGCCTCACCGCTGGCAGTTTGAAGCTCCGGAGATGACTCAGGGGCGCGTTTGAGCTGGCTTGCTATGCCAGGGTAGCCCCGTTGATTGCCGGCATTTGGCGGCTGTGAAACTACATTATCTTCGGAGAAGATCCGACCAATCGTGGACAGGGGCTTTTGAATGGTCCTCAAAAGACCGGTCACGGCGTCATTGTCTTCAGTTCCATCCCCATCAATTGGAACTGCAATAGCATCTGATGAAGCAGCCGCCCGACGAGGATCGGAGCGTTCAATGCTCGAAGAACTCCGGGGTGTGACCTCAGGCTGGCTGAGGGCGGATTTTTCAGGTACCCGGCCTTGCGAGGGCACTATTTGTGCCTCATCTTTGCGGTTCTTTTCCGCAATGGCAGATACTGCGACTTCGACATGCTTCTCAAATTCATCGTCCGAGACCGTCAAATTGGTGCGGTCAAGGTTTTCTATAAATTGGATAGCCCCCATCTGGATGTGTCAGATTAAGCTCACAAATGATTCGATCGTGCAGACCTACCAGGGAGGAAATATAATATCCTGCTTCTCCACTGAGTTTGTCTTGGTCTCTGAATCGCAAAATGTATTGAACATTAGAAACTAAATGCTCTGGATTCGCTTGCAAGACGACATAAATCAGTAGCGGTACGAAAGAATCAGCTGATTGATCCGACTTGGCATGACGCAGTAAGCCTGTGATTTCACATTAGTAGATTTCCAGCAAAAAGGGAACTGCCCAACTTACCAAAGATAACTTTGCAGCAATTGAGAATGCATATAACCTTATCTCGGGGGGCACGATAATTTTTGATCTTAAGCAGCTCTGATCCTCCCAATTAGCATAGGGCTTTGATCTGCTCCAAGAAACACATACCTTGCTGTGCAAGGGTCAAAAACTTTCTACCGCCGGGTCCCACTGGTTTGATGTCAAGATGTTGTTCCCTCACCCAGCCATAAATCTGAACTTTCTGCGCGAGAACCTCATCTCTTTCGACATCCTCCTGGTGCTGCCCTCGTCTGCCTGGTCCCAGAACAACGTCACCTCGACGCTTAGCCTTTGCGCCAGGAATCGGCTGTGGGGGCGGAATTGCTGGGGAGAAAGTTTGTGAATATAACCGATTCATGACAAGCTTCTCCATTCCCTCTTTTGCATTGTCGAACTCAGCATCCGAGACGCCTCTCCATACTTCGCAATGAGCCATCTTGTTGGTTATGAAAGCCAAAAAGTCGCTGATGATCTTTATTTGTTCGTGTACCATCCATTGCTTCTTACCAAATTCCAACAGAAACGACCGGAGATATTTTGCAATTGGATCGGCTGTTCGATGACGGAGCTGTTCGAGGAACCGCTGAAAGTCAAACGGCAAAGCAGGCTCCGGGTCTGGCGCAGGCGGAGGCGCTTGATGGTGAGACTTATGTGAGGTTGGCGAGCCCGGCAGTGGCTGGCCCTCAGCTGATGCTACACTTTTATATGCGGCATAGTCGGAAGGCTTAGGTGGCACTGCGGGTGCCACATCCGAATCCTTCTCCGACAGTCGCCCCTCATTTGGTATGGCGTTATTATCCACTCCACCAGGCGGAGGTTCGAGACTCGATCGCCGCGGCGGAAAAGGGGGCGGAGAGCCTGCCATATGATTCGCAAATTTGACCCTTGGATCCAATTTTGCATCTGTGTTCGAGTTTTCGAGGTTGCCTTTGAATTGTTCTATGATGCTCTGGATCTCTGTGTCGGATTCGCCTGACCCTGCCTGCTTCTCGTCTTCTGAAGATGAGTCGCTTCGGTGCTCCACATTGTTTCTCTCATCATTATCGATCTCCTTTCCTTTTCCATGTGACAGTGATTTCGAAGAGTATGAATCCGCGCGGGACGGAGGTTTCGAAGGCAATGGAGTCTTCGGGGTGGGGTCGAGATATACCTCATCTTTTGGAGGGGGTGGAGGCGGCGAAGGAGACGTAACGATCGGTCGTGGCATGTTCGTGTCTGGGATGGCCTCCGATGAAGCCTCAGCGTCTCCTTCAGAGATGGTAAGCTTCGCCGTCGGCACGGCCAAGTCCACGTTCCCAGCACCCGCTGTTTCCTCGCTTGTTCCATTGTCTTCTGTATGCAAAGGAGTGGCATTTATTTTGACATCATCTGCTCGAGTAGAAGACCCAACTTGATTGTCCGTCTGGGAAAAGGTTAGGGACTTTGTTGCGGAGTTCGCGCCATCCTCCGCAGACGAAGGGTTGGCTGCCGCCCCATCTTCGGTGCCGATTAGCTCCTTTGCCTGGTCATCAACCTCTGAGCCAGCCTGCGGTTGACGTCTGTCATTATCCGCCGGCAGTTGGGAGCTTATCGCGGGTTCTGGAGTGGACGAAGACATAGGCCGCCAGCTTGAGGCGGGACCAAGGAATGTTTAGCCAAGGCGGTGAGATGCGGGGGGTTTTTTCAAAGGAAGCAGCCGGTTCGTCTCCTAAAAGAAGCATAAGCCGCGGTTTTTAGTAGGCAATACGATCACGTAAGTATCTTGAAACCTTTTTGAACAAGAAAATGCCAGGACTAGGAGAGTGCGAAGGCAGGTTGCGAGATATTAAATGTGTTGAAGCCAAGCCCCCAGTCCAACACGCACGCACAGCTAAGGCATAATAAGCATGGGGAGCTTTGGTGGTCGGCAGTTCGGTAGCCGAGCTCCGCCACCGCCCGGGAGCGAGGGAGTCTTTTCTGAGGAAATCCTCACTTTTCCACAACGTCAATTGATATCACAGTCTGTACATTACTACGTTATTTTCATATTGTCTCAAGGAGAGACATTGTCTGTTTAGAAAGAGACACTTTTTTCTTCTTTGAAATATTGGGGAAAGAAGACTTCATTCGATGATTGGCCGCTGGTCAGCCAATTATATTGACCTTTAGGTACTGCCATGTGCGGTATCCATTTTTCCATTGGCAGACATGCGTATTGTCCTCCCGACGACAACGTGGCACAACTGCTGGTAAATCGAGGCCCGGATAGTATCAAGACGCATAATATCAAAGTCAATGTTGACAGGTGCACCGATTCTTCAACAGAATGCTACTTGTCCTTCACGTCCACGGTGCTGGCTTTGCGTGGAGATCATGTGACTGTCCAGCCACTTGTTGACACAAAAACCGGATCCGTCCTCTGCTGGAATGGCGAGGCTTGGAAGATTGAGGAGACTATCAGCGGAAATGATGCAGAAGCCGTCTTTCAGCTGCTTTTGCATGCTTCTTCACAAGATTTTCAATTCCAAAAGAGTGCCAACGGCGGAGCCAATAGCCCGTCGTTGGCCAGTCCGGGCATAGTAAACGCCATCAACAGCATTTCTGGTCCATTTGCATTTGTCTTCTTTGATGCTACAAATCAAAGAATTTTCTTTTCTCGCGATTGCCTTGGCAGGCGTTCGTTGCTGAGCAAGGCTGACCAAAATCATAGCTTTACCGTTTCAAGCATTTGCAATGGCTCCCTGGACAAAACATGGCTCGAAGTTGAGGCTGACGGCGTGTACGTCGTCAGTCTCAAAGACTTTTTAAAATCAATAGCAGAAGACCAAACTAATCCTGAGAACCCATTCGGTATCTCCAAGGTTCCTTGGGTTTATCAAGACGGCACCGCCGACGCTTCACATTTGGTGAGAAACAGATTTATTCCCGAGTCCATCAACCCGGGCTAACATATTGCAAGAAACTTCCATATCCTAAATTAAACAAGGAACTTCCTTCACAAAACCTGCCTGTCCTCAATCTTTCCTCTCCTTCAGTCCAGTCCATCGAGAAGCATCTTCTCAATTCTCTGCGTTTGCGGGTCCAAAATGTCCCTACTCCACCCGTGGTTGAGTCTCCAGAGCACTCATCCTCCTCTGCCAAAGTTGCAATCCTCTTTTCTGGAGGTCTAGATTGCACAATGCTTGCTCGTCTAAGTCACGAGGTTCTGCCCTTTTCCGAAGACATCGATCTCCTGAACGTGGCCTTTGAAAACCCTCGCGTAGTAGCCGCTGCGCGAAAGGAGAAACGTCTTCACAACGAAACGGACGGAACCTCGACAAGCTGTTCCGCCTACGACCTCTGCCCGGACAGACTAACCGCACGAGCCTCCCACAAGGAGCTTGAAAAGGTCTGTCCACAGCGAAAATGGCACCTGGTCGAAATAAACGTGCCTTACCAAGAAATGCTTGAACATCGTCCACTAGTTATCTCCCTTATACATCCACATAACACAGAAATGGACCTTTCAATCGCCAACGCCTTCTATTTCGCTGCTCGCGGCATCGGAACCGTGCAGGCCAAATCATACATTACTCCCGCGCGGATCCTTCTCTCTGGCCTCGGCGCGGACGAGCTATTCGGCGGATACGGACGCCACCGCGTGGCTTTCAACCGCGACGGCTTTCCGGGCTTACTCGATGAGCTTGAACTCGACGTGAACCGGCTGGGCAAGCGCAATCTCGGCCGCGACGACCGCGTCATTGCCCACTGGGGAAAAGAAGCGCGGTTTCCGTTTCTGGATGAACAATTCCTTAACTGGTCTCTGGGATGTCCCGTCTGGGAAAAATGCGGGTTCGGGCAGCCCGAAAATGCGCCTGATGCAGACGACGCCAGACCCGAGCTTATCCTTGATGCCGAGAAGAAGGTTCTTCGTCTCTTGGCCTGGAAATCGGGAATGCACGGCGTAGCCAAAGAGAAGAAGCGCGCTGTAAGTTGGACTCTATCCTATTTCAGTAATCCCTCGTGCGTTCATTTGGGAGAGAAGCTGACAGAACATGACACGACTAGATACAATTTGGCGCACGCACAGCCAAGATGGAAGTCGGCAGAACAAAAGGAACTCAACTCTTGTCTTGATCTCGATACATAATGCATCGGAAAATTTGCTTACTATTTATACCCCCAAACGCAACACCCTCCCTATCCCTCGCACCAATACGCCCTCCGGCGATGATGACGGCTCGATATCGAGTCATACAGATACTGCTGAAATGCTGTCTCGCTGATCCAGTCGAACCTTTTGTGTCTTGCAATCCTTCGGGCTCGATTAGTGGTTTTCCTGTGCCCTCGTAAGAGGGGCAGAGCTTAGCCCTTATCTAGTCCCGAGCTTGCAAGACACGAGGCGCACCGCGGACAGCATATAATGAAGTGGTTAAAGGCAAGTCTGAGCCGGACGGTGCATGTATATGCTCCAATATATTTTAGTAGTAACTACCTAGTAAACTGCCCTTAGATGGCAGATATCGGAAGTCATGTTACTCTCCGGCCAGGAAACTGGTCTTGGTCCGTAATATATATCATATTGGAAATTAGCACCAACTGCAATACTCCTTGACCATTCATTCGTGTCCTGCATCAAGCTACATGTCTTTATCCGATGTATCACATCACATGAGGGACCTTATAATGCAAAATTATATTCAAATTACCCGATTGATTTATATATTTTACCCACGTCTACTCCCATCAATTATCTCATTACCTATCCATTTTCCCATTGCTCCCCTTTATGCCGCATCCCCATAAAACAAACCCGAATTTAACTCTCTTGTTACGTTGACAAAAACTCCCTTTTCAGAGCGCAGCGCAGTATCACGCGCATTACGCCCTACGCACCTCCCTCGCGCTTGGCATACTCCTCTTCCATTCTCTCTCTATACAACCTATCCGCCGTCGCGGGATCAATCTGGCTCTGGCCTCCCTGCGGCAAGTAACCCCTTGCACCTTGCGCGCCAGTTATTCCCTGCTGCTGCTGTTGCTGCTGCTGAGGGAGACTCGCAGTCTGAGCGGCCGGGTTCACAGCCCGATGCTGACTCGCTGCTTGCGACGAGAGGCCTATTCTGCCCGATGCTCCCAGGGAGGCAGAGGCCCCGAAACTGGCGCCCGCAGAGGCATATTGCTCGTTGGTTGTGGTGGTTGTGGTGGTGGTTTCGTACGGGTCAGAGGAGGTCGTTGGTCGGCCCATGGCTGCTTTTTTGACTTTGACTGTGATTCTCAATCACGAGAAGAGTGCTAATGAGCTGGGACGTTGAGGCTGAGGCTGAAGCTGGAGCTGGTAAAGGAAAGAAGCTGCTGTATAACATAACAGTTAGTGCTCTGAGAGTTGTGACAGGTATGTGTATACAAAATAACGAGTTTGAGAATATAAAACAGGAGAATACTGATACAGTTGTACAGTACAGTGAGAGACACAGTTGCGCTGCTCACTATATTGTTGGATTGCGACAAAATGAACTGTGAAGCAAAGAGATACAGGAAATAGCAATGACAATAAAACGCGATGTGAGAAAAGCGGCATTGTTAAGTAACAGAAATGAAAATTACGCACCTTGTCCTAATCCTTAATTTGAGAAAAGATAAAGCTCAATTGTATATTTTCAGAAGGAGGAGTGTAATATATATTGCGGGAAGCGGGATTGCGGGGAGGTATAAAGGGTTCGTGTGGCTTGAAACGCGGAGGGTTTGCTTGTGAAGCAAGGCAGAGGCTGTGGCGCAGTTGAGTGACGTCAGTCGGGGCTTTGCCTTCTCAGCTACTTAGCGTTCCCGGAGCCACGCGAGGTCCCGGGAGCCTTCGGAAGATCAGGACTCGTAGAGTTGGCTCAAGCTACTCTACTTACTGCGTAACCACAGGGGGAATAAAAATGTGGAGCAATTAATGTTTTGGTTTCTGAATATTTTGGGATTTGTGATTCTAATGGGGAATCTTGGCTCTAATTATGCCATATATATATTGGATGCAACTAAAAGCAAATGGATATCAAGTAAAATGCAAACGTCCAGAAAGAACAATTCCGATGGAGGTTCAAAGCTCCTTTGCAAAAATCATGCGCCGTGGCCAATCGATCAAGAATTGCCATTCTGGACTAAGGACAGACGAGATCGAAATAAACACATCCTGACCCCACCGCTGAGCCCACCATAGATGGTCAACGTTGTGAAGAATGACGCAGTAATGAGCCAGAATGGCCAATGCAAATGGCACTCGGGCTTTGAGAAGGACAATAAGCTCCTCAGGCAAGCAGTGTGGCCATCCAAAAATGTTATAATGATGGTCAGGAAACGAGTAGTGGTTGAGAAAGCTCTCGCGCAATTCGTCAATAGCGCGGCGATACACCCTCTTTGTACTCTCAGCTACAGCGAGAGCATCACCGTACAACTGCAAAGTTTCGAGCGCTTGGGAAGCATGTCGAGGGAGATCTCTTCTCGCACCGCCCGTTGGGTCACTCAGTAGTTCGCCTAGACTGCTCGAGCGAACCCGCTGCCTCCCAAGCATGAGAACGGCAATGCACCCGCGAAAAAGCAGAAGGAGATCGCAGAAATGGTCGAGATGCCGAGTTTGTGGAAAGCTAAAGGCAAAAGCATTGACAAAACACGTTCCCATGAATATAATTGCATGATTGGCCGGTGTAATATTTTGGATTGCAGCCCGCGTCAGACGTAGTGCAAGGTCTGCCTGCTGAACTGCCGTAGCCAGGTAGGTATGCTTGTTGCTTGACCGAAGATGCGCGAGGTGTATGGCTGAAATGCTCAGCATGCTGTGCATGAGAAAATCATGCTTGAGCGCTTCTCGTGGAACCACTTCTCCCATGACTTTTCCAGAAATATCTCGCCCCGGGAGGCACTTCCAGGTAAACGCCATATAGTGATGCATCAATTCGAGCTCTCGGAGCGGTCGATCTGGGAAAGGACTAAGAGCGGGAGCGGGCGTAGTGAGGAAAACAATGGGAGTGTTTGAGGGTGATGGAGTTGTTGGTGAGGTCTCTCGAGAGACGCCCTCGCTAGGTGATCCTTTCGAAGAGCCATTGTCTTGCTGCGTACGCACGGGAGATGATCGCCTTGGCGTATCAGCAAATGCATTCATCAGACTGCACTCGATTCCACGTTTGGAACAGCTTCGACAGCAGGGGAGCTGCTCATCACACTATTTCATATGGACAATCAGCTTTTCTATGGTTCCATATAGATAAGAACATGTTATTGCCATTATCAAGATAGCTCCCATAGAAATGGGCATTTCAGATAATCGAAATCGGCACACACCTTCACCCTTCTGCGCTTGCACTGGCTACAACCATGACGAGATTTGCTGTGGAATCGTCGAGAGCCCATGCTCTGACAGGCGACAGAAGATACATAGAGAATGTGGAGTGGGTCACAACGAAATAAAACCCTCAAGAAGGAGAATAACAATGAGGCTAACTTTAGATTGTTGTTGGTCGAAATGCACGCGACGGGGCTAATAATAAAGGAAGACGATGTGATTGTTGCCTGAAGAGCAGAAGAAGACCAAAATGCATTTCTGACCGGAGCTCCGGAATTACGAAAGATCCGACGACATGACAGCGATCAGGAAGGGGCACAACGGCCACAAATGGAAAAGTTTACGATTTACGAATCCAAGGAGCCAAGGCGGAGATATCGTATGGCAATGCGTTTGAGCAAGAGACGAGGCGAAGCATTTTTTAGGGCAGATAGTGGAGAGCAGTCCCAAGGGGGTATAGTGTACGAGACTTGGCTCTGTCCGGGCCCCCTTGTCCCATCGTCCCTTTTGGAGCGATTTGTTGATCCCGTAGCGGTCCAGACGCCAGGCCGTTGTTAGCACAATTATTGGGGAAGCCGTGGTTGATGATATCGCCGCCACCTCAGCGTGCTGACGTGCCCTACTGGGCTTTTATAATAAGGTTGTTTCGCACTTGATTAATTCGTTGGTTTGGGTCTTTCTTATTTTATATCGTGGTTCCACTTATCATTGGGTGTCAGGGGGCGGAGAAAATATTTGTATAAAGCACAGGCACACGGATATCTCTCATTACCTACTTATAAACTCTTTCCTGCTTCTTTGAAGATTAACTCTCTTTTGCATCTCCTTCAGAACGCCCTGGGATTTTTGTTTCGGCTTTATTCGATCTATCAAGCCATTTGATTTCTAGCATAAGTTCACCATGGCTGGCGGGGACGAATCTTTTGAGCTCTACCGCTATCACCCCTCCATGGCTGGAGCCATCATCTTCATAATACTCTTCATTATCACAACCGCTTTGCATTGCTTTCAACTCATTCGCACCCGAACATGGTTCATGATTCCTATGGCCGTCGGAGGATTCCGTATGCAACCTAATACCCCAGTGTTTCATTATTTGTTGAATGAGCGTTACTGACTGAAAATATAGTCGAATGGATTGGCTACGTTGGCCGAGCTTTATCAAGCCACCAGGCTCCAAATTATACGTTAGGGCCGTATATTCAGCAGGCGGTTCTCTTGCTTGTGGCCCCTGCTCTATTAGCCGCATCCATTTATATGGAATTGGGACGGATCATCCTGCTCGTGGACGGAGAATCGCGGTCAATCATCAAGAAGCGGTTTTTGACCAAGATCTTTGTCACTGGTGATGTCTTATCCTTTCTCACTCAGTCTTCTGGTAAGTTTGTATTCCTGCCTCGCATTGTTTCACCTTCGCCCTTTGTCCCTTGAAAAAGTCCAAACTTCCTTGCACGTAAAGTCAAAAAGCTTTTCGCCACTGACCTTCAATAGGCGGAGGCATCATGGCCGGTCAAAGTCTGAGTAGCTACAAGTTGGGCCAAAAGGTTGTCATTATAGGCCTAGTGATCCAGATTGTCTTCTTTGGATTCTTCATCATCACTTCTGTTGTCTTTCACCAAAGAATCAAGAAGAACCCTACAGCGGCCTCCTCTTCACCTAGTATTCCTTGGCTCAAACATCTCTACGCCTTATACGTCGGCAGCGCATTCATTCTTATTCGGTCCATCTTCCGAGTAATTGAATACTCTGGAGGTAACGATGGCCCACTGCTCCGAAGTGAGGTGTATTTGTACATCTTCGACGCCGTGCTCATGTTTGCCACCATGGTCGTCTTCAACATCATTCATCCGGCCGAAGTTAAGAGGCTATTAGTTCAGCGTCAGGCAGGATTAGGGGCAACTGCATTGGAGGCCGACGATAGCACCGAGGTGGAGCGCATCGAGCAACATAATCTGGAGCCATTAAAGGCGAATAACGGAGGCTGGAGTTAGGAACCTTCCTTGGAATTTGTTAATAGATATTTTCATTTGCATGATTCTTTGTAACATCTGCATCCTATTCTGGCATTTCAGCTTTTATCGCGGCTGCTGCGGGTGGTTTCTTGCTCTCTGCTGATGGCGACCTCCCAACTGTATTTAGCGACTCATTTACGATCTAGCGCGGTCATCTTTCGCTAGTTCACTGGGCATCCTTCACTAATTCTTGCGCCCTCTTAACTGATCCATAATAATCATTACCAATAATCTCTGGACCCTGAAATCGCAATTCTTATCTTCATGAAATCTTTCCCGCCCATACCACCCCACTTCTCAAATCTTCCACCTTTGTAGATTTTATTTCCTCTCTCTCTCTCCTTCTTTTTCCCTTTTAATCTTCCAAACTTCTTCGCTCCCTCTCATTTGGCTAGATTTACAATTCTATTCTCTCTACTTACTGTACTCCACCGCCATGGCAACACCCTACCAAAAGGCGCTTTCGGCCATTGACGCCGCCCATGCCGCCGATCCAAGAGTCACAACCACCACAGACGGCCAACAAGTCCCTTACGAACTCCACTACGCCCGTAAAATGACAAGTTACCTTGAAAAAGTTGATCCGAATGCGTCCGAAGTTCTCCGACTCGCTATTCGCGCACAACATCTCCGGCGCTGGGAAGTTCCCCGAGACACATACCCAATGACCCGGCCGGGATACTTTAGCTGGCGGACAGCTCTGAAGAAACGCCAGGCCGAGCTGGGGCAACAAATTTGCCTCGACAGCGGACTGTCGGCTTCAGACGCGGAGCGCATTGCGGCGCTGATTCGGAAAGAGAATCTCAAGGCGGACACGGAGACGCAGACCCTCGAGGACGTAGCGTGTCTAGTGTTTCTGGACGATCAGTTTGAAGAGTTTGAGAAGAATTATGATGAGGAAAAGATCATTTCCATCTTGAAAAAGACGTGGGTCAAAATGTCGGACAGAGCGCACGACCTGGCGCTGCAGATTGACTTGTCGGAACGTGCAAAGGGGCTCGTAGGAAGAGCGCTCGCGGGCTAAGTTGGATGAGGATCTTCGTCGGCGTGTGTTGCGCACCTCAGAAACGAGGAGCGCACGGGCACAGGAGCAGTGGAGACTGGCTAGAGTACGATCAGGCCAGACAGGCGCTATCTTCGGACTTCAGAGCGAGGAGTGACCTGGCGGGAGCAGAGGAACCCTGTCCTCTGAGCACAAGAGTATAACATTTTGAGTTGGGGTGATGATTTCCGAAACAATTCAGGTCTCGCGTTTTCGCGGCCCTCAGAGAAGCTACGGTGAGCATACGGAATCAAGGTCTCTGGTTCTACGCAAAGCTCTCTCTCTGTGTCTCCAGTGTCGATAATGACGCTCTTGGAGACTGTCTATCTAGAGCAACCTCTACCGTCAGCTTCTTTCATCGCATGCAGCAAAGGAAGGATCCCCCACCCTAGGACCAGGACAAGGCTTGATCACGTCTCAATTTCACTTGAAAAATATGTAATTTGTCATTACTTTTTATACCCTTTTCAAATATCAGGTTTTCTTTGTTTGTATATACTTCATAGATCCATACTATGATTATAAAATTTCTGTTCATTCAGGCAATATTCCTTTTTTCCGAACGAACCAACGTTACTTTGAATTAAAGACCTAAGAGTGTTTTATGGATGTCCTAAACCTAAAAGAAAGAGAAAGATTTAAAGAATAAAGAGATTTATGAGCTAGAATAAATTAGAGGTCCCAAAAAATTGGCGCGATGGCAATGTATAAAAAATAGTGTATTGATATACCATCTCGACGAACAACATCTACATCCTGAACCATTCCATAACTAAAAAATACCAAGACATACCCAATATAATTCAACCTTCCAGGTTAAAGCAGCCCCCCAAATCCAGCAATGTTCTAGCGAAAGCTTCAACGAACTCGCAAAGTCTTGGCGCCATTTCGCTCGCGCACGAGACTACCCAACCTCCCATCCTCACGCCCATGGAGTCGTTAACGTCGTCTCGTCGTCCCGTCGTCCGTGCCATATGACACTGCCCTGCTGAACTCGACCATCTTCACAAATGGTGGACATTTCTGCTGCAGTTGAGACAACACTACAATAACATCTCATTTGTATTCTACTATCCTTAACTTCACTCTTTCATCAAATCGAGGTTTGCAAGAGATGACAAATGACGTCACAGGCACCAAGCGCAACATATCTCCCGTACAATGAGCCTGAGATTGTCACTATCCTCATCCAGTCTTCCTTTCTTTTGCTGCTGAATCTTGTCAATCATGTTCTAGACCGCTTGATTTACTGCGGACTTGTGGGACAAGTGTTTATCGGCATCGCATGGGGCACGCCTGGTGCAAAATGGTTGGATACGGCTGCCGAAGAAGCGTTTATGCAGGTTGGGTATCTGGGGCTGATTTTGCTTGTTTATGAGGGTGAGTAGATGAATTTTGAGCTTGCGTTCCTCTCTAGGCTTGCCAGTTTATTTCTCAATTTATCTACTTCTTTTTATTTCTTTTTCGTCATTTTTATGTATTTTAGGTTGCAAAATTTAATTGGCTTTGTTGTTGTACACGTTTGCTATTTACACGCCAGATATTTATTGTAATTACTGGTGTTTTCCCCTTTCACGTCTGTCTTTGAATACTGCATAAAATTCCTTGATTAACACTGGTTTGCATCGATGCCATCCATATGTTTCAGCCTATTGACGTCTACGCATACAAAATGACAAATCCTTTGATCTTCACTAACGCATCAAGATAGGCGGCCTCTCCACATCCTACTCTGCCCTTAGAAAGGATCTTCTTCTCTCAGTAGGCGTGGCAGCCACGGGCGTTGCTTTACCGATTGGATTATCCTATTCACTCCAAGGCATCGCCGGCGCAAGTAAACTCGAATCATTCGCCGCCGGAGCAGCATTATGTTCGACGAGCCTTGGCACGACCTTTACCGTGCTGAGCACCAGCGGACTTGCTTCGACACGTCTTGGGGTGGTCCTCAGCAGTGCGGCCATGCTGGACGACATTGTAGGTCTAGTCATGGCTCAGCTCATATCCAACATGCATGGATCCACATTCTCTCTTAGCCCTATCACGATTGTCCGTCCCATTTTAGTATTTATAGGTCTGATTATTGCACTGTTACTGGCTTGCCGGTTTGTCATTTTGCCAGCTACGCGTGGCTTGAATGCACTCCGGCGCCGCTCACCGAATGGAAATCTCCAATGGGCATTGTCCAGAAAAGAGACGGCAATCCTAATGCATATCCTCGTCCTGGTGGGACTGATTGCCGGAGCTACATGTGCTGGCACATCGAATCTTCTTGCGGCTTATCTGGCAGGCGCCAGCCTCAGTTGGTGGGATACAGACGTGGAGCATTCCACGATGAAGGAAGAATCGCTAGCATCATTGAACTCTTCGCAGAATGGAAATAGAGAACCTGCCAGGGCAGAACTTACGGTTGTAAACTCTACCAATACCCAGACATCTGAACAAAACCCTACTTCCCGAGAGGAACGAGATATTGGCAATGCCTCGGAGAGCATAAACGGGACTTCGTCTCGTACGTCAGGTGTTGAAATATATCACGACTATTTTTCCGCAGCTGTACAGAGAATCCTCAAGCCGTTATTTTTTGTAAGTACATGCCTTTCCCTTCCCCCTCCAGTGCCTACCTGATAGCTATACCTTCCCCCCCCCTTTACCTCCTGCACCTGACGCTCATAGCATACAACCAAACAATAAAACTGACACCAAAATCCCATTACAGGCATCAATCGGCTTCTCCATCCCCATCTCTCAACTCTTCTCCCCCAGAATCATCTGGCGCGGCATTGTATATGCGATACTCATGACCCTAGGAAAACTCGCATGCGGGCTCTGGCTTGTCCGCGTCCATTCTGGGTTTCTCCATGGAATACCATCATTCTCGCTGGCATGTTCTTCGTCTATTGCCCGGTCATGCTTATCTTCCGTGCGGTCATGTATCCGTACATCTTCTTGTCATCTCCAGCACCTCCTTTCGCCACGACGAATATTTTCTTCCGTATCTGAAAAGTCGCAGCGAGAAGACGAGACCACAACCAACTCCAAGCCCGCTACCAATACCGATGCTGGCACACCCGCTGGCACTGGCGCAGATACAGACACTTCCATGGACAATCCTATGTCTAGTCAGGAGGATGTAAATACCTCTCGTGCCACTCCTACTCCTTCTATGTCTGCGACTGCAACTACAGACCCCACCATGCTACCATCACAACATGCTCCACCACCAGCGCGCTCCGTCTCAGCCTCTGCCTCTGCCTCACCTTCAAGTCCCGCTCCCGGGGGAGAGCCGCGGCCACCCCAACCCCGCTCCCTCTACCCCGCCACTATCCTCGGCACAGCCATGACGGTGCGCGGTGAGATCGGCCTACTCGTTTCCTCGCTCGGGCGGTCTCGCGGCGTTCTTTCGCAGAACGTCTACCTCCTCGCGACGTGGGCTATTCTCATATGTACCATTGCTGGGGCAGTGAGTGTGGGCCTGCTCGTGCGGCGGGTCAAGAGGTTGCAGCTGGAGAGATGTCGGACTGTGCGGGGTGTTGTCACCGCCCACACCGACGCCGCCGCCACTGATGGAGAAGGGACCCAGGCAAGAGGAGGAGCAGGCCAAACCGGACAGCATGATCATTCTGATGGCGACGACAATAGAGATCCTGGCGATCCACTAGGCGCATGGGGTGTTTTCTAGACCATACTTTCATACTTACCTACCTACTCACTCTCAAATTACTGCATTCTTGTACAAAATTACATACGGTAGGTATATAGCATAAGATAAAAAACGTATACTTTAGTCCGACACATGAGAACCAGATTAATCAGAATCATGATAATTTATTTAGATTTGATAGCTTATTTTATTTACTCTGGTAAATACTATTTATCTCATATCTGAACGTACGAGTGCCATGTATGAATATAAGTAAGGTCAAGTTTTTTGTGCTGTTAATATTTGAGCGACTTCAGAAGCAGCGCACAAGAAAAAAAAAAAACATAAAACAGGGCGGCGGGGCGCGAGAAAGTGTTTTCTGCGGAATAAAGAAGTAAAGAGAGGAGAGAGAGAGAGCGAGAAAAATGGAAACTCAATCTGCCTCTGCCTTAGCCTCTGCGGTCACCGCTATCGTAACCGCTCCCGCTGCCGGCGCCGCTTCCGCGTCATTTGTAATCTGTAATGTATTTTCCGTGTCAACGACAGGACGGAAACTAGGTTCATAAAAAAAACAAAAGAGAGCATATGTTTGGCAAGAACGTGCCGAATCAATAATTACGAATTGCGGCGAGACGTTGGAGAAGAAGAGGTAGTGGAAAGAAAAGAAAAGAAAGGAAAATAAACGACCAAGGATAACAACAAGGAACGCGACCAACGCCGTGAAAGAACCGCCGTTTGCCCTGATCCAGCCAGTAACGCCATACCCGTGAAATACGATTTGGAGGAAGAGTGATAAGGGGAAAATAAGGCTGAAAGTACCAGAGCACGAGCCAAGAATGAGGATTGCGAATCTTGGTCGCGTGGTACAGAAGAAGTTGGACAGTGAGAAAAGAATGCGGGAAAAAGACTTGAAAAAAGGGGGTGAGGCTGAGGAAAAATAATAGTGAGAAAAAAAGAAGAATTGAAGAAAAAGAGCAACGCTTAAAACGGGTATACCCAAAGCCGAATTTTTCCAAAATTAATGAAAAGTTGCAGTGTCAGACGGTGACATTGCGGTTTGTAAGGGGTGCAAAGAACCCTTTGCAAGCAAGCAAGCATCGGCATAAAGAGGCGAACATCTTTGCGATGACAAGAACGGGGCTAAGACGAGAAGAAACGTCTGCGCACCCGCAAAGAACTTGAGTCGAAACACAGAAGCGGTAGACGAGAGAGACATAGAGAGGCGACCGTAACTGTAGTGCCAATATCTGTAAATCATAAACGGATGACTGACGAAAGGAGGTCATGACGGGTTGGATCTCGGGTTGCTGCGCCTTTGAGCACTGAAGTTGTCGCTCCCCGGCAGTAAGAGCAAAAGCCGCTTTTTGGCTGTCTGGCAGATGAGAAAAATGCCGATATTTGTAGTGTGCAGCAACAATTCGCTGAACCATGCAACACGCGTTATCGGGCGCCGATCCCACTGCCGACTCCTACCATGCCCACTCCATAAGAGCCTCCTCGGCCTCCTAGAGGTGGCGGACTTTTACCGACAGAATCCTATAGACAGTTAGTATTGGTAGAGTAGGAATTTGCGGAGACCATGAGAAATGCAACAAGGGCTGTACCTTTCGCCGCTTCTTTTTCGAAGCATTGGCCCTCCGTCCGTCGTCGTCATCTCCCGTCGAAAAACCAAGTTCTCCGTCATCATCGCCATATCCCTCACCGTATCCAGCAAAGCTGCTTTCGCGATAGCTGCGCTTCTTTCCGCTACGCCGTGGCCGATCAATCGGCGTGGTAGGAGATGGAGCAGCGGCGGCTGCTGCTCCTCGTGATGTGCTAGCATCTGCTTGAGATGCGCTACCGCCGGCGACGCCTTGAAGGCCTTGCTTCTTCCCACCGGCACCAGAGACATCGCGCAATGTATCATCATCCAATCCCAGAACTGTCCGCCACTTGTCGTCGTCGGGTATTGGTCCGGGTTCCATAGTCATAGCCTTGTCAAGCTTGGCCATGAGCGCGTCACCGAGTCCCTTAGTCATCTCTTTTCCAAACAACTTCTGGTTCTGCCACTCCTCGTCTGGCCATTGCACCAGTTCCAACAAACCACCGGGCTGGCCTTCTTCGTGCTTGGCCGGCTTATTTTTTCCTGCCAAGTTGAAATCTTTAATCTTTCCCTCGTATGATTTCCGGAGCTTGTTAATCTTTTGGCCAAACTTATCCTTTCGGGCCACCGTTGCCGCCAACGGGTCCAGACCATACAGGGATATCAGATTCTGAGTAGGTTGGGGCCGCGTAGGCGGATGAGCTATTCATTTGGAAAAGTCCCGTGTTAACCAATCAAACTGTTCTACGAGCGTAAGAGCAGCAGAGAGGTGTGCAACGCGAGGTGGAAGTAATATGTGCGAGACGGGTTGATAATTTGGAAAAGGGAAAAGGGGTTTCCTTACGAGATTTTAGAAGGAGATAAGGTTGGCCAATATCGGCGTGAAGCCTTTCAAGACCGATCTTGCCTTCTATTGATAATTCCTCGCCATGCCGAGCTCCCTGGTCAATACCTTTGCCCTTGTCCTGTCCGCTTACCCTTGAGCTACCGTCGCCGGGCTCAACAACTGAAGCTTGTCGTTCGTGATTTGTGTAGTCTGAAACATTCCTGTCAATTGCCATGGCATCGTCCGCAATGCCTGTGGTGGCATGCGACGTCACTTCGCCTGGTGGCCCATCGCTTTCACTCATCTGCACGTCTCCATCATCCGGTTGGGTGGAAGGAGGAACCGTCCCCGCAGTACTGCTAGCAGGGGTAGGAAAGGTGTTCGTTGTCGTAGTGATGATCGGTTGTGACCCGGGTTTAGAAGAGGAAGAATTTGGAGGGCTGTCCATCAACTGAGAAGAGGGCTGACTCGTCATGGTAGACGGCGCTTGATGGGCCGCGGGAGAAGGAACATGATTCTGAGGAGTCGAGGACATCAATGAAGGTGAGTCTGGGGTATTAGGTCCAGCGAATACAGGGCGTGATGAAATATCGTCAAGCTTCGGGCTGGAAGAAGCAGATGCCGGTGAAAGAGGTCTTGCCTGACGTGCCGCAATCCGGGGAGGACCAGACATGTGGTTGGGGGAAGAAAAAAGCGGCGATATCCCCGGCGAAGGCGACGAATGAGGAGTCGGTGACAGACAGTCGCCCAGAAAAGAGGACAACCGGCGCAATCAACGTCCACAGTGGACTGGGCACCGACGAGGCCTCGTTGGATTGCTCAACGGGTTTGAGAGAAGGACATCCAATCCGGCGCGAAGCTCGAAAGAGACAGAATAAAGGGCCAGAAGGCGCCACCCAAGGACCAGTTGGCACTCGTCCGAGTCAAATAGCTCCAAAGTCGGAAACAAATCCGCCCTGAAACCAAAGGAGCGTAAACGGGGGTAAAAAAGGGCGCAAGATGCTGGACGGTGAAGTTGATGGCAGTGGTGATGGTTGGTTGAAGACGAAGATTGACGATGGGTCGACTGGTGATGGCTGATGTAAGGATCCGCGGGTCCTTGGGGCCGATTCCGTCGCTTACGGTAACTTATTATTGTACGAGAGATCTCTCAATAAAGATGAGATGAATAGATTCTACTTTGTCTATTATCATCCGTCTTTGCTTTTTCCCTTTGGTCGATATCGGAAAGGGCCGAATGCCTTTTTCTTTTTCCCGTGATCGACGATCAATTGATTGATTATTATTCTCCTTCATTCGTTCAATCTTAGTGGTCAAATTGCATTCCTCATAGACATCACGTGATCAGGCGTTTCCTTTGTTCGCGACTCCTCCCTTCCCGCGACAAGTGACAGGAAAAGGGAACGTGTTGACAGTCAATCAATTCGTCTCTGACTCTTGAGGACATGGACGAAGATTTTGGAGATGACGCAGCCTTTGTTGCTGCTGTTAATGCTGTCGAACGCAACTATACTCCTAAGCCCATTTCCGCCACCGCACGACAACAATCACAACCACAACCACAAGCTCAAGCCAGACCAGCGACGACAATAGGCGCGAGACCGGCAGCAGCATCTTCATCCTCTTCAGCAACAGGACCTCCCAAAGTCCAACAGCCAAAACCTCAAGTCATACCCGGCGCGCGCTCTGGGCCCTCGTCGATTCTCGTGTCGCCACGGCAAAAAGGCAATCCGATCCTAAACAACGTGCGCTCCTTGCCATGGGAATACTCCGACATACCCGCCGACTACGTGTTGGGTGGGACGACATGCGCATTGTTTCTATCGCTCAAATATCACCGCCTGCATCCTGAATATGTATACTCGCGCATTCGACAACTGGGGCATAAATACAACCTACGAATCCTCCTTACCATGGTAGACATCACAAACCACGAGGAATCGCTCAAGGAACTATCCAAGACGAGCCTCGTGAATGATCTGACGTTGATCCTCTGCTGGAGCGCGGCCGAAGCAGGTCGCTATCTCGAATTATTCAAATCATGCGAACACACTGCCCCGACATCGATCCGGGCAGCGCAAGCAACGTCCTACGCGGACAAGGTCGTCGAATTTGTCACCGTGCCGCGCAGCATCAACAAGACAGACGCGCTGGGGTTGGTGTCAAGCTTCGGGAGCGTGCGCGCAGGAGTCAATGCGCGACCAGAAGAACTCTCGCTCATGGCAGGCTGGGGAGAGGCCAAGGTGCAGCGATGGACGAGCGCTGTGCGAGAGAATTTCCGAGTCAAGAGGACTGCGCGCAGGACAGCTGGCACGGGTGTGGATGGTAGTGTCGCTGGTCTGAGCCGAGAAACAAGCAGACGAGATTATATGCCAACCACCAGTCGAGAAGATAGCCTGTTCGAAGAGACTGAGGATGTCCTGGATAGAGCGTCAATTACGCCCGCCGCGTCGGTGACACCTGCGCGTACGCCTATTCCTATCGGCACTGTACCAGCTCGACATTCCGCAGCTACGGCTGCAGCTGTACGGTCGTCACAATCAGGGTCTGCCACGCCAAATATACTGCCTCTACCTTCTGCTGCTGCTGCAGGAGGAGGACGAGGTGGTGGTGGTAGTAGTACTGCTAATCCAGCCAAACCGCCCGCTCATACTTCCGAAATGGACCATTTCGCCGACGACGAAGAAGCGCTACTTGCTGCTTCGGAAATGCAGCCTGCACCACCATCATCATCATCATCATCATCTCATCACCGCAACAAGCGAACAGACGAGCCTCCCCTCAGCGAGGGCATCATGGCCGCACTCGCCAAATTTCGTCAAGAGAAATAACGCATCTTACGTATCACGACTTATGTTCAAGCCACTTTATATCACTCATGCCCATATTCATTCTCTGTCCCACTCTCTGTCCCACTCTCAATCACCCTCACACATGTCCATGTACATATTCGAGCCCACATCTTTACTCGTCCATCTACTCATCTCAATATGCTCATCTCCTCAAAAGGTCCCATAGGCGTCATATACCCTCCTTTGAGTTTGTTTTATCTTTTTTATTTTTATTGTTACCCTACCCCCCCGAAAGATTTTTTCATCAATACGAATACCAGAAATGCATATCCTACATTGCTGTCCTACCTTACTATCTGACATTATATCCTGCATTACTATTCTCTATTATATCTTTCCACTATACATATTTTTGCAAAATATATACCACAAAGAACTTTGTTACTTCATGAACTCACACGGTATATACACGTCGGTAACGCCTCAATTCACCACTGCACTCAATCTGATTTATTTGGCCTGACCCTTGGATTAAATAACTGGAAATGTAGTAAAGAGATTAAAATAAGGAAATAAAATTAAATATCACGTCAAAAAATATCAAAAATATCAAAAATATAAAAAAGAAACACCGATCACGCTGGGACTCGAACCCAGAATCTTTGCCAGACTTGGAAATGACTTATCCGATAGAAGAACCGGAAAGCAACGCCTTACCATTAGGCCACGCGACCTGATTGGATGGAATAGTCAAGCGCAAATGTGGTAGACATCCCTTTGCACTGCCCACCTTTCCACCCACCAGGCCACCAATTCGCGGATCGACGGGCAACCGGGTTTCGCAGCCAAAGTTCACCGCCTCGACCGCTCGACCGCTCTTCAGGTTCCGTCACTCGGTCATCCCAACCAACGTTTGTCCTTTGTAGTGACATATTTTTACAAACCTCCTCTTTATTCAGCTGCATTTTGGTTCTTAATTGGAGCTGAAAACATAGCGACCGTGGCTTGTCATTGAATAGAGAGGAGAAAAAAAGGGAAAAAGAAAAAGAAAATATTAGAAATTGGGAGATAGTTATCGGGTTCCAGTTCACAAATGACAAGAGTATCTACAATTTTAGACGTTACGTACAAGGCAAAGAGAACTACCATGACCTTTTATTTTGATAAATTGTTTTGATTCAGGCGGCAGTGTCGCCGAATGGAATAATCTTTTGAGTGGTAGTTAGATGATGCAACGTGAATGAATGATGCTAGGTTTGCAGCACAGGGGACTTTAAATGTTATACTTCGGGTAAGCCAGCCTATAATATAAGAATGCGATAAAAGAGCCTGTGAATCGAAAAAAAAAAGGAGCAAAACGACACCAGAGGAAGACGATTTTGCACTTGTTTGCCGACCACAATTTCGATGTCCGTAGTAATAGGACAATCAGCTGCGTCGCATTTGCATGCTAATCGACTAGTGCCGTGTTTGCTTCAACCTTTTGGCTGGCTAGACCCGAATCAAATGTCCGACTCTTCCTCAGTAGACCTTCTTCTTCTCATCAACGCTAAATTGACCAGGTCCCATGTTGACCAGGAGGAGCAGACCGCCACTAGAAGGGCAAACAAGTTAGCATGAACCTTGACAAGAATTCGTACACTCATCTACTTACACAATGGAAAGGATTTGGAAGAAGTCGTACTTCGCAAAGTCCTTTTGAGGGTGGTGCTGGTGGAGCTGTTTGATTCACAATATTTAGTAAACGGACCTTTTGAATCGCTCATGCGCAAAGATCAAAGCTTACCGTCCAGAAGTTGTTCACCAAGAGATTAAAGATACTGAGAATGACGACGAGCATGGTGGCACTCCACTTGGCCTTGAAGCCAACTACAACCATGACGCACGCAATGAAGCCAAGCACGCTGACCAGGACGCGACCAAAACCCCATTCTCCGGCAAAGACAAATCCAATAAAGAGGAAAATAAGGAGGACTCTGCCAGCAAGCTGAAAGTACATTTTCCGGTCCTTCTCATCGAGCTGAGGCAGTCCAGCCGGAGCGAACCGCTTGCGGACCCATGAATCGGAGAGCACCATGAGCAAACCGCCCATGACAGAGAGGTTGCGAAGGAAAAAGTTGAGATCAAAAATCAAACCGTATCCCAGGGCCTGCGTAATGACCACGCCAATGAGACCGGCGACCGCGTACTCTGAATGCTTACGGGCAATAACAAAGGTACTGCAGATGAGCATAGCAATGACGTTGCCCAAGAGGAAGAGGTGTGTGATACCGCTGGGAACTGTTCCTCCTGTATTAGAACGAGCCTTTCTCCACAAAAAATTTAAGGCGAGGTATGAGCGTACTATGTCTATAGTCATGCAGGTAGATGAGCTGGTCCGTCCATTGGGTGACGATCCGCAAAGCATCCTCAAGGAACGTCACAACAATCAAGAAGCGGCCAATGGCAGGCAGATACCTAGAGCCAATAATCGTAAGCAGAGTGTAAGAGCTAACAAAAGGGAGTGTTGATCAAGGTGTTGTTTGTATGAAGCTTGTGTCTGGAGCTTTCCTCGGCGGCTTGGTCACAATCAGGCTTCACAAATCCCCTTAAGGGAAACTTGATTGCAACTCCAGCTGGCGCCGACAACAAGGCGACTTCGTGTGATATGCCAAAAGACCAGTGAATGCCCCCAAAAAAAAGGAATATCCAGACTTACGGCTTCACTGGATCCGCAATGGTATCTAACCAGTCCTCGATTTTGCTTGTCTGTTGCCGGATAGCATCGAGCGGGCTCGGGTCGTCGGTGGCATTCATTTGTCCTGGGCCGCCAAAGGGACTGCGGTTGCCCAGATTATAGTTTGCTGTTCCTCGAATATGGGACATTTGTGCAACTCAAAAGCTTTGAAGAGCTGTAGAAAGTTATCGTCCAAGGATCTGTAGTGACAGTAGCTCCGGTGACCCTGGATGTCGGGAGTAGTGGATATTGGTGTAAAGCAGCTCTCCCAGCGTCGGAGAGACAGAAATTCAGATGATGTGAAGATTTGAGGACACAACCCGGTGATTGGCGTGACTGTAATGCTGATTTTGTCTTAATTGGTTGATGCGTTGGACCAAACAAAGAAGCCACCCACCTTCCCAAATCAATGCGATTCCTTCCTTTGGATCGGGCGCTGTCTAATGAACAGTCACAGTATCTGACAATCGGGCCTTTTTTATGCTTCTTCTGAGCAAGGCGTTGTTTGGTTCGGTGGACTTATATGATAGGCACGTATACAATGAATGCGAGGAACTCGTTGGCACACAGCTCCGCCAAGGTGTAGTGAGTACAGTATGGTACACTTTGGTATGTACCAGAAGTATAAGTGCTGAGAACAACCGTTTGGAAACAGACCTCCCGCCGAGCTGAAGTTGACCAAAGGAAGCTCAGAAATGGATGCGGGGAATTTGTTGGAGGTGACTATGGTTGATTGATCGATCGTCAAACAGGTGCTATAGAAGCTGGCCGTTGTTTGGCTTTGGAGAAGGACACGACAACCAATACCAAGATCCTCGGAGTCGGGACCGAGGGGTCGAGAATAGTCGAAGCGGGTTAAACGACCACATTATTGCGTATGAGGAAGGAATGACCCAGGGAACCACCAAGCGAAGCGAGACACCTCTTTTGGCACCGAGCACACCACGTCCACCATCATCGATAATCAGGATTATTAACCTGCCACACAACAATTGAATCTGGATCAAACTGCATACATTCTGATCAAAAAATGTCTCTGTGCCTTCAGGACTCTTCTGCCCCAATGTGATCGGGGCTCACCGTGAGGGTTGAATGATTTTATTACGTGACTTTTCAAACATTCTACAGTCGACGGTCAAGGAGGTCTCACTCTTTCTCCGATTCAGTAAGATCTGATTGCCTCCAAAAACGGTTGACCCTAATGATACATATGGAAACGTTCGTCAAAAAAGCATAAAAACAGTGCGATCAAATAGACATTGAAGGATTGATGCATTGTAAAATACAGGTAAACCGGAATGGAAAATTGGGCACCTTCAAATCAGTCCACAGTATAATGTTTTTGTCATCTACATGCCAGCAGTAGCAGTGACCTGCGACGATGCGCCCATCAAAGCAGTAACGAAGGTTATAAGCAAAAGGAAGCGACAAAGAAAGAGTAACCAGCGAAAATTTCAAAGTCGCATGTAGAATTGGAACCTCCAAACAAGAGCAGATTTTTTTGAATCCGTACAGAGTATATTATCTGCAAGCATGAAAAGGAAGAAAACAAAGGCGTATTGGAAGCACCCTGGCAAATCATGCATATTCCTCGTTGAGATCAACGCGTACAAGCGCTGATCTTATAGGCGGAGAGATGCCAAAGCCATTTAATAATAAAGACTGAACGCAAGGGAGCATCCGAAGTGACGTCGATGAAGATTTAGTGAGAAACGAAAACATGACCCAGAGGAGCGCCTCTCAGAGCACAATCAGCAATAGCCAGTAACTCAGGCAGACGATCACTGAGTTCCTTTTCTTGGCCGCACCTAGGTGACAATTAAAATGGAGGTGCTTTGTAGTACAAGTGCTTTGACTGCACAACTCGAAGGCATAATATGTTCAATTGTCAAAAGCACAAGCAGTGTTGCAAGGTTTCTAAGCGACCGCCCAGTCAGAGTCCAATGGATTTGGCTTCCACGTAGGGAAGAAAGCTTGCGAAGGGGCAGCAGAGGAGGTCTGGATATCGGCCACCTCAGGATTGGGCGTTTTGACGGAAGGGGTTGTTGAAGCGCTGATTTTCGCAGTGGCAGGCTTCTCCACATCACTGCTCTCATTGCCGGTCGTTTGCTCGCCGGCCTGTCCTGGACCCTTCTTACCCTTGCGTCCTTTGGCAACGGTGTTCCAGCCAGATTCCTTCTCTATCTCATTGATCATGCGCATCTGCTCCTCCTCCGACGGGACTTCACGCTCCCACACGTTCGAATTGGTTGTGACCGAGGTGTTGTTGGATGCACCCTCGTTAGTGCTGGTGCTCGCACCATCATCATGCTCAAAGGTGTCCAATAATGGAGCATCGCTGACAACGACCGGCGGTACGTTTGCCGTCGACTTTGTGTTCCAGGCATTGGTGGACTGAGCAGGACCCAAGCCGTTCTTAGCCGGGCGTCCTTCTGCCTCTCTGGCAGTTCGCCGCTGCTTCTCCATCAGCTCGCGGCGCTGTTTCTCTGTCTCTTCGCGCATCTGCTTCAATTCTTCGTTCTTCCGTCTGTTCTGGCGTTGCTTCTTGGACTCGACCGGTTCAGCAGCACGCTGTGACTTAGTTGGCTTGGCACGGGCAGGCTGGGTAGACTCAGTCAGGCGAAGAACAGAGGGGCCAGCAGCCGGAGCTTCAAGCATGTCCGAAACATCACCAGCACGAACAGCAGGCGAGACCGCAGGGGAAAGGTCGTCGTCGGCATCCGCACCAGCAGTCGACGAGGCAGCAGACAATCTTTGATTTCCACCGTGGGCGGCAGGCGACAAGGTAGTGCCGGCCTTCAGACCTGCAAGCTGCTTTGCAAACTCCTTGTTGCTCACAACGTCATCGGCGGTATCAGGCTCTTCAGCAGACTGAACAGCGGGCACCTTCACTTCCGAGCTAAGGCCAGAAGGCTTATTTTTCTTAGAGGCCTTGCGATTCTTCTTCTTTGCGCCTTCAGTTCCAGAGGATGTGGCTGAAGGAGCTTCAGCAATATCACTTCCACCGAAGTCGGTATTCTCGTTGCCGACATCCTTCCGACGTTTTGCCTTGTTCTCTTCGCGACGTTTGGTCGTTTTGGGCTGACTTTGTTCAGAGGCAAGTTGGGCACGGGCTTGTTTGCCCTTTGCAGCATTTTGATTCTGATAATACCACCAAGCGGCTCCTCCTCCCAGAAGGACAATTGTCCAAGACTGCCACGGCTCCATATTCGAACAAGAAGTATATGTTTAGCTCAAATCTATTTGAATTTGTTAATTATGATCAGCCAAAGACGGATGTTGCCTGGTATAACTCACGAGATATTTACTCAGATGACAGATGAAAGACCTCACCTGAAGATATCCTGAAGAAGCCAGCGATGGGGCTGGATTGGTCAGAGGCCAGTAGAAAGGCGCCCCGGAATCAACGATTTTGAGGCACGCTGGACTCCTCGACAATTGACGCTGCGTTGTTATTGCAGTTCGCGCCTCCTCTTGAAGATGGGGAGGTTATGGCGTGGTGTGAATGGTGGAACGGAAAGCAAGGGCACCAAGAGGGATGCTTAGGCAAGACCTAGCAGAGGGGAAGAGGTAAGCACCTGGTACGGCGCCAATGGGGTCTCCAAAAGCCGAAAGAGCTTAGGAGACTGCGAGGGAGCAAAAAGTGGCTTTTGCCCTCGAGAAGCTGGGGGATTTGATACGGGTTGATTCCTCAAAGGAGGGTTGTTTGGAGAGCAGCTGTCTGGAGAAGACGAGAACACCTTTGAGCCTTCCTTGGCGAAAGACTGGCGTGGCCTTAGGCGAGCAAGGGGATTGGATGATAGCTTGTCGTACTTCCAAACAAGGGATGAACGAGATGGTGTGGTGGGGAGAGGTACAGGTACATTGAAGAGCGGCAAGGTACCGTATTTTCAGTGGGTCTTCAATGTCTAACCGATATGCCTTAATGAGGCGACAAGTACAACTACCTCTTGTGGCTACTTTAGGAGTACGTCGACTCTTGATTCTCAACTATCCATCTCGGACCTGCGTCTTTTCGTCCAATAACTGGGGATGTTATTGTACAATGCAGCAATTAACATTCATATGATGGTAAGGGCTCACATTCTGTTCCTTCAAGCCATCGCGAGCTCCTTGAAGCTCCTCCCAACTTGCTACCTTGCACCTTCTCATTACTCGAGCCTCCAGAAACCCTGAACAAAACCGCAGTACGGAGTATAGCCTATATACGGGTTCTCCGTGCTTTCCTTGCCCAAGCTCAGGGGTCGTGGGTTCCCCGCAAATGGCCAAAATCTAATCAGTATCACGTGACAGCTCAGAGCATGGAAACAAATCGACTCACAGAAACATGACAGTGCTTTGTACTTATCGGTGTTTCTGACGATATTTCAGGGCATGTCCCCTCTGACGTCGGCCCTGATCACTCATGCTGAAGAGTTTCAGGGTGCTGGATCGGCCATTGCTAAAAGCCGAACCCTGACAGCCATAGCTAGGGCCGAAACGTTCCTGCGTGCAACCTTAATTAGGCAGTTCTATGCGTTTTGGCGTCATTCGTTGCTCCACCGCGTACGGAGTACTCAGCGGCAAAGTGGATAAATCTACGGAGTACACTTCCCGGAGAGCATCCATAAACAATTGAAATACGGCTGCAATGCCGCTACCATAGATATTTTGGACCTGCCCGTCTCTGACTTCCAGGAGTTCCAGCTTGATATCCTTGCCTTGTATTTAAGGGACCAAAATTAATTGTATTCTCCTTTTCTTTTCTATTTTGATACCGTGCTCTTGGTTGTTCTGGTTTTGGTCTCTCTCGCTGTCTTGTGTTTATTTTATAATGACTCTCAAACGCCTCACATTATCTTGCGCGAGCATCGCCATATTTGCGTTCAGCGTATCAGCTCGGAATATAGTCTTTCCGCCAATTGCTGGTGTGAATGGTCTGATCGGGTCCGATACACAAGCGGCGCTTTCGTCTGATAACGCACCTTTGCATATTGGCTTGAAATTTCAGGGATTGACAACATTTGCAAATCTTCCTTACGTATTCTGTCTGTCTGAGGAGCAAAATATTGAGTCATATGACATTGCCTTTCTTGGAGCCCCATTTGACACCGTAAGTATTAGTATTGTTGTCGATAGCAGATTTGCAGCAGTGGCGCACGACAGCAAGAAAGGGACCATTATCTTATCCCCAGGCTGGTCCTCTGCCGGAGCAGATATGTAATAATTGAGGCTACAATAACAGGGCGTCACTGGCAGACCTGGTGCTCGTTTTGGACCCCGCGGCATCCGACAAGGTTCGCATCGGATGAGTCCAGAGGCGGGCTATAACATATATGCTGGTCAGTTAATAACCTCTCCTACGTTGCTTCTTATAGTTTTATGGCACATCTAAGACATGCTGGGTCTAACAGGCTCCAATGCTTTCCTCGACTGGGCAAAAATCGTTGACTGTGGTGATGTGCCGCTTACCGTTCTGGACAATACATATGCACTCAAGCAGTTGGACAGGGCACACAAGGTAACCTAGCAAACTTGGAAAGGAATTACGGATCCTGTTACTGAGGAGAATATTTCTATAAAGGTCGTCTCGGGTAGGACTGCAAACTCGACAGAAAAGTCTTCCGTTCCTCGTATCATCACATTGGGCGGAGATCATACTACGACTTTGAGCGCATTGAGGTCGACGTTTGATAATTGGGATAAAGTCAGTGTTATCCATTTCGACAGTCATCTGGGTAAGAAATAGCCAATCCATTCATGCTCAAGCATTAAGAACTGGGTCTTTTGTCAATCTCTCTCACCTAAATAAATGCTGACCTGCATCTAGATACCTGGCGTCCCGATGTGCTTGGTAAGCTCCCTTTCGATCACGTCTCTCTTCAGAAAGGCTGACTTACGATGATAGGAGGCGGTATATCCGATTATGCGTGAGTTACTCCACAGCCGCACTGTTCAAGTCTCAAGACTTTATCACGCGTTTCGCTCCAGAGCCACTCTGACAAAAACGATACAGGGGCGTAAATCACGGGACTTTCCTTCATATTGCGCATGAAGAAGGGTTGATTCATAATAACTCTGTCCATGCCGGCGTTAGAGCTCCTCTTTTCAGCAGACGCGATCTTAAAAATGACGTGCGCTGCGGCTTCGATATAATCACGGCAAGGGAGATTGATAGAATTGGCGTTCATGGAATCATTGAACGTTTAAAGAGCCGGGTGGAAGGGTCAAAAGTTTACATTACCGTGGACATTGATGTTCTTGATCCCGCATACGCACCCGGTAAGCAGTTTCGGAATTTAATTGAACTTTCCTCCCCCTCATTTCCTATCAAAATTGCGATATGAGCCGGTAAAAGCCTCGTGGACAGAGGAAATCATAGCACACTCACCCTTGACAGCATTCTGGGTGTATGATTCTCAGATGGCGGGCTTTTGCTATGGTTGCGAAAATATTCGATTCCTATCTTTCTTTCTTGATCTCATCTCGTAAGATTCCAAGCTAATAAGATCATGTAGCAACTGGCACCGCTGAGGTCGGTGGTTGGTCTACTCGAGAGCTTTTAAGCATCCTAGATGGACTTGAAGGATTAGACATAATCGGCGCAGACGTTGTCGAGGTCTCGCCAGCTTATGACAATGCCGGCGAGACCACCGTTTTAGCAGCCGCGGAAGTGGCTCACTCTCTGATGACACTTATGGTACAGAAGCCAGTGAAAGCATCGACATGACACCAACGCCTTAGGCGCACTACAGCAATTCTACCAAGGATAATGCACATTGTTTAGTTGAGCCGGTCTTTGCGCTGCGGATGGAGACAAAAGTGTATAAAGAAATATACTGAACTTCAGTATCTGTAAGCCAGAAATGCAGAAATCATCGGAAAATCCCTTTTCACCTTGTGACATTGCGCCATACAACGAGATCCAATTCGGATTCCCTGCTTGGGCTTTGGGTGGTTTGAATCAGTTTATGAACAGATCACCGACCATGTCTGAAATCCACGCGTGCGAGTCCGGCTGGAGGTCATGGTCTCGGAGGATATTCCAGAAATAAGCCAAAGCATGACAGCCACCAATTTAACTTCAGGCTGACTCTAGGGATGCGCAACCCCCTATGAATAACAATGCTGAATGCATGTCGCAGGCTGTGCGTTTGATCATGGCTTCTCAGCACAATTTTAAAGGAAAAGATTACCCAGTCTGGCTCAAAGAAGGTTTGTCAGTGATTTTTTCAGCTCGGAAAATCGGGACTTTGCTCTAAATCGATGACGCTGTGAATATTTTGGGCGCTTTATTTTAGAACTTGATGAACCAATGGCTTGCCAATACCACTATACAGCTCCGCTCACCCTGCAACAACAGCAGATTTTCCTTGTCGTTGTTGCTCAACAAGATTGTAAATTAGGTTGCGATGCGTACGACTACGATTCGATCTCCGGGAGGAGGACTACGGACCGTCATCGTGTTTATGCACCTGCGCGTCACACGGCAGACAGTCATCCCGGGATTATTACACCTCCCCGCAAAGGTTGACTAAAGAAAGCTCAGTACCTTCGACTATTGTGAACCGACTGTTTGTATTCCTCAGTGACAGCTTTTGTGTGTAGAAGCCCATGGATGGATTCAGTACAGTATACATGTGTCGAAGGCCAGGTCTCTTCATTATCGGACTAGGCTATCTCGAGTTTATCAATCACATCAAAAACCCCCCGGCCAGCGCGCTGTAACCTGGCGCGCGGACCCTCGTTTCCCTTTGGACCAATCCCCACATTCCCTTGGATCAATTACTAACCCCGCCATTGCCAGCAACAACACGTCTTCCCTGAAATCCTCTACTTTGAAGACATTTTTCCTGTCAATTCACTGCGGCTTATTATCCTCTCAAGGTAACACTACGATCGTTACTGAAGTTCTCCTGGGATCTTCATCGGCTCTTTTATTTATATCTTTGGCTTTTCTCCTCAGTACCATGTCGTCATCCGACCACGCGCCGGAGCCCAAGCGTTTCGAGCCGAAAGTGCCTGTCAACCTCAACCCCCCAAAGGATGATCCGATCAGCACGGAATATCTAGCTAAATGCGACGGCAAGTAGCTTTTGTGTCTCTCTGCAACATTCATCTTTTTACTGAATTAGATTGAAGCTAACTTGATCCTCTGATAGGCAGTTCGAGCGCATATCCCACTTATGTTGCCATCAAGGTACCGAGCAAGCCCTAACATCATGTCAAGAAGCGCTCTGGCCCAGGCTAGCTACGGCTCTTTGTCGGGATCTCGTCTTTTAACGCTATACAGGGTAAAGTCTTTGATGTGACTGGAAACCCAGCGTATGCACCCAAGGGTGCTTATCATGGTAATTAGCCCTTTCCTATAATGGCAAAACAGACCTTGCAAATGCCGGTGAAGCTGACATGACTTTCTTTTCTCTTGCAGCATTTGCCGGCAAAGATGCCTCTCGGGCCTTAGCGCTGTCGTCGCTGAAACCTGAGGATATTCGGTCTGACTGGAGCGACCTGGGCTCCACCGAGCAGGGTGTCCTCAACGATTGGATGACCTTTTTCTCTAAACGTTATAATATCGTTGGGGTTGTACAGCCCAGAGCTTGAGGTGGGTCCCAGAGAAGTCATCTCTTCACTTTCCTCTGCGTTAACAGCAAGCATTAAGGCATCTAGAACGCTGTCGACCCTGTGTGGCTTCATGTCTCTGGCGGTCTGGCACGGTCTCGACCGTGTCGTGCATCAACCATTCTGCGAGAGACTGCGCGGAAACGCCAGACGGATGCACAAGGCATCGAGAAGTGGACTACGGCCGCAGATTAAAGCAGGTAACATCCCGGTCAATGTCGACATTGAAACGACAGGAGTCGACCCCAGTGCCCCACCATAATTGCACGGACTTGCTCGGAGATGCTGGCAGCGGCGACGGCGGATGGCTAATGAGTTTGGGGGCATTTTTTTCATTGAGTCTCATTTGTTGTGTTTTATGATATTTCGACCTGGCAAGGATCTTCCTTGGTGCGTTTTGATTTCATGATATCACCTGGGCATGCAAACTAGTCCTTTCTGCAAGCTTGCGTAGTCATCATCTGCTAGTTTTCGTTAACATATACGGTAGATCATCTAGGGAATTTTTGGTCCCAACGAAGAGCCTTTGGCGAATACGATGCCGTGAAAGCCGCATTGAACTAACAAGTAATCCCATTACGCTTGTCTCATTATACTTTCGTAAGCAAAAGTCAATTAAAGTTTAACTGCTGCGTTTTCTAAGAGTCGACGTTTGCCTATCCGTGCTGTAAAGTTGAGATCCGAGCGTTTTTCTTGCCTATATAACTACAACTAGACGTCCAGATTATGTTTCTTGTTTGTCAATTCCCAGTAAAGGACGGTTTTTGATCCAATTTCGCAGAGCTTGAAAGGCTATCGGCATGGAAATTAAACACTGTACGTGCAACTGCGTATGGAGAAATCTGCTTGCATGACCGGCGCCGGCGGAATCAACTAGCCAATCGGAGTACGACTGGCACAGTCACAACGACGTATGGCCAGAGTACAACAATGAGGAGGGCGAGGGGAAAACACCCCAATAGCTCATCAAACTACATGATTAAGAGATGCGTCTCCGTTTGTTTGGAAACCATGGGGCCCTGTTTCGAGGATGACCAGTGCTCGGCAGGCCGGTTCGAACAATGGCTGACCGCTCTCTCCCATCAAGATACAATTGGCAGCAAAGGAAATGAATGGACCAATATCATAAAAAAATCACATTGCTAATAAGACTTTCACAGGTTAAAAAAGTGACCGATGGCTTCCCACGGTTCCATTCAGCGATTGTAACCCAACCGCTCTATCACAGGATCTCGCAGATCTACCACAATTTTATTCTGTGCAACCTTCCACATACCACCCGGATACCAGACCGCCAACAAGCCACATTAAACCCCCTGCTGCTTAACACTACCACCAAACTGGACCAACCTCATCAAACATTCAACCCTTGAAAAATATCGGCCAAAGCAATCGTCACCAATGCAGTCGTTGAGAACAACCTTTGACGTCCAGATGCCTCGCCAAAGTTGGAGTGAATTGGTACAAACATGAGACCCGCGCAAGATCATAATGGCCAGACATGGGCATGATGGATCATCTGCCTCAACGTGGTTAGCGTGATGGGCTGGGTTCTCTCGATGACTTGGAGAGGGTGTTATGCAAGCATGTGACTGGATGAGACAGCAACTCTCCCTGGCCGACTGGCGTGTATGGACAAGGCCATTACCTGACTCAATCTTTGGAACGAGAAAAGGGTATAACGCACCTACTTGCTACCTTTATGCTTATTCGCCATCGCAGAAAGCGCCATCGAAGAGATCGCCTGCGTCGCAGCAGTGCATGCACCACATAGGTCCGAGCTGCACCATTCCCGTCTGAGCGATTTCACCTGGTAGCATTGGTGAATGGAATCGTTTCGGGCAAAGTGACAGTATCCAACAAGATGGTGGACATTGTGACCGCAGCGAAAGTGGATGAGCTCGAAGCTGCACATTTTGGTATCTGGACAGTTGTCGAATTGACCTGGATGATGTTTTTGGTTTCTTTGTTGTTTGGCTGTTTATGCCGGAAACTGATTTTATACGCATTAGCTTGAGCTCCCTCAATCGATGCTTTTTCCTTCTTTTGATTGTGTTTTCTTTCCTCCTGTGTTTTGTGGTTTGAATATGGGATATTGCTAGTCTTGGGAATGAAATTGAAAAATCGTGTACGGATGTGAGAAAGTAGAGGACAAGGAAAAGAATTGAGGAGGCTTTTGATGCACAAAACGATGGTGGAGAACTGGGAAGCGTGACGTGCAGGCGAAGCTGGAAAATGAGAGTGACGCGGATGGGTAAGTGTATCCGGTATTTACTTCAAGGGAAAGAAACTAACGTTTCGTAGGAAGGTAAGGAGAAAGGAAATTGTTGCAAAGATCACAGCGTGGCCGATAGCGGGAATTGAATATCAATTGAATGGCGAGTAAGTACTGACATACCTTTGAAGCGTCCTCCTGGCAGGTAAGAATCGAAGCTGGCAAAGCGGAATGTGAATGGCCCGAGAACAAGATCAAAAGATCAATTGACTTGGCTGGATGGATGAAGAGTTTCAGGAGCTTCGAATTGAAGTAATTTCAAGGGCTTCAAGCTTTGATTGACAATGCTGGTAGAGACTTAATTCTATCCAGCGGCGAACTTGCCTCATATTTATACACGGAGGGGAGAGCAAGTGAAGCCCTCACGGACAAGGAACCAGCATTCCAGTCACAATCATTTCCTCTTTCAATCTACGACACGGACGCAACAATCTTTTTTCTTAGACTCGACAGCCTCACAGCCTCACAACCAAAGATAGAAAGGACGCCGTCCGTCAACAGTCAAGGGTATCGGTGAAGCTGATCAAAAGAAACAAAAAGCCATCAACAATCAACAGGTATCACGGAAAGTTGCAGCCTGCAGAAGATTCGAAATCCAGGACGCGGGATGAATGATGATAGCAAAAATTCTGCAGCAAGCCGACAGCCCGCAGATCCAGAGGATCATGATTTAACCCCGGAATGACGCCTTGTTCAACCCCAAACGCATGGCTCTTCGAGATGTTCCGGTGGTGTGCCATCCTTGATTAAAAGAATTGACTACATGACTACAGTATCACAATTTTACGACGCAACAATTGACATGCTCTCAGGTAAGTTTACATGCAAATCTAGTGAATGAGACCAATGACAAAAAATGAAGCTGCCATGTACACTTTGACATTTTTGATTCCATGTGCCTTTAGAATACTGTATCAAAATAAACGCAATTTTTACAATTTACAGTACGCATATACTGCCATAAAGAATAGGTAACGGCCACATTCAAGCGCGAAACCCCAGGTGTGTGTCCCATGCCCCATATCATGACGATAGAAACGAAGATCTACGACTCGAGCGGATCAATATTCCGGGGACGGGGCCGGTCTTGGCTTGCATACAACTAGCAACTTATAACTTGCAACTTGCAGGACTCGCAGGACTTGCAGAATCCGCAGATGCTGTGCTCCCGTTTGCCTCGTGGAAAAAAAAAAGGCATCTGGTTGCCTCGTTTCAATCCTGCAAGACTAGCTAGATATTGCAGCAACGACAGTTAGTGTCCGTAGAAAGCTGAAACCAATCAGCATTCCCGCATTTCTTCATAGAATTCCCGTTTTTTATAGAGTTCCTAAAAAGGGTATAATGTCAATGATATTCTTCCGCCCAATCCAATTCGAGGTCTATCAGTGTACGGCGCGAATTTGGTGCTATTGATGTCCTACTGTCGATGACTCGGTCAATTCGCAATTCGCGGCCACACACACCCACACACCACTATACCCACCCCACCTTCTTCTCTCTCTCTTTTTTAGACAAATAAAACAACCGCCACCTTGTCGTTTTACAACCGCGTGGAGCGTGGGATGTTTTGTTAGTTGGATGGCTAAACCCCGGATTCGCGGATTGGCCCGGGATTCATCCCGGATTTGCCAGATTCGAAGATTCCCGGGATATCCTTTGTGAAGGCATGACCCTTTTTTGCCTCCATCTTTTGCCTCTATACTCCATCCTTCATCCTTCATCCTTCATACTGCGTCCTACGTCCTACGCCCTGCATCATTCAACCCCCAAACCGCCCAAACCGCCCACACCAACACCAATATCCACACTCACATCCACCCACACTCCCCCCGGGGGCGGTGTCCTGTATCCTGTGTCCTGTGTCTTGTGTATTGTATCCTGGACACCAGGGCCATACGTCCACGACTCGACTCCCGGCTCCGGACTCAGCCAGCGTAATATGACAATATGACAACCTTGATACCTTGCTGCAGGTCGTTCTCTTTAGGCTCTTTCGTCCGTCTGCCTGTCATTCCGTCTAGTCCGTAGTGTTGATCTAGGACTCTCTAGCTCCGTTAGCTCTGTAGTCCTTCTAGCTTTACTGGAATTTCCTTGCAGGCTTGCAACTCCCTTGCTGTTTTGCAATTTCATTCCGTTCTTTGGTTTCTTTTTTTGGGCAATCCTGGCACAGAAACTCAGAACTCTAGACAGCCGAGTGTGTGCGAGTTGCGAGTTGCGAGTCTAGACACTTCTTTTTTTACGTCCTGTACGTCAATTAGTCTATTCCGTTATTCGTTTATTGTGCGTTCAAGCCTATCAGAGTAGAAAGGCAACGGGGCAACAAGGCAATGAGGCGTCGGGCATACTGCGTACTGCGTAGTGCGTACTGTGTCATGCCCAATACGTGCTGCGTGTTGCGTATTGCGTGCATGTCAGGGATGATGTTTGATGTTTGATGCTGGGCATTGGACGCTGGATTTTGGACGCTGGACGCTATGCTTCATTTGCCATATCTCAAAAAGACGTTGCCGTATTGAGTATATTCTGTATATTGTAGTAGTCTGTAGTCTATAGTCTGTAATCTCTAGTCTGTAGACTGTGGCGTGGGCTGTAATCTGTAGGCTGTAACGATTCAGGGCGTAGTGCCCTTGTCTTGTCGTATACCGTCTTCAGCCTATAGCGTATAGCTTATATGCGAGAGGTGCATCTAGCAGCTTATTCCTGGCACTTAAATCGGTCGTAGTCGTAGTCGGTCTTATTGTCTCATAGCCTTGTCGCCTCGTAGACTCGTAGAACCCGTAGCCATGTTGAACTCGTAGACCCGTAGCCTCGTAGACTTGTAGACTTAGATGTCGTAGAATGGGAGGTTCGGCCCGTCTATCCGTCTCCGCCCGCGCGCCGTCCCGCCGTCCCGCCGCCGCTGGCTGAAATGCATAAACTGTTTCGGGCTGAAAGTGCGGTCTGTCCGTCCAGCTGGCTGTTTGTCTGGCTGTCTGTCTGTCTGTCTGTCTGGCTGATACACAGATAGACGGATACGGATACTGATACGGATATACACAAACGCACGGTCTGGCTGAATACTATCCGCACCAATTATCCGTCCCCAGTCCCGGTTGTTTCGGTACGCATGCCATGCCATATCGTCCATATCGTCCGTATCATCTATATCATCCATATCGCACATATGGTAGAGCTAAGGACTGCCGCCCGCTATGCAGAGTCTAGTCTCGAGTATCAAGTCTCGACTCTGGAGTGTTGGGTGTTTAGTCTTTGCTGCTGCTCGCTCTGGGTGCGGTGCAACCCTATTTCGATTCTTGAGACGACATATGGGTGACTTTTCTGACGAATTTCATGACAACTATAATGACGATGATGGTGACGATAACGATAATGGTGACGGGATAATGTAAGTAACGACGAGCGGAAAGAAAAAATCCTAGAAAGACGTAATAATAATACTGAGGATTCACTTGTATATAACAATGGTACTCGGAAAACATATATAAAAATATTATGAGATTTAAAATAAGAAAAAGATAAAATTTAATAAAATAAAAACAATATCAAATAAATAAAGAGAGTAGATAAATAGTAAACGACAGAGATAACAACAAACGCCGGAAAAAACCATGCAAATACTTTTATGTAGATATATCATATGACGTACACCGAGGCAGAAGCACTGTCGGAGAGACAGTAGATATTCAACAGGAGGAACAGAACCAGCCGAATGCTTTTCTTCAAGGGGGTGATGATGCTAGTGAGATGATAGCGAGAGGATTTAAAAAGAGACAAGGAGGGAAAGGGGCGGGAAAAGATAGAGAGAGAGGAAACAGAGGCAAAAATAGACAAAAAAAGGAGAAAAGTAGTAAATGATACTAAATTCAAGCCTTGCCCTTCTTCTTTGCGCGTCTCAGCATGCGCTTCTTCTGGATAATGCTTGTCCGCTTTGCCAACTTCTGCTTTTCTTCGTCTTCCCCGGCAGCAGCAGCATTAGCACCAGGTCCATTCTTCGCCTTTTTCGCCCCATTTCTACCGCCATTGTCTTCAACGTCGTCGTGCTTTCTCTTCATGCCTTTGCCACTGTTGTACTTGCCGGCGGCAGCACCACCACCAGCAGTACCACGGCCGCCGGGACGACCTCCACGAGCAGGACTCCTCGACGGGACATCCTCTGAATCACCAACATCTCCAGAGTCCTTCTTAGACTTGATATCATGAGCGCGCTCACGGGCCTTGAACTCTTTATCCTTTCGTCTCTTCACGACTTGTGCATTTTCAATTGCAAACTCGACAATCAAGCGCTTCTTCTTATCGAAGAGTTCGTCCTTTGTCATCTTCTTCTTGCTCTTTGCGGACGTGTCCTTGGTCTGGTAATCGATAGCGTGGCAATTAAGCCAGCGCAGACCCATGAGGGCGTGGCGGTGGGAGTAATACTCTATGAAGCCGTAACCGCGGCTGCGTCCCGCGCCACTCTCTTCCGAGACCTTGCCGCCTTCTGCGCCTTCGAATACAATCTTGGCTTGCTTGACGACACCTTTGCCCTTGGCCTTGCGGTCTTTTTCGGCTTGTGCCATCTCTTCGCCGCCGCGCTCGAGCTCTTCTCTGCTCAAGGGGGCGCGGAGTCCGGACTTGACGTCAGTGGCGAAGCCGACAATGGCCTCGCGCGCAAGCTGCTTGAGATCTTTGGATGTGACGCTGCGGGGGACGTTACGAACGGCCAATCGGGTCAAGCTCATGTGCAGAGTAGGATTCTTTTCGATGAGTGTCTTGCGCTGCTTAGCGCTGGCCTCGCGCAGCTTGACTTCGTTTTGAGATAGCTGTTGATAGAGCGGTGACTCGCGCGGGATGGTTCCTTCAGAAAGGAGATAGAGGCAGCGCTTGTCGCGCCTGTCGCGCTCGAGACGCTGCGCTTTGCCCTCGTCCGCAAGACGAGTCGCTTCGTTCCGGTTCACGGCGCGGGAGAGTTGAAGCACGCGTCCCTCGAGCGTGTACTGGCCCGTGGAATCGACGGTTTCGTCTTGGAGAACAGAGGGTTTGGTGAGATGGAGCTCCTTTTCGTTCTTGCCACCAGACTTCTTGTCGCCGGCGCCGCTGCCATAGGTAGATGTAGGAGAAACATGCGCAGGCGCTTGTCGGAGACAAGTGTCCCCGTCTTCTTTGCGATAGAAACACACGAATCCTGTTCCCTTAGGCCGCTCCATGACATGATCCATGACGATGCGGGCGTACCGAACAGGGCCGAATTGGCGGAAATGCTCGTAGAGATCTTCGTCGGTAATTGTGTAGGGTACATTGCGGACGAATAAGGTGCACGAATGGTCCTCTTCCTTTTCGGGCTGCTGGGGTTCCTTGGACATCTCGGTCTCCTCGTCTTCACTTCCCTCGGCCTCTGAAGAGAGGACATCCTCGTCAGAGTCTGAATCAGCTTCTTCGCTAGCCATGGAAGAGACTTCTCCATGTTCCTCTTCTTCGCCTTCCGCCTCGTCCTCGCTGCCGCTGACTCCGGTAGCATCTGATTCATTTCCATCCTCTTCATCCGCCTTTTCTTCGGTCTGCTCTTCCTGCTGCTGCTGTTTCTCCCATGAGTCTCTATCGACTGCCCAGTCAACGGCAAGTGTTCGCCCGTCGACTTCCTTTCCATTCACGCCCTGGAGTGCCTTTTCGGCATTTTTCCGGCCGCGTAGCATAACGAATCCGAATCCGGCAAGAAGACCCGGACCCTTCTTCGGAACTGTAGCAGAATTGACTTTTCCGTAACTCCGGAACAACATGGCCAGCTGCTCAGGCTCTTTGATGCTCCAGGGTAGGTTTCGCACAATGAGCTTAGGGGGAGGTTGGTGTTGTTGGGAAGCCTTTTGCTTCTCACGTTCCTCTTTGGCTTTGAGCAACGCAGCCATAGCGGGGTCCTGCCGAATCAATTCTCAATTAGCATACTGTCAATTCTCTGAATTCGCAATTTTCCATTATATCCTGCGTTTCTTCTCTTTGCATGGATAACCTGGGATAATGCAATAATCTCCCGAAACAATGGCCATGAACCAAATGGTAAACCATACCTTTGCAGAGTGTCCCTCGTCACGGTGTCTTGGCAATGCAATCTCCACCCGTATCTTCTTCTTGTCTGCCTTTTCTCCAAATTCTTGGCCGTCGAACTCTTCTATAGCCCGCTGCGCATCCTCGCCGTCCGCAAACGTCACGAATCCGTATCCCTTGCATTTTTTCGTCTGCTGATCCGCCACAACAGTCGCATGCTTTAGCGGAAACGATTGTGAGAAAAATTCCATGAGGCTTTCGTTGGTTGTGCTGGGAGGGAGCGACCGAACGAAGAGCGTTCGCCGTGCCGGAATGTTGTTGTGTGTGTCATCGTGCTGCTTCTCTGCCTCATGCTTCTGCACCGAGGACGCTTTATCCGCTTGATTCTGGACCTTTTCCTGTGAGGCTTTATTCTCTTGGTCCTGAACAGCAGCAGTGACCACGGCATCGCCGTCAGTCGAGAGCCGCTGACGCTTGCGTCCCGGAGCCATAGTCCCTTTTTTTCCCGATCCGTATAAACTCCCTAGAAGATAGGAAGGGAATAAACCTGCCTCAGATAGGCAAAAGGAAATTTGTGTAGAGCACGATGGTGCGAAGTTCAATGGTGCTGTAAATGTTAAAGTTTACAGCGTCCAAGACTTGGCTCCGACGGCTTGAAACAAAAAAGTTCAAAGTTCGGAAGTCGGGGTCTGACCGCCGACCAATAGTGAGCCCAGCCTTTTGTTGTGGGGTGAACCACAGACGCCGCTCGCGCTTGATACTAATGTTAGATTAGATTAGGTGCATCTGGATCTTATCAGATGAACCGCGACTGTAAACACTCAACTGTTACCGGAGTAGATCTTGTAGCAAGTGGGAAAAGTTTCCCATGATTCTGTTTAAAAGGCAGTAGATATCAACCGTTGAAAATCACTGAATGTTGAACATATTTACTACTTTGTCAATAGTTGACTAGGAAAAACAAATATGGTCGCTCCTCTAGCATATTGATGCCAACCAATGCCTCCTGCTTTGCTTGTTCATGCTGAAACTACAATGAATATGCTTCCGCTCAACGGCCGAGGTCTACCTCGGCCGAATGTATGCCATTATGCTCAAACAAATCCTTCAAATTCCTTCTCCAGTCGGTCTTTCGTTATGCGGAAAGCTTCGGGGAACCAAGAGTCGAGAATCTCTCGCTCTCCATCATTATTGAGGATCATTTCGGTCAGTGCTCTGGCACACATGAAACACAACACCATACCTAGAAAATTGTTAGCTGTACTCAGGAATATAATATCTTAGAGCGTTTCTCAATCTGCTTGAGTCTTACAGAGGAAGTGCACGGTAGGCGAATATTCAACAGAAGACGGGGCGAAAAAGGAAGGGACCAAAATTGAAAAGAAAATCAAAACTTACCATGCCCTTGAAAGCTCGCCGACAAATACAATCCTTCTTCGCCAGGAACTTTCCCTACCAGCGGATGTCCATCTGCACTATATCCCATAATGCCCGTCCACTCCTTACGAACACGTCCTTCTGGATTATCTTCGCCCCAATTGTTCCTGCCGAAGAAATTGACCAGGCAATCTTGCAAGTACTCTGAAATATCTGGGTCAAGAGTTGTATCATCTGCATTGCCCCATTGATACAATCCCTGTTCTGGGGCTTTGGTCAGACCGCCGCCGATCACTGTATCCCCAGCAAACTTGGATCCAAGAGGGCGCGGAATCATGTATTCGAATCCGTCTTGGTAGATGAATGAATAAGTGGTTGGGAGAGCCCCGGGAGGGAGTTTGCTCCCTGGCCGCTGTGCAGTCACTTGGCCTTTGAGTGGTACAATGATTCCCTGTAGAGCCGGATATAAGTGTGCGGAATAACCGTTGGTAGCTAAGACGAGCTTGGGTGCGGATATCTTGCCACGAGCAGTTGTAGCTGTCCATTTCTTTGTATTATAATCGTGTTTGGCACCGTCAATCCCATTCGACCTTGCTGTGTTGCCATTTAGCATACCACTGAAAGGTTCAATCGCAGTTACAGGAGTGTTTGTCTGCAAGTTGAGACCTTTCTGCAGACAGAGCTTCAATATCCCTGCCACGAGTTTGTAGGCGCTCAGACTTCCAGCTTCGTAGGTAATTGCGCCTACTGCATCGGGTATAAGGAATTGTTTCTGAGCCGCCTCTGCGTCGTGCAGTCTATAGTTTGCGGCTCCTTCGCCAGGGTTCATAACCTTGCGCATGGCTTCAACTGCGGCAATGCCATTTTGCCATTCCTGCTCATTTAGGATGACGTCTACTGTGTCCACGGATTGCAGGTCACAGTTAATGTTGTTTTGTCGAGCAAATGCATGGACTGCTTTCATATTATTATACTCGAGACGTGCAATCTTGATGGCTTCTTGGACACCGAGAGCATGGCAATTTCCTAGAAAGCTGCGATAGCTTGCGGTCTTGGTATGTCCTCCTACTCATGGTCATTACTCACAGTCATCAAGGCTATGCTTGGGATAATGGCAAACTCGGTTCAAAAAAAAAAAAGAAATGAATATCCGGAAATGGTAAAGAGGAAATTTATGTAATATTCCAACCAAAAGTAAAAGGTCGATATAAAAACATACCATTTCGCCCTGTTGCACCGCTAACTGCTTCCCTCGCTTCAAGCATGACGACCCTCATATTTGGGCTTTTCTGGAGAATGTTGTATGCCACGCATGCGCCAGTAATTCCTGAGCCGATAATTATTACATCCGCAGTCTGCGGAATTTCTGGTGTAGAGCGTACGTTAGAGATATGCTCATCTGGTGGGTCTTGCCAGTATGCCGTGGTAGGGTTTGAGCGTGGAAGACCCGGGGGAATCGAGGCGCGCCTGTCCATTTCCGTCCTGGTTTTAAGTTTTCAATTCTTCTTTGCTTTTTGGAATTAATTGTTAGATAATGACAGTGGGGCGAACTATTTCCTCGAATTTGTCAAATCAGATCGCATATTATAAACAAAGAGGAATAAAGAGAATATCAGATGTACAAGAAAATAAGAATGACAGGAGCATCTAAAAAAAAAAAAAAAATCCAAAGACTCAAATTTAGAGAAATAATCAGTACTGAGTTGTTGAGAAAATTTGAAAGAGAATAAGGTTGAAATGGATAGAAATTCGGAGCTATGTCTTGGCACTCCCCCACTTCGTAACGACAGTAGCTGGACGTGGGACCTAGTGCAATTGTAGGTGTCGAGAAAGAGCGTGGTAGTCGGTTTCGCCCAGTATTACTGCAGTTTCATATATAAGAGTCTTCTTTCAAATCCGTTAGTTATATGGTGTTTAGGAAGCAGACAGCTGGATTTATGTTGTTGTTCTGTTTCCCTTTTACCATAAGCAGGGCTATATAGAAGCCCCACTACCGTCCCGCATGGCGATAAGGTGCCGCGCGATAGCATTGACTCGCGTCGACTTACCCGAAATGGAAAGGGTGTCTCAGCGAGGGGAGCTACCTGATGCTCTTGCCCACTGAGATGGGTAATTGGCTTGTTCGACTGCAATCACGGCGATCCTTTACGAGAATATTTTGCAAATCATCATATATGTTCACGAGCAAAAATTCCTCTCAGAATGTGGCAAACATGGAAGTTCTCAAACGCTTGCCGCCCGAGTTGCGCAATCTCGATAGTATCTTGAATTGGAGGAAAAAGAGCGTACTTATGCTAAATAGCAGTCATGTCTGCGAGAGAAGATAATAGGTAGGAAACGGTAAACAAGCAAAACATAGCTTCCCTTGAATAAACACTAAAGAAGACAAAAAGGTTCGGCAACGTCGGTCACTCCGCTAGACGCCGTAATCTGAGGAGTCGTAAAAGACCCCAAAGCAACGAATCGGCCATATCAAGGTCTCTCAAGTCATTACTTCGGGTGGCCAACCAGTCCGAGGAGACTACTCATCGGCAAGTTTCTTCTCCTTCTTTGACTTCTTCGTGCTAACTGGCGCACCTTCTTTCTTCTGATGTACGATCAAACTTGTCCACGATTCTTCCGGATCCCACTCGAATCCTGCCAGGATAGGGTTGTCGAACTCGTCGTCAGCCTGAATGGACGAGACTGCATTAGCATATAGAGATCTTATTAAATTACAATTTGGGCCAGAACAGGATTCCATTCTCAAGCGGGGTGATAGGATGGAGAAAAAAGGGATGCTGGCCAATGCTTACCCGCTTCTTAAAATGCTTGTAGATGACATGTAATGCGTCATCGATTGTGACTCCTTTCATATTCCGAGCCGTTACATGCAGGCCGAGAGGGAAGTGGAGGTCAATTCGCTTGACAGGCGGCGTAACAAGGAACTTCTTTAGGGTGTCCTTGTCATCGAGGAGTGCCGGTGACGTGTTGAGCTTCCTGCACATAGAACAAGAGCAGTCAGCCCAACGATTCGTCTTGTCTTGTGGAAGAAATCATCCCAAAGGGTAGACAATCAATTGAAAGGCTGGGAAGTAGGCACTATTACTTACCAATTCAGCTTTTGCGTCTCGATGGCAATTTCTATTGGCGTCTTCTCCTTTTCTGGTTTGATGTCAGCTGTTGGATTCCGATTAAACTGATCCAGGAAGGGCTGGGATGTATTGAGCCATTTCAGCATCAATTTAGAGGAAACGATGCTTACCAAGATCGTTGATGTTGTGAATTCCTGTCGTACTGCTAGATGTCCGACGATGAGTCTTCTTGCCCTCCTTGGGTGGGGAAGTAGACAAGCCAGCAACGGCCGAGTCGACCTTACTAAGAGGTGCTGTTGTATCTGCAGACATGGTGATTGTATATGGATTGATAGATAATGGAAGCCTTTACAAGAGGAGAGATGTTTGTGAGCTTTTGTATCAAGATCAATGACACGAATAGTAGAAGCAAGCTTGGATAGCGTAGATGAACTGATGGATGGAAGATCTAGACTGGGAGAAGCTGGAATGAGGTGATGTGGGGAGAGCCACGCAGACCGACACGAGGGTTAGGTAGGACGTAAGTAGATAGTCATGTACTGACTGGCGAACAAGAAGAGGGGCAGCACATACGGGAAGGGGGGAAGCAACGGGGATTTTGCTTGCTGATCCGACCAGGCGGGGGAAGAAAGGCAAAGCAGGGTCAAGCGCACATTGAATTGATAGGATGATGAATGGACGGATTGGACTGGCTCCTTTGACTACTACTGGCTGCTCATCACGCTCGCCCGCTCATTTTGCCTTTTTCCTTTTTCCTCTCACGTTGCATTTCTCCTACGGTTTCCGGGAGCCCCGACACAGGACTGGCGCGAAAATAGTGGTCAGAAGGTCCAGTGACCATATCCTCAATGAGGCAATTGGCGTGCGAAGCCGTTCCAAGTACGAAAGGTAGCGAGACCACCCAAGGGATACTGCTGGTGTTGCGCGCCCAAACAAAGCTGGGCTAGGTAGATAAGTACTCATACTCAAGAGCGAAGTAAAGGATCGCTTGAACAGTGTCGCACCTATACCTCTCAAAAGGTCCAAGAGATTCGTCTGCTGCGTTTCCTGGACATGTTTGGCTACGAGTCCTTAACATAACAATGGCTTGATACTGAAATGGAGCTGTACCTGAATGCGATAAACAGTTTAGCCGGCATCCGAAGTATCTCACCACTTGCTAACACCATCATCATCTGCCCTCATAAACTATGCGCTAATGTACCCCGCCCCCCCTGCTAATCCGGGGTATTTGGGCTTCTCCCACACGTAAGCATGGGGGTCACGAGACGGCAACCCACTTAATTGAGTTTAGCGAACAACTCCTGCCAACTCGCACCAAGCCCCCTCCTCACTTTCCCCTTCCCAAAGCTCCTGTGCTCTTAGCCCCTGGTTCATACCTTTCCGAAGACCCTGGTCTGCTTCAACGTCTTGTTCACTGAATGAGGAAATATGATAACAAGCTTCAACTCCGACGATGTGAAGCCTTCGTTCCTCGTTGTCGGCTAAAGTTGGCTGGACCCAAATCTTGCCGTGGCTGTTAGGTTGTCACGACAACTTACCGTCAGTCTGGTCTTTGCCCGAGGGGTTTCATTTAGAATGTGGACACTTTGGGTGCGGGTGTAATTCCTTGATTAGAATTGATTGAGTCTGACTCTCGAAGGGACGCTCAAATTGGTAATTGAGTCCTCATGCCATGATTTAGTACCGTCCACAGCGCATTGTCACATCACCAGCCCCTAATTGTTTGTACCACTCGCATGCACCCCGTGACTGTCACAATCACTCTTCTCAACGTTCTTCTCGACGCTGTGGTTTCGCCCATGTGTCAGACATAGTCTTTGAGACCGAATCTCCAAATCAATTGAATATTGCACTTCGCTAGCGAGTCCACAATATATGATGCTACTTGTCAAGCTAAATCCGAACGACATTGCAATGCCTTCACCCCGTAAGAGAAACGCAAAGATCTTTGAGACAAACCGTGAAGCCGCCCTGCCAGTCATCCATGCTAAACAAAAAAAAGTTAAAAATATGCGCCCTGACCAACGCCAGATTTTCTTTCACCATATCAGTTTCGATGCGCCTAAGATCCATTCGCAGAAGGCGAGGGCGTGGCCTGCCGTTGCTGAAAGTTTGTAAGATTCTCGGTCGAGATGCTCTTGTTTGCAATCCAGATATCAATCAGAGGTTGCATGGGCTCGGTATCTTTTTCTGTCAAGAGACCAAACAGCTAAAAGTCCATTAGTTGCTAGTGTTCGTTGTACTAAGGCGTGAAAAGCGCGTAACAATGGGTGAACGTACCAAGGAAACATTAAGGAAATGGACAAAGCAAGAGTTCAAATCCTTGGTCCGGCCAATGTGATAGAAAGGGTCAAGCCAGTGACCCCAATAGAGATGCGCGTAGCAGCGGAACATTTGTCTCGCAATGTTCTTGCAATCCGTGTAAAAGTGTTCTGGAAAATTGCTGGCCTTCCCGATCCAGTCGTGTCCAGCAAGCGCCGAAAGGGGAAGGTTTAGAGAAGTCGGTCCTGCTGGTATAGGCGTATTCGAGCCAGGGGTGTTGAGCCCACCAGAGGCATAAGTTGCTGCAGAGGGAGTCGCAGACGAGACGGTATTTGGGTCCGTAGGGAGTGTGTTCGGGTCAAGCAGCTTCCCGGAGATCCACTTTTGCACGAGGCTAATGTACTGGTAGGCAGGGATCTTAACGGGAGCTTTATTCTGGTCCAGCCAGGTATAAGTGTGGCTAAAGACAAAGTTAAAACTCCTGATAGTCTACAGGGCGTTGGGAGCGACATACGTTGCTGCGGACATTGTAGGGCAAGTGCGAGGGTTGCAGATAGGGTTTCCAGTGTTACCATCTAATTCTTGGATACACTGGAGTTGGCACACCAGGATGCGGTAAAGTTCAACCACTGCAAAGATTTAGCATCCACAGAGTTCGAAAGATATGCTTTCTCAAGTAGGCAAAAGACTTCCTTGAGAAAATGTAAAACGTACTGTGGTGAGCGAGCCATTCACCAAGCTCAACATGTTGCGGTTTTGCGGCCAGAGTCATGAAGTTCCCCTTGACTACAAAGCCGGCATGTTCTTCTCGAAAGAAAAATGGCGGCTTGGTGTTCACGGCTACCTGGCCGTCATGGGCATTGGCGTTCGGGCTGTCAACAGAAACATTTGAACTGAGCGAGGGAGAATGAGGCAGCGATTGGGCGGAAGCACTGTTTGCAGAAATCGGGCTAGCGGAAGGTGTCTGAGCACCATTGCCTCTCTGGTTGCCGTTCCTATTTGAAGGGCGACTGAAGCCCTGACGACTAAAACTCGTATCCGTGTCAGCAGTGAGGCTCCCATACGCAATGGTGATATTGATTTCAGAGACGGAGGGAACATCGGAGGGAGGACGATAAGGAGTTCCTGTTGTGGTTGATAGAGATCCCGGTGTGCCCATATCCGCTGACTGCAATGGCGGTTCTTGCAGCTGCCCCCTCTCAGTGGCCCTCTGTTGCTCTTCGTCTAGCATGTTGTCACAGAGTTTATGGTTGACTCTAGGTCCTTGTCCGGAGTCCTCTTGACAATATGCCGTTATTCCAGGAAGGGCAAGCCAGGTGGGGAGCGAGAGACGAGAAATAAGGGAGAGTGAGAAGGGAAAACAAATGATAAACAGACTAAGCAGGATGACAGGCACGCAGATGTGTAGTCTCCTACGTCGACTCATGAACAAGGAGCGTTCCAGATGATTGCCAAAGTCTCCCAACGTGTCAAAAAAACAAATCGGAATACTCACACACTGGAAAAGAAGGAAGCCATCTTGATGAGTTCTCGTCGGACACACGAGCACCTCGACCGCGGGAGAAGAAGACAGTGGAAATAGGATATCCTATTCTGGTCGAAGTGAAAGGATCCTCACGTCCGTACCCGCGGGCGAAGTGCAGCAATTGTGGTATGTGAAACGTCGACTGTGAAACGCAGAGTGTGACAAAAGGAATTCAAGGGCTCTGGATGAAGATGATCAGGATATTCGCGTTCAGGGTTGAGCTGACTGTCGACAAGGTGAATTCCCCCCCGTCCCCGAGACTCTTGAACGTCGTCCATCCGCCACCTGTGATTGGCGAAACACGTGCACAGACCATTTCTCAGGGACTCCTGAGTCTCAGGAACGAACTAAAGTATCACTACTTTGACATCTCGCTTGGTTATGAGTATAATGGGGTACCATTACCTCTGGCAGTCCATTGCCAATGGTTGGGCCTGGTGAAGAGCGACGGAAATTGCCGCTCATTGGCCCGAGAGAGAGAGAGACGCGACAATAATCACCAGCATCATCATCATCGCCATCTTCTCGAGCAGCAAGAGAGAGCTACCATAGCGCATCGGATTTGGATATCTCTCCTCCGCGCCTCATAGATTGTTGCTTATCAAACATTTGTCAAAAATCTGTTAAAAATTTGTCAAAAACGATTGAAAACTCGAAGCTCTCTTCCTCAATTACAACGGTCAATCTTCTGCATACAGATTAATTTCGTGCTTCACTTTGAGCTCGATTGACACTACAAATGGAATCAGACGAAGATGTTGTGAACCGAGGAACCTCCTCGGAGCATGATGTTGCTCCTTCTCCAGGTCTCCGCGATGGGGAGGCCGAATTCAAGGACAGTCCCAATGGTGTTGTTGAGAGACAGGATGAGACCGATAAAGCAAGCCGGAATGGCGACGATTTTCTTGACGATGAGGACGATGATGCGGGTCTTTTTGGGTCTGGTGATGAAGACGAGGAAGCAGAGTAATTGATATAGTTCCCTGTCGATATAGTTGATATTTGCTGACGAGCATGTAGGACGAAACCTCGACAACTCGACGATGAGGAACTAGATTCAGGTGATGATGAAGGAAGATATGATCGATTTCGAGAAGGTGATGAGGGAGGTCTTCCGCAGGAGCAAGAACAAAACGTCATGGATGTCCAGCTGGGTCGCCATGCTGAACCACAGCCGAGCGATAACGAGGTCAGAATTCTTACCCTCGGCATTGATTCTGCATTTTCTAACAGTAATACAGTTATATCTTCTTAAGATGCCATCATTTCTGGCGGTTGAGCCTCGAGCATTTCACCATAAGACTTTCCAACCTCCTGCGACGAACCATCACTCAACTGGACCGCCGTCCTCGTCATTCTCTCCTTTTGGTACTGCTCTGAGTACTTTGCGCTGGCGCCAATCTCCCAAGGACCCGTCGCAACTGCAATCCAACGCCCGAATCCTCCGCTGGTCGGATGGATCTTTGACCCTTCAACTTGCGTCTAATCCGCTGGAACAATATGAACTTCCGGCTAAAGGCCTTGCTCCGCCCCAACACAATCCAATCAAACCAACGCCTACTAGCATCGGGAATAACCGGACATCCAAAGATGCGGAGCGATACAATCCTCAGCAGGACTCGTATACATATCTCGTCTCTCCTCACGAATTTTCCGCCGTTCTCCGCGCGACGCACCATATTACGACATCTCTTACCATTCTCCCGTCATCTACTGTAAATGACGAAGCTCTGGAACGTCTACAAGAATCCCTTTCGAAAGCAGTTCGCGGGAATAAGCCGGGAGCTGAAGGCGGTATCAATGTGATTGAGATCACGGAAGATCCTGAGCTCGCCAAGAAGAAGGCCGAGGTCGCCGAAAGAGAAAAGATTCGTGCACAGCGCCGGCGCGACCAGCAAGAAGCGCGTGAAAGAGACCGCGTTAATCGTACACTGGGTCGGAGTGGGCTCAGGACGGGCGGCATGGGTGGCCTTACAGTTGGAGGACTCGAGGACGATGAGGGCTTCACGACAACCAAAGGTGCCAGAGCGCGGCCTCGGCCCTCAAGAGCTGGCCATAGCGATGAGGAAGACGGTGGGTATCTCCGAGGCAGAACTAGAGAGGATGAATACGACGAAGATGATGGCTTCTTGGTCGGTAGCGACGAAGAGGAAGAGGTACCAGAAGAGAGTGAAGAAGACATTGACGACGGCATTGTTGAGCGACGAGAGAGCCCAAAGCGGGGAAGAGAGCCCGAACCGGAAGACGAGGATGAGGGAGGTGAGGAGGGCGGAGTTGTGTCCAGAGGCAAAAGAAGACGTGTCATTGAAGATGATGAGGAAGAGTGATGCGTGTATTTTCACATGGCTGACCTTTTCTACCAATATTTCTACTCTTTTTTTTCCTTTGATCTTTTCACTCTGCGAACGTGGGTTGGTCTGGGCTCATCATGGGATTAGGGTGGTGCGGATCTGTTCGTCCGTCTTCATGAGCTAAAAGTATAACATAATCTAAGTCATCAAATATGGATTCTTGAATAAATAGATCTCAATAAGCCTTGTTCGGAAATGTTTATCATCCTCAACTGGCCCTCTCTCATTATTAGGTTCTGTTGTGCAAGAGTTCTTTCCGGGTAACGATGTGGGTTATTCCTGGTTTGACCAGGATCGGCATACAGTGAACCGTTTGGACAGGTGACATGTGAAAGCGGAGTAGCCCCATATTGAAGCTCCATGATATGGGACGGGACCTAGGATCGACAAGGATTCCCCACAATTGCCCACCATAACAATGTTATTATCCAACAATTGATAGTCAAAGCTCACAATATGTCTTGACTTTTTCTGTTTCATACGCGAACTTCTTTCCCGGAATGTGCAGGTCTTTGGTCACGCCAACGACATGTTGGACCGGTACAACCCTTTCCATCTGCTCGCATCTCTCTGGGCGCTCTTTGTTGAAGTAGCTGTATTTTGGCGATTGGTAAGTCATCCAACCTTTGAAATGTATGGAGAATATGTGCCGTTTCTGTTTTCTAACTTGTTTTCGTTACCAGAAATTGGTGTTTTGGTGGCGTGCCAAAAGACCTCGAGATGCGCTGCTAGAAGTTCTAGCTGACGCACGAGTTTATGAAGAATGGGAAGGGGCAGCATATCAATTAGACGAATTGCTTGGAAATGACCTTTGGTAGGCTGTCATGAACCTGGCGTGTTGCTACTGAGCTAGAGCTGAATAAAAAGGCGTCAAAACCCTACAAGCAAGTACTACGACTACCGTCTCATATACCAGCGTCTTCAGGCCATCATCGAGGCCAGAGAAGATGACGATATCCCATCGTTAGTAAATTTGTTGCGTTCAGGCCTTGTGCGCAACCTGGGAAATATTTCTGCGCCCCGACTATTCAACCGCGCATATGCAGGCACGAAACTGCTTATTGAAGACTACATAACCCAAGTCGCTCTGGCAATCGAATACGTTACAGCACTTCCCACCTCGTCCGGCCATGAAGGGGGCTTGACCAGTCAAGCGAAGCTTGATCTTTTGCACGATACCCGTCAAGCATTCGGACGATCCGCCTTGGTTCTTCAGGGTGGTGCTATCTTCGGCCTATGCCATCTCGGAGTCGTCAAGGCTCTCCATCTCCGAGGCTTGCTTCCGCGCATCATCGTTGGGACAGCGACCGGAGCCCTGATTGCCGCCCTTGTTGGCATTCATACCGAGGATGAGCTCCTCGGGTTCTTAAGCAGCGATGCCATAAACTTGACTGCATTTGCGGGGCGTCGATCTTCTGGCCGGAGTAACAGCACAAGTAGCCCCAGCAACGGACCCAAATCCGAAAAGTCCGATGTGAATAGCGATGATAACGACAAGAGAAATGGCAGTGAAGCATCACCACCATCACCAACAGATGACGAGGCTCAGGAAAGCGGGTGGTATGCGACCTTGATGCGGCGTATCAAGCGGTTTATCCGGGACGGGTACTTTCTCGATATCAACGTCTTGGAAGCATGCGTGCGCGACAACGTGGGCGACCTGACATTTGAAGAGGCCTATGCGCGCACCAAACGCGTTCTCAACATCACAGTCTCAACAGACGGACGTGGCGGCGTGCCGAACCTTCTCAATTATCTAACCGCGCCGAATGTACTCATTTGGTCTGCGGCCCTTGCCTCTAACGCTTCATCTTCTACATTATACTCCCCGGTTGTACTGAAATGCAAAGACGAAACCGGCGCCATTGTTCCCTGGGCGTCCGCGCAAGAAGCTACATTTCGGTCTTGGACTCACACCACGTACCGGGATCGAGACTCTCCTTTGACCCGCGTCGCCGAGCTCTTCAACGTCAACCACTTTGTTGTGTCTCAGGCAAGACCGTACCTTGCCCCTTTCTTACGGCCGGACCTACATCGTGCAGATCCTCGCAAAGAAGGCCGGCTTTTCAGCAGCTTGACTCTGCCTTTACTACGCCTCTTGACGCTTGAAGTGCGTCATCGCCTGGAACAGCTGGATTCAATGGACCTCTTATCCCCTAGCATCCGCCGATTTCTCATCACCGAAGATATCCCATCCACTTCTAGCTTGACTCTTGTACCCGAACTCACGCCGAGCGATTTCTTCAAGCTATTAGAAAACCCAACAAAGGAAAGTATAGACTACTGGATCATGCGTGGCGAACGAAGTGTATGGCCCGCCGTTGGCGCGCTTAGAACGAGATGCGCAGTGGAAGTCGAACTGGACAGGGCTTATCAGCATGTCAGACGCAAAAAGCCGCTAGATTTGGTTGTTGAGTCGTCTGCCACAGACTCGAATGGGAACGGGCTAGGTATCTCTGCCGGTGGTGCTGGTGCTGGTCTTGGGAACGACGCGTATCGCAGAAATTCCGTGGAAGGTAAAGCGAAGAATGAAAAAAAGAGAGGTCGAGCAGCAAGCTTGAGCGGTGCATAGCATTTCACCTTTCATATTATTGTAATATCTTCATCTCCTTTCCAGTCATCAACCTGGGGTATCCGTTGGTCTGGTCTGGGTGGTCCTTTTGACCAAACCCATCTATGCACAAGTCTGATATAAGTGAACGTATTTTGGGCAATCACCAGCATTCTCAGCATAATCTTGCCGACTGATTGTTGATAAACTTCCTAAATGGGTAATGTTGGTGGTGATCACGGACCGGTGGAGGCATCATCAAAAGACCACCGGAGTCTACCAGCCCCAATGGACACTTAAATTATAACTTATTTGTCTCATATCATTCCATCTCGTTTCATTTGTCTTTATCCAACTTTCCTATCCATTTGTCTCATTGTATTCATCATTGCTGTGCATTGACCGCGTTTGTCACGTGATCGCTTTAGCCTAGCTGTATAGCGGGCGGACCAATAGGTCCTTTAGCAATCAAGCCTTCTACACATGCAATATTTTGACTCCACGTTCGATCGAGCCGCGTCCACAAAAACATCATTCTCAAATTAGCATGCCTGTCTATTTAGGACTAATATTGATCTGAGCAACATATAGGAGACAATGTACGAGCTACTTTGGGCAAGACCAAGGATGATCTCTCCTACACCAAAGCTCACCAGCCTCCAGATACTTATATGAACCCACCTAATAAAGATAATAGCCCTTAATTCAGTGCCACTTTACACGGTAGCGGTGGTTTATACATCACTCATGTTTAGCAATATACGCACACAATTGCTAGCCGGCAGAAAATCACTTGCACGCTACTCTCGTTAATACTTACCCCCGAAATGGTGGGCTGGAAGATCAGCTTTATTGCAGTTGTGTTTCCACAGCAGTAGGGTTTAAAGTTCATAGCCACTTGCCAAATATGCCAACGACAGCCGCCAAGCGCAAGCGTGCCAGGAAGGCATGCATACCCTGCCATCAGCGCAAGCGGAAATGCGACACCGTGTATCCTTGTGGCATGTGCACCACTTACGGATACAACTGCAGGTACGATGAAGATGATACTTCTGGTACTACGGGCGACGGCGTACATGTTCTCCCCCTAACCAAGCGCGTCAGCCTCGACGGTGGAGGTCGTCTGACGAACCGGGCCGCCATGGCGCGCAGTCCCGGCAACAGGTCTCAAACAGAGCGAGACCTTCGCGAAAGCGACGGCTCGTCGACGAAGAGCCCCGCCGTCGTGAGCGGCGCATCCCCTGGAATCTTTGACGAGCAGAAGTTTAGATATTCCGGGGCATCAGCGGCCATGGCGTTCCCACACGTCCTGGGTATAGCTCTCGGCTCCGATAGCCCTCCTAAGATGCGGTCCTTTGCTTACAACTTTGGCATTCGCCCCGAGGAGGCATCTAACGCTCACTGCTTTCTTGGGAATCTCATCTCGGAGGAAGATCTCGGCATCTTCTCGAGTGTGTATTTCTCGTTATTGGGCCCTATCGGCGACGTAATGGACCCGAGGATCTACGCTCAGCGGTGTCGGGATTATTATCGTGGTTCTGGCAGCAGCGCGGTCACCTTTGCCGCCGTGGCCGCTGGTGTCGCCGCACTCGGGTCATTTCTATCTCCCAATAGACACCCGCGGGAGTCTGACCTTGTGCAGTACGCCAAAGCCATTCTCGATGATCCGGCCTCCATGCGCTTGCATGACATCGACCACATTGTCGCGTGGGGTATGCGAGTGCTTTACCTACGGGCCACGACCCGGCCCAGCAATGCCTGGATCGCTTCGTGCACCCAAATGCACCTCTGTGAAGCTATAGGGCTGCACGAGGAGGAGAACATCAAAAAGATGGCGTCCATCGCCGGCGCCGCTGCCCTTGGACATGATGTGGACCGGCTGAGAAGAATTTTCTGGATCTCGTGGGCCGGGCATAACATGCTGTCCTATGAGTACGATCGTTCCCCTGTAGTATTTCGGGCCGTGACTTGCCAGTCTATCATCCCGGTGTCAGGGTCCGTTGCCGACCGGTTCGTGCAACTCATCCAGATCATCCCATCGCCTAACTCTCCGTTTCAGCTCGAATGGCAGTCTCCATCTCCAAGCGAGGAGCTATTTGAGCGTCTCAAGGCATTGAATGAGTTCCAAACCACCCATCCGTTCCTGGTGGTGACCAAGGCGGACATCGCGTTCTGCTTCTTTCGTCGCCTTTATCAGCTCAAGATCCGCATACCGGACGATATCATTAAGCTCGTCATTGATAGCGGCAACGCCGCAGTGGAAGCGGCCGAGCGGCAAGCGAGCCAGGGTCGTCTGTTCTGGAACATCATCGGCAGCGTCTTCCAGTATGCCTGCATCCTGTTGGCCATCGACACACCGACCGCCTCCGTCCACATCGATACTGCCTTCAAGGGCTTGGAGAACCTTGTCAAGTCTGCCGATACAGCGCTGACGCGTGAGGCTTTGTCGATGGCGCGGCATCTACTCAGCCTTAATATGGCAAAGAAGCGAAAGGAACTTGCTCAGCTAGAAGCTGTCGAGGCGAACTATCAATTCTTTTCAGCGCAGCCGGCATCCGAGGCCAACACCGCTGTGCCAGACATGAATTGGGAGGTGGACTGGGACCAATTCTTCATCGAGCCATACTTGTCGATGCTCGGTCCTGACCTCCAGTTATAGCGGCGCGTGGGTCGTTTGAATGTTGATTGACTCCACTCAGCGGTGGTTCAATATGTAAATTATCAAACCATAGCGTGGTGTTCTGGTATGATCTAATGAAGTTTATCATTGTACTAATGATAATAAATACAATTATCCAAAAGTGATCCTCTTTGCATTTGGCTTGTTTCCTGTGCTGTGTTTTTAGACACCTCGGCGTGTGTTTGCCCTGGTGCTGAATAGAGGGCGCGTGGACATGGGCGCCTCGCGGCGAAGCGCAATCATAGAGTATATACACACATTGCTCCTTGTCGATATTTTCTATCGTTATTATCGTTATCAGCCTGGAAGTTGGCAAACATGCTCGGAGACAAAACGGTATAACCAACTCCACCATTGGACCAGAGCCATTAGGAATCGAACCCAATATCACTTAAATACACACTCTCGGCACACGGAGCTCCCTCATTCCGTCGGTCCGTAGGTGAAGAATCACTGCCAAGCGTCTTGTGCGACGTTATGTGCGGCTATTGCGGACTTATCTGCCTATCGCCGCACTCAAGCCCCCTAAAACAGTATTAGCAGACCCTTGGGTGCGGCTGCTGCGGCGCAGGAGGCGCGGATTTATCCGCCTCCCGTCATCGCCGCCTTTAATTTAGCTGGCCATCTCCTTAGCTCCCGCGCGCTATCATCTCCAGGCGAATCAGATTTGAGGTTTCTGGCCCAATTAAGTCGGGGGCCATGATGCGGACAGAACACTTTCCACTCCGTAGGAGGTGGAGATTAATTATCCCGTGGTCGGAGGATCTCTGAGTCCGATCAGATGTGACAAAGCTGAGATGGAGAAAAGCTCATGAAAATAGAGAATTTGAGACCGAGTCCTGACATGTATAAAGAGATGGACATTCCCTACGGAGGAGAGATAGCAAGATGGTTACACTCGGTCACAAGCTTAAACACCACGACCACCTCCTTCAATCATGATGTCCAAGTACGCCAAAAGCCAGTCCGTCGGCTTTAAAAACACCATTGAGAGAGTCGCCATCGTTGGGGTAAGTCAACCGTCAAGACCGCCACTTACACAACACCACCACTAACTAGTAACCTTAGGCCGGAGGCACCATTGGAACGCACATTACCAACGCCCTTCTCAAGACTGGAAGACACAAAGTCACAGCGCTTTCCCGCAAAGACAGCGGTAACAAACTCCCCGACGGCGTCGTTATCGCGCCAGTCGACTATGACGACGAGGCCACCATTGTCGCCGCCCTCAAGGGCCAGCAGTTTTTTATCATAACCATGGCCCCTACCGCGCCCCGGGATACTCACAGCAAGCTCGTCCAGGCGGCCGCCAAGGCTGGCATTCCCTACGTCATGCCTAACGCGTACGGCGGCGACATTGACAACATTAAGCTCGGCCAAGACACGATGCTGGGGCCTGTGGGCAAGGCCCAGAGAGACGAGATTGAAAGGCTTGGCATGCAGTGGATCACAGTGTGCTGTGGGTTCTGGTACGATTACAGCTTGGCGGGCGGGGAAGCACGCTTTGGGTTCGACTTTGACAAGCGTTCCCTGACGCTCTATGATGACGGCAACACCAAGAACTCGACGTCGACCTTATCGCAAGTTGGACGCGCCGTGGCCAAGGTGCTGAGCCTCAAGGAGCTTCCCGAGGACGAAAACGACAAGAGTCTTACTCTGTCGACGTTCCTCAACAAGGGCGTGTACATTAAGAGCTTCGTGGTCAGCCAAAATGACATGTTTGAGAGCGTCAAGCGTGTCACCGGTACCACTGACGCCGATTGGACGATTACCCACGAGGACACCAAGAAGCGATACGAGGAGGGCCTGGCGCAAGTTAAAGTAGGCAACATGGCTGGGTTTGGCAAGATGCTCTACGCAAGGGCATTTTACCCAGATGATTCGAAAGACCTCTCGGCAAAGGCCCAGAATGAGCTGCTGGGATTGTCGGATGAAAGCCTGGACGAGGCTACCAAGGTTGGCATAAATATGGTCAAGGAGCTGCAGCGCCGTGTCGAGCGCATGGCGTCTTAGAAAACAGCATCTACATACATGTACGAAATTTGGACGAATTAATAGATACATTGGATAATAATAGGGTGTCCGTTGGGGCCGGTGGACACTGGTGGTCTTTGGTCTTTTATGTAGCGTACCCGGACCAGGTGTGGGAATTTTGAAAGTAGGACCAGACCACCTTGGGTCGGTCTTTTGAACACACCTCCACCAGTCTGTGATCACCACCAGCATTACCAATATAGGAAATACATCAACAATCAGTCAGCAAAATTATGCCGAGAATACTGGTGATTTGCCCAAAATATGCACAATTATACCAGACTTATGCACAGATGAGTATAGTCAAAAAGACCACCCAGACCAGACCAACGGACACCTTACTACCATATTAACATACGAGCTACTCCGTACTTTGACCAAAAGTCCTTATTTTCGGGAATCGTTAAGTGAGGAAGAGCGAACGAATGGCGGATAATGGCTTAGGTATAGTAATTGCTTATGAGTTGAAGGTTATAGCTATAATATGTCCTGCGCAGAGAGTTTCAAGCTGATAAAGTGAAAATTCGTTATTATATTTAACGAGCACCTCCTCAACAAACTATTGGGGAGCGCCTATGCCTCTCCGTTTTTAAGCTATAACTTTAAACCGTTCAACAGTTATACCAAGTCCTACTGCTTCCGTGATCAAGTCTACGTTGGTAAACCCCACAAGAAGAATCCACTTGCCCGTTAGCCATGGCACTGTTAGGTTATAGTTGCGTGTTTCCAATAGGGGGACCAACGCTGAGATTTTTCATGTATATCTAGTAGTACAAGCCAGCAAGTTTTAAAAGTAAGATCTTTTAGACATTCTTTTTAAATGTAACTATTAGTCAATTATATATAGAATAGATGGCTTTTAAAACACATGTTTATAAAAAATAGCAAAAGATACAAGAATATATAAGGATTACGATAATTCATTACAAGAGTATAAGCTCTAGAAAAACGCTGGAGGAAAATAGACAAAGATAAATATAGTCTTTAATAAATTGTATAACTGACCTTGAAGTATTACAAAAAATATTGTTATTGCTGCTTGTAAGGCAGGGATCTAGAATATAGTAATCTTGATGCTCTCCAGCAGCGTTATATAGAGAGATCTCAGATGACTAAGTTAAGAACGAAGGGAGTGATCGAGGCATAACACTAGATAATGACTAAACTACGTATAACTAATGCCCAGTAGATTGAATCTTGATTTTGAGATATACAATTAAAAGAGTTAAATACAATATTCTATAAAGCGGGAAAGCCTAGACTACCTCTCTCCTCCAAAGAGGGCTGTCCGAAGCCGATTCAAGTTTGTTAAATACTGCAGCTGGTGGTAGACTCGTGGATACTGCCATTTAGGCAATATCCAAAAGAAGAAACCAAATACCCATACCAAGCCAGCAGCTTTGCTGCATACCATTAGCGTAGCCTGTCTTTTAGGATTTTGTAACCAATGATACTGATCTATTGTTTTCAGGACACTAGCATGCTTTGAAACAAAGACCTCTACTGCTCCTGCAGCAAAGTTACAGATGAAGAACAAGGTGTCGAGCATGTAAAAATGCTTGTCACCGGCACACCAACTAATGAGCGAGTGTACAAGTCCAGAAACAAAAAACACGGTAAAAGCGACCACAGCATTGTCTGCTCCAGATCGAGGCTTGAGACTCAGTATCTGACGAGACACCAGCTTGCCAACATTGGTATAAGGCCGGTACGCGATACGATGCCAAAAGTGGGCCCAGAAGCGGCGCAGGTTGTATGCTTGAAGCAGGCTCCCAAAGAGCGGTGGCCACTCGCTAGGCTTGTCGACACGCAAGACCGCAACGAAGAGAATGGAAAGGAAGGTGTGCGCGCTATCGATTTCATAGACGGCAGAAAAAATCCAGTGAAGGACAACGGTGGCACGAAGAAGTGTCTCGCGTAGAGTGACTGGTGGCCCAGCAGTCTGGCTAAATGACAGTAGTCGGCGAAAGTATACCTGGCGAGAAGGAGCAAAGTCTTCGGCTGAAAAGGGCAGAAAGAATTTTGGGTAGAGCAGTGGTTCAATTTGCGTGTGGAGGAGCCAGTACACGAACAATTTTGAAAGGCGCGTGACCAGGAACTCGAGCATCGTCATGGGTCGACGGGCTCTCTTCATTCCAGGAGCTTGCTGCAGTGTGTTGATGAGGCGTGTGTTGAACAGCAGCTTGTACGCTGCCATCATGTCCCATTTTTTTGGCGTAGTAATGGACATGCCGTCGAACGACGTCGTGACCATCCTGGTATCGGTCTCGATGAAAAACACTGAAAGGACGTGTGGGATCCATATGAGGATTGACAGCCCCCAAAGATTGCCCAGCCCTTCTGGCCAGGTAAAATTTTGCATGGTCGCCACTGACCAGCTTGCAAACAAACAGAGAAAGGGAAGGCAGAGCAGGCGGAGGGGTGGGGAAACGTTGAAGGCAAAATAGAAGATGATACTCGCGCCAGCCAAGTATGCAATTGGAACAATGGCTGACGGGGACTTTGTCCATGCCATGATAATCTCAGATGTAGCCATGGGGCATTGAGTGACGGCAATCAAGAGCAGGAATGGGTTGAGCAGAGAAAACATGATAAATGTGAGAGCGCGACCTTGTCAAAGCTCACTTGCAACCATCGGAGACGGAAACGAGCCAAAAGGCATGCACACAGCCAGGGGATCTCATTTGATACTGACATAATATTTCTACTGACGTAAAAGGCTCCACAGTACCTAAGTGTCTTGCAAAGGTGTTCGAGTGCTGTACGGTACTGGTCTTGTTGCCATTGAACTAAGTAGACAAGGTGGTGACCCTTGACTGAATCAGATATTTCAAGTACTGTACAGTCGAACTCGGACAGAGATAGCCCACCCCTTCCGTTCCTGAATCCCTGACTGACCAGCCATGCCAGGTTGCTTTTCAAGCAACTTAGACTGATAAATGAAAACGTAATAATAGATTTTAGAATTTTTCTCCCCGAAGGCTTACTATGCTTAGTGCGGAACACAAATCGTTATACAGAACTCTGTACAATGGTGTTGGAATCTGCTTGTGTAGTGTGCCAATAGGTGCACAATGTCCTTGCCTTCCAGGAAAGAGTCTGACCATTGACATTACGCTAATGACATTGAGTCGTCAATGCCAGTGTTTTTTTGCAGTTTGAACCATAGTAAACTCTTGCAATAGATGTTTAACTAAGACATGAAATGGCCCCTATGCGGCAAACACGACTGCCGGGCTCTGAGCGAGTTTCTCCTGGAGGCTTGGCAAGTGTATGAATACATTGAGGATGAGACAAAGACGTTGGCGCTCGCTTCCAAATTAACTAACCTTTAGGGGAGTGGGGCTGGCATAATGGGGCTTCATCCTAAGAGCATTCTGATGATACTCGTGAGTCGTGAGTCATGCTACTTGAATGCTCCATACGGAGTAGATGCTACCAAGTAGGTTCAATGACCAGATTTACCAAATGCTAGTTAACTATAAGCAGAAACAGTAGCTAAGCTACATGAACAGAACAATGCAGCTGAATTAACATGGCTTATAGAATTAGTTTGAATTCCAGTATTAAAACCACTACTAATACTTTGGCAGCATGTACTCTGTACCGTACAGTAGTATGCTAAAGGCCTGGAGTGTGCAAGGCGTCCATGTCACAAGATAATTGTAAGGAGCCAGGGACTGGTAGATAGGTGGGTTTTTGGCCCTGTTGACCCACTAATAGTGGTGGAAGTTGTCCTTTATCCCAGTGCTACAAGAACACAGCGAGAATGAACTTTCTTGGTTGCGTCATAATCGGACAATGCTTTGATCGAAGATCCGTGCCCGCGCCTGAAATCTTTTACTCGAGTGGGACAAGGGGGACCTCCGTGAGTAAGACTGTCAAGCAGGGGCCATGGACCTTGGTGCTAGTCACGTAAAGAGCATAAGTGGAGCGGATGGACCAGAAAATACTCCGGTAATACCGAATTAATGAGCAGAGAGTCAGAGACAGAGCAAGTGGGGCGTGCGTTCAGCGGAGCCGGTGGGTCGAGGAGCAGTGGGGAGGAACAGTGGGGCGGAGCAGTGGGGCGGAGCAGTGGGGCGGAGCAGTCGGCCCGGGCTACTCTGTTCCCCTGACTGTCTGCCACTCTGATGCTTTTGCAGCGGGCGGGCGGGCGGGCGGGCGGGAAGAAAGTAAAGGCCCGAAGCAACTGTAATGCCAAGACAAGACAAACATGAACGTGCACACTAATTGTTCCATGCCCCAGTGTCCTTTCGATATATTGGCCGATGCATGAGAAACATTTCCAAATACACAGACCGTGACATTTAACAAGTTTAGAGGGGTTAGGCATGTACGTCTTTTAGACAGTGTTGTCCTTGCATATCATTATCGTGCCGTCTATTACGGCCCAGAAAGCAGAGACCTCCCCAAATTTAACCAGTTCTTGATTCTCGTAATCAAACTACTTGCTATCAAATCGTTTGCTGTATATGCGGCCTTTGTCATTGCAAGTGAAAAAATATGGTCAAGATGCCAAAAGCCCTGTCCAAAATGTCTATACAGCTATGCTCCTCTAGTAACTGCTATATAATCTGTATTTATCGTATTTAGACTCTGTAGATCTAGGAATGCCTCTTATCTTTATGGATGTAATACTCTCTCAATTACCATTTTATCACTTTAGTAATTTATTTGGCACGGCGGCTCGGCAGAATTTTGAATTACACCTTGAGAGTACAAAAAATTAAAAAATAAGGTCTATTAAATGAGGCACACGTTAATACAAGCTAATGTAAACATTACGACGGAGGCGAAAAGGCAAAGATAGAAGATCGATCTTGAATTAAACGAGTGGAAGGCCTATATATTTGACTATCAAGTGGATTCATCCCCGCTGTCCCATGTCTTTTCCAACTTAATCAGACTAAGTGGTCACATGGCGTTCAAATCCAGTTGCAGTAATCGTTGGCCCAGGCCCTGGAGCATCTCCATAAATAGCTTAGCTGGCATTAACAGCGTCGCGGATCTGGTTCAGCTCATCATCCGAAAGGCCCTGGAAAAGGATGCTGGAAGAGCTCATAGGGATAGGGTCGCCCGCGTCGTAGTCGCCAGTGATGACAGTAGAAAGGTCCATGCAGGCAGGCGGCAAGTTATTGACGAGAAGACCTGGTTTCACGAGTGTTAAACCCCGTTTGCCATATAAATTGACTTGTGGAAAGAGAACCACAGGGTATACTTGGCTTACCATTGTTGCCTTGAGGAGAAAAGGTGACAGTGACACCATCAAGCTCGGAAGCGCATTGGTCGGCTGCCTGCTGAGAGACACCAGGAGCCAGGCGCTTGTGGATATGACTAGAGCCAGCAATAACGGCAGATCCAGCCAGGCCGGAGCCAGCGAGATAAGCTGCATCGGCCCCGAGTCCAATGAGCCCAAGGAGAGGAGGAGCTGGGCAATACTGAACCATGGAGGCAAGGCCAATGGCACAGGCAGCAATGCTCATGGATGCGTGCATTTTGTAAAGAGTAGTTATCTGAGTGTGATTTGAGGCAATGAAGATTTCGTGGCAGTGTAACTTGAGTCTGTCTTGGAATTGTCTGATGAAAGTCAGACTGCTCTGATGGTAGATGGAAGCCCTATTTATGTCTTGTCCAGGACCTCTTTAGAGATAGATCTATAGGTCTTCTTCAATCTTTACGTAAAAGAGGGATGTAATGTTACATTTGCTGAAATGAGCCGGTGGGGTTTTGGAAGAACCCACCGGGTTCTACAAGCAGATTGATAACAGAAATATCTGCTACACCATTAGTAAAATAATAGAGTCAACCCTGGCAGAGTCTAAAGCAAGTGGAGCATTTGATGCATTCTTTTACAGATCGTCACATATCATAAGTCCAGAGTGGCAACAATACTAGGCCTTTAGGCTGATTTAAGTAAAGTGCTATAGCACTCCCAAGCAAGTGGAAAAGATGCATCAGAGAAAGAGAGAAAATTATGTAAAATTGAGTCAAGTGATTGTCTGTATTATAGTATGTCAAGATTTTGTCGTTACATGATGATCTTATTGATTGAACATCAGTCTAATAGTATACCCAATACCAGTGTCAACATGACTATAGCCTTTAGCCAAGGGTATTCATTTAACGCAATAGTCACCCAACCCAGGAGTGGAATGTAACCCCAGACTAGTCCTACTATTTGATGTCTATAAATCCAATTTTGCCCCGGAGGATAGAGTGCTATGTCATCTACCTCATTATTGTCGCCCTTGGTAAGGATTTGCTGTCTAGAAAAAAAAACCTCAGTATGTGGATATTGAAGGACAAGGAAGAGAACAAGTTACGAACATGACTTTGACTGGAGCGTAGCTGATACTAGTATTAATCACGCTGATTGCACGATGGACCATGGGAAGACTCCGGCCGGGCAACCAACATACAGGGATATCTCCCACCTTGACTAGGGATTGACGATTCCACAAGATTAAGATATCCCCTCGTTTAAAAGCGGGTTCCATGGACTCTGATATGACCACCACAATAGGATGAGACGAGTCAGTGATGAGCGAGATGGCCTTCCAGAGCATATAAGCCGTTGCAGGAATAAGAAAAACCATGAGACTGCCTGAAAGAAGTCTCCTGACATTGATCAGAGGAAAAGTCCAGCAGTTTTTCATTGGATGGCTTGGAGGTCTTCTAGACAAGCCTGCAACGGCCATTTCTGTCGAAGAACAGCGGGCAAAACACCTTGTGCAAGGCAAATAAATAGAATCAAACAAATGGTACGCAGGAACTTTCAAGAACAGGATGAATAGGCCCACGGTAAAACAGATATTTAGGGCATTAAAAAGACAGGGTTCAAGTCATCACTGCTGATCTTACCTTATAGCATCAATAATAGTAGTTGACAACAAGGGAAACATTGCAAGTGGTCCGGCTGCCTTTGCGGGTTTTGCCACAGTTCCACACGAACATAGTCATCCAGTCTGCCAATTAGGTCAGTGTTACAAGGATCTATCCTTCAACGTACTCGTACAATTTTTAGGACTAGGTACCTAGTTGTAGTACTTTGCATGAACCCCCTGACTTCATAGTCTGTAGGGAAAACGGTTTTATTTCGCCCCAAGGTCGGCTCGAGCGGCTCAATCAGCTGCGATCCGCGTTTGCTTGGCGTTTAACTAAGATAATTACGTTCACGGACCACTCGGCTCTGAACATTTGGCCCGAGCTTGGAGGCTCGCTAAGACGCCAAAGCTCCACCGCCCTGACAAGCTCCGTCAAGGGTCCCTCGTCTCTCGCTCCCTTTGCTCCGAGGTCGAGTAATTTCGCCTATTTATTGATTGATCTTGACTTTGTTGCCGGCTTGACAAGCTTCACCCTCCCTTTCGTTCGATGCAAACACCTCCCCCCCTTCCTTTTGTTCACAGTACATTTTTATATTCTCCAACAACACAACATGCCTGGCGATCAACCGGTCAATCAGCCTTTGGTGAGCCCGGCAAAGTATCCCGTTGCGTTATATCCCGAGTACATCACCTCCTCGCCAACTATGATTATTATCAAACAACACAATTTACGGAGGGACTTTACTTGTTTTCATGCCAACTCGAATGTTCTTTTCCATGTTGCTGGGAAGAATCTTAGCCAAAGACGGCGCCGCACCTTTATTGACCCAACAAAGGACACTTCCCTTTTTGAACTCCGGAGGCGTTACTTTAACATCAACGAGCACTGGTACCTTGAGTTTCCTACCAGTGCTGGTGCTAGTGATAATGACGGCATAAGCTCTTTCTGTTCTGTGGCTATCGTGTGGAAGGGTTGGGCCAACTTCAATGTCACCTTTAACAATATGGCTGCACCAGGCTCTGCCAAGGGCGAACGTACTGTCCTCGAGGTTCGAGCGCTCACTTTCAGGCGCTTGCTCTACTGTGTTTATCTTGACGGTGCGAAGATTCTTGACCTCCGTAAGATCCCGTCCCCTGAGGCACCTGAGAGGACCCCTAGGCCAGGTAAAAAGCCGCGCAGGACAGGCTATTGTGCCTGGGAGGTAGATATTGCATCAGGGGTGGATTTGTCTCTGGTGAGTTGTGTTTTTTTTTTTTTTTTTTTTTTCTTCCCGACATCCCCCCTCTCTCTTTCCATTTGCAGATTGCTAATTGTCCGGGAAATTTAGGCCTCTGTAATTACTGTCATAACCGCAGAACTGAACAAAAGTGACATATGGAGCAGAAGGAATCACGTTTAGGGATAAATCAGGTTATATAAAATGAGATTAGAGCTATACTGTTTTCTTTTAAAATGGAGTTATGACCGTAATTACAGAGGCCTAAATTTCCCGGACAATTAGCAATCTGCAAATGGAAAGAGAGAGGGGGGATGTCGGGAAGAAAAAAAAAAAAAAAAAAAAAACACAACTCACCAGAGACAAATCCACCCCTGATGCAAAGTACGCTGGAAGTGTAATCTAGTACCTGATTTATCCCTGCAATAGGGTAATTCTCTAGATAACAGAAAAGAATAAAGCGACCCTGGATTACCAAAGCACAACAACACCAACAAGCCATAGGAGAAAGGGAAGGAGAAGCTTTTGAATATCGAAAACTCAAAAATATATATAAAAACAAGAATAGAAAAAATAGAAAAATAGAAAAGTAAAAAAAAAAGACGCAATGCTGAGCAACACATCTTTTGTACGATTACAAGACCGCAAAGAGATATAGCTCAATGTAATGCAAAATACGATACTTGGCAACTCGGAGTAGTACAATCAAATACAAATACTTGAAAGGCAAATCTACATCCACAGACGACACGTGCCATCAGCACCGGCGCTGACGATCCAGGGTTCTCTTGGATGCCAGTCGAGATCCAAGACACCTAATTCGGCAGTGACGCGATGGCCCTTGAGGACCTTGAGGGGAACAATGGTTGCATTTTCCATCAGATCCGAGACAACATTGCCGTGGAAAATCTGAAGAGAGCCATCGTCACTGGCGTCAGCGAAGAGAGGAAGGCCGCCATGGTGGAACTTGACGGCGCGGATGGCCTTTTTGTGGTAGCGAAGAGTCTTGTAGGGCTTCGTGGAGAGGTCGAGGTCGTGCCAGAGGAGACGTTTGTCGTAGGAGCCGACAATAAGGTTGTCGCCGCCGGGATGGACATCGATACTTGAGATCCAGCGGGCGCCAGGCTGCAGGATCTTGACGAGTTCCTGGCGGGAGAGGTCGTAGGCGCGAATGGTGCGCTGTGTGGCGACGAAGAAGATGGGTTTGGAGGGGTGGAACTGCGCGGTCTGCGCAAGGCCCTTGAGCCGGCGGAAGGGCAGCTGCGAGAGGTGCTTGGAGAGTGTGTGGATGGCGATAGCGCTGGTTTGGCCGCGGGGGGAGACGGTCGCAAAGTACTCGCCGCGACGGTGCCAGGTGATGACTTTGACCGTGGCGCGCACGGTGGCTTTGACGAGCATGCCGGCGTCCTGGAGGAGCGAGGACGGACGGGCCCATTTGGCGGGGGGATCTTTCTTGGCGCCGCTGGCGGTGGTGAGTTGGGGCTGGTGCTGCGAAGAAGCCGCGTAGCCCCAGCCTGCGTCGAGGATGGCGCGACTGGCGGCTTCGGTTTCCGGGTCGACGATGGGGAGGGGAATGCCGAGGAAGATGGACTCGCCAGCGGCAGCGGCGAGGATGAGTGCGTCGGTGCCGGGACGCCAGCGCACGACGTTGACGGGTTCGGAGGCCGTGTTGGCGTCGTCGTCGGACGTGATCTTGATGCTCCATACTTGGCGGCCGGTAAGAAGCTCCCAGACGCGCACGGTTCCGTCGTCGCCGCCGGTGGCGAGCCATTTGCCGGACGGGTCGACGGCGAGGGAGCGCACACGGCCTTGGTGGCCCCTGAACAAGGTGGCGCAGGTGGTGGGAAAGGGGCGGAGCTCATCGGGGCTAGGGAGTTTGGGAAGGAGAGACTCGGGGTCGATATTGAGCTTGTTGCGTCGCACGCGGGGTGCGAGGTATAAGTCCAAGCATCGCTCGAAGCGCTCCTTGACAAAGCTCTCGTAGCCAGGAACTTTGCGGAGAGCCTCGTAGTTTGTGGGGAGGAATTCCTTCTCGCGGTCCTCTGGTTCGGCTTCTTGCCAGGCTTTCCGCTCGGCTTGTTCGGGAAGATATTCTGCGGGTGGGTGGTACGATTCTTCGTAGCCTGGTGGAGGAAGTTTCGGGGCGGGAATGTTCATGGGGTGGTCTGGACGCTCGGTCTCGTCCGCCCACAGGTCGTAGCGGATGACGGAGGGGTCTTCCTCTTCCTCTTCGCTAGGAGGCTTGTAGGGAAGGATACGGCCCTCGCGGATGGCGCGGACAATCTTCATGACCTGTTGGAAGACGCGTTAGTGGGCATCGCTCAGATTAAGTGGAATGGTTGTAGAACATACCCGCTTGGCTTCATGCTTGGATGGAACGAATCTGCGTTTCGGCTCAGGAGCAGCGCTCAGAGGCATAACCTCGGTTTTGCTTGAGAAGTACTCAACCATGGGCTAAAAGAATTGTGTTAGCTTATACATGTCGGAGACCTTAGAAGTCGTGAGAGGAAATTTGGGAACTTACAGGATACGGGTCGTAGCCTTCAGGGACCTCGTTCAAATGCAATTTCTTCAAAATTTCAAGCTCTTCTTGGCTCAGCTCAAGGGGCTTTCCAGTCGTTGGGTCTGTCATGCCGGTGAAGCCCTTGGGAACCTCAATGCTCTCCAGGAGAGCGTCGAGAGCCTCGCCCTTGGCTGGCCGCATGATTTTCTTGCCATCAATGGTATAACCGATGTGCGGGTAAGAGTCGTAGAAAGAAAGAGGAATGTTTCCGATCGTGTTTGTCGTCTCTTGGGCATCAGAATCGTCAGAGTCGTAAACAGGCTCAATCTCCTTGTAGATGTATCTCGGGTTGCCGTTGGCATCCTCGGTGACAGTATAGTTCGGCCGGTCTTCGTCTTCTGACTGCTGACCCGCCGCTTCTTCGGCTTCTTCGGCTTTCTCATTCTCATTGGACGCATCCTGAGGCTTCTTAGACTTTACAAGGCCACCAAGATCTCCGGATTTGCGACCCTCTGCTGTTTTGTCTCTTGCGTCTTTCAGCGCCTCGATTTGTTGCCGAACATCGTCCTCCTCTTCTCCCTCTGAGTCCGACGGTATCTCGTCGCTGTCTAGTTCATCATCATCTTCCTCTCCTTCATCCTCTTCTTCCTCCTCGTCGAATTCGCTGTTCTCGACAGAGTCGGATTCATTCTCGGAGACTTCCTCGTCGTCGCTCTGCGACAAGGCACCGTTCAGCAGGCCAATTTGAAATTCGTCATCGGATGCTGAATCTTCAATTGCAGGCACGTCTCTAGTGACGGCCTTTCGCTTTCTGTTGATCGCCGTGGGCGCCATGGCGAAAGGGTAGAATGTGGACTTTGTGTTATTTTGCTTGGAATTCGGCGGACGGGGGAAAGTTCAAAAAGTTGTCGAGAGTTGATGTTTTAGTGCGAGAATTCGGCTATTTGTTCTTCCGCTCCGATACCACGGCGTGGGGTATCTCCGTCCTGCCGCCCTGCCGCACATTTCACCACCAAGGTTAACTAAACGCAACATTTCTCCAAATGTACGACTCAAAATAATGGCATCTGCATCATACTAGATCGGAATCAAAAATAATAAATCTGATACAATAGAATAAACTTATCGAACTTTGCATATATATGGCTGTTGGTCTAATATGCCTTCTGGAGCCGTTAGCGTTTCTTCAGCAAGCGCCTCGAAGCTGGCCTCATGTGATGAATGCAGTACGCAGAACCTCAAATTCAAGCTAACACATTCTGATTCATAATGATAGGACTCAAAAAGGTGAAGTGCTCTGGAGAACCATCTGGCTGCAGTCGATGTGTTCGAGAGGGTATACCATGCCACTACTCAGACCGCCAGAAAATGGGCCGGCCCCGAAAGAGGCGCCTCACGTCCCGAGAGGATGGAGAGGAGAAACAAGACAACACAAGCATAAATACCACTTTTTCAAAGAATGGGCATAATGACAAAGGTATTCACATGTCAAATATGCCGAATGAAAACAACCTGGTCCAGAACAGCTCGCCTTTCACACCCCCTTTCAGCGACGAAACATTAAACTTGCTCTCTCCGACTTCAAATTTTAATATGGGCTTTCCGTCGCTTGAGAACTTTAATTTTAGCAGCAATAATGATATCCATATTCCATCCAGTAGTTCGGAAGATGTGCACTTGTCGTTGGAGTGAGTTTCCCAAGGCTAATGTTAACGCAAATATCTTACTGGTCATGCAGTCCATATCTCAATACCCAGAAAGACTTCTCAAGCTTTCAAACGCCTTCGTTCATGCAGAACCTGCCAGGAATGGATGGGGAGAACTCTTGCGCCTGTCTGTCAAATCTCTACCTTGCCATGTCAGAGCTACAGACCGTACCGCCAGATTTCCCATTCCCAAGCACGATACATTTGGTATCAAAGGCTGTTCCAGTTGCGCGAGGGGCCATCGATTGTCCAATCTGTGGAACAAAATTTCTCCTTGGGATGCCAAATACGATGCTCGTCATCTCGTTATTGTCATTAATGGCGAGTATCTGCGCCAAGACGTACGAGTTTATCGATACAAAAGCAGACGACTCGAAATCGCGGGGCGAAACAAAACTTTTTCGAATGGGCGAAATGGATCCGCAGACGATTCATTTACATACCGGCACTGCAGACTGTCCAATGGGTTTTAATGTTGAGCTCGAGCCAGATGAGTGGCGTCATATGGCAAAAAGGGTGGTGCGCGCAACGGTAAAAGGAAAAGGAGACGGCAAGTCTGGTTTGATGGGTCTCATAGCAGCCATGGAAGAGCGTCAAAAATCGTGGCACGAAAATCATGTCAGTCCCATACCTCTGGTGGTGCCGAATCCGGAACAGAGAGCGACTAGTTGCCAAGGCGCGTCATCCGCAGCTGGCACAACGCCAGTGTGTGTTCGAATGGTACATAATGTGCGCGGTTACCTCAAAATCTTTGATTGATTTGGAGCGCTTTGCGATAATTGAGATACCCTAAAACGCTTTCAATGCTCGAATTCTCCCATGCTCCGTTGGTGAGGAAAATCAGCAGCTCAAAACATGTTAGAGCTCTTACACGCAGAATTTACCACCATTGACAAACAGAGGGACTGATACGTTGTTTGAGATCTCTTTTGATGCGAAGAGTTCTCATGCAGAGTGATTGGTTAGCCAGAACATCGTTGCCTTTCCGGGAATGCTTGATGCGTGCCGCGTGCTCTGTTCGTCATGGTGGACATTCGTTAAAAATCTTAACTCAAACAATGTCTAAAACTAGATATTATACACTTATGAACGACATCACCAAAATCCAAATTGTCGGGTTATTTTTGTCCAACCGTCGCCCTTCTAATCACCAAAACGCGTTGCACTCGTCGCCCTAGCTTATCTCAGACGTCGTCTCTTCAGCGCGTTTACGTATATTGCTTCTCGGCGCAGATGTGATCTGATTGTCTTAAGGCAATTTCTGGCATATCCCTTGCGCCTATCATATTCGACACTGGCTCCTTCTGAGCTCTGCCGAATCGCTTGTTCTATTCGTGAGGGATCATAGACAAATTCTGGTAAAACCAAATCCACGCCGTCTCCGCTGTTTTGGGCCTTCTCCAGTGCTGCCTTGAGTTTTAAAAGGTGCCTTTTGGTGCTAGCACAATCATATTCGAATATGAGTGTGGACAAAAGGTTGTCACCAAACGCAAAGGTTTACTGTCATCATGATGGAATCCTGCAGACTCTTCGCGGATATACGGCATTTTGCACAAAAGCTCAATTGTGCTTGAACTCCAGTTCCGTTCATGGCCAGCTTTCGTGATTGACTCACGTTCCTGTTCCGAATAGTATTTGATGGCATCCAATGGTACAACAGCCATTGATATCAATAGATTGCAGAACTCATTGAGAAGATCGACAACCTTTTGCGAGTCGCATGTTTGGGGTATAGACGGCGAAGGGTCCCAATATCTGCGGTCTAGCTCTCTCTCCCTGGCTGTTTCGAGGTAAAATGAGTCAGTGCTTCAGCCTACGACTTGATGACCAAAATGCGCTCACCCAGCTGTCCTTGTTCCCTAGCTTGCATTTTCTTGATTTCCTCTCTTTCGTGCATCCCGAAACCGAGAGGAATGTCCATGGCGGAGCTATTTCTAGTAACTCTGGCTTGGGGAAAGACAGACGGTATTTGATAATCAATCAGGGAAGGACTTTTTGTCAATAACCTATATCAAATATATTTCCTCACTGAATTGATGATCCTTATTGACAGAGCAAATTGTGTAGACCAGAGTCAAGTAAGACGCAGATGGGGTTGCGATACAGTTGAATATGAGCGTGCCTGAAGCTTAGAGTCACGAGGGCAAATTCGAGCTTTAAGCAGTAAAGAGAGCCGCAATTCAAGGTGGCCACTATGCCCGAACCATATACGAACCTTAAAAGCCCAAAATTTATTTTATTGGGGATTTAAAAAATCATAGACATTTAATGCTCTCAGAATCTACCAAACCAGCCGAACGCGGAGGACACGACGCGTGTGAGAGAAACGCGTTTTATCAATCGCGGCTCTTACGCGATGAAGCGCAGCGCTCTACCCGCTAAGTGTCACTTCAAAGTCAAAGCAAGACAGCACACAACGTTACTTTATAATCATGCCGGTGCAGGATTGTTGCAATACTGGACAATGTCTTCTGGTGATCTTTATCTGACGCTCTTCTTGATTTGACTCGATTTTGATCTTATTTTACTGTCTCTTGAAGAGCGTTCTCTTGTCTCTCCATGAGACCCTCTGGAATTAGCCGGAAATAGGTCCGCAGCGTTACCACAGATCCCAGCGACGGGCCGAAGCGTCCCAGACGGGCGGCAGTTTAACTGGACTTGGTCAGAACCATTCAGCTAAGCACCAACTATTGTGTCGGCGAATCATGCGAACTACAGAGTACAATTGCAGACCCTTCCGGCACTTTCACACATACCTTTGGCTCACTCAAAATATACACCGCCTTTGCATTTGACATGTTCGATTGGTGATAGGCGGAGGTTAAGTAGAATGGAGCTTGCCCCTCAGCCCCTCTTTTTGGCGGAAGACCACAGCATTTTATTCGCGTTATAATTTTGCACGACTCGAGAACCGCCTGAGGCCATGGATCAGCGCTCCTCTTTCGGAGACTACAGCGTGACTCCGCACTCTCCCATATTCTGAGACAATAGCGTCTGGCAGGCTTTCAGCAGCTGAATCTCCTGCAATCATCTTTTGATACGCACAGACCTTCAAACATCTCCCCGCTTGACTTAGCAAATTCTCCCATGCAGTGATGATTTCCATTTATTCCACTTTCACTCATTAAGACAATGGAGGTCGCTGGGTTTGCGCTCAGTGTCGCAGGAGGAATTGGTTTACTTGGTCAGATTTTTGACGGTTGCTTAAAAGCATATAAAGTATGTTTGCAAGGAAACCTTTCTTATGTAGTTTGTTAGCAACGATTTGGTTCATGTTGACCTCTCTCGTGCTTACGAAATTATGATTCCCGCCTGCTACGAGACAGTTGTTGATTGCCCTGATATTAGGTATTCAGTACAGCATCCAATCTCGGCCGTGACAGCGAACGATTAATATGCAAGATTCGAATCGAAGAAATGCGCCTGATGGTATGGGGCCGCGAATGGGGTGTGGTCGAGGGACGACTCGAGGCGCATCTCGCTGCTGCTTACGACGGAAATGTCGCGCTGAAAGCTCTGGCCGAGAACATTTTGCGTGAATTGTACAATACCATCACCGACTTCAATAAGCTCCAAGACCGGTATGGCCTGCGAGACGAGTCCACCGCAGATTTGGAGAAGACAATTGGAAATAAAGCAGTAGCGAGAGGACTTCGAGAGGAACTCAAATTACGCGCGCGTTGGGTCGTCACAGACAAGGACAAATTCGAATTGCTGCTGCAGGACCTTAAAGACTTCAATGACGGACTCGAGAAGCTTTTCCCACCAACACGCATTGCAACATTGCAGCGGACGTGGACACACGAGCTGCTGGATGTGGCGCAACGAGATGTTGCACAGCTTGGCCTCCTCGAACGGGCTTCAGACGGCATCTACCCATCTCTCAACACGTTTGCGAAACTCAAACAACTTCGAATCAATCTCGAGGAAAAGGAGCCTACCAAGAAAATCATGTCGACATCGACCCTCAAAATCCCACGTGAAAGCGTCGTCATCCCAACCACCAATATCATTACGGACGGAAAACGCAGTTACGGTTCATATATTCGACCTGTGCCTGCAAACAGTAATCAGAAACCAAAACTTAAGTCATTCAAATCAAAGCCGGCTTCATCTCCTGGGGCTCCTATTCCCGAAGACGTCTTGATCGAATTTATCGAATATGACTCCTCCATGGACATGGATGCCCGCTTGATTCTCTACCAGCGCGTATTCAATCTCGCATCCATGACACAGAACGCCTCACTCCGACATCCCGACCTCCACACGCTCGACTGCTACGGCTACTTTGACGATCCGTCCTGCGAGCGATACGGACTTGTCTATAAAAACCCACAAACGGAGCCTCTCCGCACATTAACATCCCTAGTCGAAGATCCTAACATCCGCACCCCCGATCTCGACGAGCGTATCCGACTGGCGCACACGCTCGCCATAGCACTCTGGTCATGCCATTCTCTCGACTGGCTGCACAAGACATTTTGCAGTTTCAACATTCTTTTTCCACATGCCAGCGATGACAGCAGTGACTCTTCTGACGCCAAACCCGAAACCCGCCCCTCCAAATCCGAAAAAGAAGATAGCAAATCCAGCAAATCCAGCAAAGCCTCTTCACCCCCGTCCTCACGCAGCTCGACCCCCAGCGCCGGAAAACCAACAACGGCTACCACCAATGGCACCACCAATGGCACCACCAAAGACCGATCACCATCCCACCCCTCTGCAAACACCACCGTCTCCTTATCCAACTGCTACGTCACCGGCTTCGACAGTTCGCGGCCCGAACATCTCGACGAAATGACCGTCGCATCGAAAAACGAAATCGGACAAGACCTCTACCGCCACCCAGACTCGCTCGGTGTATGGCGCCAAAGCTACTGCAAAGCCTACGACATATACTCCCTCGGCCTTGTCCTCCTTGAGATCGGACTCTGGAAGAGCCTTCGCGTATATTACAAGTCGAAATATAATCCCAAAATCTTCCGTGACAAGGTCGTCCTGCCCGTTCTAGTCCCCGGCCTAGGCGCCAAAACAGGATCGCTGTATAGACGCGTAGTAGAGGCGTGTTTGGTATTTCCAGAGCGCGAGGGGAAAGAGTATATCACCCCGCACCAAATGATGGAGTGGATTGTCCAAACACTAGAGAGCTTGAAGGTGTGAAGATATTTGGTTGCACCAGCTTGACACGGAAGCATTTAATATATACCCCTGCATATATATATTTGCATTTACTTTTTTCGTCTCCCTTCCTTCCTCAAGAAAGATATCAAGCAGAGATTTACATAGACATGTCACGAAGCATTGCGTTGCATTTTCATTGTTCGATAAACTGCATAAAGTGGAAATAAAAAAGCGTCCTTCATAGTAATATAAGTATATATATATACATATGGAATGGGTATGATGATTGTGATTGTCCCGTGATATCAGGCGGGGAAAATAGCTTGCCGTCATTTTCAATGCTCGCGATCAGTGCTGATATGCATCGGAAAATGAGAAATCAAGGGGCGAAAAGGAAAGGAGAAAGGGAAAAGTAAAGAAAAGAAAAGAAAAGAAAAGACAAACAGAGGTTCACTTGTCTCCCGTACGATGTACGAACCGACCCCTACGCAGACTTGGCATCCTTTGGCATGCCATTAGCGCGACCCCAACGCCATACTTTCTTGTCCATGTCTGGCTGAATGAAGAGCCACGCGATACTCGTGATCCAGGTCATGAGGGTATCGAGGAGGAAGTTTCCGCGGGGGCTTCCACCCCAGGCGCACGCGCGCATGGCGGAGCCCAAGAAGGCGACAGTGATCAAGTACTCTCCGCGCTCGAGGCCGCGGACGCTGACAGCGGCGCACTCATCCTCGGTTTGGCCCGGATCGCCCGCCTCGAGGAGTTTTGTAATCGCCGGCTTGGTCTCGTTCTCGTGCTCGTATCCAGGGGTATATATGGTGCCGGGGAAGACAGTGTGGACTTTGACATCTGCGGTGGGGCCTAGGGAAGGGTTGTGATGACGTGCTCCATTGTAGAGGTTGATCTCCTGCGAGAGCGCGTCGGAAAGAGAACGCAGCGCCGCTTTGGCAGGAGAGTAGCCGTTATATCCAATGATAGGGTAGAAGGCGAGAACAGAAGATGTGAAAATGAGGTGGCGCGCAGGAGGAGTGGCAGCAGCCTGGGAAGCGGATTGTTCCTTTGTAGTTACGGGGGTTTCGGTCTCGGAAACGGACTTGCTTGTTGTAGTGGTAGAAGCGGGCGTTGCGGGAGGAGGAGTGCGGGGCTTGAACCAGGATCGCAGAGTCGCATGCGCTAGGTATGCTGCGGACCAGTAGTTGCTGTCCATGAGCTGCCTGTGGCGCTCGACGGGGGTGTTGAGGAACAATTCCGGAGCGGCGGACCCCGCGATACACCATACGACGTCGGGCGGGTTGTTGTTGTTCCATACGGCGGCTTCGTGCATAATGCGCTCGCTTTCGGCGGGGTTCATGAGGTCCGCGCTGATGTAGTGGAAACGCTGCGCGGGAGATTTGGCGGCGGCCTGATGTTGCAAGGAATTTGTTAATGACGTCCCGTCCCCTTGGTCGCCGCGACGAATAATGGTGGGGATGACGGCATGGAGAAGGGATGTCGACGAAAAGTCTGAGACAAGGATTGGAATTCAACAAGACGTCATACCTGAATGTATTCGACGGCGGACTCGAGCTTTTTGACGTCGCGCGCGACAATGAGCACGTTTGCGCCCTTCTGGGCTAGGAGTTTTGCGACTCCTCGGCCCATGCCTTGAGAGCCACCGGTGATCAGGACAGTCTGTGGCGCCACATCAAAGGCCATAGATTAGTTTTTTGGGATGCTTTTGAAAGGCTCACGATAAGATCCAAGAGCAGATAAAGTATATGCTTACACGTCCTTCCACTGGAAAGTGATTTTTCCGGCGGAACAGGCCCATGATGTCGAGAGCTAGCACGGACGCAAAAAATCCTAGGAGGATAGTGGCCCAGAAGAAGCCGAGGGCCATTTGTGTCAATCCAGGCAGTCCGTGTCTGGCTCAGGCAGTTGGAAGAATTCCGCAGAGTATTTATCCTTGGACCGATAAACAGTAAATAGTCTAACGACGAGGATGCCCTGACATCGTATTTGCTGCAGTCGAGCTGGTTCGGCCGAGAATTTGTTTGGATTGACAGTGCAAACGCGCCAAATGCGGTTAGCGCGATCGATAGCAGGAACCGTCAAAAGTTCCGTTTGTGCTAAAAGTTCGCGGAACATCGGAGACTCCGACAAACCATTATCATTGCCGCCTGTGCACCATTTGTGTTCTTTTCCTTGAACAGCCGGGCGAAGATGGCAAAGAAGAGGAAGGCTTCAGGCAGGCCTGCGGGCTCCTCTGGGCCGAGAGAGGTCAATGATGCCGACGCAAAATTAAGAGTGAATACCTATGAGGATGTGGCGGACTCCGAAGATGATTTCCACATGGGTCGTGACAAAATTCTGTTGGAGGAGGGACCGAATGAGAAGCGCAGAAGGAAGTTGCAGGAAGAAGGTTTGTAACCATTTGATTGGCTTGACCATCGCCTCAATCAATTGCGCCGAGGCAAATGTTGACGTGCGGTTGCAATAGAAAAATTCCTTCAGCCCTCCGACGAAGAAGTTCTCAACTATGGTTCCAGCGAGTCCGAACCCGAGGATGACCAGGACGATTACGATGAGGATGAGGGCGACGACGTGGATATTGCCAATCAGGAGGCACGCCCATCAAAGCGCGCCCGGCGAGGCTCTGATTCAGAAGGTTCTGAACGGGCGCAGGGCGACGAGGATATCGATGTCGGCGATTGGGGCACATCAAAAAAGGACTACTACGATGCCGACGTCATTGATACTGAGGCTGCGGCGATCGAGGAAGAAAAAGAAGCTCGTCGACTCCAACAAAAACGGCTGGAAGCCATGAATGAGGCGGATTTTGGTTTCGACGAGAGCGAATGGTTGGAAGCCGGAAAAGAGGACGGTGCCCAAGCGGGAGAGGAAGAGGACGACGATAAGGATGTTGTTACGGAAGTTCTTCCTCGCCTCGAACTTACCGGTGACATGTCTATTGAGGAGCGCACGAACGTCCTCAAGTCGAGATACCCCGAATTCGAACCGTTAACAAAAGAGTTTCTTGAGCTTCACCCTCTTCATAATGATCTGGCTTTAATGGCCGGTGCGGCAGAAACTATTATTGAGCATGACACTTCGCCGAAGCGACCTTCCAAGCCCACCAAGACCCCAGCTGCCATTATCAAATATCAAGCCCTGACGGCATATCTCGGTGCGCTCTCCATGTACTTTGCGCTCCTCACGTCCACTTCGAGGGACGACAAAGGCGTGGTATTGGCCATGTCTGCGGAAGAGCTTCGAGACCACGCCATCATGGATACGCTAGTCCGGTGTCGGGAAGTCTGGAACAAGGTCAAGGACCTACATATTCCCGATCCTGCTAAGCTCATCTCCCACGAAGAGGGTATCTCCGAAGAAGAACTTCCGGAGGAGATCGATGAGTCCTTCGCTGTGCGTGTCAACGGCAAGGTCAAGTCTGCCGATAAGACGAAGAAAAAGAAGAAGACCAAGGCTCAGCGTGCGGCTGAGGCTGCGCAAGCAGAATCCGAGGCTCGCCGTGCTGAGCGCATGCGAAAGGCCGAGGCTGATCTTGCTGACCTTGACGCCCTCGCTGATCCCAAGGCACGGAAGCGTCGTGCTGCGGCCGCGGCGGCCCAGGCAGAGGAGCGCAAGGCCGCCGAAGACGGTGAAGGCTCAGACTTTGGTGACGAGACGCTGACAGCAGAAGAAGCCGCGGAGAAAGCTAAGCGCAAGAAGGACCTCCGGTTCTACACCTCTCAAATCGCTCAGAAAGCCAACAGACGTGGTGCTGCTACGCGCGATGCTGGAGGAGATGCTGATCTTCCTTACCGGGAACGACTCAAGGACCGCCAGACTCGTCTTAACGCCGAGGCTGAGAAGCGTGGCAAGAAGCGTCAAGAGATTGGGGCTGATCTTGGCGGAGACAGTGATGAGGAAGATCGCAGAGCTGCTAGAGAGCTTCGAGCAGATGCCGCAGGCGTCAAAGTCGGCGCTGATGAGACCGATGACGATGAGTACTATGATATGGTCGCATCTCGGTCCAAGCAGCGCAAAGATGATAAGAAGAGGCGTGCTGAAGCTTATGCTGAGGCCCAGAGAGAAGGTGGCAGAGTCATTGAGACAGAAGGGGAGATTGGCCCTGATGGCAAACGAGCTATTGGCTATGTCATTGAGAAGAACAAAGGTCTCGCACCCAAGAGAAAGAAGGATGTGCGGAACCCTAGAGTTAAAAAGCGGAAGAAGTTTGAAGACAAGAAGAAGAAGCTCAACAGTATCAGGCAAGTGTATAAAGGAGGTCAAGGCGGCGCATACGGTGGTGAGGCCACTGGTATCAAAAAGGGACTGGTCAAAAGTGTCAAATTGTAGATATTCTTGTTATCTTAGCGTTCATGGGACAGTATACAGCTTTGCTGTTGGTAATCAATTTTTCTTTCCCCCTCATCGAATCCTCATACATTCATTAAGCTTATGGCGCGTGATCTCAAGAGTCAACTTCCGGTAACAATGCTCTCTAGCATGACCCTGACAGTCTGACATTCTTCTGTAGCCGGGTCCGGAAGGTCTAGCTCGAGAAACATCCGAGCTATTTCGTCCTGTGACCGACTTTGGGTTACGCTTTCATATGCAAAGGACGAATTGAATGGAACTTACAGCAGCCTCAACTTCCAACTCCTCTTGCTCTGTAAGGCCTGTGCAGGCCAAGACAAGGTCGTCGCCGCGTGCCGCCAGTCTGATGAATTCTTCTGCTCGCTCAATGACGGCCATATCTATGCCGTTCATCGCAGCACAGCTGGTAATGTTAGTGGGCAGGCGTGGGAGACGTACAGAATCACGTTTCATTGATGATCTACCTTGTTCCAAAGCTCGACATGCTCGGGCCCGGACGAAAACTACACGTTTGGGAGGAATAATCAACAATCATCTTCATCTCGCCGTTTCCCTTCCATCTTACTTATATAGGTAAGCCAATTGGTCCTCAGCTTCATTCGCTTCAGGGTCGAGGTGAACTTCCATATGGCCGAAAGCAAGTTGAGGGCGCGGCTCTAAATAGCCAAGTTCACAAAGCTCTATAAACTTGAGCTCGAGTTTCAACGCATGCTTGGAGAAATTTACCGTAGAAATGGGTTGCAGCAAGCACTTTCGGTCTATCATCCCCTAGACTCAGAAGGTACTCAAAGATGCCACATGCCAGACCGGCGCCGTCTGCTCGAATGCATCAGCACGTGGGTCTAATTTGCAAGCCATCCTTACTCGCCACTCGAATCAGTTCCTTTGCCGAATTCGTCGATAATGATGAGACTCTGGCGGGTAACCATTGACAGCGCAAAAGCAGCTTGTTGAAGATCTACCATAAATGCACTTTGAACCTGTTTCAGTCAGCCATCATGAGGGAGTTGCAAAGCGTCTGAATCATTGTACCTTGGTAACAGTTTCCTTTGCAGATATACGACTTAAAATCTTATCAGTAAGCCCAATAGCAGCGCTCTCTGCTGGTACGAAGCTGGAAACTCCATCAGGAAATAAGTTGTTCCAAGAGATATGATCGATACTCACCTGCCAATATGTGCCATATAGACTATCAATGCAACCTGAAATAATCATCAACGTCAAATTCGATTCGGTGTGTCAGAAGAGAGCCGTTGAACCGTTCATACCTGTTTTAAATAGACACTTTTCCCGGAATAATTTGGGCCCGTCATTATCAGCATGCTAGCATTATTATTTTGTTCCGGCACATTGCTGGGCAAATTGGAAGAGGGATCCCCTTCCGGACAATGGCATCCCTCATCGTCATGCCTTTGACCATCTCCGCCTCTAAGGAACGTGTCGTTCGGGACAAATGACGACACTGTGAGTTCCTGTAAAAGATGCCTTTGCCTCTTTCTCAATCTCAGCACCGTACCATGGACGAATCATGACTTACCGTCCACCAATTATATTGATTATATTTTGGTCCGTTACCAGAGGACGATTTAATTTGTATATTTTCGCCGCTTGAGCTAAGGCTAGAATACTATCGATCGTCAATATTTGCAACTCAAGATGAAATGCTGTAGCACCTGTCTAGCTCGCCACATATATCCGAGGCCTTCGTCAGGAGGGTTTCGAATTCAAGGATTTTCTGCGCAAGACCATGAAGTATCTCAATTTCTCTTTCTATTGTCAGCATTAGCAGAGCTTCTTCCTTTCAGGAAAAGTTTAAGAAAAGTTTGACCAACCACATATTGTCCCGTATGTATCTCCAAATTCTTCGTCCATTTCAATCATATTATCATTTTTGAAGTAGCCTGCCAAATTTGTTCGGAACATTGGTTGCCAGACACTATGGCCATCTCGTCCGCCTTCAAATACGGGCTTCCCAGTTTGAAAATTAAGAGGGACGGATATGAGGAAACCGATTTGAGGAAAGAAAACAACGTTTAGAGGCTCAGTAACATCAGCTGGAAGCTTACGAGCGAGATCCCTTCCCACCTCTGTGAGGAAGTCCTCGATGCCATCATAAAAGTGCCTTTTCTCATCCAATTCTGGGTCCACGCCTCGCCGAACCACGGTACGGTGTTGCTCAGCGGAAGCTTGGAAATCAATCTATGTAAAGACTCAGAGCGCATTCGAAAGACGTCCAAAAGGATCAAGCAAACCGCTCTTTCAACCATTTCCGCAATAGTTGCAAATTGACCATTGTCAAAGCATTCGACAACCTTGTAAAACTTTAGATTCAATGTGTTCAACTTGAAAGCGGGCACTGAGGGTGTATACCCTGGCACAAATAGGCAGTTGGTGAGAGCCTATTGTCTGAACAAAGAAATCGCGGATTAATTGAGCCTGGACTGAAAACTATCAATCAAGTCAAGCATGAGTTTGTATGTCAGTGGAGCTTTTTCAGCTTGTTCCCTCACCGACATCACAGCTGCCCAGGTACTTCGTTTTATTCCACCTTCGCGGCCGAGAGTCCCGCTGATGTACCCATTGACACCTTTATGTAAGTCAATTACTACGCCTCGAATATTTTTTACCTGCTTCAAGGCTTTGAGAAGCGAGTCCATCGGATTCTGGTTTTCTGGGCGAAGAAACATAGTGATTATGTCTAGCCGTTCGTTGATTATTGCAAGCTCCTGACTAGGAAGTAGGAACATTTTCCTCAATGATTGTTTTCCTTGAGGCGTCCGTGCGAATGGAGAAAACAAGCCGTAGAGCGTGAATCCTTCTTTTACAGCGGAGCAAAATTCGATCGCCGCAGATTTCTGAGACTGCGGAACAACTTCTGATTGGATAATTTGCAGAGAAGAAAGTGTTTGTGCATTAATGAACCTGTGAGAGACCTTAGCAATAAATAAGTAGAAAGAAAGACAAGACTCACAAGGTGTTCGTGAAGTTAAACATCTCGAGGACTGAAATATTGAAGGACCAGTCTACTACTCCGCCTAAAGGCAAATGGTGGGTGACATTCTTCCGTTGCAAATAGGAAATGATTGCACCTGCACAGCCAACCTTGAAAAGTAAGCCTGCGATATAATTTTCAAGAGTGTATAGTGTAAGGGAGAGGAGACAAACTGATACACGACTCTCTAAGTCTACCCAGCCAGAGAGCCTCAGGAGTGCATCCATTCGACCCAACGCATTTAAGTCGTTGCCGTTCGCTCCATGACCGCCAGCACCGATAGCGTCGGATGGAGTTTTGAAAGCAACATATCCATTCATATCTGGCCGTATTCCGAGACTAATCAGTTTGCTTTTTGATGTTTCATAGTCAAATTCTGTAGAGGGCCTAGTATCGATAATATAAGGAAGGGAGAACTGATCCACTGCAATATCTAAAGATCAATATTTCTTTGGAAGCACCTTGGAGAAATTTTTCAAACCTTCGTCGGAATCAGAGCCCCTTTTAGAGGTCCCTCCAGATAAAAATCGAGCTTCTACATTTTCATCTATCCTTGACGGAAGAAGAACGACTGTGGGTTCAATGTAGAGTTTCACTGGCCTCCAGTTAGTTTCAATACAGCTTTAGAAATTCGAATCGGGTTCTTACGGCCGTCCACAAGTTGCAATCCGCCTGTCTTAGCCTCTTCCATGAACAGCAATTTCTCTTCTCTAGCAACGTAATAACAGCAGCCAACCGTACCCTTTTCTTTGAGGTCGAGCGCCAAAACCACTTCTTCACAGGCACTATTCTCCTCTTCGTCAAAAGACATCAGAGCCTCTTCTCGAGACTCAGTATAAGAAGATTCAGTAGGATCCAACTCTGGGCGTTTGCAAGGACTAGGTGCAAGGTCCCGCTCATTAAAGGTTGGCGGCGCGCGGAACGCTTGACGATGGCGAAGTGAATGGCTAGACGAAACCGCAGAGGAAAGTTTCCTTTTATTTGGCGGCATTGGATCGTTATATCACGATTTGTTTGCCTGATTCTTTAAAGTTGTTGGAATTCCATATAGTGAGAGATGAAATGGTGGGAAAGTGGGACAAAAGCTAAGGATAGGAGAGCGGCCCGCACCAAACGTTAACACGGGATACGGTAAAATAGATTGAACGCGAGAGAACATTTTTTGTCAGTTACAACAGGTGCTAATATTATACAAATAGATTTACAGAGTGGGGAAGTTAAGAAGAAGTGGAATATGTTCAAATCAAATATGTTCAAGTAAACAATTAAACAACGCTGCGTGAGGACGCCTTCGGATTCCAACTCAAAATATTCCTACACACCAGTACGCCATTAAATATAGTGGGACATTTTGAACTCGCATTGTCCAAAAGAGAGAAACGCCAAAGATGAGTGTCTTGTTTGTTTAAAGTTGAAATGTGGAGAGTCAAGCAGAAGGAATGACTTGCAGGTGCTCTTTGTCTTCTTTGATGGTTACCTTTGCGGTTTGGCCGCTCTTGATCTCGCCTCTTATGATTTGATCAGCAAGACCATTACCAACTTCTTTAGCAATGAGACGGTTCAGTGGACGAGCGCCATAACGTGGGTCGTATCCACGGTCGCACAGCCACTGCTTGACATCCTCCTCAACTTCAAGTTTTATACGCCGGTCATCAAGGCGTGATTGCAACTCTTTTAGTCGAATGTCGACAATATCTCTCAAAGCAGAACGCGAGAGTCGACGGAAGATGATGAACTCATCGATTCTGTTAAGGAACTCAGGCGGGTATGCAGATCCGACAACATCCATGACAGCTTTCTTGACAGCTTCGGGTATCTCCGCATCATCCGCTCCGGCGGTCTTGTAGGAGTGGAGATGATCGTCTCCTACAAGGATCTCTGCTCCAAGATTGGAAGTAAGAACAATCAGAGTGTTGCGGAAGTCAATCTTGTGCCCTTGGGCATCGGTCAAGAAACCTTCGTCGAGGACCTGGAGAAGTAATGCAGATATATCGCGATGAGCCTTTTCGAATTCGTCAAAGAGCAACACAGCATATGGTTTTCGGCGGACAGCCTCCGTTAGTTGACCGGCATCATCATAGCCGACATATCCGGCCGGACTTCCAATCAGCCTGCTCACGGTGTGCTTTTCTTGAAACTCACTCATATCGAACCGGACCACGGCTGTTTCGGTGGAAAAGAGGAAATTAGCCATCTTTTTGCAGAGCTCAGTCTTTCCAACGCCAGTAGGTCCAAGAAACATGAAACTGGCAAGCGGCCGGTTTTCTCCGCTCAAGCCCGCTCTTTGCATCCTTACAGCATTGGCAACAGCTTTGAGCGCCTCATCTTGACCACGAACAGACTGGCGGAGGGTATCTTCCATGTGAATTAGTTTCTCGACCTCTCCAGCCATTAGTTTTGTGACTGGAATGCCAGTTGTCCTTGAAACCACTCCAGCAATGTCATCCGAAGTAACAGAATCATGCAGAAGACTGTCGTTGTCCGCAGTGGAAGCACCCTCTTCGGGCAGCTTTTTCTCTAGCGCGGGTATGGTAGCATATTGGAGTTCACCGGCTTTTCCAAAGTTGCCTTCACGCTGTGCGCGCTCCAACTCAATCCTTGCCTTTTCCAGATCTTCCTTTGTGGTTTTTATAGAATCGAGCTCGGCGCGCTCCTTATCCCACTTTTCTGTCAGCTTTGCCACTTCAGCTTGTTTTTCTTTCAAAGTATCTTGAAGCTTTTCCCGTCGCTCCTTGCTGGCAACATCCTTCTCTTTTCTGAGCGATTCTAACTCGATCTGAATCGTCATAATTTGACGGTCGAATTCTTGAATGGCATCCGGTTTGCTCTCTTGCTGCAAGCGGAGTGCACTGGCGGCTTCGTCCACTAGATCAATGGCTTTGTCTGGAAGAAATCTATCAGTGATGTAGCGGTTGCTGTAAGTCGCTGCGGCGACAAGGGCTCCATCAGTGATCCTAACTCCGTGGTGAACTTCATATTTGTCCTTGATACCTCGCAGAATCGAAATAGTGTCCTGGACAGTCGGCTCGCCCACTTGAATTGGCTGAAATCTCCGCGCGAGTGCGACATCCTTTTCGATCTGACGATATTCGTTTAGGGTCGTAGCACCACAGCATTGCAGCTCCCCTCGGGACAATGCCGGCTTCAGTAAATTGCTCGCGTCGATACTTCCTTCCGCTTTTCCAAGACCTAACAGCGTATGAAGCTCATCCACAAAGAGAATCACGCCACCGTGTGCCTCTTCCACTTCCTTCAATACTTTCTTGAGCCGCTCCTCAAAATCACCTCTGAACTTTGCGCCAGCAATCAATTGACCCAAATCAAGAGAAATCACCCGCTTGTTCTTGATACTTTCGGGCACATCGCCCTTCACGATTCGTTGAGCCAGACCTTCCAATATTGCCGTTTTGCCTGTGCCTGCGGCACCGATCAAGACGGGATTGTTTTTAGTCCTTCTTGACAGAATCTGAATGGTACGGTGGATTTCGCCGTCTCGCCCAATGACAGGATCGAGTTTTCCATCTTTTGCTCTTGCGGTGAGGTCAACGCCGTACTCTTCCAGAGCTGATTTCTCAGGTTCACCTCCCAAATTCATGCGATGCGTTCCGCCAGGAGGGTGAGGGCGTCCATTGGCATAATGCCGTGTCAGTGCTGGTGTCAGAATAGGAGCATATCGAGTTGACGCTTCCTGACGTAGTGTAAGGAGAGCATTAGTCCCGGGTCGAGCACGCTGCAGGACGCCGGAGCGTCTGAGTACAGGCGTAACTCGACTGGAGATGAGTCTCGTCTTGGATGGAATTAATCTTTGCATATTCTTTTTTCAGTGGTTTGAGGGTTCACAACAATCCTCTGAGATTAATTAAATAAACATGATTATTATAGAAGAGAATGGGAAGCACTCAAAGTCGAGACCCGAAACTTGAGAGCTTTAGAACGTGGTCGGGGTTTCTCGTGGATTCTGCTGGACCTGGAGCTTGATGCCATCACCATTTCGGGTAAACTTACCGAGGCGGTGAGCCGAAGAATATAACTGTACAAGGGTACCTCTGTAGACCATCTAGCCGAAGAGGGGAAGTGCTTCGATTGGGGCCCGAAGGGGCCCAGCGAAGCAGGTGGCCCAAAGGAGTTTCCACAGACGAGGAAACAGATGCCCAGCTTACATAAGGTGGGTGGACTGTCCCACTAAAGAATTTAGCATTTGACAGCGTTTTCGACATTTTGAGTACCTCCTCCACAACATCTCCAACTCCTCTTTTTTATACCTCTCTTTGCAAGCTTTATTGCTTCTTTAACAATCATCATGGGTTTCACCGATCTCGCTGCCGACGCCGGCCTCTCTGGTAGGTTTTCTTGTAAATTGGCTGTGCATTTTCCCCTTTAGCCCTTCGTACAGCCCCTCATTGGTGCTTAAACTGACGACTTCCTTAGTCCTCAACAGCTACCTGGCCTCCAGAAGCTACATTGTTGGGTATGTGTTTTCTTTTTAACCAGCTACTCCTTTCTTTTGCCTTGTATTTGCACATTTTGCATGATGGAAACAATTTGGTCCGTGTTGATGAGGCGGCTTAAGACCCCGCCGAATGACTAGACAACAAAGCGCTTGTCGCACCTCTGACTTTTTTTTTATATATATCTTTTTTTCAAATCGTTACATTTGATCACTTATGGCTCAGTAATACTAACATTGACCAAAGCCACACTCCCTCCCAGGCCGACGTTGTCACCTTCAAGGCCATCAGCGCCGCCCCTGACGCTGCCAAGTACCCCAACGCTGCTCGTTGGTACAAGCACATTGCTTCCTTCGAGTCTGAGTTCTCCGCTCTCCCTGGTGACCCCACCAAGCCTTACACCGCCTACGGCCCTGAGGCTGGTCCCGCTGCTGTGAACCCCGCCAAGGCTCCCGCCGCTGAGGAGGAGGATGATGTCGACCTCTTCGGCAGTGACGAGGAGGAGGAGGACCCCGAGACCGTCCGCATCCGGAACGAGCGTCTCGAGGAGTACAAGAAGAAGAAGGCCAACAAGCCCAAGCCTGTTGCCAAGTCCGCTGTCACCTTGGACGTGAAGCCTTGGGGTATTTTTTTTCCACCTTGTCCAATCACTTCGAACAGTTACCTAACCTTTTCCAGATGACGAGACCAATCTTGAGGAGTTGGAGGCCAACGTCCGTGCCATTGAGATGGACGGTCTTCTCTGGGGTCTCTCCAAGTTCGTCACTGTCGGTTTCGGTATCAAGAAGCTCCAGATCAACTTGGTCGTTGAGGACGACAAGGTCTCTCTTGACGAGCTCCAGGCCCAGATTGAGGAGGACGAGGACCACGTCCAGTCTACCGACGTTGTCAGTATTCCTATGTTATTTAGAGCTGGTCATCAGATACTAATAAATCTTTACAGGCTGCTATGCAGAAGATCTAAACTGCTCATTGCAGACTTTTCACTTCCCATTTCCAATCTCCTTTGATGTTTGCCCTGGACGGGTGCTATCACAACATTTACAGCTCAGCTAGAGAAAAAAATCTTAGCTAAGAATTTGACGAAGTGATGTTCAACCCAGCTGCATGTGGATGGGTTATGATTACCATGAAAATGATAGATTCCAACATGTTGAAATGATTAATGCTCGAGTAATTGAAAGTGTAATCGTGTGATTTTGGAAATAATTTTGATGACACTTTACTCGACACCAGCAGTATGTGCCCTCTAGACATTTGTTGACCTCCACCATGCCTCTGGACCCAAACTACCATGGAGTCTTTGAGGTCGGTCAAGCGGTGGAGCGAGCGAAACTACGTCAGAGGAGTCCGACCATTTGCGCAACTCGCATATGCTGAGCTTGGATTATCATACCAGAGCGACAAGCTAAGCACAGCATAGCATACCTAGAGTCTCCCAGTCTTCATGTCAGATTGCTCGCAATCATGACTATTCTCTCAAAATCGCTGACTCTAGTCGGCTCGATCCTCTTATTCCATGCGTAAGTGTATCCATGTGCGGGTTTCTCCCGTAATCCCCATATACACTCTTTTCCCTCAACCCCACAGCTTTACCATAGATTCCTAACTGACTTGTGTCGCTGTACAGCTGCTACTCCGCGCACGAACATACCGCGCTCTACCATACTCCGTCATCATCCGCTCTCTCTGGTGCCTCTCGATTCACCTCCTCATTTCGATTGCCTCTAGGCTCCCAGTCCTCTTCTTCTTCGCAATCGGCTGCTGCTTCAACTTCAACCTCCTCTTCGTCAAGTACAGATCTACCGCTGGATATCATTCTCGAAACGCTGCTCAGCGTCCTAGTCATATGTCTCGGCCTGGTCCTTGGCGCAAATGAGCTCCGTCCAATTGCGTGGCGTGTCTGGGCAGGTCAGCTGGAACGCACAAAAGGCGCGTCTGCTGCTTCGGGAGCAGATAAGTCCGAGATTGCAGCTGGTAATCCGTTCCGTGCACTGGAAGAGCGTGTTGGGTTTTGGGATGTCAGGGTATGTTTGATCTTTTGTTTCTTTTTTTTTTTTTCGATTTGCGTGGCTGCTGGGGGCAACTTTGGATGTCGGAATAATTCCTGGGCTTAATGCATACGCATGCGAAGGATTGTTGCGGGAAAGACGGGGGAAAGGGGACCTTGAAGACGGCTGCTCATGGATCGTCGTGGCTAACATGTGTGTTACAATTTACAGGCTCAACGAAAAGACTTTGCGAATTGGGTCCGTGGGGGAGATCCCGATGTGAAGGTGGATTAAATCTTGGGAGTTACAAAAAGGGACACAGCGAATGGAATATATGATGGGACAAGAAATACAGCAATGTTTGTATTTCTCGGTTTACTGATTCTGATAGAGGTATAGCAGGTATTAATATCTGACGATTTTGCGTTTTCATACTGGTCTTGATATGTGAGAATGGTGAACTGATGCCGGGACATTTCATTTGTGATTGTTACTTTGTTTTTCCTCAACGTTTGATCAACCGTCTCTTCTGATATCAGTTTGCCCCAGGTCATGATTACGGAGAAGGAACTTATTTTACAGCGACCATGAAATCACTGCACATGGAAGACAATGCGGATGATTTTTGCATTTACCAGAACGGATACATATCGAGCTATGCAGCGGAAATAAAGGAGAGAGGCCAACGACTAGGCAATGCATTGAATGCTAATGCGAATGTATTTGCAAGAAGGAGCCGAAGCTCAAATGCTAGAAGAAAAAGTATGCGCAAATGGTATGGACAGGTATGTCTCGCTAGTACAGTACCCTTTTGAAATCAAAATTCCGATTATGCTCCATGAATTAATTCCCCCCATCATGCTTCATTATACCCATATTCCGTTGCGCAACCCATTTGATTAGAAAACACAGATGACCCCTTTCAGATAACTAACTCAATGGACTGAAGGGAAGAAACACAAGCAGACCGCTAATTATGCACTCTCAACTGCAGGCTTAGAGCAGAGCAGCAAGGAGAGCACCGGCTCCGAGAAGGACGGTGGAGCCCACGGTAGCAGCTGCTGCGGCGTTGGTAGGTTTGGAAGAGGTAGCAGTTCCGGCGGTAGAGCTGGCGCCGGAGCCGGAGCCGCCAGTGGTCTTGGAGCCCCCAGTTGCGCTGGCACTGCTTCCCCGAGTGACGGTGGTGTTCTTGCCACCAGTGCTTCCTGTAGCACCAGAGCTGGCAGCGGCGGTACCAGCGGTACCAAGGGGCACGACACCAGTGCCGCTAGAGCCGACAATGACGGAGGAGTTGAGGCCCGGGGAGAGCGCGGTGTAGAAACCGGAAGAGTAACTGGCGGCCAGAGGTTGAGAAGTGACAACCGAGGGCTGAGAAGTGACGGCAGCAGCCTGGGAAGTGGCAGCCGTGGGCTGACCGGTCACGACACCAAGAGAGTTGGTCTGGGTGAGGTAAGAGGTCAGCGGGTTGACATATGGCACTGAGGTCGAGAGGGTCTATTAATGTTAGGAAAGAGCGACCCATGGCCGTCAAAATATCGAGCGGTGCGATATGAAGAGATGGATAGTCGCCTCCCAATGGAAAATGTCTTTGTGGGGAAGGCAGTGCAACCATTTTTTACAAAATTCATGGACAACATATTTCAATACGGATCAGGGGAGAAAGGAAACGTACATCGCTCGAAGCGGAGCTGCTGCTGGACGAACCAGACTGGGCAAGAGCCACAGCGGCAAGAGGAAGAGTGAAGAAGACGGAGGCACGCATTTTGATATGTTGTATCTTTTGCTTTTGCTTTTAATTCGCAGAGTAGTCGTAGATAATTAAGTCAAGCTAGACGTGGCTTGAGAGACTAGGGAACTGATCTCGCCGGCGATTAAAGAGACGCCCGGAAACGACTGTTTTGGGGTTTGATTATAGAAAATATAGGAAAAACAGTAGAGAAACTGTGCAAGACAGACACCAAACGAATGTTAGGATATATTAGATTTCGAGGATAGAGGAGGAAGAAGAAAAGAAAAAGAAGAAGGAGAAGAAGAAAATCCGGGGTCGACGAGCGTGATGAGCGGGTTATATAACCTTGCACCCACACACTCACACACACGACATGCAAACACTACACAATAAGCACATCACTGTGGTGTACTCTGTATTCGTGTATGAACTGGCTGTCCCGGCGGCGTTATTGGCTGAGACCAACGATGGGGGGTTCCTGGGCGATGCAGGGCCCAAAACACGCTTGCCAATTATTGCCACTTCCAATCCCTCCAATCCCTCCAATCCCTCCAATCCCTCCAATCCCGTAATTTTTTCCCCCCCATGGACGACCGAGGGGACACGCATCCCGCAGCCACTAGTCTCTCGTCCGTCTCATTACTTACAGTAGTATTGACTCTACTAGGTACGATATACGCATACACGGTATTCCGTTCACACATCCACATACAGACATATACGGAGACGTCCCAGGCACAATCCAGACCTCTTTTAGGTACATAGGTAAGGTAGCTAGGTCAGGTACTTGGGTCGTAGGTCACTACCTAGGTACTTAGCCATGAGAGACATGGCCGGTGAAAGGTGTTCGAGAGCTCATTATTTACAAGGATGTGTATACGTTGATTCGTAGTGTGTCCAGTGTGCCCTGGCTGAGGTTGAGGCTGTTCTCGCCAACTTGCCCAGAAACAAGCTACTGCTCCCGATAAATAAAATCGATAATGGCTCGGTTACAATACTACTTACCTATTACTTGTACTTGCGAGTTGCTACGAGTTGCTACAAATGGTGCTCGGAGAAGAAGACCGCTGCAGGGATTATGATTCGCGTCCCTCGGCCCAGCCAGCCAGGCCTCGCGCAGGTTCGAGGGTTCGTGACTCTTGCGAATCGAATCGAATCCTTCGTCTGAGGTCCCCTCGGTCTATGGGGGTTGGGCCAGCCGGAGAAAAAAAAAATAAGAGAGAAATGTTTCTATTTCTGTTGAGAGCTTCTCCGTACGTACAAACTACGAACCTTCTCGACTGAGCCAGCAAGGACGACATGGACATGGAGAATACGAACCGTCGCAAAATAATCCCTGGCGAGAATCCTCGACGCCGTCTGAAAGTCCCACCTGTCCCCCCCTCTTTCTTGGCCCAATGCCTCTGGGCCTAGGTGTTGATCTTGCTAGCTTTCCCACTCACGAGCCATTGGTCTGCGCATCTAGTGTCTATTGTCCATTGCTGGAGAAGGCTGAAGTTCTCACATGTGGCAGGACGCAATACCGTACGTAGTAGGTAGTTAGTAGTAATGCAACCACGGCTAGAGTTACATGTTTTAATTGCAGTGCATATGTACAGAGGTACTGTTGCAAGACAGCTTTCTGTGATGGGAACCAGTCGCACAAAACAACGGTTCGTTCCAAGTTGATTATTGGCAATTGGCATTAACACTCTGTACCTTCATCAGGAGTATCCGTACCCAAATTCTCCGTATTCAGTACTCGTACCTCTGTAACGATACTCCCGTATTTCATTTTCGTTCTATACCGTACGCCATGTTGCCATGTTGCCATTTGCGCCATATATTTGTCCATCCTCGATCCTTTTATCGATTTCCTTTTATTTAATTTCCTACTCTGATACTTCGTACCGTCCCATCTGTTTCACTCGTCTCATCTCCGTCCTTTTCATCTCCTTATTCTCTTTCGTCCTTTTCGTCCACTTCATCCGTTCCATTATCCATCATCGATCCCATTAAGGTACCTAGTTTACTAGCATCGATGATGGCTATGCCTGAACGTTACCTCACAAACACATGACAGCGGGTGGCAGACGACAAAAAAAAAAGGGGGGGCAACGCAACAACGCAACCATCTGACGAATACAGTTCGTACGCAGCACTCTGGCCGTGTTAGTGCGGCGACGCGGACTTGTCCCTGTCTCTACCCTCGTTCGGTCCCTGGTGGCTTAGAAACCCGGTGTGGTCTTAGCTACTTTGGGAAAACCCTCGCCGCGGACTGCCGCGGACCCTTGTCAGTCGTTCCTCCTGTCCTTCCATTTTCGCCAAGCTGCCAAGCTGCCAAGTACCTACCTTACCGTCTGGCCCGTACCTCGTAACCGGTCGTCGAATTGGTCTATTGGTCCAGATTCAGGTCCCGGGTCCATGTCCAGATCCAGGTCCAGGATCCAGGTGTTTTTTTCCAGCTGTACTCCGTACAAAGGTACAAAGGTACGAAGTACAGAGATACTCATGCCCAGTAAGTTACCTAGCCTGTCGACGACCCTTTTCGAACCATACTCGTTCTATGTACTGTGTGGATTCCCGTAGACGTGAAGCGTGGGGGTGTTGCGATTTTGACATACGGCTATTCCATCTGTAGCATACATGAAAGGTCTGGCATACCTACCTACCTACCTACCTGCCTGAAGGATTTGGTCATTTCTGAAGAACCTGTGCCCGTGGAAAGGTAGTATTCAATGCCTTTGACATGGTGAGTATAGCAATGAAGGTAAGGTAGATAGGGTGAGCTTTTTTGAAATGCACTTATTATGGAGCGTTGGCCCAGTCATACAGATATGTGAGTATTAACATATACAGCACAAAAACAGTAATATCGGAGAAGGTGAAAACACAGTAAAAAAGTACGAAGTACACCAACACCAACATCACGAGTCCGTGACGCTTACTATTGTGCCATTGTACTTTTTACATCGAAACAAGGAGGCAACATAAATAAGACACACAAAATAAATAAAAATAAATTCTTTGCATGGTAATACCAAACATGAGATTAAATACATATAATCGTAATCATCAACTAGAAAGAAAATATCTATTTTAGTAAAGACAGTGCAATATATTTGCTAATCAACCTCTTCGCGGTCTCTAAAGAGCCAACCTCTCTCCAGTAGACGGATATCCTCCTCATCTCCCTCTGCCTGTGCTACAAGCGATTCCTTAAGCTCTGCCACTTTCCTCACGGCGTCGTCATACGCTTCATTACTTACCCAGCCATCTTCACTCACACCACCGATTTCCTCGCGCCAATGATTCACGAGTTTATTCAGGTTGAACCATAATTCTTCTTGCTCTGCAAATCCATCCAGCTCAGCATCAGTAAATTGCACGGGACACGGTATGCCATTTGTATCTGGCAAATGAGGCCAATACTCAGCCATGCGGACCAAAGCTCCCTTCAGAGTCATCAAGTTTCCGCTCCATTGCCTGCCTGCCCTGTCCACAAGATGCTGGCGAGGAAGCAGAATTGGGTCGCGCAGCGCTTCGAGATGTGGCTTGTTCAAATGGCCGTTGAAAATGCGATAGTAGTAAAAGAGGAGGCGTCGTCGATAAAGTCCGTCCGCTTCGGCCTTTTCCTCGGCCGGAAGCGTTTCGTACTCGAGTGGAAGCGATGGTTCTTTAAGGTGGGGAGATTGTTCGAGATCTAGGTTCTCAAAGGCACGTGGATAACCTGCGACTAAAAGGCGTGGCTCGATTGTCGTGTGCTGCCAGTCAATGATGCATGAGATGGCGCCAGAATCGGGTGAAATGAAAATGTTATTTGGATTCAAGTCTGGATTTTTGTCAGATACTTCGGGGGGCAAACACCTTGTAGACTGGAACATGGTGGATGGAAATACCTGGGTGACGAAGAGTAGGCCGATTAAGCGGACTATCAGTGTCTTTTGGAAGTAGATATGGTGCCAACGCAAGGTATTTTTCTAGAAGACGGACATAATCCTCTGGCTGCTTCTCGCCCGGGAAGACGCCGTTATGGGGGAAGTCAAGCTCGACTGGGTTCCCGTACCGCCGGGTCCATTCAATTTCTTTTGTTGCAATGGATTCAAGATACTCTTTTGGGTTATTCCCTGCATTTGTGGTCTGTCAGAACTGTAAGATGGCAGTAAATATAGGACGCAAAACTTACATGGTCCACGGTAGATATCGAGACCAGCTCTTCTTCCATACCAGAACATATAATCCGCCGTCGGTCCAATGCAAAATGTATTTGCTTCTGAAGCTTGGCTGCTTCCAGCCTTGGTGGCATACAATGCCCCTTGAAGTTCAGAAGGAACGTCCTTTTTGAAGTATATGCTACCAATCGATCCAAAAGGAATGTCGAAAAATTTCTTTTCAATTTCAACAAAACTTGAAGCAAACCTATGTCTTTCGCGCTTGCTCATGCTCAGCCATCTGCTCTCGAGGCTCACACCCGGGGCCTTCTCCATGATGATATATTCCACACCGACAGGGTTATCTTCAGAAGAAGAATATCCATACAATTTAGGCACAGGAACAGCTTTGGAATGGAGGTATTGTAAGGTAGCAGCTTCGCTGGCAGTTGCATAGTATTTTGGGCCAGCGATACGGTATGGAATCTTTACAATGACTTCGTATCCATCGTCCATGGTCAACAGGAAAACTCGATTGAAACCGCCTTCGGCATATTTGGTAATGCGAGCCGCGCGCCCATGGTCAGATCCAAGGTGCTTCTCGGCTTCTCGGAGAAGGGCATCGGGATTGAACTCTACGTAGCGCTCGCGCAAACGGAGATCTTCATTGAAGAGAAATCGACCAGAAGTATAAGAGAAGAGATCTTGCTTTGAGAAGGTGTCTAGATTGTAGTCAGCATGATCTTATTGCATGGAATTGGTGGCAAGTGGATAGCCAGGGTACTTGCCTACGGCATAAAATCGTCTGTAGGATGATATGTTGGGTGAGATGGAAAGGGAGAGGCACCGTTTGACAGCTAGCATAGCCATTTCTAAGACGAAGCTGAAGCTGAACTGTCTTGTATTTCGTAGGATAAATGCTTTTCCAAAAAAGTGCACAAGTGACAGCACGAGGTGGTGTAAATGGCCCCCAATCTTGCTCGTTAGATCCGATGTTTTGCGTACGTTCAGCTAGTTGATCTTTCCCCTTTTTCCTGCAGAAGATTTCGAGTTATATCATAGAAGACACATATTGTGACTCAATTGATGACAGGTAGAATGAATGGCTTCGCTCTACTGGACGTCGGCGCGTCAGGTGCCTAGCAAACAAGGAACAGTTCGTTGACAGAGCAAGCACCGTAGATGGGAACTGCAGAAAACGAAAGATTTGAAACATTAGATATAACAGCAGAAAAAGCAAAGATTAATTGCTGAGGTATATCTCCGGCGAAAAGAGAGGAATCGTGATAATGGAGAACTGAGTTGAGGCGATATCTCATGAAAGCAGAAAAGCAAATGCCAACGAGGTATTCTCTTTGTAAGTTAGCATTCGATTATTTCCGCGGTAGCTGTCAAGGATTTGCGGTCTCAATTCAAGCTCAGTACAGTTTAGCTGTCGCCTTTCTGGCGATCCGGTGCCATTGAAGATCTGAGCTCGATACGCCCATCATGCCCTGGGCCATGGTTTGTAGTTTTAGAATGCTTACGGCCGGTTAGCCATCATCAGGTCGCTTAGTTGTGAATTATCGTCTTCCTCACTAAATCCAAACCAACCCCCACCCGCCCACGCCGCAAATTTTTTTTTTTTTACTAAAGAGTCGTGGTTATGGTTTCACCCATTCACTTTGTTGTGTAATTTTGCCCAATTGTTTTCAAATATCGAATTCCTACAAAATATTACCGTACTATGCTGACATATCAAATAAATCATGTGCGGCACGCAAGCTCATGAACACTCGATTTTTATTTACCTTGGTCGAGATATGATGGCTGGCGAGAAAGCGGATTCGAGTTAATTCTCTAAAGCTTTTGATAGAGGCAAAAATAAATTATATAGACATCTCAAATCACTTAAAGCTCTCGCTCGGCAAGAACTTCCCAGTCCTGTATTTTGTGATATGTCGAAACCTGTCCGCCGTTAGATATTACTGCAGAGAAAGAATCACATCTGAAATGTGATGATTTCGACAGTGTTTGAAGGGGAGAACAAACAGGGAGAGTCAAATGGATAGGTACGTACCAGCTGTATTCTTCCACCTCTCCAGGACATTTCTGTTGGAGCTGGATCGGCATTTCTCTCCTCGACTTGAATCCCTGCAGCCTTCACGGCACGTAAAACAGCCCGTCTTCCATGTTCAATTACTTCCATGGAAGAGCTAAAGGAACTGTCAGTTATTCGCTTCTTCAACAGCGTATGACGAATAAACAAAAATAGTAAAGGAGTCTGTACAGCGCAAACTCAATTGAGAAATAAAAGTGTAAAAATATAATCAATCAGAGTACTTACTAGAGAAGGCTAACGTGTGGCCTCCAATGTGACTCCGCCCACTGCCGCGCTTGATTCCACTTTTCCTTCTCTTCTTGTGTTGCGTCTTGAGAACCGGAAAGGCTTGCAGTCTGCGCATTTAATACTCCTATGGCTCGACACCTTGTTCCTAGCTCTACAAGACGCTCATTGCGGTGTACCCCAAGCGTAAGCTTAGTCACGAGCTTGTCACCAACGGTAAGGTCTTTGAAGTTGATTGGTACATCTTTGAGTGATTTGGCATGCGGGCTGTCTTGGGTACTATAATCATCGTCGAGAGGCAATGTATCGATCCATTTCTGGAAATCTGTGTGTTCATTCAGATATATGTCTGCTGTGAGAGTCAAGTGAGGGACAAAGCTAAAAGTCGTCTGCTCGGCGACAGAGTGGGAATCATGTTGGACTTCGTCAGGCACAGTGTCGTGGATGAGTGTCGCCAAGGTCTTGTATATCTGGGAATCCTTTGGCGGCAAAAGCCATAGTGAACAGCCTATTTATAGTTCAGTATATATTTCTAGAAATGTTTGGGGTTGTATAAGATTTTGGTCACGGGATGAAGCTTGCTCACGAGGGTTTGATAGCTGGTAAATGTTTTGAAGCTCCAATGATTTGATCCCCGGCGGAATGGAGAAACCAGGCTTTCTTACCTCCCATTCTGTTTAAGAACCCTGTGTATAGAATATAATCGTTTCTTAAATTGTCAAAATGGATGAAACTACGGAATGGGTTTGAAACGCGGAGGAGGGGCTGAAGGCGGTTTTGGATGTATTCTGCCGACACAGCGAACAGAATCGAGAGCTGTGCGAGGGGCCGACCCGAAGGCGGTGAAGGGGGCTAATTTGACGTCACACTGCATTGGAAACTCGAGAAGAACACACGTCGCACTGGTTATGGCACAACGTTTAAACTATACTGTTCATAAATATCATGTAGACATTATAGCGAGCTTTTTCTCGGAAAAGAGTTCTGGGTTCCCCCTTTGTTTCTCGCCAGAACAGCTGATGATAATGCGTTATAGTCTATATTTGAATCCTAAATGGCGCTCAATAGTTTATGATATAATACAAGCGTATCGCGTAACCTTAACAATGCAGCAAAGGCCCGCCAATAAAAGAAAAAGTATGATAATAACTCGTCCAGAGAGCGTCGCTTGTAGCAAATATTCACTACGCTGCAAGCGTAAGCCTCTTGTCTCGCTGATACACATCGGCAAGCACGGTGACGGCTTTTGCAGCAACTCCCTGGTTCGTGGCTTGACGGGGGAAAGCAACAAGAGCCTTCTTCAACGCCACCAATGCTGCATGGCCATAAAATTCTAAGAACCTCCCTTCGTAGTTCTCTATCATCGCTTTGAGGACGACAAAATGAGTCCCTGTAGCCTCCTGCGGAGGCACGTTGACAATAGACGCGACAGCGCGCCAGTAATGGATGTTGGGATATGGATTTTGCAGCGGAGACTTTTCAAAGTTTCGCAATGCAATGGCAGCGAAGCCGGAACCGAGACCTGTCATGCGTTCATTGTGACGCTGCTCGGAAATCCAAGGTCCACCGGGCTCCTCGCGCCACCAACCAAGCCGTTGCCTTCCCTGTTCGGTTTTCTCGCTGCCATATATACCCCAAAGGACTGGACAGACCACGTGGAATTTGGCCATCAATATATCGATAAGAGATACGCCCTTCCATCGGAAATCGTTTGAGGAGAAGACCGAGGCAGCTACCACACCAATCGGATCGGCGGATTTTGGTGACACGCTCGATTCGTTGATGAACTGTGAGATGATTGCTTTGGCAAAAATGTTGAGGAGATAAACTAGCAAGCCCGGTCCGTGAGCACCGTCGGCGCTCTGAAGTAAGGGGGCAAGCTCCGGCTTTGGAACGATGTATTGGCGTACATCGACTGCGGGCTCAGAAAGGCTGCTGGCCTCTTTGAGTAGTGTTTTTATTCTCTCGGTCTGAATGACAGCTGAAATTAGCATGAGATAGGTGGGCGTAGCATTCAAGACTTACGGGTATTCGGTTCGTTCCCTTGCCTTCGGTCAATTGGCCCACACACTTTTTGATCTCCCGCCTCATGTCACCCATGTTTTTCTTCAACACTGGATTCTGCTTGGATTGTTGAACCATGAAAGAGCGCAGTTCTTTCAGGCGTCTGTGCAGTTGCGCGTACTGCTGGTGAACAGCATTCTTCTCGGCAATGCTGCGCCTGAGGCCAGCCGGAGCTGATGGCTGGGGTGCGACTGGAGCCTGGATAGGTTTTGCTTGCGGCACAGCGGCGGCCCTTCGTGCTTCTTCGGCTTTGGCTTGCGCTGCCGCCGCGGCATCTTGGGCTTTCTTTCTTGCCTCAGCCTCCTCCGCTTCTCGTCGTCGAGCAGCTTCGACCCTTTCCTGCTCCTCCCGTCTCCGCCTCTCCTCCTCTGCTCTCTCCTTTGCTTTGATCTCCTCTTCCACCCTCCTCTTCTCCGCTTCGGCTCTGTGGAACTCGTCGAGTCTTCTTTTCTGTTCCTCCAGCTCCCGTAGGTCCCTTTCCGCTTTCTCGCGGCGCCTCCTCTCCAGCTCGCGGCGTTCGGATTCCTCTTGTATTCTTCGTTGGCGTTCGAGCTCTAATTCGAATTGTTCTCTCGCGATTTCCGCGCTCTGGCGGACACGCTCATGTTCGGCGGCGGCGGCAACCAAGGCAGCTCTGTGTGCGGCCTCTAGTGTCAAAGTTTCTTCATCGAGTCTACTGTAGAAGCTATCGTTGGCATCGCTGCGAATTCGGCCGAGTTCCAGAAGTAGCTGTCTCGAGGGGCTGTCCGTCGCAGACTTCCATGGTGAGCTCATGGTTGAGTTTGGAATCTTAAGAGCATAGCCCGCAGCGGAGCATCTGGATGTAAGAATTCACCCTTGTTGATGTATGGAATCAAATGGCTTGCAAGAAAAATTGGGTTTGTCGTTTGTCAAATCAAAAGTTTGAGTGAGAAAAGTAACAAAAAAAGTCAAGGGCGTGGAGACTCGAAAACACGTCGCGCGCTCTGTGGAAAATAACCGACTGAGGCACCAGATGCAATCATGCTGAGAGAGAATACATGCAGCAAGAAGATCTGAGCCTATCCAGGATCGCATCCGAAGAGATCTGTGCCGTGTGAGCTTGATAGTGCGCGCAAGGCCGAGGTATATTATCAATGGACTCTGGGAATGAACATGAAGAAACTCGGCATGTTCCGCAGAGCCGCGTGGTGTGGTGAGCAAGGACCCTAAAAAAGAAGCGAGCGGTTGCTTTCCCCGACCGGAAGTCGAGACGGTTCACATCCGACAAAAGAGAAACAAAGACCAAGCTTCGTGGGGTGCTTCCTTCTTTTCCGCTCTCGAAATGACAGCACTGACGGCTCAAAGGGGGATATGCCAAGAGAAATTGCAGTAGGGCTTCTTGCCACATGTAAGTAGCAAAATGTCCTTGCACTTGAAATCAGCGTGATGATCATTCGTCGATCGTCAAGCGATGACGGTTGCTGCTGCCCATGAATGTCAATTTAGTAGATCACTGCTTCTTTAAGGTGCCTGGTTTGATTGAGGGAAAGACTCTCCCCTTTTGATATTAATTGCACAGTTGGCCATAACATGACGCAGTTTTGAGATTTTTGTGTTGTGACATAATATCCTTTGCTGTTGGGGGGTTATTTTTAAGTAGTCATCTCCTTTTTCTACGCCAAGAAATCCGTCTCTCCTGAGCTTGCTGCTCACAGCGAACAATTTCAGAGAGGCCACCGTGCTCCGATTAGGGCCATAGCCGATCCATATTCTTCCTGTGCAGCTCGAACAAGGAAAAGAGAGTCAATTTGTGTTCGCTTCAAAAGATTGGTAGTGTAGATTGTGAGATGAATGGCTCCCACATGCAAGCAATAGCAATAATATATCCCCTTCCACATTGAAGAGCAGCATGTGCTTACAAGTAGTTGGTGTATGATGACGCAGTGGGGAGAGAGAGTTGTGCTGGCCATGGTTCAGAGAAGCGCGCTAAGCTGGAGAACGGCCCGCTCGTTGGCCGCTTTACCCACAATCTCTCACTAACTTTACCTCTCTCTCTCTCTCTTCCTGTCTCTCCATGCTGCCCTTTCTCCCTCTCTCTCGCGTGTCTTCCCTTTCGAGTCAAACGTCAACTACGAGTTACAGCTCCCAAGTAGCTCTACCTGCTACGAAAAGCTGTACACTCCGGCTTACCCTCATACAGTCCCACCCCCACAGGCTTTCGCTACCCCCAAAAGTCTCTCCTTCACTTCTTTACTCGTCTAGTATTACTACTACGGTACTGCTACCACTACCTCTACCTCTACTCTTCCTCCTACATCTTCACACCCACTCTCCTTCTCCACTATCTCTTCTACTTCTCTGCATCCCCATCCGTCATCCTCTTTCTTACCTTCAACCCCCTTTCAATCTCGTGTTTCAGTTCTTTTTCCTTCTTTCGCTTCCTCTCTAATCTACGTTTCTCACTCCGTCGTTGCACTTTCGTCTACTTTACTTAATCCGCGAACCCTCTCGTTCGTCTCCTGTTCCCGCTTGGGACAATTAACCATCCCACCCGCGCTCTGTAGCTGCCCCCCCAAAAAAGGCCCCCCGTGGTGTTTTCTCGACGCTGCACTCGCACCGGGATTTTATTCCTTCATCAGGCTCTTCTTCCTGTCTCATCCTTTTGGCGAGTGTTGCAGCGTACGGCTGGTCGCGTCCTTAGACCTACAAAAAAAATACTCCTCGCAATCGCTTTTGCGTAGATCTTCAGTTGTCTGACGTCGAGGAGCGTCATCTTCTCCCGAACATTCGTGGATATCCGATTCAAGCATACTTTTCTACCAACGTGGTAACGCTCAGACCCCTCTTTGGGCGAAAGCATTTCTCTTGAACCCCAAGACGAGCCTCTCGTGCTGAGAAATTTGTCACGACGTCTTAAAGTCCATTCCTTCCGTGCTAAACAGCCTTATCGGGTAGGTATCTTCACCTTCGTGAGCCAGAGGCCTAATTCACTGACGTGCATTCGTTCTGCAGATTCACCCTCCACCTCCACCGTCCTTTCCCGCCCGCCTGATATTCTTTGTTGGCGACGCTGGCCTTAGAGTCTTTCTTCCTACTGTGTCTCAGGATCGCTTTCTCCCGAAAGGGTCGTTAGATCGCTCCTGACTGCTCAGTCCAACCCACACAGCTCTTCATCACAATCTGTCATGGATCAACAGCAAGGTCAACCTGGCGTGCCTGGCCCTGCCGGCCGGCGGTTACACATTGCTCACAGGCGAAGCCCGTCCGAGTTGACCCCCCTGATGAGTAAGTTCTCCCATTGCTTTTCTTGCCAGCCTGCAGGTTGCTACTCTATGAAGTTGTCAACCAAGTCGTCTGCCACAAGGCCATCTTCGTCTGGAGGCTACAACCTTTGCTGCGGCACTGGAGGCATCTCTCAATAGCTGTGACGATCTTTCCAATCATCATCTTTCCAAGCCTTGGCCGTACTGATTCCTTTTTGAAATAGTGGAACAACTGGCTATTCAGCAACAAATCGAGCTCCTCCAACAACAGCAACAGCAAATACAAGCAACACATCAGCAGTATGTGAACATGGGCATGATTCAGCCCCAGCAGCAGTTGCCCGCCTTGAATGCCTTTGCTCCCGTGCAAGGTCAGGTGTCTGGTCTGTCTGCTCATCCGGGCGCCTTCCAGTTCCCTCAGCTCTCGCAGCAACAATTAGCCGTTCCTTTGAATGCCCCAACCCAGCCCTCCTCTCATCGACGTAATCAGTCGGCACTCCCTAGTATGAACATGGGTGGTCCCCCACCGGCACCCTCGGCCGGTGCCTCTGGCTCAATCTACAGCGACTACAATCAGTCGGGTAATACTGGCGGTCAAAACCGAGAGAGCATGAGCCAACGCGGTGGTCGTGGTCCCCCCGGCGGCGGACATCAACGCCGTCACTCTTTGGCGCTTCCGGAAGCCAAGAAGGCCGCCGAGCTTGCGCAGCAGAAACGAACGACGTCGGGATTTCAATTTCCCATTCCTGGTGCCGGTGGTGCCACGTCGTCGAGCTCTGACCGCTCTGCGAGCCCCTCCACGACCGAAGACAAGTCGGCTCAGGGCCAGCAGCAGAGCCACGGAAATCACATCTCCTCTGGCAGTCTCTCGGCCCGGAGCGGCAACCGCATGGTCAGTCACGGCCGAAGCCAGAGCATGGCTGTCGGAAATGGGCGCAGTTCCATGCAGGGACGTGGTGCTGGAGGCTTTCAGTTTCCCTCGCCATTGTCTCAGGACGCTTCTTCGGAGCATTCCGACTTCCAGCGCCGAAGCAGCGGCCACGGACGCACCGCGTCTCGCAACTTTGAAGGCAACTGGCGTCAGCCCAACAATAATCAAAACCAGGCACCAGAGCCTCAGCCACCCATGGGTAGCTTCAGCCAGCCTCAGACGGCGAGTTCCAGCGTTTTCCAGCCCGGCCACCGCACTCGGGCGTCAATTGCTGGCCAGTCGATTGGTTCTCTTGGATCTTTCCAATTTCCGGCCCAGCCTCAGCTTCTCCAGCTGCCCCAAGGACAGGTCGTGCTCGGACAGCCTCAGCTGTTTGCTGGTCAGCAATTGAACCCGCTGCAGCTAGGCCAACTTCAGGCTCTGCAGGCGGCCCAGCTCACCGGACAGCAAGTGCCTGGACTGCAATCAAGCCAGCATTCCCAGTCGCAGCTTTCGCAACAACAGGCTCAGCAGCAGCGTAAGACGCTGTTCACTCCTTACTTGCCCCAGGCATCGCTGCCGGCCTTGCTCAGTGACGGTCAGCTCGTCGCCGGTGTCTTGCGAGTGAACAAGAAGAACCGGAGCGACGCATATGTTACTACTCCGGACCTCGATGCTGACATCTTCATCTGCGGTAGCAAAGACCGCAATCGAGCTCTGGTCGATGACCTTGTCGCCGTCGAGCTCCTGGATGTCGATGAAGTCTGGAGCCAAAAGCGTGAAAAGGAGGAGAAGAAGAGACGCAAGGACGTTTCCGAGTCACGCTCTGGTGGTGATAAGCCGGGAAGAAGCGACTCGCTCAGTGCCGATGGCCAAAGTGCCATGGATGGTGGCATCAAGAGAAGAGGCAGTTTGAGGCAGCGTCCCACCCAGAAGAAGAATGATGATGTCGAAGTCGAGGGGCAAAGCCTTTTGCTCATGGAGGAGGAAGAGGTGAATGATGAGCAGAAGCCGCTCTATGCCGGACATGTCGTCGCCGTCATCGAGCGTATCGCAGGACAAATGTTTTCTGGTACTCTTGGTCTTTTGCGTCCTAGTAGCCAAGCTACAAAGGAGAAGCAAGAAGCCGAGCGTCAGGCTCGTGAGGGATCGGGACGTTCGGCGCCTGACCGGCACCAAGAGAAGCCAAAGATTGTCTGGTTCAAGCCCACTGACAAGCGTGTTCCCCTGATCGCCATCCCTACAGAGCAAGCTCCTCGCGACTTTGTAGAGAAGCACCAAGAATATGCTAATCGCATATTTGTTGCCTGCATCAAGCGTTGGCCAATCACTTCTCTCCACCCGTTTGGCACGTTGGTGGAGCAACTAGGTGAGATGGGCAACCTGAAGGTCGAGACTGACGCTCTCCTCCGCGATAACAACTTTGGTCCGGACGAGTTTGCTGAGGCGGTCCTCAAAGACGTCGGCCATGAAAACTGGTCTGTCGCTGCTGAGGATGAATCTGTTGTGTCAGCCCGCAAGGATCTTCGAGAAGAGAAGACCTTCACCATCGATCCTAATGGAGCCCAGCAACTTGACAATGCCATTCATGTAAAGACGCTCGGAGATGGTAGAGTGGAGATTGGTGTACACGTTGCTGATGTGGCTCACTTCATCAAACGTAACTCCCTTGTCGATCGCGAGGCGAAGAAGCGAGGCACCGGTGTTTATCTCGTGAATCGCGCTGTCAGCATGCTTCCACCGAGATTGGCATCTGACCTCTGTTCCTTGAGCCCTGGCCAAGAGAGGTTCACCGTCAGCGTGATTTTTAAAGCTGACCCCCGAACTGGTCATGTCTTTGAGGACGAGACTTGGGTGGGAAAGTCCATTATCAAGAGTTCAGGAAAGCTCTCATACGACGAGGTCGACGCCGTCTTGACCGATTCTTCTTCTGTCTCCCTCGATCAGACCGCTGTCAATGACGTCAAGTTGCTATATGTAAGTTTTGTGTATATATAGATATAGGAGAAATGCACCGAGAAAGAACGTACTGGAGCTAACCAATGACAGGGTCTGACTCGGAAGTTCCGTGAGGCCAGGTTTGGCTCACGGTCGGACGACATCCCGCCGCTTCGTCTCCTCTACCAGCTTGACGATGAGAACGTCCCGGTGGAGCAGAACGTCTTCGACGCTACGCCATCGCATGAGCTCATCGAAGAGCTCAGCCACAAGGCCAATGCATTTGTGGCTAAGAAGCTTGCAGCAGCCCTCCCAGGAAAGGCCTTCCTCCGTCGCCAAGCGGCTCCCAACTCGCGCCGTCTGCAAACCTTTGCAGAGCGAATGACAAATATTGGATATGACATCGACACCAGCAGCAGCGGCTCGATTCAGGCTAGCCTATTCAATGTCGAAGACCAATCTATTCGCAAGGTAAGGCTATCTTTGCGCCAGTTGGTGGGAAAAAAAAGGCATGATCATTTGCTAATATCACATGTTCTAGGGTATGGAGACACTCCTGGTCAAGACCATGTCCCGCGCCAAGTATTTTGTTGCTGGAAAGCTTTCCGAGCAGCAGTACGCTCACTTTGCCTTGAATCTGCCATTGTACACTCACTTCACCAACCCAACTCGCCGATATGCAGACATTGTTGTCCACCGCCAGCTGGAGGCTATTCTTTCAAATGCGGCAATCGAAATCGCAGACGACATTGAATCTCTTGTTAAGATTGCTGAGCACTGCAACAACAAGAAGGACTCGGCGCAGATTGCGCAGGAGCAGAGTGTACACATTGAGTCGTGCAGAGCATTGGACAGGAAACGGCAGCAGCTTGGTGGCGATCTCACTAGCGAAGGTATCGTCATTTCTGTCTACGAGTCGGCCTTTGACGTCCTCATTCCCGAGTACGGATTCGAGAAGCGTGTGCACTGCGACCAGCTTCCGCTCAAGAAGGCCGAGTTTGACAAGCACAAGCGAATCCTCGAGCTCTACTGGGAGAAGGACATTCCGTCTTCAGCCTACATTCCAGAGGACGAGCGTCCTCCGGCGGGATCCGTTCGCGGTTCGAATGCTGCGGCCGCGGCGGCCGCGGCTCGTGAAGCCGAAGCGGCGAAGAAGCGCGCCAAGGAAAATGAGGAGGCGCAGCGAAAGCAGATGGACACTGGCACAATGTCCACTGACGATGTCGATGCTCTCTTTGATGACGATGAGGACGTGGCTTCTGAAATTACTGAGATGGCTGCTGGTGTTTCGCTCAACCCCACTGCTGGCTCTGAGCGCCCGACTCAGAGCATGCCTCCGTCTCCGACTCGGACCACGGCTTCATCCGAACAGGGTCCTCACCGCACTAGATCTGACCCGAAGCTTGCCTCTAGCGCTACCGAGGCTCCCGAGGGCAAGCTGACCGACAAGGAGAAGTATATGAAGCTATTTGCTCTCCGCCAGGAAAACGGCGAGTACATTCAAGATGTCAGGGAGATGACCAGAGTGCCAATCATCTTGAAGACGGACCTTTCGAAGAGTCCTCCGTAAGTTGAATCACATGCAACTTTTTGAAACTTTTCTAAAATTACTAACACTTGTTCTTTTTTTTTAAACAGCTGCCTTACTATTCGCTCCGTCAACCCATATGCGCTATAGATGGCCAAACCGATATCTAATACAAAGTTATCAGTATATTTCCGGAGCAGTTGCATGCTCAATCGCTCTCAAACATCTATCTAATATCGGTCCAACCATCTTTGGAAAAGACCAATTTTTGGTTTCACCTGTTTGCAAAAGATGAATGCCAAGCTCTACGCCGATGGGTAGAACATATCGGCCCAAAGCTTTTGCATTCCATCTATTTGCAACCTACACGATGGAATCGTGATAATTTGCTCGGTCTTGCTCTTGGAATATTTGCTCCAAACTGGACCACCTTATAATCTCTTCTCTTGGTATCAGCTGTGTTTAATCAATTTTCTCTTTATTTAATCTTTTTTTCCATTTCTTGTTCATTTTCAGTAAAAGCTTTTTATTTTTCCCTTTTTTGCTTCTACATTCTTGTCTTTTTCCGGCATTAGCGTGATTTTGTGAATCCATGCTTTGTTTCCCACTTGCAATTGCTTCCAGACATTTGCCCCTGGTCTGGTAGCGCAATTTAGTGCGTCTCGTGCCTTTTCCAGACGCAAAGGGGATTGGAGATCAGGAGAAGGACCGGTCGATGAAGAGGAATAAGAAGAAGCTCCAATGATATGGATGCAGACTGAAAAAGGTGGTATTGCGATCGAACCAAGGAACTGAAATTGATGGAGCACGAGAAGAAAAGAGAGACTGTGTATCTACCTACCTACTTTTACCTACCTACTTTACTGGTCGCCCGATCTCTGAATCAAAGGGTTGGTCATCCCGGCTCCCTCGTCGAGGGAACCTTTTGCGACCACCCAAGGTGAAAGGATAAGAGGAATCAAATAAGAGAAATTCAAATATTACTTGCGTGTATATCCCAACTTCTGACCCTCATCGTATATTTGTCCAACTTGAGATCTCCCAGCGTAAGCGTCCATTGTGTCTCGTGTATGTCCGATATAGGCGGTTATTTTCCAAGCGACTCGGCAACTCCCTTCCCTGGCAACGTGCTCACCTTCACGAAAAATTGAAGCGATTCACACCGCGACAATACTGCATTGCTGCCAAAAATGCATTTATCAAAAGTTTGGAAGAAAAGTATTCTAACACCCTAGGGGGGACCCAACTTACAGGGACCTACCCGCTGAAACACCAACCAGTGGGTCCAAATCTCTAGTATATATGAGTGGCAGTAGATGTTTTCTTTGTGTTTTGAGTAGCTTACTACACAGTGGACGGACGAGAAGGAGAGGTGAATAGAAGAGATGGAATAAATAAAAAGTTAAGCTTAAAAAAACCCATGTGAATGAGTAAATACCTTTGGTAAATAGGGAAATAGGGAAAACAAGTAAAATAAGTAAATGGGTAAAATGGTAAATACCTTTGGCAAATAAGTAAATAAGTAAATAAGTACAAAGAAAGTAAAAGAAGAGAAAAAGAGCAAAATGCCTTGGGGGGATAAATTACAAGCGAGAGAAAGGCCCGGTAAGGGAAAAAAAAAAAGAGTGAAAAGGTGGATTTTACAACTAGTTGAGAAGGGGGAAAAAAAAGGGTAAAATGTGTTTTCGACAAAGATGAGAATGCGAGATGCTTGAGACGAATGTTAATAAAATGTAACAACATGTGCTAAGTGTGCTAAAAACATAGGGGGAAAGATAAATAAAAGATGGATCCGTATATGAAGAGAAAGGCTATGGCTTTTGTAGTATGACAAGGACAAAATATGTGCATGATGGAAAATAAAAAAACTGTCAAAGTCTGATGGTAAAATGGCAAAATAGAAACGAGAGTTTTCGAAATGCAATATAATAGCCGCAGCAAAGATGATGGACTGAAATAGATGGATTGAGATTCGAAATGGTTACTCTGACGGTCGAATCAAAGACTCGTTGTCGTCGGTGCTCTCTGATTCCAGCTCGGTTTCCGCTCCAATAGCCGGACCGAATGAATCTTCAGCTCGGCTTTCCTGGATAGGATTGCCGTCGACCGTACTGTCGTCGTCGTCGTAGAAGCCGCCGTGGGGACTCACGTTCGCTTCTGCGTCCTGATCGTACGAACCCTTGCGGAGCAGAGGAGGCGTTGCGGGAGGAAGGTCTTGGAGAGGCTGCTTTTCTGCCTGGCGTGCAGAGAACGTCAACAGTGGCTGGGAGCTCTGTCTCTGCCACTGTGCAAATCGGCTCGATGAGGATGACAATAAAGGTCGGTCATTCTGTGGCGTGGAAGCGGCAGAATTGGTAGAGGAGATTGACACATTACGCTTGTTGATTGGCGTCATGAATCGATTGTTTGTACCTGGAGGAGTCAAAAGCCCAGAGAGGAAGCTGTGCGCCGAGGGCGAAGATTTCGAGGGTGTTTGCTGAGATGCCGAAGGGGTTTGATCTCCAGCGTTATCAGCAGTAGTACTAGCTGTACTGGTTACCCTTCCCTTTCGCCAGTTTCCAATCGCCGCGGCAAGCGGGAGTACCTTTGGAGAAGCAAAGTTTGAAATGGCAGACAATGAGGGGAAGGTCTGACCATTCATTGCCCTTTCCTTCTCTTGTTGTTCCATCTCCAGATTAGCTTTGAGCCTTATGGCAGCATCTCTCACGGCGTTCTTGTCAAATTCTGGCTGCGAAAGGATGCCGACAATGTCCTCGAGCTCGCCAAGCCGGACTCCAAGCAACTCACGAAGCCAAGCAATCTCCATATCCCTTTCCTTTATTGTCTTTGGAGCATTACGATCGACGGCCGCCAACTCTTGCTCCAGGCTCTCGATTCGACTCTCCCTTTCCTGCAGCTGTTCTTGGAGAACAAAAATCGACTCGCGCAGGGCTTGAGGGGATATCTTCAGAGGAGAAGTATCGTCACCCGTTGTTGGGCTCGAAGATGAGCTTGGCTGGCTAACCCTTGCAGACTGTGCAGCTTGAGCAGCAGCGTGCGCTGCAGACTTTGCAATCTCCAACTTCTCCTCAAGGTGCTTCACTAGATCCTGGAAGTGAGTTACTTTGGCTTCCGACAGATCAAGCCGCTCCTTGAATACTTCTGCACTCCTTTCTTTGTCCTCGACAGCATGGCCAAGAGCTCGGCCATGCTGCTGTTTAAGGTCCTCAAGAGAACGCTCGTATCGAGTTTGTAGTTCACGTAAAGACCTCTCCCGATAGTCGTGAGCCTCTTTCAAAGCCTTTTCTTTGATCCGCTCGGCTTCTTGAAGAACATATTCGCTCCTCGATTTCATGGTGTTGGCTTCTTCCCTCATGTGCTCGAGGCGGTTCTCCGTTCTAACGAGTTCACTTTCCAATTCGGCCCTCACAATATCGACTTGCATTTTTGCAGCCCGCAGATCTGCCTCTAGGACAACTCTGGTCCTGTGCAACTCCATTCGCCCGGCTTCGCGTGCTTGGCTAGCCTCTCGCTCAGCCCTTGCAGCAACCTTTTGAAATTCAATGTTCTCTACTCGAAGTGCAGCCACCGTCTCTTCCAATCGCGCGTTGAATTTTTGAGTTTGGTCCGCAACCACCTTCATCTTCATCGACTCTGCCTCTTGCGCCTCGAGCCGTTCAATCTCTCGTTCGAGTCTCTCGCGGGTCCGAGCTTCCGCCTCAAGCCTTGCGGCCACCAGCCCAAATTTGACTTGGTGGTCCTCGTCTTTTTTACGCCAGTTGGCCTGCTCTCTGGCGATGTCGGATGCGGCTGAAGCCATCTCCTCTTGCAGCTTATCGAATCTTCCTCGGACTGCTTCTCTAGCGCGTATACTCTCTTCGGTCTGCGCTCTGAGCTTGTCCATGGTAGCCTTGAGATTTTTATTTTCGCGATTAGCTTCATCAATCTGATTGAGCCAATTTTCATGGGAGATGCGATATTCCTGGATAGTGCTTTCGAGTGCTAGATTTTTGGCGGCCAGATCTGTAATGTTCTTCTCGGCTTCTTCCAAGGCTTCTCTACGCATCTCGCTCTTCGCGTGGTCTTTGCCGTGCTCCTCGCTGAGGTTTTCAATCTTCGATTCGAGTTTTTCCGCGGATTGGCGCTCTTGAGCAATTACTTCTTCGGCTGCCTCCAGACTCCGCTTGGTTTTGATGAGTTCCTCTTCGGCTCTTCTTCGAGATTCAATCTCCTTTTCAATTCGTCTTTCCGCATCATCCAATTTACCCCTATATTGAGCATCTTGATCATCGGGCGCTTCGACGTTAGTCATCGAGCTTTGTGCGATAACCTCCCGAACGATAGTCTCAATATGCTGTTTCTCGAATGCCGGCCGCTGAACTTGATGTTGAGAAGACTTAATCTCTTCTAGGCCTTGCTGAAGACTAGAAAGCGTCGCGTTCAAGTTCGGTTCAACAACTTTACTCTGTGCCAAGGCCTCGAAAATTGCAGCCTTGAGCTTTTCCATCTTCCGACTTGCCTTAGCCGTCGTCGAGAACTGTCTGGTATAGCAGGCCTCTTCATCTTCATCTTCGTCGTCAGCGTCACTGTTGGCAGTTCCTCCTGAGACACTTGGCTGATCATTTGTTGGAAGTGGACGCCTTGGAAAGCTGTTCAAATGATGATGGATGGAAGCCAATGACCTTTCGACTGGATCCAAATGCAATTGGAGCAGTTCACCAACCATTTCATTGACCCGCATGTTGAAGAAGTCACTGCGCCATCGCAACTTCTCTTCCTCACCAGAGGAAAGGAAGTCGTCCCACTCACTAACGGGGATTTCCTCGGCATAATTCAACCTGTGAATTGGAACAGTCGAATCCAGAGTACCATCAATGGAATCAGAACGGCGCTCAAAAGATCGGAGTCGAGCCTCATGTCGCCTAGGACTTGGACTGGGAGCATCACTTCGAGTCTTCTGCTCGTTAGGCAAGCATGGAATAGGGCTTTGAAGTCGTTTATCTGGTGAGGCGGTTCTGGTGGGACTGGACTGACTCCATGGCACTGTATTTTTTTCAACTCCTAGGTCAGGATCATCCTCGTTCAGTTGACGCATAACGGCATCAATCTCGTGGAAAGAGGATTGTGCCAGTCTATGAAAATCTGCATTGTCAAGGAGAGGTATTTCTGGAAGAAACTCTCCAGGTTTATCCTTGGATGAAGCCAACCCGTCACTGGGTCGATGTGGGCTTTCATTACGTTTCTCAGATTTTTCAGGAATTGGCGGAGGGTCACTGGTCTGCTGCGGTCCATCGCTCCCTTGCAGGCTGTTATTCGAGGATGTGTTGATGTCGCCTGCAACGTTTTGAAGACCATCTTCCCGATCCGTGGCGATGCGAATGTCTTTTGATGCGGTCCTGGACTTCTTGGAAGTGGAGCCACGGGAACCATGGGACGACTGCAGTCGCTGTTCGGTTTCGGGACCAGATGTTAAATTTGCGCTGGGAAAGCCAGCGACGCCCTGAGTGCTTATTGCTCCTTGCTTGCCTTGGGTACTCTGGACCGGCAGGCCGTCTCCCATTTGCGCATGGCCACTAGGAGCAGCATTTTCCTTGTTCTCTGACAAATCACTTTGAGAATTTGATCCCAGCTTTCCTTGACTAGTTTCAGCAAGTGGCCGCGCAGGCTTCTTCAGCAATTCGGGCTCATTCTCGTCATCATCACAACGAATTCGCTTCTTTCTGGACTCATCTTCATCCAGGGTGCGTACTTTGTCGGAATCGGCTGGCTTCTTTGGAACTTCATCCGGACGCACAATAGGGATTGCCTTGGACTTTGTCGCCGGTTTGATAATGTCGCTTGGCTTCACCTCACTTCTGCTCAGCGCAGCCTGGAAAGAAGGAACAAGCTCTGGTGCTTTGTCAACTGCCGGCGAGAATTTGAACTCGCTCATGGAAAATGAGGTACTTTTCGTGGTCCCGGGTGTGAATGCAGGTGCATCCACATTGAATTTGCTCGCTCCGCTCAAAGACGAGGTTTTGGGATGATGCTGAATGCTAGAATGATTGGAGCCCATAGATTGACGGTTGGAGAACGGAACTTGATGCGTTGCCACAGGGCCGTTCCCATTGAGCCAAGGATTATTAGGAGCAGAGTTTAAATTATTGTTTTCGATCGAAGATTTCGACGTATGTTTGAAGCTTTGAGGGTCAAACATCAGTGGCAATGTAACAGGATCGGCTGCGCTTGATTGGGTGCCCGGCCAGACGAGATGTTGTGGATCATCACTAGCACTAGACATCAAACCAGGAGCAGGAGTACCCTGAAGGCTCGGATTGGTGTCAATCTCGGAGATGTAAGCGTGTGGTTCACTTTTAGGTTCTGCTTGGGATAGGTTCTGAGAGTCCATGACTTCAAGACGTAGGTTCGGTGGCGAGGCAGCATGTAGCAGACCATCTCTTCCAAACACAGATTTAGACAGAGAATGTGCTTTAGAGTGAGGCTGAGGATGGTGAAGCATAAAGCTTGCTTGTTCCTGGGCTTCATGTATCGTTGACGCCTCGGACGGATTACGCGTAGCAAATTTCTCGGAGTTAGATTTGGCTCTCGCCAATTCAGTGTGATCTGAGCGGAGCGAGTCATCATTTCTTTCAAAGCCTTGCTCTCCGAATCTGAAGTTCGTATGCGCCCTGTAATCATCCTCCTCTTCCATCTGTCGTTGAATGGACTCTTCAAGATGATACTCATGCTCATGAGTACTTGGCCGAATCCGTCCCTCAAATGGATGACCCTCTGGGGTTATTTTGACTTCTCCTTCGAAATTTTGGTCAAGTGCTTCTTGCTGGCCATCGGAAATGAGCGAGTTCCAGTGCTGGGCACTGAGAGTCTCTTGCTGTTGTTGTTGCTGTTGCAGCATTTGAAGTTGCAATTCTTGCTGGCGCTGTTGCATATGAGATAATAGATCATTTGATGACATTGGTCTTTCTTGAGCAGGGTCTATTCCGAGCATGGAATTCGGTGTCAATATAGTTCCTCCACCAGAAACACTCGGAACCGCAGGTGAGCTTGCCATAGCACTACCTTTCCGACTCGAAAAATAATGGTGTTGAGGAGACCACCCCCTCGAGATGGAAGGGGAGTACTGGTGAGACGGAAGTCGAAAGATTTGCTGTTCACCAGGTCCAAAGAGTGGCGTTTGCTGATTATCGGTGTTTGCTTCCATCGGTGGAAATTGAGAGACGTGTGCTTTCAGGGGTGAAGTTTGTGTGGTTTCGTCTGGGAGGCTCGAAGGTAGCAATGGCGAGAACTCCGCTTGTTGGGCTTCTATACTGGTCCCAATGGGCGGTGGCTGCGCCGCACAATGCCATTGCCCAGACGATTCGGGCTCCTGGCTTGACAAAGGAGATGCGGCGGAGAGGGGCTCCTCGTCATCAAATGAAACACCAAGAGCACGTAATTTCTCTTCATTGAGAAAATTGACATATGCATCCCATTCTGAGCAAACCGTTAGCAAGAAAATACTACAGAAAGAGTTATGCGAGATATGAAGATTAACAGAGAAACTTCACTGCGATTGGACCGATTCTGTAGGGCTACGGTACGGCGAAACAAGATGTAGTGCCTAGACGTACCTTTTTTATTCGGAAAACTGATGTTATACTGCCGGCTCGACCGTTCATTCTGCATTTCCTCGATATCAGGGTAAATAGCACGGCTCTGACCCGTCGGAGCACCGCTGTCAAACTCCTCTTCTTCTGCAAGTTGGTCAAACCCTCGGGTATTGAAGCCCTGTTCTTCCCAGTGCCGCAAACGACCAGAGACTGCTGAGGTATCCAATAGTTTGAGGGGCTCGCCATCAGCTCCCCGTGGCACATCTGGCGGTACTAAGATGGCACAATATCTACCTCGCCACACAACTCGTTTCCGTTCTGGTCGGACGTTTCTTGGGGGTTCAACATCTGTCGTTTCGACGGTTTTCGACGGAGCAGCTTGTGTTGACTTCGGAGCAGCATCGGCAATCTGGGGCGACACAGAGTCGAGCTGTGCTTCAGAGCCTTGTTCGTTTGAAGCTCCTGTTTCTGCCACAGGGTTTTTATTTTGGGGCTCTGCTAGAGGCGCAGAAGAACTAGGAGCGACGGAATCGTCTGCGTTAAGCTCCTCCGATCCGGCCGCAGAAACAGCATGCTGTGAGGCAAGCATGTCTGCGGAGCAATCTTTGCTAAAATAATCCTTATTCAGGAAATCAATCTGCTTGAGAGTGTCGTTGCTTTTGATGGACCGATGTTTCCTCGCCCGGTTTTCCCGGCTTGTGGACCGGCGTCTTGTGGTCTCTCTCTTTTGACCAAAAGATGCTAATGTAGGGGTCAAAAGCTCCTCCGCTGTGTCGGGATACTCTTGTGGTTCAAACCATGCGCTTCCCTCCCCATCCACAGCCGTACCAGAGTGCTCAGTAGCTGGTGCGTCGTTTGTCTCGGAGTCGTCACTCCACCAGTTCTCACGCTCCGAATGAGATTGCACAGAGTTTTGCCTCACCCACTCTTCCGTATATCCTCGAAAAAGCCCTCTGTTTAGGCCTAGAAATGCCAATCTTGCTGGAGCCAGCGACGTGGACGTGGGACTTCTTCGCGACGCAAAATCAGCACCAAATGGGGATGATTGAGCAGGATCAACTGTATCAACTCGGAGCCGCGGCCGAGCTAGGAGATCGCCGTCGACGTCGCTCCCGGTGCTTCCACGACGGCCGTAGTACGTTGATCGGGCGTTCGAGCCCAAGTCCTGATATTGGTACGGGGATCCCCAACTGGCCGTAAAGTATAAACTGCTTCCGGTGGTCTGGTATTCTTGGGGAGAGGAAGGCCTTGAGACTCCTGCCAGGTCTCTCAGAGATGGAAGGAGCGGCAGCGTCGGTGACAACGCTCCCTGGGTCGACCGCTGAAGTGGAGTTCTCCAAAGAGTAGAGGACTCGGAGTGACGTTCCGAGATATCTTCTGCTTCTAACGCGTCGCGGCCACGATGACTATTTTGCCGTGTTCGGTTCGGGGATAACGAATGAGGTGGGAATGCGGCAGGAGCGCTGAGTCTTTGAGCTGAAATAATTGTTGGGTTAATGCATGTGCGAAAAGCATTTTCAATAGGATATTGCGCACCTTCCACCGCGTCAATATGTGCAGGCGATCAATTTGTCGCCTGCAATTCGATCGATGGTGTGTTTTGAGCCTGGTGGTTTTCGGACAAAAAGCCACACTGAAATTAGGTTTACAGCCGGTCGGCACGTTCCTGGCCAGCTTTCTGCATAACCGTTTTTCAGGGGAACAGTAGGATACGGGAACGTGACGGCAGAAGCCGATTGACCTTTGTCAGGCAAACATGGAATAACTGACAGAAATTCGTAAAGGAGCTTCAAAACAACAATGATGACATTGACAGAAGTTCAAATGAATTGTGCCTGTGGTACAGATTGAGATTTCAACTGTTTAGACGAGGACAACACGTCGGTCGCGGTGTTTGACAGCAGACGTGTTTCTGTCCGATTGTTGTCTTTTGGACGTGAGAGGAAAGGAGGTATCTTGTACCGAAGCGGCCCGCCCCGGTGGGACCTCCCTCGCTCCTCCCAAGGGGGAAAAAAAGGGTCCAATCGGTACTTGTCTTGGCCATAGAACCACGGTACATTGTCTCGGTACTTGTCCCTCTCCCGGCACCAGCAAGGTTAGAGTTAAAATGGTGAAAGAAACGCGGTCAGAGTGTGGTCACCGCCACTTTCCAATTGCCGAAACTCTCAGAAGATAGAACTCATCCATAGACATGATAGCACCTGGCACGTGTGACATTTTTGTGATGAAATTTCAACAGAACAGACAATGGCACTAGAACGATGTAGCGAACCAAACAGTTGAGTTTCCGCGCCAGATATGCTCTTTTATCAATCATAAAACATCAAAAGACATTGGGAAAACTTGAGTCATTGAAGGCTGACAATTCGCAGAGCCATTATACTAATCGGTAGGAATATCGTTCAGCATCAAACATTATATGCGAAGACCAGAATCTTATCAAGTGTCCGAACTCATTAGATGCAACAAATGACTTGTTAATGATGATATGCGTGATTCAGTTAAAAGAGCCTCTTGTGAAGACGGCACCCGCCTCAAACTCCCTAGCTATGCTTCTCGTAAAATGTCGTCAAAAACGTGTCGGCCGACAAGACCGCCCTGTCAAAATTTGGCAATGGTTCGTTACAAGCGCCTCAGCCCAACTCGAGGCTTGGCTCCTTTGCCAGTAGACGCTCCCGAAACTTTCCGATTTGCGGCAGGCTTTGCAGGATGGAGTAAGAGTTTCGCAGATTTCTTGTCTGGGTTACACGTCGTCTGGGCTGTAACAGCAGGATTTACAGCATTCTCCTTGCTTTCGTCAAAGATGGCTATGGGCTCATGACTGGGACCTTCGGCGGTCAATGTGATAGCTGCTTCCTTTCCCTCCGCGAGATCATTTCGAATGCGCCCTGAAGCATTGATTCCCTTGCTCCGCATTACAAGCTTTGGTGATTTCCTTGGCCCATCAGCTGAAGGGTTTGCTTGCATAGCATTTGCATTGCATTCATCCGTGGATGAAAGCTCGATATTATTGCTTTCAATATTCTCGTTCAGGCCGTACTCTTCAGGGTCGATCGGGGTTGGGAGATCAGATAATGGACGCTTTCCAAGGACGTGCTTCCGGGGGCTTGGAGGACAAAAAGCGACAGGCGAAGGCGAGAGGGAGGGGTTGTTCTCTTTGGACGCTGATGCTTCGTCATCCTCGTCGCTGGAATCATGTTCGTCTATTTGGTTCAATGACAGAGGCTGGCCTGGCCTTTCCCTTTCGCTGATGTCCGGAGCAGATGTAACAGTGCCTTGGCCCAGTTGAGCGGTTGCTGCTTGTGGGCGCTTCTTCATCATGACTTTTCCACTTGCAGATCGCCGACCAGCTCCTTTTTGTTCGGCCTTGTCTTCCTTTATCTCCATGCCAGCTTCCTCGCCACGACCTTTAGCTTCCAACACGGCCGTTTTCAAATGTCTCGGAACTGGGGCATGTATTGAAGTCATCAGCTTTGCTTGCCTGGCGAATGCGTCGTAGTCATCTTGTAGCAGCTGGCCAGCTGCAGCGTTTAGTGCAGAATCGGGATTTGGTTGTATCAGAAGGCAAGAAATAGTCTATTCATTCAGGTCACTAGTTATAAGAGAAGCCAACAGCAATTTATTATATCTAGTGTCGACTTACCACAAAGACATCTCGTAGTGTCAATTTTGGGTTCCAGTCTCTTTTCAGTGTGTCGACGCAGATGCTGCCAGTAGATTCCTCTACGTTCGGGTGCCAGATGCGAGTACGAAAGAAAGCCTTTGGTGGACTGCGAGGGTAATCCTCGGGAAGCTTGAGATGCAACTTCCAGAGGCCAGCAGAGTAAGGAGTTCCTTGCGGGCCGGCGAGAAGCATTAGGACCTGGCTAAGGTCATCTTGAATGGCCGAGCTGTCGCTTGCCGGGGGCAAAAGGTAATGCGGAGGGAGAGGTGAGGTATGAAGAGAGGAATGCTCCGAGGCCAATCGCCTCAGTGTCGCCGGATTCTTCAAAAGCAGAGTTAGCTAATCGCCTGAAGCATGTAAACTGCGAAAATCCAAAGCCGAGAGATTGCTTTCTTACCATTTTCCTTTTCTATTATGATGACAATCAGACGCCAAGGGGAATATTAATAGTTTTCACTTGTATGGCAATCAAAAATCGTCTATTGATTGAATGCAATAGTTGCGACAATGCAAATCGGCAGGGTGGTGGTAAGAATGAAGCTTTAATGGCGTCAAGCGTTGGTTTGGTTTGTTTTGGCGTCGTCGCGACGACCCTACTTTCACTATTCCTAGTTTGGACGTTATGACTTTCACGCGACGAAATGCAGGGGACGTGTTCCCCGCGACGCGCTATCATAAAGGTCCGGCAAGAGAATTATCTGCAGTTAGCTATATCAAACAGCATAGATAAGGGTCATAGTTTAATTCAAGATTTAAAATACTATCAGCGTTGTGCTACGTCTGTGTCCGGTTGCTTCAGGAATATTGTAGCAGCGGCCACTCTGGTGAAAGAAGTCAGATGCGCCCAATTACGCGCCATCATGCATGGGACAATACTACACGGCTGTGGCTTGTGCAACAATTGGGGCGAGACTGGAGTATTGCTCTGCCACATTCTGGCAGCCAGTACTGTCCTCTCCAGTCATAGTAGCGTGGCAGTGAGAAATCACAAGGGAATGCTCGAAAGAGACAATCGCAAGATAAATAAGACGCATCTCCCTTACGACATGCCTCTACACTGCCCAGAGCTCCTTCAATATTCTTCTATTCTTTGAAAGCCGCTTCTCTTTGCTCTCCAAATGTCTGTAGAGGCTATCTCGGGAACCTTGCCCGCAGCCGCAACGACGTCCTGGGCGATGGCGGGCACCATGGCCGAGCAACTCAAAGGCTCAAAGATGCTTGGGCAGGCACTCAACTATACGCAGGAGCATCCCATCCGAATCATTTTGGGTGCAGCAGGCTTATACCTTGGACCGGGCGGAGTGCTCGCTCTTCCTCTGCGGGCTATTGGCTTCGGTGCTCTTGGCCCATTGGCAGGTATGTACCTTACATCATTCAATGATGATACTACTTGTTCTACTGTCCACAGTGTTGCGCTAAATTTGGTAGGTTCTATCGCTGCATACTGGCAATCCACATACTATGGCGGATACGTGGCCGCGGGTAGCGTTTTCTCCATTCTGCAATGGTTGGGGATGACCGTGGGCGTCTAGAATGACTAGGGGTGGTCAAAGGCTTGAGCGGGAGCCTCGGAGGGTAGTCTATTGCACTAGACTCTGGGGTACCGCTTGGGCGTGGAAACGGCAAGGCTTTATGCTTGCGGGGGGTGTTCGACAACTGTAAGACGACGTGATGAGTTGAGGTGAATCATATCAGGTCGCAATAGCACATGTCTTTTGTAGAAACAGCTGCGCTCATTATACCTTGGTCACCTACCTCGCCGCCGAGAATGTGATCAGTACTTGAACTTTCCGCCTTTGGCACGCGTTGTTCTGATACTTGTTGGATAAAGTGAAGCCAAGTTGCCCGCAATGCATTTGTTGAATTTAGAAGGGACAGTAAAACAGGAAAAGGCAGAGCGCCTTTACCACGGGAAACGCAGTCATAATTGCAAGAATACTCCGTACAACTGTAATGTAAGAGAGACATAAAAGAGTAGGGAGCGACTAGTTCGGGGTATGATTCTCAGTCTGGATTAGCGTTCAGTATTAGGTAATGGCCATTGCACCGGCAAGCGACCGAAGTATACAGTACTTGATGTCATTCGCATCCTCTGGGAACCAATAAAGTACAGAGAACCCATATAAAGGCACACATCACCCCCTTTGGATTTCCCACCAGGAACGCGACGACCCACGAACATGCACCAGGGCACAAAGCCACGCATCTTCGCTTGGCGCACCCACCATGAGAGTTGACGGAGTACGGCAGTACTCACGGCATGTCCTCTTCTTCTTCTTCTTCCTCCCTGCTGCTACCACTATGGAGTACTGTAATTCTGTACCATCAATACAGGCCGTTGATGATATACTTACCACTTTCGTCTCATAATTGGAAGTGCTGCTATGAGATGACCTAATAATGAACCTCCTATGTTGATTGTCTTCTTGACCGGCCTAAGGCTGACGAAGTGGCTCCCCTGTGCACTTCCCGCGTGGGCCGGCGTGACTTGCCCCTATTCTGATCCTGTCCAAGGGTCTGCAGCGTTCCAATCATCAGTCTTACCACTGTAATGAGTAACGTAGACTTGCTCCACAAAAATTTCCCCAATGTCCCCTAACGGAAAGCGAATACATTTAGGTAATGATGAACCTAAAAAAAGACAAAAACCTATCGGAGGAACGAGGGCGATCGACCCGTGAAAAAGGAAGGGAGGGAGGAAGGGAGGAAGGCAGTATGATGGTCTTTCTCCACTCGACCCTCGCATGGTTCCTGCTCCTGATCGACTTTTAGCTCGGACCGAACTTTGAAGGAGCGAGAGTCTTCGTCAGCCAACAACAATTCTCCTGCCATCATCCTTTCACCTCTACACCTCCATCACTTTTCAAACCCTCACCACACTCCTTCATTAAAACTAACTGATCTTCGCTCGTCTCGCTCGCTTTTATCACATTCTTTATTTATTTATTTTTTCTTATTTTTTTCATACCCTCTTTCAAGTCCAAGACTTTTTCCTCTTTATTGGACGACTTTTGACGACAGACTTGCATAATGCGCTTCTCCTCTGTCGTCCCTCTTGCCCTCGCGGCCGCTCCCGCCGTCGTCTCTGCCGCTGGCACTCTTGGTTTCGCTCTGGGCGACAAGAAGGCCGATGGCTCTTGCAAGTACACGGCCGACTACGAGGCTGACTTTGACACCCTCGCCGGCCTCACCAAGGTTGTCCGCGGCTACTCTGCCAGCGACTGCAACACTGCCCAGCAGATTCTCCCCGCCGCGAAGAACAAGGGCTTCCAGGTCTTGCTCGGTGTCTGGCCCGACACTGATGCCTCCTTCGCCGCCGACAAGGCCGCTCTCCAGGCCTACGTTCCCCAATACGAGGACCAGGTCTACGCCATCACCGTCGGTTCCGAGTCCATGTACCGTGGCACCTTCACTGGTGCTCAACTCTTGGAGAAGATCAACGACATCAAGGGCGCTTTCCCTAATGTTCTCGTCGGTACTGCCGACAGCTGGAACAAGTACGCGGACGGCACTGGTGATGCCCTCGTGACTGGCGGTGTCGACTTGCTGTAAGTTACTCATCCGATATTCGATATCCGCGACAAGAATATATCCTCTAATACGTTGTTTTCCATACAGCCTTATCAACGCTTTCGCCTACTGGCAGGGCCAGGACATTAACAATGCTTCCGCCACCTTCTTCGACGACGTCTCCCAGGCTTTTGGTCACATTCAGAGCCTGTCCGGCTCCACTGACAAGCCTAAGCTCGCTGTTGGTGAGACTGGCTGGGTTACTTGTACGTACAGAGTCGTTTTGCAACTTTCAATTCACCTCTCGAACATGATGCTGATAATTAAATCTTTAGCTGGCGGTACCTACGGCTCTGCTGTCCCTAGCGCTCAGAATGCTCAGACCTTCTACAAGCAGGGCATTTGCGGCATCCTCGACTGGGGCGTTGATGTCTACTACTTTGAGGCCTTTGACGAGCCCTGGAAGCCCGTCAGCAAGGGTGACAATGGCGAGGTTGAGGACGAGACCGCCTGGGGTGCCTACACCGTCAACCGCGTCCCCAAGTTTGACCTCTCGTGCTAAACTCGTCGCTCGTCCCATTTCCAATTTCCCGTACAACTTAATTCTTTGAAAAATTCAAGGTCAACTCCGGATTAGATTTATTTTTGGGTTTATCCTTTTTTTTTTTTTACCAAAATTATCTTTGACCGGAAGCACACATTTGTATCATTGACGGGTCTCCATGCATGTCTATAAAACTGGGTAGATGGCATCCGTGAGTCTTGCCGCTCACACAACCAATTATTCTCGCAACTTTTGCCAACTGCGAAAGTATAAAAATAAAACATGTACAACTTTCCAATAGGGCACAAAATGATGTCAAGCCACATTTTCATTGTCGAGTAACGAGTGAAGAAGTAAAATGTAAAATGTAATTGTATCAAGTATATCTAAAGTGACACTAATAGAATAAATAACATACGGCCTCTCTCTCTGTGTTTGTCTTTCGGGGTATAGGTCTATACAAATATGTGTTTTCCAGCTTCACTCCCTTTTACATTCTTAGGATATGTCCACAACTGTCACATACGGGAAACGAAAATAAAACTTGGTCGACAACCGGGAAATTGGTCTATAGGTTGAGCGCACAGAAGACGGCAAAGGCCAAGACGACAGAGAAGAGCGTCTGGCTGACGACAGTGCCGGCAGCAGCATTGGTAGGCATAGCAGTGCCGCTGCTGTTGGAAGAAGTGGAAGTGCCGTTGCCAGATCCAGATCCAGATGTCGAAGTGGAGTTGGAGCCACCCGAAGAGGAAGACGAGGAAGAGGACGAAGAAGAAGAGGTGGAAGAAGAAGGCGAAGTGGAAGTGGAAGTCGAGTTACCCGATCCAGAACCAGAGTTTGAGTTGGAGTTGCCGCCAGAAGAGGCAGAGTTGCCATTGTTGTTATTAGAGGTGCTCTTGGCGGTGTCCGCGGCGGTGCCGTTGAGGGGCTGGATGCTCTGCCACGAGCCCGAGGTGTCGGTGAACTTGTAGGCGTCCGCGGGGGTGTAGTTCTGGATCTTGACGCTCTTGACGTACATGGTGAAGGGGGCCTTGCTGTAGTCGGTCTCGCCGCCGGCCCACTCGATGGTGCCCTCCGGGTTGGACGGGTCGCCGCCGGCCCAGTTGCCGATACGCACGTTCATGGGCGTCTGGGGGAAGCGCGAGCCGCCCTTGGCGTCGGAGTAGGACAGGGTGCGCACGACGGTGCCGTCAATGGACCACTTGATGGCGTCGCTGGTCCAGTCGACGGTGTAGGTGTGCCAGTTGTCCTGCGGGTCGGACACGGGGTAGTAGATGGCCCGGTCGTAGGTCGTGGTGTCGCCCTTGCCGAAGTAGTTGGTTTCCGTCACGGTGTTGTTGCCGCCGAGGAATTCCTGCGACTCTTGTTAATTTGTATTTTCCTTTTATGGTTTCTTTGCGATTTTCAACGGCTTGGGCAATGAAGGGATAAAATGGATATGGAGATGGAGCTAGAGTGAGGGCTTATAGGAATGTCACGTGAATGACTTTTGGAGGGAATATATGAAATGATTGAAAGAGGGTGAGGATGAGGATGAGGATGAGGATTGACATACCCAGTCAACTTCGTCGAGGTCGTCAGATTCCATGACAACACTGCTGATGATACCGGTGCCAGGAGCAGCCTTCATCTCAACTTCGACCGAGCCGAAGAGAATGTAAAAGTTGGACTTGATGGTCGGGGCCTCGCCCTTTTTGCCAATGGTGAATTCGGCGCCGTTGGAGCCATAGTTGATAGTTCCGGCAGTGGCAGTCCAGTCGTTGGACTCGGAGGTAAAGTCCGTGGTGATGCTGGCCTGGTTCAAAGCAGCATCATTGGGGCAGTCGGCTGTGAAGAAAAAGACGGGGACAGTTAGCATACTGGGACAGTATAGAACCCCCATTTCTTGGGGAGGTGTTCAAACATACTCTTCTCGGTCGGATTGCAATTGGTATAGGTCTGCGCCTGAACCAGCGGGCTAGAGACCGCCACCAGTCCAAGGACTGCCGCGGAAAGAGAGCGGAACGAAGGCATTTTTGTTCTTCTTGTTGCAAGCAAAAGTTGTTCCAGGGTGGTTAATGAAAAGGAGGTGGTCTGCTGAGGCAGTGCAACTGTAAAAAAAAGAATGATATAAAAAGGGATATATGAGGAAGGATTGACAGGAAAAGTATAACAGTTATTGAGGGAGTCTCAAAAAAAGAGTGGACTGTCAAAATGACGGAATTGGTTAAGATAGATGATAGCTTATGCTCAGATGGCCATGCAGAAAGACAGAAACTCAAAAAAGCAACAAGAGCTGCAAAATGATGATGACTAGATGCACAAACGCACGCACACACACACAGGCAAAAAGAATGGAAGTGTCACAGATGAGGAAAAGTCAAGAGAAACATTGACGAAGCAGGTACGCGGCCTTTTGACGTCTGCAGACCCATGTTGAACACCCCCCCGTGCCACTACTCTGTACCTCTCAGCGCAACTCTAGTCGCGCGGCCAAAGGGGGCACAGCGGTAGGGGGAGGGCGGTAGGGGGCAAGAGGCTGTGTTCGGGTGCCATCCCTAGTCCGGTCAGGGAGGAATGCTTAATTTGCTTGCTGCTCCTTTATTTCTGGAAACCTCATGATTCGGTACCAGTACGAAGAGACAGTAGTGGATACGGCGGCGTATCGTTTGGTCATCTGCGGGTCTCATGGGGTTAATAATGTTAGTCTGTTTGGTTTAGTCGTGATGGAGGGTTGACTTGCAGTGTGAACAAGTCGAGAAAGCGAGATGAGCAAGTGGAGAATCACCCTGCCGAGACCTCTGGTCTCCTCCGTCCCCCCTTCTCTAAGGTGCCATCGGACGTTTTGTCCTTTGCCTTAAACATCGTTGTACGGCGAGTATACGGAGTATAGTGGATCTCAGTGCATCTCGCCGCCCCCCTGAATCAAAGGGAAGACCACAACAGCAGGGATCCCTGAGGCTGCGCGCCACCTCTTGACATCGGGAAAATGGCAAAAAAGCTTGTCTGCCACATAAATTGTAAGCGCCTTCTCATCGCATTTTGCAAAAGAAATGAGCCACGCCGCACATTCCCTCGCCGCGGTGATTTTTCTGCGTATCAGAGACAAGAACAACGTCGCGTCATAAAGCGCGCGCTCGTGGATGGCAATTACTTGTGCATTCCTCACAATGTGCATGTGGCGTCGTGGCGCTTCATGGCGCCCATGCCCGGAGACTCCATTCCCCTGGAATCATCTCGGCGGTGGCTTGCGCTTGTAACAATTTATCCGGCTTTAGCCAACATGAAACTCCAGCTCTGAGGCCTAAAACATGCACTTGAGACACTTGCAACTACTAATCAACGGATACGAACATTTCTTATTTTACTCCAATTCTCAGTTCAACTAAAACAGTTGGCTCACCAGAACAACGACGAGGAACATGTTACCGTATTTCACTCCACCTTTTCCTTTTCGCCCTATCCTTTGTCGTCCTGGACTAGCGACAAATCCGGCGTATTACAACCACAGGCAAGTCAACGTTTACTTAACTTGAGGCTCATGGAGAATGAAATAATCCATTTGATATTTAGTCTCAAAGTACGCCTCGTATTGGAGAGACCGATGGACAAAAAAGTGACTTTTCCACCTGAGAACACAAACAAATCATGACATAACCATCTCTTCATGATGCATCGACTTCAATTCTCATCCTTGGTTCTATCTGACAATACCCCGCTTGACATTACAGGTTCGACTTCCAGAGTCAATCCTTAATTTCCTGCTTATGGAAGACGCCTTTCACCAACTATTAGCCACATCACCGTTGCTCTGATTACTGATCCCCAACATACCTGGCACTTCTGGCATCCAATTCTCGCGACTCTTGCAAAAGAATTCTCCCTTTGGAGGCAGCTCTTCCGGTCGGTCGAAAGTTCCATAGAAAATATAGATATTCTCCCCGGCGTGCTCCTGTTCAATCGTCAGTTCCAATGGCCCACACAAGAGAAAACCATTCTCAGTTCTGGTGTGATACTAACCCCATATTCAAGAATGCCGCTGCCACATGTCGGGCAAAATTCACGAAAGAGTTTCGTCCCAGACCCGTTGTCGCCCACGTGCTCTTTTGTCTGGCCTGCCGTAACCCTGAACGCTTTCTTGGGCACCTTTGTGGTTATGCCAAAGGCTGAACCAGTAAATTTCTAGCCAGCGCATATGATCAGCAACATCCCTGCACGTTATTTCAAAACATTCCTTCCCTTGTTCCAATATCAAATAAAATTCATATACTAAATACCTTGCAATTCCGACAATGACACAACGAAGTGCGCGCATCGTCCGGGGAAGGCAGATTCAGCTCGTACTGAATCTCCCTGCAGTAACAAGACCCAGTGTACACCATCCTGAACGTGATCCGATATGAATTATTGAACAATGCGCGATTCACCACTGGACGATAATATGACTATGTATTGAAAAATACTCAATAAAAATTGTTATCAATTTTTTATCCAATATTCGGAAGAATTCCTATCTTCCAATCAGCAGTGGGATTATCAATAGATAGTCAAAGGGCGGGGACGGACGATAATGGAGTAAACATGGCGTAACATATATATCGCCCAAACCACGTCATAATCAAGTAACCGGCAAACTTACCTACGTTACCTACCTAGGTTTACCTAAAATCGTGATGCCTCTATACTTTCAACCTCCATTGCTCAACTCTGCGACTCCCTGGGCGACAACCAAGGATGACCTCCAAAGACTCTACGACTGCGCGTACACTGGCGCCGTGACCGTGCGCACGAGCATGCTCCATGGCTTCCCTCACGATCCGAGTATCCACCAATACACCTTCTTCGACACCAACGCAGGCTGTGTGAAGCATTCCCCCAATGGTTCCAAGGACCTTGACACCGCGACAAACACGTCGAGCCTGAACACCCTTGGCTACAGTCCCATCAAGCTACACGAGTATCTCGACTACATCACAGAGATTGTCCACAGCGAAGGGCACGATAAGGAAGATACGGGCAATGCTGCTGCTGCTATCCACAAACAGCAGAAGAAGCCCTTTATCGTTTCTGTGACCGGCACGGCAGAGGAAGTGGGCAAATGTCTCGAACTAGTATCTACTTGCGCGCAGGAGAGGCGCCTACACTTCCTCGTGGAGATTAACCTCTCGTGCCCAAACATTTTTGGAAAGCCGCCGCCTGGTACGCACTTTTATATCCTTCCTGCCTTAATTGTCTCTACAAATTTACCCATTTATTGCCCACAACTTGTTCCCCGACTTCTTCCGCCGCCCCGCCTACAAGCACCGCAATCACTTTTCCCGTTGCGATATGACTCCGACTCATGCTCACGAGAAAAGCAGCATACGAAGGCAGTTCGCTAGCCAGCTACCTCGCGGTCATTCAGCAGACAATCGCATCCCTCGAGTCGAAGCAGTGCCCACCAGTTCTCATCGGCATCAAGGTCCCGCCATATACATACCAAGGCCAATTCGACATTCTGATCAACACACTACTTGACTCCGCCAACGCGTCGTCTAGCGGCTGTCCCGTGTCGTTTATTACATCGACCAACACACTTGGCAGCTCTCTCGTGCTTGATCTGCCTGTTGCCAATACGGATGATAAGCCCCCGTTGCCGGCGTTGCCTTCTGCGGCTGGCACGGGGATTGGTGGAATGGCAGGCACGGCGCTGCATCCGCTAGCCCTGGGAAATGTGCGCACTATTCGATCCATGCTCGATCAGCACCCTTCGTTGTCAGGTATAGAGATTATAGGCGTCGGTGGAGTCTCTGATGCGGCGGGCTTCAAGCGCATGAAGAGCGTAGGGGCCAGTGTCGTGGCTGTGGGAACAGCGCTCGGCAGGTTCGGCGTGCAGGTGTATCAGAACATTGTGGAAGGACTTGCGTAAAAGCATGGTAATGATATACTCCATAAGGTACGCACTGGATGCCTCTAGTGAGATAAGCTTCTCTGCACATATATTTCCACTCGCATTTATGCATATTAAGCGGTACCACCCACACTGTAAATAGACTACTTTCACATTTAGCAACACAGATTCACAATCAAATTCTTCGACTTAAAGTATATAAAACGAAGAGTATTCATTAAACGTTCAGAAGTAACAAGACCACCGAACCTAGGTAAAACAGTGTACTCATGGGGGAATCTAAATCCAGGAAACCTCGCTCAAACAGGACAAAACAAGGCAAAAATAACAGACAAACCAGACAAATAGACAGACAGACCATGGCCTCTTCACCAAACGCCGCAAGTGCCAACATTTAATAATCTTCAATCTGCTCACTCACAAACGAACCAACGCATTCGACATCATTAAAAGACCCAACCTCTTCCAATGCGCTTTAAACAAATCACACCTGACTGGCCCCTAGCTCTCTTATACTCGGCTTACTCCGCCTTAGGGTCGGGACACTTGGTGGCGAGACTCTCGTCGAGCCACTCAGGTTCTCCGCGCGAGGAGTGCGGGTACTGGCTCTGGCCGTGGTGGTCGTGGTTGTGGCTGTGGATGCACTTGCGCTTCGACTTCGACTTCTGGACGAGTTGCTGGGAAGTCCTCGTTTCATCATGACGCCCAGCCCACGGACCATTTCAGCGGCATCCTCAAACGTTTCGTCGTCCATATCCTCCGGGGCATTATATACGTCTGCAATAGCATGCTTCGCGACGCGGCGTGAGGCGTTGGCGTCCTTGGCACAGTCGTATAGAAACGCAGCTTGTTCGAGAGCAATGCTTAGTCGGAGTGGATGCGAACCTGCGAGTAAGGCGTGTGCGAGTGCAGCGGCTTCGCGAAAGCAGATCTGCGCCATGGGGAGGTAATTGTTTGCAGGGACGAGAAAGGACGCTGTGGGGTTTGGCAAAGAGATTGGCGTGTTTCCTAGTCCAGGAGGAGGTTGGTTGCCGCCTACAGGCCCACCCTCGGTTGTCGTGGATGGCGATGACGATGAGAGCCCTGTCGGGACAGAAGTCTGGTTGATTGGCGGGTGGTTGTGGAAGAGGACAAAGATATGGTAGAAGCTGCCGCGCATTTTGTAGGCGAGGACGCGAAGCTCAATGTAGTCTTGGACGAGAGGAAGAACGTAGGTCTCCAGCATCACCAGGCCTTCTCGGGAAAGCCATATAATGTGATGGTAAAGCTGGAGAGATTTGGTGTCCCGCGTAGTGTCGAGTTTTCGGAGACGCCGTGCTCGTAGAAGCTTCTTGGACAGAAGCACCGAGAGTCCGAGCAGTTTGAACAGGACGGAGGAAAGGAACGGGTTCTCGGGTTCGACGGCTTTGGCATATTTTCCAAGAAACTTTTGGTCGACTTCCGAGGAGGCCATGGTGGTTCGCCCACAGGATTTGGCTGAACTTGCCAAAAGGCAGGGAAGACGATGGCTTATATAGCTGGCGAAGATACTGATTGATTGCTGTAATGAGCCAGTGAAGGCCACGCGGACAATAGCGGTATTCCTATTGTTGAAATCGTTTATTCCAAGTGGTATTTTGCTGAAAATTGTGAATTTCGACCTCAAGCCCCACTATAGCGGTCGCCAAGCCAATTAATGGATCCTGTTGGAGAGTACCAGAAATTGATCTTGCAAATTAAGATTGGTCTGCGCCGCCCCAGCGAATTCGCTATTTTCAGGACCTTTTCCTTGGCTGGTCAACTACTCCGTACGCTGACAAGGTTTGATACTTGAGCGTTTCGTCCGTTTGTCAGAGCGTTGAAACAGGAAGATATTCTGGACCGAAGCCGACTAGAGGAGTGTGGATGGCGAGAAGAAATGCAGAAAACCCTAATGTACTCCCTCCAAAAAGACGCAGGATGCCACCGGGAAAACTTGGAAGAATCTAGATGAGAATGGAAAGAAAAGGCCGCTTGTTCAAGGCAAGATACCAATGATTGCTGCTATGCGTGGGTCGAAGATGCTGTACCGAAAGAACTGAGGATATAATACAGGGCTGGATTAAAGTTATTAGAACACTTGACAAGAATCAACTCCAACTGGATCAATGGTGATGCTACCTGTCGCAATCATCAACTGTTAAATGTTAACAAATCTGACAAGCTCTTGGAACATCCACAGCAGGTAATTTCAGGCAGGAATCCAAAGCGTATGCCGTGCCCTATTCGCCCACTGCCGGCGAACGGATGACGACTGGTATGGCCAATCAGCCCTATAATACAGGGAGATCGCCGACAAACGGAATGGACCCGATCAAGCAAGAGAAATGAAATGGCGTTGCAATGGCGATATCCGACAGCGCATATCGTTCTTTAGCAGAGCGCCAACGACACGGTCACAGACCAAGATAGATTCACGATCTGCCACCAGCTCGTCTTGTGATCCAGACTGCGATAAGTGGAAGCTTGGGCGCAGTTATCGAAGGCTAAGTGGATTCGGAATGGAAGACGTCAGTCAGCCACAGAAGGATCTCTGCCCTGAGCTGGCGCAACGTGACTGCCTATGGGTATCGGATATCAAAAATTTTTTTTGTCCAGAATGAAAGAGCTACAACACCATTGAGTCGGCAAAGCGGGCAATTGGAAAAGGAAAACAAACGAAGAAGAGAGTTGTTGAATTGAAACCAGCGGCATCGGACAAAATTCACTTAGGCAATTCCGAGAACGACAGATGAGGACCGACAGGAAAATGCATCATTTTGCTTTGGAGTGGAGCTATTTGCGCGCCTACTGCGAGCCTTGCTGGCATGGCATAGACGAAGGGCCTGGGTTCAGGTCGCTGCCGAGTTGGTCCTGCATTGAAGCGTGCAGGTGCATCATACGTGTCACTCCGACACGCACCGTCCACGAACACGCCCGACCATGTCCTGCAGGTTGATCCATTGATCGCTTCAAGCCACGATCCTGATCAACGGAGATGCCTCGTTGGCGATGGTCACAGCGTAAACGATGACGCTGATTACTTGATGACGATGGAAGTTGGGTATCGACTTCCGCTTCTTCAATGCTGCTCAGGGCCCAGCATTGAGCTGTTGTGCCATAACCCCCACCCAAAACCTCGTGGTTGCGGCACAGGGACTTGATCGGTACCAAAGAGTGGAGAGGTCTAGCGTACCCAGCGGCACCAAACAACGCCGTTCCACAGTTGACAGGGTACGAATCAATACTTGCTGCCCTGGTCTATCCTCGGTATGGATAAGGCTTCATGTTCAATTTCCAGGTTCGTTGACAGGCCCCATAGGTTCCCAGGGATGGACGAGTCAGCTCTTGGAGACGGCTTCGTTGTTGTGTGCCTGAATTCCATTTAGAGAATGTTTCTGCTGAATTCTCCGCTTCAACGCCTTCACCATTCTGACAGGATCTGGCAACGGTGTACTCCTAGCGCTGCTAGCAGTTCCCTGACGACTCCATGTCAAAAGAATTGACGAAGACCAGAAGAGGAAGTAGAGCGTCCAGCCATTTGGCCTATAGATTTTGGCGAAAAGGGCGGTGAGCTCCGCGCTTCACTGCATCGGGTTGCTCTTGCCGCGAACCCGCCTATGTCTCTCCTGCGCCTTGTTCTCTCATGAAACCAACAAAAATTTCACGAGCTTATAGCTACCACCCTGCAATAAATCAAAGTTGGTGGGTTTCTGGCTTCTGCTGTAATGGAACCTCTCCATCCGTCGGCAGGTCACGGGATTTTCCAGACGTACGATGCCGAAACCAAAATGATATGCTGCAGAGTCAATCCTGAATATTATTAACAATACCTCATAACTTCCGTCGGCTGCGAGCATAATTGGAAATTTTCGAGGCAAGAAGTAGACCCTTCGGCATTTCTTTTCCGATTGCCTTATTCCTTGTGAAACCCTGTTGGCTGCATCGGTGCTCGATCTTCTGCCTTAGAGTCAAGGTCAATCGAGAGGAATTTCTGATATGCATTTGATGATTGGCATCGCGCTCGTTTTTTTTGCAGTGAGAAAAAGCTCAACGTCTTGTATTATCGACCTGTCCGCATTTTTCCGATGCAGAGAGTAATCAGCAATCTCTTCCTCGCGACTGCCTCCGAATAGCATGAATGCAGGTAATCTGCGGTCACACCTCTTTTTCGAGAGCTGTGACACCTTCTTGCCGTGGAAGGTGTGGATTCTTCTGCGTTAATTGGTAGTAAGCTCAGCCTTCTTGAACACAGCAAACAAAGTAAGGCACAGCAATCATACGGCCAATGATCGGATCTAAACGCATCTTTTTGGTCTTACCATCCACAGGTCGGTGACGCAAGAGAGAGAGCATGCCACAATGGTATATCAAGAATGCTTATTCTCCTCGAAAACGATGGCACTGACAACATTAGTCGCGCTTCAAAAGCTTGTCCAATAAGCCTATTACAGCTTTGAACTTGATCGACGGGAGCGATCGAGCGTGACTGCAACTTGTCTCTCCTTTGGCCGAACTTCGACTAAGACTCTCTCGCGTTAATACAAACATGTCAGTCATAATTCTATAATCCCTTTCACATCATTCTTGCTTACATGAAATGAAATGGAAGTAGACTGCTTCCTCAAATTCGACTGTATGTGTCGCTACTACCGGCATAGCCACCAATGTGGGCACGTAATTTACGTATTTGCGGCCTTTTGCAACCCCGCTGCTCTGATCCAGAGACCTTGTTCTCAAAAATTTGTGTGGCAAAGCATAGCACTGGATAAGTTATGCGTCGCCTGCAACGCCAAATCCAATCCAGAGAAAACAGAGACGCGGAACGAAAGAGTTAAAAGGGTCTTTTGAGGCGGTTGCTCGATAGACTCAAAAGAACAAGTTGTGGCCTTGTATGCGCATTCCGCAGTGACGGGAAATCGATGTCATCTAATATCGATTCGCCAATACTCACAGGCTGTCTAAGCCGACATATCTTAACACAATTTTTGTGCCAATCTATCACATCCTGAGATGAGTGATTTTGTAACACAATACTCAAAGATTGGGCTCTCCATCTTTCCTCCTACTGATTTTTGCCTATCTATTGCTTTTTTGGACTAGGTTGTTATGATTTTTACTTCTATCCTTTTCTTTTCTTTTTTCTGCGCACTCTATCAAGGAGGAAAAAGCAAGAACAGCTCGACAGAATTATCAGAATTAGTCCCAGAAAATCTCGTTCTGGTGCTTGTTGAGATACTTCTCTGCTTGGTCATCCGTTTTGTTGCTTTGCAGAACATAACGGAAACATTTGAATGTCTAGCCAATCTTTGCACGCACGTCATCAGGATGAACCCTCCGTCCCGTATGATCATAAAATCGTGATGAAACCGTCAGCCACTTATCCTCGTCATATTGTTGAGCAATTTTGAGAAGTAGGAGGGTCTGGTCAGAGCACAAAAATGTCAGTCGGTCCTTACTCTTCGCTCACGACGGTGACGTTTGTGGGTTTCTTACTTCCTCTATGGAGAATATGTCATCTTCAGCGAGATAGATGTACCGGTCAATCCCGGGAACGGCCGTAGCCTGCTGCTGAATAGGAGGTGCTTCCTTTTGCTCCGGCTCGCCGGATGGCTTTGCTTCCTCTGCGCTCGAGGAAGCTTGCTTCGAAGCATCGGGATTTGTTTCTGTTCCTCCCTGCTGCTGCTGCTTCAACTCTTTAAACCTTCGCCGCAGCTCACTGACACTAATATCCAATAACGCGCTTATTTGCTTCCAACTCCGATTGTCATCTTTATATTTGAGAAGCTGTGCATCTTTCTCCCCGTCCCAGGAGACTGTATTTGTTGTCGCGGCTGCTTCTTTTGTGGCCTCTTCTTTTGCCCCATCCGCCTTTGCCTGCTCAGTCTTCGGAGCCTCCGGTTTTGCTTCACTCTCTGGCAATGTTTCCGTTTTGTGTTCTACAGGATTTGCTTCTTCTGGTATTGGGAGCCCGTAAGGAGCGAATTCTGTGGGAAATAGAGGAGGCTGAGCTACTCCAACTGGAGGAGGTGGAGCTGCGACTAGAGGCACAAACCCCTGTGGCATGGCCACAACCGGTTGATACTGCTATAAATGATGGTCATTATTATGCAATACTGTAGCGAATATAAAGTCGCAAGTTATGTTTCTGGGCAGGTAATGTTTGGTTGAAGTTTTTAGGATGACAACCTACCGGAACATAGACCACTTTGGGCCTGTTCAGGCTTCGCGCAGTACGGCCAGTGACGAAGACATCCCAAACTGAGACTTTGACCTTATTTCTATTCTTTCGCTCCATGCTTGCCCAAGTAATCCTATTTTCAAGAGCTAATTGGAGGAGCTCTGGAGTGTTAATCAAATATTTAAACGTTGTAGAGCTCCGTGTAGAATTTTATCGTGGATGGTAGGTCAGCTGCATTGGGGAACGCGCAAAATAGATGATCTTGTGTTTGCCTAAAAAGTAATGAATGGAATTGTCTGTGTTTCGATCCGTGAAGGTCTTCAGCGACCTCGATGTAGAGCTCATATGATCTTAACTCAAAATAGCCGTGGTTTGCTTTGGGAATCTTCGAGGTGCATGTATTCATTTACAGTCATTGATTCTTCCAGATACCAGATACGTTCGACAAGATACATTACAAGATGACATGCATACTAAATAACATACCAAGATATGATATGCTTTCACGTTCGATACACGAAATGGATATTCGAAACATCATTTGTAGGGAAATAGTGTAAACATTGAAGTTGATATACTGAGCTTCTACGCTAATCCTTTTCGGGACATAGCGAGTTGACCTCCAGGTTGACACTCGAACATTTGGCATCGACAGTAAACGCGACCTCGTGAAGAGTACGAAACCCCTTCGACTATTTTCCAATAATTATCAAAATTCAACAGTCTCACCTGCTCCATTCTCCGACGGGACTGTCTCCACGATGCGGTTCTCCGCTCTCGCCGCCTTCACGGCCCTGACCAGCCTTTTCGGGGTGTCTCTGGCCCACAACATCCAGCTTCGCGCGCATTCAAGGGAATGCTTCCACGAGTCACTACACAAGGATGATAAGATGACAGTGACTTTTCAAGTCGGTGACCGAGAGTTTGGTGGAAGTGGTAACTTGGAAATTGATTTTTGGGTGCGTTTCCACTTGCCTTCAGGGTAGACGAGCTTTATGCGGGAAGAATCACTGCCTTTACTTCAGCCTGTCTTGGACTCTACGCGTTTTTTGTCATCCTTTGACGGAACTCCAAACCAAGAATGTATTCTTCAATGGTGTAGCTAAGGCGTTTGGTATTTGCAGATTCAAGACCCTCGCAACGGCTACCAGACGCACCATCGTGGCGTCTCCTCCGGAGACCATTCCTTTATTGCTGCTCTTGATGGTCGATACGTATATTGCTTCAGCAACGAGAACTGGGTTGCCAGCACAAAGGAGGTTTCCTTCAACGTTCACGGAATTGTATACGTCTCTGAAGATGACGCTTCCAACGATCCTCTTGAAGCCGAAGGTATGGCAGGCTTATTTCAGTCATGGATGACGCAACGAGGAATACCCTTGGTATACTAGGAGACATGCGCTGACGAGAAAATCTGTAGTGCGCGCCCTATCCGAGCTGCTGGCACAGGTGAAAGACGAGCAATCCTACATTGTGGTCCGAGAACGAACGCACAGAAATACGGCTGAGAGTACAAACGCGCGGGTGAAATGGTGGAGTATCTTCCAGCTTTTTGTCTTGGGTGGAGAGGGCATCTTTCAAGTCTGGTGGCTGAAGCGTTTCTTCGAAGTAAGGAAGCAAGCCCTTCCCCTTGAAGCCAGAACTCCTTAAATATCCATACTGATCTCGACTAGGTGAAGCGAGTGGTCTAGCCAAAGGCTTAATTATGTGTTCCATATTTCCCTAGAAAGACGATTTTATTTGATATGGCATGCCATCACGAGAGTTTTGCATCCTATACTTAGGGCTTGTTATTTTTAAAGAGGTCAAAAGAATATACAATTCAATCAACATTTGAGAGTCACCTCTAACGAGCAAATTCTATGATTAGTAGAGCGACAGTGATCGGCCGCTTCCCCCACTCACCACAGATATATACAAAGCCTTAAATCATTTTCGACCCCATGGAATATTTATGACTATTGAGCCTGGGAGATCCTTTGAGCTACTCACTGCTCAGTAATCCTGTCTCTTCATTTATAGCCTCCCTTCTCTCGTCACTTGTGGTTCCATCCGTAGCTTTTGACCTCCTCCAAATCCACTCCCAGGATCGTTCATGCGCCCTTGGCCAACCAAATTTGCAGGACCTTTTCCAACGTCCATTTCGAAATATACCATGCAATCGACCTCCTGGTCGACAGCACTTCCGCCAAGTCCACATAGTAAACCAAACCAGAAATACTATCGCAAGCGCTACAAAGAAAGAAACGACGGTGCTTACGGCCGTTACGCTCGAAATGCCACAGCCAGTCCCTCGTGCGCGCATTTCCCATCGCTCAGTCGAGAGTGGACATGTTCCAATTGCAAGCAATGGAATGGCATGGGTGTTCGGAACACATGTTGAAGACTGCCTCTTAATTAGCCCGCCACCCAAACAGGTCCTGGGGATCACACATTTCAAGATTTTCAAGATGAATGTATTGCGGATGAACAGAAAGAGAACAGTAGATGAGACACATACAATTGGGCACCAGCTACATCTACCCTTTGCTCTATGTTGGGTGGATGCTCTCAAGCTAGGATTCTCGTCCCCAAGCTCTGCGCTGGTAGCTCCGTCTATCTTCACACGCAGACATGCGGAGCAGGATGTTTCGCGCCAGCAGGCACGAATAAGTAGGTCTTCGTCTCCGCCAGGACTTATCGCATTCAAGCCACTAGATGAATTGAACGCCGTTGCGGGACTAAATTCTGAAGGGATTGATCCAGTGGGGAAATTTGTATCTATTCCTTCAGCGCAGGAATGCGAACTGAGTGGTAGATGCATTTAAACGCCAGTATATACGAGCGCAGAAGGATCCGATATATAACTTGGGAGTATCAGGAATGGAAGATACTGATGAAGATATTGTACAGCAAGACGCAATCGTAAGGGTATCATGTGTTTTCTCGATCTGGCGCGTTCAATGGGTTTTCGCAAAGACCTGAAGGATTTCCAAAGGAGGATGAAAACAGTTCATTGAAATGATATCAATGAGGATTATCACGAAATTAACTTTTCGGATATATAACGACTCAGTCAATGATATGAGTGGCCCTTATGTGCCTTGCTCAAAAGGCTGCGATGCTAATTGCACTGCCAGTGATTGTGGAATGCCTTCGTCCCCAGAGTACCCAGCGCATCCCCAGCGGGGCCCTTATCCGGAAATCGCGATAACGCTGCTAGTCTCGGGCAGGCCCGGGCGGTTGCGAAGGCTAAATGCGGGTATAATATGACCGAAAGGGGTGTGGTGCTCTAGCGAACGAGTGGACCTTTAGAGTGTAGATGTCATCTATGTGGTAGATGAGGTGCTTGCAGTTGGAGCTCTACTTAAGTCGAGACCACTGCACTCACAAGAGAGAAAATCGGACTCTGCACCTTTCTGCATTCTCATATCTCTTTGGGCAAAATAAGAGGAATAAAGAAATTACAAAAATTTATCGAGTCGCTGATGCTTAAGTACTATGTGAGAAACCTTCAGTTTGATGTTGACACGATCTTGCTTCCATTGAGTTCAGAATTTTATGTATTTTCTTTTGGCTATAAATGCTTTCTACCCACTGTGAACGACTTTCGTCATATCTGCAACTCCGAATTTGCATGATTTGCTGTTCTTTGTCTGTATCAGTTCAACTGGCAGGGTTTCTTCCTTTTCTTCCCTGGGATCTCGATCTGCGATGCGAAGGACCAGGTCATTTACTTGTCCTTCTTCCGACTCTACTTCTTTCCATTTGAGCGCTTGGCTGCCACCAACCCACCATGCTGCAGCCTTGATAATCTGCATGACGATTCGCAGCTCATGCTTATCTCGAGGAGCATACACCATGACGAAGCCTATTGGTACAAACCGGCTCAGCCAACCTCCCTTAGCCAAAGGATGTCTTTCACCCCACCGGTTTTCGATTATAAGCTTGGCATCAGCAGGATGAAGGGTCATATGAAGACTGCCGTCGCTGGGATGAGCGTGGCATATCTCGCCGTTGCAGGTCCGGTTGAGTGGTGTCGTCGCGAACAATCCCGTTCCATGCTTTTCGAAACAAGACGTGCCAAGGCCAAGAGTGCCTCTCGACTGCAGTGATAGAGCGCGGATTGCATACGAAAGATGCAAGAAATTCTCCTGTGTACCTCTATGAGTCGTCTGTCTATGAGGAGCGATACCAGTGACACTGGGGCGACGACCCGTTCGTTTTGGGAGGCTAAATAAATAACCTGACTGCGGCTCGAGGTTCGCTGGGACGGGTGCAGCAACACAAGGATCTCGAAGAGCGAAGAGGCGCAAGAAGGTAATCTTTAGGTATCCGAGAAAGTTGCAAGACGTACCCCCGGGACCAAGACTGACGAATGCTATATAGTCCGTCCATATGAGATAAATCACTGGGAGACTAAGGCAGATGGCGAGGAATGCGATGGGATCCACTCCCGGAAGAGATCCAACTCCTTCCCTATGACGAAAGTGCCAGTCAATCATATCGGCGAAAGATTGTTTTGAACGTTGGATCTCAAAGGTGATCACTCGCGAGGTTGAGGGAGAAGAACGTCAAGCAACAAAGCCATCGAGGAACCTAAAATATTTGGCTCTACTCAGATCTGGATGTCGACTTCCTCTGCCATGAAGTCATAAGCTGACTTCACGTCGAGCTGAGATTTGGCCGTCAGGAGGGAATATTGCTGTGCACAGAGCTTCACTCCTCGGTTCCAATGTGATCTACTCTCCATTAACGGGGGAAAAAACACAAGCCTTAAGTTATGCTGACCGAACTAATGAAAGCTTAGTACTCGGCAAGAATGGGAGTTGATATCTCGAGAAGAACCTAAGGATGATTGGCTGGAGTTGAGGAATTTCGTTCCTTATCTCTTCTACGTCGACAGAAAGTATTACAACTCAGTAATGAACACAGCTATATTTGTTATTAAATGACCCTCGAGTCGAGCGCTGACGATGATCAGGCGCATCTTCAGCTGCAATCCCTTTTCCCCGCCAAAATTAAGCTCTGCACGACACGGGTCCATGTACAAGCGCTGCTTTCAAGTGCAACGCCAATAGAGTTGGCCAATCATCATGTTCTGTTGCTTTTACGATTTGAATCATTTGATAGCTTCTACCCAATTGGTTTGTGACTGTTGGTTTCAGTTATGGTTTGGCCTAGCGGCGCCAGCTGCTCGTCACAACCACGTCAGACCTGTAGAAAAGGAGCGATAGCGTAGCTCAAACGAGCTTAGCATCTCTCCCCATTTGCTTGCGCATTGCCATCGGGGATTAACATGTCCAACCTATCATAGACGGAGAGAAACTGGAAGACAATTTTATTGAATATTTTCAATTGCTTCGATCACTGGTGAAAATGAAAGCAATGTTAAAATTGGAAATAGGAAAGGCCTTATCTGCTGTTGTTAGGCGAACATCTCGGCAGACAGGACATCCTGAGTTCGAATGTGGGGTTAGCGAACCTACCCCAGCCTTTACTCTGTGCCTACTTGCGGGGTGAAATGCAGCGAATCTTGTAAATCAAGAAGGGCACGAGACCATGTGCTCAGTCAGATCCAAAGTAAGACATACAATACTTGAAATGATCCTACATCTCATCCTCGCTCTCAATATTCTAGGAATGCATTTACTGAGAACATATGATCCCAATAGAAGGCTTTAGATACTACGCAGGACAAGCTTCGACTGCTTTGATCAATTCTTCCCCAAAAAGCATTCTCAGAACATGTCTACTCTCGACCATTGTCTCGGTGCACGCTTGATTGAAGCTGCGCATTGGACGATTAACTATAGGGACGATAATCTCGTCCAGGGACATCGCCCTAGAGAGGCTGTCAAACAGCATAGTGTCTCCGCAATGTGTCGCTCAAAATCAGCCTACTGCAGCAAGGTAACGATACATATCGATAAATACAGTCTTTGACAGTATCAGAAGACAACAATTACAGTTGGGAGATAGTTCCTGAGGAGAACAATAATCATGTTCTACTGTGATTTCTTCCAGTCATAAAACGTCGTCAGCTTCTTCGCGGCGTGGTCGTCATCAGCGCAACAACTTGTCGAGACAGCGCTAGTCTCGGCTCGCTCTCGTCAGGTCGCCCAGCACCTCTGCTGTTCCCTCGCTTGGACAAACAAGCCGTGGCTCGCTGTTTTCCGCCAAGGCAATAGAGTGGAGCAGATACAAGGGACTTGACGAATCACGCCGCAAGCACGTGCAGAAAAGTCAGTGCACCCAATGAAAAGCAAGAAGATCGAGTACAGATCTGCAGTACCTATACTGTATCGGGTGTGTACCATCGATGATGGCCTTGCTCGTTCGCGACAAAAGTTCTTGGCAGCTTCCGCACTTGGCCATCCAAACCGCAGTCGGCGTCGTCCCTAACAACCGCTAGCGGCCATCACACAGGGGTGGAGATTTACAGACGCTCACAATCATTTGATGTTCGTCGATTTGTGTGGGCCGACCCCATCTTTTGCGATGCTTGCTACTCGGACAAGCACCACTCACGCAGCATACCTTTGCGCTGTAACTTGTGTTTTGTTGTTCAAGGCAATTGGTTCAGCCGACAGACAGTCTCGCTGCTTTGTTGACATTTCCTGATCCCACACAAGGCGACAATTGTCTGCTCCTTTTTTTGTTGAAAAGAATTAAACCCTCAATCTAGCCACACGCTCACAGCGTGCGCATGGTCGATCCGTCCTGGATATTTGACATTGTCATTATTGTCCGCTGAACGGACCACCTCACCGTACAATCTGTGCGTGCCTGTACTCGCATTGGCCAACGATGGCGGGATCTGGGCTCTTCAACTCCCTGTCCATCGCAAAGCGAGACCGCCGCAGTCGGTATACTTCCGTTCCCTCCGAAGAGTCGCGCTCTACCAACCACTCTGCCGATCTCGAGAAGCATGCATATTCCAGTCGACCGTCGCTAGAGACTTCAGATTACGACTCCTCCTCGACATATTCGTCCAGGACGCCCTCGGACTCGTTGCGCCCAATGCTTCGCGCTTCCGCCTTGAGGCGCAAAGCCTCATCCTATCACTTTAGAATTCCTCGGGTCACTACAAGATTTCTGTGTCTTGCCCTGGCGTCAACCATTCTTTTGTTCATGTTTACATTGGTACGGATGAGCTGGACGTCGGCGAAGCTCGTCGAAAAGGGCATCGGAATCAAACCTCCACCCAAACCCGCCGTATGGGAGGATTTTCCTTTCCTGACAAGATACTATGGCGGCATCAGAACACTGGTCCCTCGGAAGGAGAATGTGCCAGAGTACCCATATGCGAGCGATGAGGAGCCACAAAGCTCTGCACCCGAGTCTCAGAGCGCAGATAATCCGGGAAGTGCAACTCGCCGTGACTCGGTCTTCCCGTTGAGCAGTGCCTTCAATCCATACCCTGATTACACCTCGGATGCCTATCTGGCGGAATTTCCCTCCGTGTCGCAGTGCTTCCTGGATGCAGACTCAAAGGTCAGGGTTCCCAAAATCCACTCGTACTCTGGAGTGACGAAAGGGTTCCCCGACCCGGCCATGGGATCTTATGATGTGCTTGGTCTCCGGGACGACATCTGTTTTGATCGCTTCGGCCGGCTAGGCCCCTATGGTTTTGGGTACAGTAAACGAAAGGGCGGTACCGGAGCGGGCTTGTATGGAGATCGGGAAGGAGCTGAGAATGTCTGGGAAGAGGACGGAGAGGTTGACTATCGAAAAGTCAGCTGGGCAGACGTCCAGAAGAGATGCTTGTCCGCGAATGCCCACCGATTCAACAAGCCGAAAGAAGACGACTCGTCCCAAAATGGACTGCGAGAAAGGGATGAAGTGCCACCTGACTTCGCCATTGCAAATTCTACCGGAACTCCTCGATCTTCTGATGAAAAGAAAAGATTGCCGCGAACCGCTGTCGTCATACGGACCTGGTGGGACTACCAATACAAACCTGAGGACATTTTGATGCTTCGTGCTCTCATCTCAGAGCTCTCGTTGCTCTCCGGAGGAGAATATACGGTTCACTTCCTCATACACGTCAAGGACAACAACGTTCAAATATGGGCGGATGAGGATGTCTATCAGCAGGTTCTGCGCGATTCGCTCCCCGAAGAGTTCCGTGGAATGGGGACGCTTTGGACGGAACGACAGATTGGTCTAATTTATGGCGGTCTCCATGATAGCATGTACCGCAATCTTCCGGTTCACGGAGTGTATCGGAGCTCCATGATGCCAATGCAATGGTTCTCCCATCAACACCCAGAATATGACTACATCTGGAATTGGGAAATGGACGTTCGATACACTGGCCAATATTATCATCTCTTTGACAGCGTGACGAGGTGGGCTCGGGAACAGCCGCGGAAAGGCCTCTGGGAGCGGAGCGGAAGATTCTACGTACCTTCTGTTCACGGCTCTTGGGACGATTTCAAACATATGGTGCGTGTGCAGACCGAGATGGGGACGGACAACCCCAACAACATCTGGAGCGGCAAGAACACTGGAAAGCCGAGGTATCCCGGCGATACGCAAGGAAAGACTGATAAGCCCGTCTGGGGCCCAGAAAGGCCTGAGGATGATGATATCGCGACAGAGGAGGATATAATCCCACCAATGTCTTATGAGAAGGACAAGTATGAATGGGGAGTCGGCGAGGATGCTGACCTTATCACCTTTAATCCTCTCTTCGACCCTGAAGGAACTACCTGGCTGCTCGCTGAAGATGTCACGGGATATAATACGACACGGAAGCTGCCGCCGCGTCGAACCGCGATCATTACTGCGTCACGGCTTTCTCGACGATTACTCAAGACGATGCACCATGAGACCTCGCTTAAACGACACACGATGTTTTCGGAGATGTGGGCCGCCAGTGTTGCATTGCAGCATGGGTTCAAGGCAGTTTATGCTCCGCACCCAGTGTACATTGATCGTAAATGGCCCCCGTCGTACCTGGCCGGCGTTTTCAATGGCGGACGGAATGGCGCGACCGGAGGAGCTCGCACGAGCGTTTTTGGAGAGCGAGAACACAACTTTCGCGGCACTACGTGGTATTATAATGCTGGTCATTCGCCCAACCTCTGGAAACGGTGGCTAGGTCTTCGGGTGGACAACAATGGCGGAGACGAGGCTGAAAAGGCCCAAGAAGGCCGCATGTGCCTCCCCGGTGTTCTCTTGCACCCTGTCAAAGGTGTCGACTTGGTCATCGAGGGTCGAGCTGATGAAATCTAATGAGCGATAATGATGATGATGATAATAATGGTATCATTGCAAGGGCTGTACGATTTCGGCATCATATACGGGCAGGCCCCGGCCATATAATTTCCATGTTTTTTTTGTACATGAACTGTCCACATTCTTCAACCATGAGCAAATAGCGGCGTTTTCTTTTTTTTTTTTTTTTTTTTTTTTTTTTTTTCGGCTTTTATTTATTATCTTTGTTTTTACGGGCGAATACCTATAGAAGCTTCCGTCTATCAATTGGATTGACGCCATGTATATGAGGATAAGGTGTACATTCCAACTAATGCTTACCCACGGTACCTTTCGGGAATATATAATGCAGAAAGGCTTGGCAGCTACAGTAAATTTCTAAGCATATTAACACGAAACATCTAGTGTCTTTCCACATGAATTAGATTACCCTGTTGATAAAAAGAAATTGCTTGCCCAGACGAGTGTGAGGCCCTTCTTTTCTCGCACAACTGATGAAGAGCACCCCGGCATGCTTCGCCGATCTCGGGATCAGTCGCAACGCCGAACCCCGAGACCAGACGAAGGACGGCATCCGATGCCACCAACTGTCGGTTTCACTAAGAAAAAATTTACCCAACGGATAGATTCCGAAAGGTTTGAAGACGGGGCCCACCGTCAATATACTAAAACTGAGGTCCACCGACGAGATTATCCAGAAGGGGTCCTGGTTGAGATATTAACTGATCATCAGATAACGCTAATTGAGTATTGACCAATCAAATATGAGAGGTGCTCGTGTAAGATGCGTTGGCTATGCTTGTTTTAGACTAGCAGAATGGGGCCCTTCTTTCCGTGCGGGGACCCATGTGGAAAGGACCACATGGACCATCACAGTAAACACAAGCTCTATTGGCGGTTTGCAGAGTGGGAACTCGAAGAGAAAAGTACTGTATGCGGTAAAAAACTTTGTTCAAAAAACGGTGTACATACTTAGTATGAGGCTTGATGGAGAAAAAGCCAATTTTAGCTTCTAATTGCTCATTTAAGGTGGGCCTTGATTTTGCATGGAATGTTGACGACGTCAGAGAAGGTATAATACTACGTACAACAACATCAGAGACAAATTCTAACTCTATGAAGTTGATTCCTCCCTACCGACTAATACTACAAATCCTCGATCAGCCTTGCAATATATTTCTTACAATTTGGTCAGCGTAGCGTGAAGGTAATTTATCTTCCAAAGGCTAAATATGACAATGTGCCGCTTGCGCCGCGGCGTCAAGCATGAGTACTATTCGGCTGAGTCTTGTGCTGTGTTCCCCCCCTGTCAACAGATCATCAGAGTAGTACTTTTCTACCAACCAAGCCACCACGGTTATGGTGATGTCGTGACTATGCCAGATCTGATCATGACTTCTCTTTGTGTGACCACAGAAGTCCGTTGGTATTGGACTGCACACCTTCTACCCCTGCGCTGGTTCCTTCCCAAATTTGATTTGGAGTTTCGGGAAAGAGGCTGGAGGATTTCTCTCCCCCCTGAAACAGGATCGGGTTGTTCTTTCCCGCTGCCATGCTTTCCTGTGTCGCTCTTTCCTTTCTTGTCTTCTCCAGTCGTCGCCCATCACGCGCGGCAAGGTTTCTAAACTCCCCGCAAAGATGCGTATCTGAGCAAAGCCTCAGCGCGTTTTGTACAGTGGTATTATTAGTGGGTCTCATATCCCAAGAGCAGTCCGTCAGCGCCATGGTCTAAAAGCAATGACCTGGCTGGGCCTGCATTTGGTCATCACTTTGATCTAGAAGGTTCATGGTAACCCTTGATCTACTAATTGCACTACTGCCTGGCTAGCTCCTTCCTATATTGATGCTTGTCGCGTTGGCTCCAAACGTCGCCTCGTACAAGAATAATAGCAACCTTGCCCTTTTCCGCCTGGGCCCCAGCCATCGTACCTTACTGTCTTCTGCAGTCATTCACTTCTCTCCCTCTTGGTCTGTTTCTCTTCTCATCTTGCTCTTATAAGACGTTGATCCATTGCTGCCAAGTCTCATTCACTGACTGTCTCTCTCGCTTCCCTTTTGCTCGGGACTCCATTCTTCGTTTTCTTATTATTCATTTGTTTCTTTCCTCCATATTACTTTAATACAAACATCATCCTCTACACTCTACCTTCCACACACACGTCTCTCTTCATACATCCCCCAAAGGCTTTCCCTATTTCTAACCTACAAACAACAAAATGCGTCCCGCCGCTATTCTCTCCGCCGTTGCTGCTCTCGGCTTTGGCGTTGTGAGTGCCCAGTCCAACACCGTCCCTGTCACTGGTCTTCTGGGCAACGCGACTGTTGTGACCGACAACCCTGTTGGCGTTGCGTACCATGCTGCATTGCCCACGTCCAACAAGACCTCGGTTACTGGCTCAGTTCACGCTGAGACCAGCGGAAATGGGACTGGCGTTGTCTTCCATGTGAGCATCTCTGGCTTGCCTACCTCCGGTGGACCCTTCTGTAAGTATTCCTGACTATTTCTTCTCAATTGCTCTTACTTTCTTCCGTCCCTCGTACCTATGTTGCTTGATACATTGAGCCATTAGCTCTGGTATTATGCAATATATTGTTCTAACTGGAAGCACCATTGCTGACTCTCACCAGTGTATCACATCCACGAGGACCCCGTTCCGGCCAATGGAAGCTGTACCGCGACTGAAGCCCACCTTGACCCCTTCAAACGTGGCGAGACTCCTCCATGTGACCCGTCTCTGCCAGAGACCTGTCAGGTTGGTGACTTGAGCGGCAAGCACGGAAAGATTAACGGCACTTCTTTCTCGGCGAGGTAAGCTTGTCCAGTCAATCGAACCCCCTGCAATATAAGCAATTGGCTTCCTGGTTTCCTCTCCATATGAGAATTTTTCACAGCCGCAGGACTCAAATGGTTATGCTAACATGATATATCTCCCCAGCTACACCGATCTCTACGCTTCCACCAACCCTGAACTTGGTTCGTTCTTTGGCAACCGCTCGGTTGTCGTCCACTTTGCCAACAAGACCCGGTGAGTCCCGTCCTCCAATCTATATTTATTTTTATTTTTGGCGTGCGACCTGCTAGTCAATGCTTCTCGTCCTTGTTCAAACAAATCAGAGTCTAACAAGCAACCTTGTATAGCATCACTTGCGCCAACTTTGTGCTCATGTCCAACACGACGAGCCCTTCTGCCACTCCTACTTCCTCTCACCCAGCTTCCTTCACCAACGGTGCTGCCACCGTTGCTCACGCCGCCGGTAGCTTTGCTACTGCCGGTGTCGTCGGACTTGCCGGACTGGTAGCTGCCATGCTGGTTTAGATTGACGTGAGATTCTGGCAACCGGCCTAATTGGATTAGCTTCAAAAGTTTGACTAGTTTCATGATGGCATGGATCATTCGAGTGTATGAAAATGCAAAATATTCTGATAGGATAAAAGCATGTGCGCAATAAGCGTATGTAGTTAAATGAGACACCAGGAAGGAATGGTGGCAGCGAGAAACTCTCAAGTCCATAGAGCGACGAATAGCGAATAATATATCATTACTCATTTTAATTGTCCCATCATAAAGAAGGCACTGCGACATATTCCTTTCGAGCGTTACTTGGGCGAACGTGAGTCGCCGCCTAAACGTCTACGCTGTTCTTGGGTCAACGTGCTGCGTATCTTATATATTTGAGGAAAACAATTCATTGATGCTGAGAACGTAATACAAGAGCAGACAATGGTTTTAGTATAGTAATCATGTACTCGCGTCTTTCTTTCCCCCCCCTTTTCAACCCCCCCAATTCTGATTTTTTTCTTCTCGTCAGTTGGGAGGAAAGAAGGGAGGGCCCAAGCATACAATATGAGGATAATAAGGGAGCAGAGCAGGCAAGAAAAAAAATTGTAAAAGGGGGTTCGAAAAGAAAAAGGAAGAAGAGGAGAAAAAGAAAGAAGACGTAAAACAGCGTTTCAAATTTCAAGTTAAGGCTTGTACAACAGGGCAACTGGTTAGAAACCGAAGACAGAGAGACACAATGTTTCGAGAGTTTAAGAAGAGTGCGCCAACCTCTCCCCAACATCTTTGCCACAAAATTTCCTTTCCCCCCATTTCCCCAGTTTATCCGTGGTGAACGGGCTTGTTCACCTGATTGCTTAGCCACTCCAGACCCTCGTACAGACCGTCTCCCGACGTAGCGCAGGTGGATTGGATGTACTGTTTGCGACGATATATTAGTTATTTGCACATGAGAGAAGATGAACGGGAGATGTGGAGAAGGGTGGGAAAGGGGGAGAGGGGACGCAGAAAAGAGAAAAGCAAACTTACCCAGTCACGGTTCCGCAAGCTGTTAAGGCCGAGCTTGTTGGTAATCTCAGCAGCGTTCATGGCGTTCTGTTCAGAATGGCATTAGTTGGAGATATTCTTCTTCAAAGATCCGATAGGGTTATTTATCGGAATCGTTGATACTTACGGGCAAATCTTGCTTGTTGGCAAAGACCAAGAGTCTAGCATCCCGGAGCTCATCCTCGTTCAACATCCGCTGCAGCTCCTCACGAGCCTCAGATATCCGGTCTCGGTCGTTGCTGTCAACGACGAAGATGATACCCTGCGTGTTCTGGAAGTAGTGTCTCCAGAGAGGACGGATCTTGTCCTGTCCACCAACGTCCCAGACGGTAAATTGGATGTTCTTGTACTCGACAGTCTCCACGTTGAAGCCTAAATTCGCACAAAAAAAGGGAGCAATCCGTCAGTCAAATTTGTCGAAAAGATGAATCAAATTCGGTAGATATGGATTCGAACGGACCGATAGTGGGAATGGTGGTGACGATCTCGCCAAGCTTCAGCTTGTAGAGAATGGTGGTCTTTCCGGCCGCGTCCAAACCAACCATCAATATTCTCATCTCCTTCTTCGCGAACAGCTCCTTGAGCATCTTCGAAAGGTACATGCCCATTTTGGCTAGTGTTTAAGTGGGTGATGTGCGACAGGCGCGATAGTAAAAGGCAGAAGTCTGCTACAGCTCGGGGAAGGCTGGTGTATGAGCGGTCAAGCGCACACCAGATACGAAAATGCTACTGTCAAACGGCCATTGTCAGCACAAGGTTATCGATGAAATAAGAAAAAGTCATCCATGAAGAGATGTTGGCGGGTTAATGATGATGTCGGACTGAGATGGAACGGGGGTAGAAAGATAGGACCCTGGGAGTGCGCGTGTCCGGGGAAAAAGGCGACGACGATGATCACACGAGCTGGTTCGCAGGGCGTAGCACCAACATACAAAAGGCAAGAAAATGAATGACAGGATTCCAAACGGCTGGCTGAATTGCTATATGAGAGTTTACACTTACATGGGGGTTGGAGGTGCAAAGCAACCGATGGTTGTGGATCAGGCTTGATGGGTGAGGTAAGTCGGTCTGACGGGTTGAGGACAGAATGTCGGCTCTGTGGAATTTTTGGCCTGGAACGCCCCCTAAAGTCACCTGATAAGGTTAGGCGACTTAGCAAGGTATTGCGACAACAGGTAGTAATATAAAGGTGCCGATTAATTGCGCAAATTGGAAGGCGGTATTCAACCTAATTCGTAATAAGAAGGCAAGAATAATGCTCAATTGATTCGAAGATATAAGTCTATTTCACACTTGTAATCGGAAGAAGTCGAGATACCAGCTGACGACCTCTCCGGACTCTCGAGGGTGCTGCACTGGACATCTGTCTTTTATCCCCAAATTAGCTAGAGTAAGGGGCGAGGGGGCCACCCAAGCTGCCGCCTAGCTGATAAAACTCGCCTGCAGGCCTGAAAGAAATCTGCGTCTTTGGCACATATGGTTTAGCGAAAGATACCCATTGCGGAATCATCGGCCCCTAATTTATCATTTCCAAATTTAGGCAAATTACGACCATTATATAAAAGTGGAGCCGTATATGTTTCCATCTCCACAGTTGTACGTAGTATAGCTCTGTCACACATAAACAAACACCATCATGCTGTGATCTCATGTCTATCCGTGTATCTTCTTCTTTGGTCGAAAGGTACGCCTGTAGACTTCTGCAATGCTCTGGCTGAAGGGTTTGTATATCGTCTTCCCTTCAACTGTGCCACTGAGCATCCCAAAAACAACAAGAGACAGAACTGACAATGCCATGATCACGGAGAAGCTAGCCCAGTAGGTCGTTGCGGTGTATTCGCTCTGTAAATCCGGAATTTGGACCTGAAAATGGTTTTTCCCAAGTAAGTATGCCGCTGTTGGGATAAGTATGAACGTTTCGGAGCAAAAGAAAAACTTACTGAAAAGTATGCAGTCATAAGACTAACAGGCATGAATAGCATAGCAACTTTAGATAAAAGAATTGTTATTCTGGTCAGTCTTTCCACTGAGAAAGATTCTTTGATGGCTATCAAGTTGAAATTCTGTTTTGATCTTAGTAACCATTGATGTTCATGGAAACTTGCCAACTAACCATGAGCACCAAGGATTCTTTCTCCTCCAAGCATTCCTGAATCTCGCTCAGCGCATAAAGTCCAATCCGATCTTTGAGTCGCTCAAATCGGACAATAGCTGCCTGGCTCAAAGGCGCCCCCAGAAACCCGTCCGTTTCAGGTGCTTCGACGTCTGAGAATATCCGATGCATATGTCGGCGCGTAATTGCCTCGATTTTAGGCTTCAATCCATGTGTTGACTGAGGTTCAGTATAGTCCATTTGGTTGAATGTTGCCGGTCGTTGCTTCTCAAGGACTCTATCAATGATGAGCTCGTAACTTCGATAAATACGCTTGAGAACGCCCAGTTGGCGCCCAATATGGTGCAATCTGTCAATCTGTCTAAGTTCGGGTTTATCAAGCATTTGCTCTCGCTGCAATTCGTAATAAGCATTGAGCTTCTAACCAATGTAGATGACTTACCAGTTTATCCAGTTCCGCGGCATATTGATGACCTGTTCTCACCACAAGGGAATAACTTGTATACCAATCATCGAAAAGGTAGTAAAGCAGTAAACTTGGCGCGTCCGTGTTGTTTGTTGCTGCGGACACGCCCTCAGGGTAGTTTTGCGGCGTGTGCGGCCCTTTTCTGATAGGCAAAAGCGTGATTGGGTTCGGCATATCACTTTCATCGGTAGCTCTGGACAACTGACCAAAGACTATGAGAAGATTGCGGCGAATCGCGCGAATTGCTGATTTTCGGGCTTTGCTCTGACAATGATTCCCAGGAAATGGATCCTCATGAACCGAGATTACCGTGCCTTTTGGGGAGGAAAGTTAAATCGTAAGTTTTGGAAGGCCTGGGAAGCAAATTTTACTCACCGTCATCGCAAATTATTAGCCAGCTCCATACCCTTTTCCCATCGGGCACGTCGAGACGGCTCCGTTCCTTATCGTCTGTATTTGATAAGTCGATGTGAACGTTGTAGAGTGAGTTGAACCCCAAACACATATCTGCCATACCGTCAGCGATGCAAGGAAGGCGAAAGATGTTGTTTCCAAACTTACAACTCCGTCCCCAGTCCACTGAAGAATAATGCCATACTTCATCCACTAAATGGTAGTGATTAAGGTCAAGACGAAGCGCTGATGTCTCTGCGGATTTTCGCTCCGTCATCTGGATGCCAACCTCGGCATCTGTTACATAACTAGACGCAGTTTTCCGTACAGTGTCGTCTTTCGACGTTCGATGGTAAAACCGACGCTTCCGCTCGGCTATGACCATTGGCATGGGTTTGAGCGGATCTGAGCACATCAGGCCGAGAAGACGCGGTGAGAATCCATAGTATAAAGCTATTGCCTTCGCTCAAACGGTCAATGAAAAGAAATCGAGTTCAATCTGGGAATGAAATACCTGAACGACATCCTTCTGGAGATTTGGGGCCCAAATATTGCTTTGAAGATATGAGATTTTAGGCACAGGCTCGATGATAATTAAGAAACTTACATCCATCGTGTTCCGAGAGAAGGAGGTCTCTAAAAGAATATGAGCCAAGCTCTGAATGGATTGTTCCAGCGCTCATCTTTTAAGAATTAGGAGACGCGGTACCTTCGTCTTGAGAAGTCCAATAAAATCATGAGATTGTAAGTTGAATGCCGCCCAAGCTTCTTCAGTGCTGAAGTCTATCACAAAATTACGGCTGTCTGCATCGTTGACCAGCTCTTCATATTTCCCAAACACTGTTTTATCATCGAAATTGTGGAACTGCCGGAAGAGATTTGGCACGCCGGTTTGCTTGTAGTACGGATGTCGTGTCTCTTGCGGGGAAGTGTAATCTTTGACCATTTCGCTCAGATTCAATAAAGACAACTTCGCTGAAACTGCTCCTCAAAAAAATCATCCTGCCGCTTTATGTAGCAAGGGAACATAGGGAAATATGCGGGATACAATATTTGTGGCGATGCGATAGTTCGTGCATGCGCCTACGCGCAGCTGAGCGCTTCCGAAGCGTGTGACAAGTCCACAGGCTGCAATACACCTCTCATCCCTGGTCGAATCCGATGACGCTTGATAGCTAGAGACATGACTCAAACAGATAACGAAAATAACTTTTGGTCCTGATAAATAGTATTTGCGAATGCTCTGTAAAAAAAGAAAAAACCTTCTTGGAATGAATCAATACAGTTTAAATCAATCATCGATTCGAAAGAAAATACATGGCAGGAATATGGCGAACGATTCGGTACATCATCTGAGCGTCGTATCACTTCCCAAGACATGTGAGGAAGGATCGCTACAACAATTGACCGAGCAATACAAAGGCTTTCGCCTTAGTTCTCTGAAATTGGAGCCTCAAGCTTTCGCTTCAACGTTTCAAAGAGAAAGTACCTTCTCGCAAGATGTCTGGAGGTCACGCATCTTGAACCCTCTCGCGAGGACATTTGTCTGTTTCAGCGGCAGAACGGGAGAGAATGATCAAAGTCACGAGCCCGGCAATGTTTTGCGCGCCCCTTGGCTCGGCCTCATTGTCTTACTCGGACCGATAGATTTAAGCAACAAATCTTCGACGACGACAACGTCACCTTGGACTGCATTAGGCACAAGGGTTTCTTCGGTCGAGGACATTGAGATCACGAAGAGCCAAACAACAAATAACTATCATCTTAATGGGCTTTTCACCATGCCGGCAGCACGTCGTCTCGGAGTCGGATTAAAGCTAATCCAGGCCGCTCAACATGCTGCCCTGCGCCAAGCGAAGGACATGCGCAAAATCACTGCAAAGATCACGGTCATGGTTTATTCCCAGAATAAACCAGCAAGGTTGTTATATGAAAAGTCTGGATTTAAAATTTCTGAGACGAATGCTCATTCGAGAAATGAAACATTATCAGATGGAAAGGCTGTCTTAACCATGGAGTGGCTTGGGTTGGCGGCAGAGACAACCCCCGCAGATCTAGGAGAATTTCCTCAATAGTGTATATATTTCGAGGTGTTCATAGATCGATACAAGCACAGATGTCTCCGAATTTGAAGGGCATAGAGATAAACCCTGGAAATAATCTTCACCAATATTTGTCCGATTTGCTGCATCTAAACTGTTGACACCTGAGCCATTTGGCAAGATCATGATTGAGCGGCAACGGGCGGCGGGCAACAAGCCTCGCTTGAGGGTTGAGCCCCTCGGTTAATGTTAGCGCACAAATGTAGTCTGTGGCAACCTTGAGATGCGAGTCGATCTCGAATTTATCGACGACGTTGCGCGCCAATCCTCACCAAAAGAATTAGATATTCTCTTGGAAGACTGTCACCATCATGTCTAAAATCACAGTCGGTATGTTCGTTTATCAATTCAGCGATGTGGAATCGCCATGCTGATCGGTTTTGTCAACAGCCGGAGTGCGCCAGAACGTCCAGGCTCTTTTGGACTACTCTCTCAATGAGAAGAAGAGAAACTTCCTCGAGACCGTCGAGCTTCAGATCGGTCTGAAGAACTATGACCCCCAGCGTGACAAGCGTTTCTCCGGTACCGTCAAGCTGCCCCAGGTCCCCCGCCCTGGTATGACCGTCTGGTACGTGGCCCCCCCTCGCTGCTTAAAAGAAATCCGCAGCGCAAAAGTTTGCGATGGACAGGGAACAAATTGGCTGACTGGTGGAAAATTAAGCATTCTTGGTGACCAGCACGACATTGACCGTGCCAAGCACCATGGTATTGATGCCATGTCCGCGGATGACTTGAAGAAGCTCAACAAGAACAAGAAGCTCATCAAGAAGCTTGCTCGCAAGTACGATGCCTTCATCTCTTCTGAGGGTCTTCTGAGACAGATTCCCCGTCTCTTGGGTCCCGGTCTCTCCAAGGGTAAGTCTATACATATGCGCATAAAGATATGATATATCTAACTTATATTAGCTGGTAAATTTCCTACCCCTGTCTCCCACGGTGAGGATCTTGCCGCCAAGATCACCGAGGTCAAGTCCACCATCAAGTTCCAGCTCAAGAAGGTTCTTTGCATGGGTGTCGCCGTCGGAAACGTTGGCATGACTGAGGACCAGCTTATCGGAAACATTATGCTTTCCATCAACTACCTCGTCAGCTTGCTCAAGAAGGGCTGGCAGAACGTTGGCAGCCTTACCATCAAGGCCTCCATGTCTCCTCCCAAGCGTCTCTACTAAGCGTAGAGCATGCAGGAGCACTGGGTTCTTTTTGGTATTAGGCTTGCGGCGCGCTGGGTCGTTTAAGTAGTCCATACATTGGTACTTATAGTTGCGGTCGCTATTCCAAATCCAATGAAAAATAATTGAAATCACTTGGTCGATGCTTAATGCAAATCAAGAGCGTGATTCGTGAATATACACGTAAATTTATTGTTGCCGATTGCCTCGATAAATAGTACAAACATCAGAACAATGGAACATTTTTTTGGCTCCGCAAACCCAAACACAGATTCGTGCGGCTTTTGGTGCTACAAAACTCCTGTTAAGGCTTTACAACTCGAACAATGCTGCGCAACAGTGCGGACCGGGTAAATTTTCAGATTCGAGTCGTTTCCAACTAGCAAAATAATTCATAGTTTTTCATTATGCATGTAGGGTTCATCCCACAGCTCCGATCCATAGACATGGAATCCACGCAGCTGATAGGTTGACGAACACCTGGTGGTCACTCAAGGGGGCCGGGAACGGAAGGAAACCCATCTGATTTAAATCGGAATGACCCTCAGCAAGCCGCCGTAGCGGAGCCCCCATAAGGTTATTTAGATATAACCTCTACTGATGATGGGGAGAAAAGAAGGACATGGAGAGAGGATGAATTTATACCAGGAAATTTTCCTAAGCGAGAGAAAGTCTTGGCGCGTTTGCTCTCTCGTCAAACAACTTCGACGAGACGGCCCCACTCAAGCCCCATCTTAGTACGGAGTACTCCGTACGTTGGTCAAGAATCTCCAGATTGACTGGCGTTTGATAAGATATGCAGACGTTAACGAATTAAACAGAGCACATGCGAATCGAGCCAAAGACCTTCATGCTCTTACCTATGTAATACTTAGGAAATTGCCCTTTCAAGCTCTCACGCGGCTAGGGGGAAATCACAAAATTTACATTGTTTCGAATTAGGTAAAATTTTCGCTACGCAGGAACATGACTACTAAATTTGGCCTCACAAGGAAGCCACGGGGATTCGCAGTTTACAACCAAAGCACCATAAAACATTGCAGCCATTCTCCGCGATGTGATCCGGCAACGAGAGCTGTTCCCGGTAAGGTCTGGTCCGAAATGGTAATGTACACTTAGTGTTGAACGGAGAAGAACGTTCTCAAACATGTTGACTGGATCCATCTCTCTTTCATTTTCATCTATCCAAAGGCTTTTTGCGGTAGCCTCAGCTTCAAAAAATTCGAATTGGCTTCTTTGTATCTCTCTGATGACGGCTCCCATCCTGCTGAGGTACAGGCCCTGAAGGACTACTACGAGTACAAAACATCGCCTTCTGAGGCAGCATACGCGATCACACGACCCATTGAAAACTGTTTACCGCATGGCGAATCTGATGATCCGGAGGGAAATGATCCGCGCAAACTCAGTTGTCGCCTCTGGTCTCTGTTCTATTCTCCCACATTTGTGTTCGTCATTGTATATGAATCCATCACACCACATATGTCCAAACGAACCGAGATGGCGCCAAAGAGGCTCTGGGCCATCGGGAAAATTTGGAGGTTCGGGCAGATTTTGGACAGCCGCAAGTAGTTGGATCAAGCTTGGTATCTTCACAGATGGTCATTCAAGAAGGGGCAGTGGCAGCATAACCATAAAGACTATAGGAGTCGAAGTGGAAGTTTTAGTAAGGATGGCAGCAATCGTGAGGCACGCGCACAACGATGTGCAAGACTTGTCAAGAGCGCATATACCGAGGCACAGATGGTAGCAGCGGGAGTCGGTGGGTTTACCATCGATTTTGCCTATCGGTGTATTGCAAATGCTCTGGAGAGGGACGAAGCTGGATATTGAGGTGTCCGTGGCAGAGGCTTTGTTGACTATCATGACCCCCAGGTTGCTGGAGGGGGCGCTCAAGAGAGAAAGATCTTGGGCGTTGGAGACCAACAGAGACGGGAAAGGGTTATGGAAAGACTTCGACAAGGAAGAACAAGGCATGATGAGCCATGAAAAGTGGCTCTTTTGGATGGGGAGGCTGAGACATCTTGCCGGTATGAGTTCAAATGAAGTTGAAAGCTCGGCGGAGAGAAAATGAGATGCTGGAAGCAGCTAGTGAAGAAACCCGTGGCCAAATTATACCGGGTCTACAAATGCAACATAGAGGTCTTCCTAGTTTTCTTCATTGAGGTAATGCTATTGCAATTACCCAATATATAGAAATGTATACTGACAGGAATTCGTTATTCGATCAAATCAAATTGCAATTACTTTTCTTAGATCTTCTGGAACAGGGTCTGGATTTCTGGAACAATCTGTATCTGTTTTGCTACTTGCTTGAGCAGTTCAAAATTGAGTTCATTGTTGGAGCGGAAAATAATACAATGCCTGATTAGGCCATTCGCCTCCTGAAAGGGAAGTTTACAGCTCGCGAAAGTAATTTTCGTATCCAGACCCAATTTGTTTTTTGACGTCATCACGATTCGCGCATAAATTCAGCTCCGATAACGCTGTCATTAAGCCATCATTATACAGCCTAGTAATTATTGCGTATATCCCTTTTCGAGAAATTAATTTTGCCCTTCGGTTTATGCATCAAGACATTCCTGCTTTATAACAGCTTGTCGGATTGTTTCCAACTGGAGCGAACTACAATTGTTTACTTAGACGGGGTCAATCGAACTCCTCAACGTTTCTACTTCCCTGCTCACACATCAATTGAAGATGGATTTTCTACGACCGTACTCTATAAATGTTCCCGAGCAAGAAATACAATACCTGAAACAGAAATTATCACTTACTCGCTTCCCCGATGAGCTTGACGAGGCGGCATGGAGCTACGGAGCCCCTCTAGCTGATGTCAAGAGGCTTGTTTCCCATTGGAGAGACAGCTTTGACTGGAAGAGTCAAGAGTCCCAATTAAATAAACTCCCTCAATTTACAACGGCAATCAATATTGAAAATTTGGGGACTTGGATGTCCATTTTGTATACCAAAAGAGTGAAGTCGAGGAAGCCATTCCACTTATCTTTTGTCATGGCTGTTAGGGCACTTCATTTCTATAGCTCCTCTACCATCCTGTTTGAGTCGAATATGAATTGAAATCCTAGAGTGAAAGTCTGATCAAGTCGCAGGGCCTGGGAGCTTCATAGAGGTTGCAAAAATCCTCAAACCGTTGGCCAAAGGCAGTACAAATGCTCCAGCATTCCACGTTATCGCCCCGTCACTGCCAAATTTTGGCTTCTCAGAAGGTGTTAAAAAGAAAGGTTTCGGGCTCGAGCAATATGCTGAGACTTGTCATAAGCTCATGTTGAGTCTGGGTTATTCTGAGTATGGTGAGTTCTTCCATAATTCCGCCACCATGACGTTTCTAATGATTCAAAAAAGTCACTCAAGGAGGAGATTGGGGATTCTACATCACTCGAACAATGGGTCGCCTCTTTCCAGACAATTGCAAGGTTTCTCATATCAATCTGATCGTCGCGTCGCCTCCTTCTTTCACAACCAACCCACTAATAGCCTGCAACATATCGTTACACCTTACTCGGAGAGAGAAAGGGTGGGACTCTCACGTACTATGCGATTTAACAATGAAGATTCGGGATATATGTTCGAACAGGGCACGAAGCCACAGACACTAGGATACTCTTTACACGATAGCCCTGTGGGGCTGCTTGCATGGATATTCGAGAAACTGCATGACTGGACGGATAATTATCCGTGGACCGATGATGAGATTTTGACCTGGATATCCATTTATTGGTTTTCTCGCGCTGGTCCCGCGGCCAGTCTGCGCATTTACTATGAAGCAAAACACGACCAATCGCATTCGCGCGTGAAGACAACTCAGTGGATCTCACATGTGAAGCTTGGAGTAGCTTATCTGCCTAGGGAGATTATCATCGCTCCAAAAGCATGGGCAAGGTGTCTGGGTCCGGTGATCTACCAAAGCGAGAGTGATACTGGTGGCCATTTTTGCTCGTGGGAGAAGCCGAACATTATCATAGATGATCTCCGGAGTATGCTCGGAAATGATGGCGTTGCATATAGATCGATTCGGGGTAGAAGTGGGTATGATAAGGTCGACAGCAGGTTGTGATATCCGACTTTCAGCTGCTCTACTGACCTAGCGGCTTTCAATCAGCCGTCGCAGCCGAGATTATTGTGCTTCAATTTTTATTATTGTTGTTTCCAAGGGGATAGCTCAAAGCTGAATGTCAGCCAAAACTGATCCCTTTCACATGCAAATATATTGGCATTAATGACGTGCCCAGCCGCCAGAGGTTTTTATAGGTGCCTGATTAGGGCTGGATTGACCGGTATGCACCACGTGATAGACTCAGCCTCAATGCTTTTCAGGGTCGATTTTTGCGCCGACAAAACCATCCATACTTACCTACCTAGAGATCCATTGAATCCTAATCGTCTTGTATCAGCGAGCTTGCTGACAAATAAATTTTTACCGCATGCTCTGCGGTAGTGTGGTCAGCAGCTTCTTAGGTACTAGCCACACCCTTCGAGGTTAAGGAAGATATTGCTTCTCATAGGGTCAAAGATTTAGCAGCGCATTCTACCCACACAGCATGCACTTGTATCTAGTGGACTTTTCAATGCACCTTTAGATACACGTCTGTCCGTCTGTTTGAGTCACTTATTTCCCGATCATCGACACCATGCTGTGTTCAAGGCAAAATCTGAGTGATAAAGTTATGATGACGTATTGAATGGCTGTGTATCTTTGAACTCGGACATCTCTCGGCCGAGTAAACAAATTTATAGTTTACCAGCCGTCACAATCGGATGGAACGGTTCAAGATCAAACATGAAACGATGAGCGATGAGATTAATTGCGGACATGGTCTCCGGAATTTATTCGCGCTGGCCGTTGTCGCTGTCTCATCTATATCGCACAGGATAGTTCCTTTACAGAGGGCACGTCGCAGAGGCTAGCTCCGTCTTTGGGGCGATCTGCATGTGCAAGTACCCGTCCCACATGCTGGGTGGGGGGGAGGATGATGTGTCAAAGTGGTAGCTGGATGGAACCTGAAGAAGAAAGGAATCACTTGGGGGATTCAACACTTGTCCTTGAAACCTCGACTGGAAAAGGGTCCGGGACAGCAACGGGGTTCTCGTACGAGTAGAACTTGCTCGTGGGAAGTTGGAAATCGAACACTAATTTACTCTACAAGCCCAGCTAGCCTATCTCTGACTGGCGTGGCCCGAACCCCACATGTCTGGCGGGAGAGCGACGGAGCGCTTTTCGTTGTGGGTCCGTTAGTCCGGGGCAGGGAATCACCCCGGAGGTTGGAAACACGGATGTCGGCGAGGGGGGATGATGTTAATTGCAGTCAATTGTTTCCCTTTTGAGATGGCCATTGGGGACCTTTTTGCTCGATTTATGTGGCTACTACTAACCGCGACCACTTGACAAGGAGGTAGAGTCATCATGGCGAAGATCCTTTCATCCTGAATCTTAGACTCTGCAGCACCCTTCAGTCTGTTTTGCCATCCGATTCCGGAGCTGCGACAAAGTAGTTCCGATTTGAGGCGCAAGAGACAAAAGCACGCGTATATGAGGGATCTCGTGCAGGTTTTATGAGCAAAAGGTTGAGCCGAGGCATGTCGGATTTTTCCGTTGCTCGTTTCGTCTGTCTCTCAACGGGGACAAGACCGAGAAGGGAAACGCGTGTGATTCTCCATTCAATGGGGAAAGTAAGCGGAGAGCCGCTTTAGGAGAGCCAAGTGCTTTTGAAGAGAGTGAGCCTTAATGCCTAAGGTATTAATGGTAATTACTGGGACTGTGAAATTGCAATCCTCAGTAAGAGACGGTATCCTAGGCACATGCATAAGGGCGGAAAATACAGCTGCGCACCCTGAGGATATGTAAGAAAGTAAATACTGAGTAGGCAGGGCGGGGGGTCGTTGGCTGCCAAGGTTCGCACGACAACCATAAGGAATGCAGCAAGGAAGGTTTTGTGAGATAATCCAAGCCCGCATGACCGCACCCTAGTCCCTGAGGCATTATAGGCTGGAAGAGGGTTCATTTCATCGATCAACATGTGGGGCCCGAGTCTACCCGAGTGCATGTAGCTGCGACAAACATGGTTGGGTTGGAAGGGGCGGAAAACGAGGAAAGCTGCAGGAAGCACGATGATGCTGAATACGTACCTTAGGTAACTAAGGTCAGGTAGGTGACACTGATGATTACAGCATTACAGTAAAGGGGATGGGTGACGAAGATGATGATGATGACGATGCAGCATCAGGGTTGCGGGCTTACCTAATAATATTAATCCAGCTTTTCTTCCTTTCTTACCCCAGACAAGAATCAGCGCGTCACGACCCGGCGACTTTTCGAAGAGGGAAGACTCCGCCCCAAAAGAATTGGCCTAGAGAGTCCCCGCTAAGACGAGCAGGTGCGGCCGTTCCTCACCCATCCCACCCCTCCATTCACACCTTACCAAAAGAATCCCCCCTCCTAGGCCGTAATCCGACGCCATGCTCGCGTTTCCGTGCACGATTCCCCACAATTCCAAGGAGAAACACTCACTGGCCGCCCGGACCTTGTTCGTGACCTTTGAGCCGAACCTTCGCAGGAACCTCGTGCAGGGGGAACCGGAAAGGCAAAAGAGGAACCACACACGACGCTTAGAATACACATGACAACGGTTAGAGCAATTAGCCCCGGCCGGGCCAAGGGTCCTCACTTTCCCACCTTGCCCTTTCGAAGCCACGGACAATGAGTTCTCGCCCTCAGCAACTCTAAGCGCCGATTTGGTACTTAAACAATGCCGGGGCCCGATTCCAGACGTAATCTTCTCTGTCATTTGCATGTGTGCGTGCTCATCTTGTCGTGCATACGTTGAATCTACTCAATCTTTGCTCGGAAAAAAACAATGAGAGGAATGGACATGGTTTGCACGTAAAGCAAGCAAGGCAAACCTAACCAACAGAAAGGATTTGAACATTTCTACCGTTGCTGTCATCGTCGACATGGCTGCCCTATCTGCCTCGGAACTGCAAGAACGGAAAAAGATGAAGAAGCGGAATGCATCGACTGCAGGTCTCTCAACCAACCCAAATCGGATTGTAAAGAGACGTGCCTCCAAAGCGTGTCAGTGTTGCCGCGCACGCAAAGTACGATGCAACGTTGTTGAACATGGCGCACCCTGCACCAATTGCAGGTTGGATGAAGTTGAATGTATTGTGGCCGAGAGTAAACGCCGCAAGTAAGCTGGTTTCCGACTTGGGTGGCCATCGGCAACACCCTTGCGGGTCAATGACTGATATACTAATATCCATTTTATAGGAAGTTTTGGGATAAGTCGGAGGCGAAACCCACCAGTTCCCCAGAGGGGTCAGTAAATGGATCATTTCGAAGTGCTTCTGAATCGTTTCCCGTATGCATGGAAGCTAGTAGTGTCTCTCCTCGCTCATCGACACATATGTCTTTTGATACCGATCGAAACCAGGGCCAGCATGTACCTCATCTGCTATGTTAGCCACCTTTTTCTCTTCATTACGATTGGCGTCATTATGTCTTCCTAATGAACTAAAGCACTGACTTTTCTGTAGATCAGACTCGACAGCAACGGCTGAGCCTGCAAGAACAAAATCTAGAAATTCCGATGAATGGTCCAGTGACATCTTCAGGATCAGTTCCTCGTGCAACGTCATTTGCCGCTCCTGATCCCGTTTTTGAGGATGTTTTCGGCCCGCAGCTACAGTTTACTAGCCCTCCCTCTGGATCTTCCCTACCCAATTACATCAAACCGTTTCCGCCAAGAGTGGATGCGGATGATATTCAGTATCTGCAAACCAAGGGAGCCCTCGTCATCCCTGACACGCCGTTGCGCGATGCGCTTCTGAGAAGTTATTTCGAATACGTCCATGGATATATGCCATTGCTCGATATTCACGAGTTTCTCGGTGCTTTGGATCCGGCTGGATTTCAGGGGAAATCTAAGCTTAGCCTCCTTCTATTCCAAGCAGTGATGTTTGCTGGTACCGCATTTGTAGACATGGATTTTCTGCTTGCGGCAGGATTTTCGTCACGAAAAGCTGCAAGGAAATCATTCTTCCAGAGAGCAAGGGTACGAAGCACGTGTAGATATTCCAATTTGCAACGTTGGATTTGCTAATCTTTTTACAGCTACTGTACGATTTCGATTACGAGACGGACCGATTACCTCTCACTCAAGCTCTACTTCTCATGACCTACTGGTATGAGACGCCGGATGACCAAAAGGACACTTGGCATTGGATGGGCTTGGCAATTTCCATGTCCCATACCCTTGGGTTGCACCGCAATCATACCCGATCAAAATTGGACCCTAAAAAGAAAAGCCTCTACAAGAGAATATGGTGGTCCTGCTTTATGAGAGATCGTTTAGTTGCAATTGGTATGAGACGGCCTACGCGGATAAAGCACGATGATTACGATGTATCGATGCTCTCGCTCGACGATTTCAATTTTGCACCTCTCCCTACCTGGTTTTGCCAGGCCGCACCAGAGTGCTCTCTCGCGGTGGATACGGAGAAGCAGCGACAGCTTGCCACAATGTGCATTGAAAAGGCAAAGCTGTGTCTCTGCATCAGTCATGTCCTTGGAACGCAATACTCTGTATTGAATGGACACCAATCTGTACAATATGAATCTGGAACTTCCAGATCGACAATCATGCTATTCCCCAAGAAACTTGATCCGGAAACGCAGGAGGTTCGCGTCTGTGACATGGAACTCAAGGGCTGGCAAAAGAATTTGCCCGAGGCTGCCAAGTACCGATCGCCAGCTGTGGATTACCTACCTCCTGGAGAACGCCCTCTGGTACTGCATCGCGCGCTTCTACATATGATTTATTATACTACTGTAAGTGCGCTGCACCGGCCTCAAGTTCTCCCATCGGGACCCTCTGGGGCTCCGACACGACCGGAAGTTTCTCGGTTTCAAGACGATTCCCGGAGAAAGGTTCGAATGTCGGCAACGGAGATTACTCGAGTCGCTGGCGAACTTTATGCACTGGACCTTGTACGATACTTGCCCACCACTGGAGTTACAGTCCTGCTACCTGCGGTGATTATACATCTTCTTGATATCAAATCCTTGGACGAACCGACTCGGCGCGTAAGCTTGCAAGGCTTCTACCAGTGCATGCAGGTCCTGCGCCAACTTCGAGATAATTATGCAGCTGCGGAATTTTCTACAATGTTCCTTGAGGCCGCCGTTCGAAAGGCCGATATCCAGCTAGCGCCTGGATCAGGTAGTTCACAGAAGCTATCGCAACGTGCAAATTTGGGGAAGCTAGTCAAGGCTGGGAAAACGGCAATATCGGTTGCTTCCCAGGCGGCGAATCTTACTCTTACGCCGCCTCCAGAAGTATCTAATGGTGTTTCGGACCGCGTTGATCCTGAGTCTGTTTCAGCTTTTGCGTCGGATGCGGAACAGCATGCCACCCACGATAGTATGGCGGGAGAGGTTGAATTTGTTCTCTCGTCCACTCCTCCGTCATCCGAGCACTTGGACAATGAGCGCCTGTCGGGTGAGAAGCCGACTTTTCAGCCTCGTTTTGATAACTGTTTAGCTGGTTCCGAGTTCACTCCCGCGCCACTCATGGCGAATACGGCCACGTTGTTCGATAATGAAGTGGATGGAGATTTTGAATCACTTCTTGACCTTGATCATGGAACTAATTCCTTGTTTCACGGCACCGATTCCTCTGCTATACACGGCGAGAGCAGTGGATTTACATTTGACATGGATTGGATGAACGATATTCAACCAAATTCGACTGATGGTTTTGACGGCATTGTGCTTGCCGTTTAGCGTCGGCTGGCGTCGTGCGGTCTTATTGTCTCTTTGGTTTATTTAATTTTTTTTTTTTTTAACTTCGATCATTTCGGCTGCAATTCGATAGCTCGGCCCAGGGTGGGCATGTGATATTATACTCAAAGTATCTTGGGGGGCGGGTATTGGGGGCGTACACGCGACTGATTACTTGAACTGGCGTCTTTGGCGGCTTTGGGGTTGGCATTTTCGGGCATTATTGCACGTCATTTATTAGGATGGGGTCGTATACTGAGTACTTGCGCAGTGTCAGTTGTCTTGTCTCACATGGACAGGTGGGGTTCGTGCCCCCGATTGCTTGTGTGGCTGAATGGGCTTTGGTCTTTTTCACGCAGTAGATGCACAATGATACAGCTCAGCGTGGTAAAATAAAAGCGGAATTCTTCAAGCAAATACTTCTTCCTCTTTGGTCCATTACTGATTTGTGTTTGAATATCATTTGTCGCTGTTTGAGACCCTTTATCTAGGAATGCTTGATACGGCGACAGATGCGTGACAATAATGATTGCAAATGGGCCGAAGTGTTTTTGGAGTTGATTTTGGCGTGTCATGAAGCTGATAGCTGAGCCTCGTGATCGAATCTCGAGCTTTGGTTGGTTGACGGAGGTAGCAAAGCAGACACACCCGAAGATCTCGCATATTCCCCAGTGCCGGCCAACCTTGTCCCCTTGGTCCACCAGCATGGGTTGTGCATAGAAATGTGCATAAACTAGGATTCACACGACCATAACTAGCCAAAGGGAGCTCAACTCGGCGCCCTTGAGGACCCTGCTGGTTGCGCCAAATTTGATCCTTTTTCTGCAACTTGTGGGCAAGTGATCTTTTAAACGTTTGATTAATTAATCTTCGGTCAAGGAAGAGCTCTTTATATACATCTTCCCTGGTGCATCCTTTTCTACTTGCTGAATGTCGACCACTTTGGAGTGAAGATTACCAGCTTCCCTTGTCTTTATACCAGAACTCCCTTGTGCTGGAACCCTTTGCGGAGTTGCCCTCGTGCCGTGCGACTTGGGGCAGAATTTTCTCGTATCGGGCTTACTGTAACTTAGCTTCGTTGCGTGCTATTAGTTACTGTTTGCATCCGACGCCGGCCCGCGTGGGGAGCTAGAGGTCTCGCGACACCAAAATTCAGCGGCACGTACCAAAGTGACGTTTTGAGTCGATTCGAGCTGTCTCAAGACCGAGAAGACCGAGCAGCTGCAGAGCCAACAACACTGGCAACGATCGACTACCCATAGACGCAAAGAGGGTCATTTGGAGCACTTGAAAACGCCGCACGTTTCGCTGCCAAGCCCGCACGGACAACGTTCCGACGCAGTCCACTCAATACGGGGCCACAAAAGGCTCTGTAATCGAGAAAAGGAGCGAAAGAGAGCGCGGACGGAAGAACGCACGCGCTTGGACCTTCATCAACTTCTTATTTGCTGGCCAGTTTGTGCAAATACAGTTTGCGATAAACGCGGTAGGAAATTCATCTCTGCCGATCGCGATAATCGTTTACGGCCACGGAGGGTCCCCGAATCGTTCGAGCCTTTGGAAAATAGGCAAAGAAAATCGAGCGACCCGGGATAGGAAGATCAGCGGAGAAATCATTATGCTAGTGCTGAGACGGTAGAAGCGGAATTATCTGGCAGAATTTGGTTTTCTCATTTCATTTTCTCCGTCTCTTTTTTGAGCTGGACGGCTCATCGGGCATTATGAGATTGCAGCTATTGCTGGCGCTGGTCGCCGCGGTGGGAAGTGGTAGGACATGGGGTCTCCAGGTAAATGCGGCTCCAGCGGAGACCCAGAATGAATTACGAGGACATGAGCATGACGAAGGCACGTCAAACGCACAGCTGGATGTGGACCAAGAACTGGGGAGCCTTGCGCAGCAGCCGCTCTTGCGGCAGGACAGGAGACCTACTGTCCAAAGAAAGAAACCGTTGACGGGAAAGTTTTTGCATATTACAGGTACTGAACTTCTTCAAGAAATTTTGCCGAATACGCATGTTTACTGACTTTTCAAAGACTTCCACCCTGATCCGTTCTACAAGGTCCACTCGTCATCCGAAAAAGGCGATTCTTGTCACAAAAATGATGGTCAAATTGGCTTCTATGGCGCCGAGAAAACCGATTGCGACTCGCCCATCTCGCTCGTGAACGCGACGTTCAACTGGATTTCGGAAAACATCAAAGACGAGATTGACTTTATCGTCTGGACGGGCGACTCTGCGAGGCACGACAATGACGAAGATATACCACGAAACACGGCCCAGGTCGAGGGACAGAATCAATTTCTCGTGGACAAGTTCGTTGAAGTCTTTGGCAAGTCGAAAGACCCAAATGACCGCGACCCGCTCAATAATTTCATCGTTCCGATCATACCCACTTATGGTAACAACGATATATTGCCACACAACATTATGACCGAAGGACCCAATCACTGGACCAAAGAATATTTAAAAATCTGGAGGAAATTCATTCCTGAGGAACAGCGCCATCAATTTGAAAAGGGCGGCTGGTTCTTTGTCGAGGCCATTCCCAACAAGCTTGCCGTTTTCAGCTTGAACACCCTGTGAGTTAATACTCCATCTTCAACATTTTCATCTCCAGCTTACCTATGCTAATACCTACCAGCTACTTCTTCACATCCAACAGTGCCGTTGACGGATGTGCCAAAAAGTCCGAGCCAGGGTATCAGCAGATGGAATGGCTCCGAATTCAATTGCAATTCCTCCGAATCCGCGGCATGAAAGCCATCTTGATCGGACACGTTCCTCCCGCGCGGACCGACAGCAAAACTAGCTGGGACGAATCATGCTGGCAAAAATACTCCCTCTGGCTACGACAATATCGAGACGTGGTGGTCGGTTCGATCTACGGCCATATGAACATTGACCATTTCATTCTGCAAGACTTTGACGACATTGAGATTGGGCCCCACGGCACTACCGGTGGTGCCAAGTCAATCGACGCCCGAGTAGCTATGGATGACCACCTCACCGTGCAGTCTTCCGCAGACTACTTGCTCGAGCTACGAGACGACTGGTCTGACCTGCCAAAGCCACCAGAAGTCACCGCACTCGAAGAGTACGGCGACCCTGAGCTGTCCGTGGAGCAGATCCAGGCCCGTCTGAGAAGAAAGAAGAAGAGAAAGGGCCACAAGAGCAGGAAACAGAAATTCTTCGAAAAAGTCGGCGGCGAATTCGCCGAACGATACAGCTTGTCCCTTGTCTCTCCCAGCATCGTGCCGAATTACTTCCCCACCTTGAGAATAATCGAGTATAACGTTACTGGTCTCGAATCCTCTTCTTCTTCCATCTTTCCTTTGGAATCCGATATTTTCCCGACCCACCATCCTGCCGGCCTCGACGAGCTCGAAACCCAGCAACAAGAGCAACAAGAGTCCGACTCACTCTGGACATCCAAAAAGAAGAGAAAAGGCCGCAAAGGCAAAAAGGACAAACTCATCGTCCCTGATCCCCCCTCGAAATCCGCCCCGCCGGGTCCTGCTTATTCCCCACAGACGTTGTCTTGGCTGGGATATACCCAATACTTTGCCAATCTGACAGACATCAACAACGAGACCGACGCTCTTGACATCGCCCTTGATGATCATCAAGACGCAGATGATGGGCATGTCCAGAGTCAAAAGAAGGATAAAAAACAGAAACCCCACCCCAAGGAATTCAATTTCCAGGTCGAATATTCCACGTTCAATGACTCCATTTACAAACTCAAGGACATGACCGTCATGAGCTACCTCAAGCTTGCCCAGCGTATTGGGCAGTCAAGGCCCACTTCGGACGAGGATTCGTGGGACGCGCAAGAGCTTGAGCCTGATCACGCGGAGGATGAAAGCGATGATGAAAAGGAGGACGATGACCAGGACGAGGAGGAAGAGGCCAGTGCGAACAAGTCTCGCAAGAGAAAAGGCAAAGGCAAAGGCAAGTCCTCCAATGGGAAAAGTGACAAGCGGCTAGCCAGCAGGAGGAGGAGAAGAAAGGGACAAAAGATTGCAAATAAAGTCTGGTATACTTTTGTCCGGAGAGCATATGTCGATACCAAGGCCGAACAGGACCTGCATGACAACTTTGGAGAACCACTCTGAGCCACAATCTATATCCTCGTTGCTCATGTCTGTCCTCTATAGTGTTTATATTTCATCTTGCCACGTACATAATTATGAATCTATCCGTTTAATTCTTGCTTGGGTTGATATATGGGCATTCACATTGTTAATAATATTTCAAACTCACAACGCCAGGGTAGTCCAAAATACATACTGTGCTCTTCAAAATATTTTGCCATGAGCTTTCCATCCGCTGAGTTGTGTCAAACGCTGTCCAGGCGAAAAAGAAAATGATACTTCGTCCAATAGGAGCAGAACAAAAAAATCCAAAAAAAATTCGCCGTCGCGAAGAGGATTCGAACCTCTGCGGCCGAAGCCATATGATCTCGTACTAAGCCGATTCTAGTCATACCCAATAACCACTCTGGCATCGCGACGAAAAGAAACCCCTTTCGCTTAAGGCACACCTGGCGAGATATACCAGATGTGAAAAGCTCGGAGGAAAAAAGGCGAATTAACAAACGTCGCGAAGAGGATTCGAACCTCTGCGGCCGAAGCCATATGATTTCTAGTCATACCCAATAACCACTCTGGCATCGCGACTTGATTTGTTGAACACGGACTGCTTATTATATTCTATGTACCAAGCCCTCACCCCCCTGCCCTTCAAATTATACCCTTGCCATTTGTTGGCATCTTGATGACTTGTCTGCGTGGTTGTGTTACGGGCGAAGCATGGAGTATTGGGCTGTAGTTTTTTTCTTATACCATGAATGAATCTATCGTTTTCTTTTACTTGAAATGAAATGTTTTATTTGAGTAATGAGGCATTTGGATTTTGTGGTAAAATACTCAAAGTTGATTGGATTGTGTATGCGATGGAACTAGGTTTATTTGGTATTTAAATTGTGGATAAGAAAATTCCAAAAAAAAAAGGGAAAAAATAACAAGAAAAATATATGCTGGAGATATCAAATTAAGTAATCTCAAACCAGTATTTGTCCTTGTTCAGAGAGTTGACTGCCAGATTTGATTTAATGATTTTCAAGGTCGAATAGTGATCGACGAGGTCGAATAGTGCCAACAGTGCATGATGAAGCTCAATGTTACCCCGTTCCCGACGAAAGAAAGCGCTGGAAGCACGTAAGTGGATTACAAAACGAGCCCGCTGTTTAGTGAACTTAGTAGGGACGCGGGCCGAACTCCGGAAGGGCGCACGAGTCCCAACGGGCGAGGGGTTGACAGTCAATAGAGATAACCTACCTTATGTCGGACGAGATTCGATCACAATGCGACGGGACCTTGCATTTTCCTAATACGACACAGATCCTGAATGCTAATACTGCAGAGAGAAAAAAAAAGGTACTCTGTTAAAAATGCGTGCTTTCTGCGAAACTGAACTGCATATACCTTAAGTAGCCTGACTCGCCCGAGAATGTCAATCAAAGTGGGGTGGTGTTGTGTTGCCCCACTATCGATTATCAGTAACATGATATGATGGTACAACAGAACAGCATTAAGGGTCCGTTTACTCGGACATTTATAAGTAACTGGATGACTCGAAGCTATCCCGCGGCTAACCATTGCTGAGATATCCTTCACCACCGTCGTCTTTCTTTTGGAATATCTTGTCAGAACCAGTTTGCTGTAATTGCTTTGCACTATGTCTGGATTCCCGACCCTTAAGCCCGCTTTCACCGTTACGGTACGAGTCCCCCTCGCTGTACCCCGAGATTCCGCCTGGGCTTCTTGAGCCATTGGCGTGTTGTTTTGAGCCACAGCACACTGTGCGAAGTGGTAAAAGTTCTTATCAGAACACTGGTCGAATGTCGATGTTAATTATTACTTTGAAAGTCATAGGTCGATATCGCGCCGCCAGAAGTCCTTGGTGAGTCTCATCATGTGTCTGAGACATTCATATGGCCCGTTAGGGACCTGAACTCGCGGAATCAACCAGCGGAATCCTCAAGCTCAATTGAAGAAAATCGATATTTCAAAGGATGATATTGACTAATGTGTGCGCAGCCAATGTCTCCAAGAGTGGTGCTCCGCTCAACGTCGTGGTATGTACCATGTCAACTCTCTAATTAAGCCCCTACTCGTCGCCGAAGATCTTCCCGCCCAGTTGTCATCGAAATGGATCATATTACGCCGCCTGTTCTTGCTGTGCCCTTTAATGAAGGCGTTGAAATTCGGTCGCTGACAATGGAATCTTGCCTTTGGGATATAGCCCATGACTGCCGGCACTGTCAAGAGTGAGCCTGGCTTCGAACTAGCCCTTGATGCTACCTTCAATGGAACCGGCCATGATTTCATTCGCCAGGACCCCTCTGGCAAGCATCTTCGCCTGGACGTTCGGTCCACAGTCACGTAAGAACCCTTGCAAGAGCCCTGGAAGATAGCTGCCGACAGCTGTCCTTCGAATATACCAGTGAGAAGCGCAAGAGACTGACAGATGTTCGTGCATAGAAACAAGGATGGCGCTGTAAGTGCCTGCTAGAGAGCTGAAAGTTCAAAACGTCAAGTCCTCTGGCTCACGGGGAACAGATTATCGCGCTCTACTACACTGGTGTGGTTGCCATAACACCCGGCGTTGCTGCTGCCCTTAGCGGTGCTCCAGATGCGAAGACTACAGACTATGGTGACTCTTGTGAGTTTGGTCAAATTCATGCCCTCAAATTACGGACATGCTGATTTATTCTTTCCCCACAGTCACACACTTCACATTTGAGGTAATTATCCGCAGGGCTTACCCCCATCTAAGTAAGGCTATCTGAACCGCAGAGCTGACGTACTGCTGTAGACCGGTGCAGAGCACCTTAAGGCCCTCGAGACGAGTGTTTTCGTTGGTGCTGGTCATTTCATTGTCGAGCCCGGCAAGCCCCTGGTTGTCCAATACAAGGTCAGCCAGGTCATCAAGGGTTAAACGATAACTCCCATGATGTTGATGATTTACGCGTATCTTATACACTTAGAACATTGGGTACAAATCAATTTATACATAAATTTCCGCCTCCAGATCACCATCCAATCACTATGCACAGCTCTCCATTCTATATAACAGAATTATATCTCTCCTAGCTACATGTATTCAATTCTATCAACGCTCAATGATTTTTCAATCCTTCCAGATACGAAACAAGCCTCTTCTTGATGATAACGCCTACCAGAACACCACTCCTTTCAGCAACCACGCAAAGGTGACGCAGACCAAGCTTACTAAACATCTCCACTGCATATTCCATAGGAGCATTCTCGTTAATTGTGAGAGGCGTTTCATCCACAAACATTGACATGTCAAATTCCTCATCCTCAGCAATCCCGAGCAACCTTACCTTGCAATCAGCCGGGAAGATTTTACCGATGTCTTTCAGTCCAAATTCAAGCTCGCCCTCTGCAAGATATCCCTGAATCATTTTGTTCTGGACCAGCACAAGTCCGGCATCCATCAAGCCTCGCCTCTGGAGTTGCGCAAGCTTTTCTTCTAATATTGCCCGAGGAACAAGCCCATCGAAGGGTACATCGACTGTAATTTCTTCCATTGTCTGTTTTGGTGGGATGAGAACACCAACAAGAGCATCTTCTTTGCGAACCAGGGCCAGAGCATGCTCGGAATTGAGAAAAGGATGACCGAGGACTGTCTGGGCTAAATCATAGACTCCCTCCTGCTCTAAAGCATCGGCCACCCATTTTGCGACCAGAATTGCGATCATGTGTGGCAAGACATATTCGAGCTCACCGGTAAGCTATGGGCGAAATTAGTGGACCACTGAGATGTTGCTGATAGCCAAACGTTTTCACCTACCTCAAACATGATAACGCACAGCGAGATTGTCATTCTAGAGACACCAGCCAAGAATGCTGCTGCTCCGACCATGGCGAAAATGCCAGGGGAAATGGACGTTATCCACTGACCCATGAGGCGACCAAAGAATGCACCGGCGTCCAGCGCGGGGATGATAATTCCCGAAGGAACTTTGCAGCCGAAAGTAACGATGGTGAGAACAAGTTTCACCAGAGTACCGTATACCAACCACCCAATGTAGTCGCTGCGGCTACTCTTCGACTCCATCTGGCATACCCAAGACGTTCCAGGCTCGCTGCAATCAACCAGCAGCTGCTTCAGGATCAGGTCGCCAGTGTCCCTAGTCAATGGATTTGGATATTGCAACAAGGCAGTGATGAGGACGACTAAGGCGGTTTCAAATACAGGGTAGTTTCTGATGATGGAAAGTTTCCGAAAAGATTTAGACCACATAAAATTCGCCTTGCAAAATATACCTCCGAACAGGCCTCCGGCGATGCCTAAGAGGATGAAGATGAGATAGTGGATTGGATCATACGACGTTCCATAATTGGTCTCAAACAAGACAAGCTTTCCTGTTCCGGTGGGGTTCAGTGCTCTGAGAACGACAGCCGCAATCATTGAACAGAGGAACGCGCGCCAGAGAACCTTTCGCGGGAAGTAGGTGCTGATTTCCTATCGACTCATGTGAACATGGATAGACGTCGAGCGACTCGGGTTACGAACCTCATAGCTGAAGAGAACACCTCCAATAGGTGCTCCAAACGCAACGCTCAGTCCCGCCGAGCAGGCTGCGGAAAGCAATTCTCTCATCTGCCTCCCATTCTCACGGTACCTGGGGAACATTTGGCCTACAAGGTATCCAACGCATGTGGAGATATGCACGAATGGGCCTTCCTTTCCCAGACACATTCCTGTGGCAACAGCAAACACAGCACCAACAGCTTTGACGGCAAGCACTCTAAAATCCAAAAAGTGGGGAATGACGAACCCTGACAGGATTGTTTTGATCTCTGGAATACCAGAGCCCGAGGCCATGTACATGATTTTCCCTTTTGCCCTTTGCGCATCAGTTGCCTTGGGACCGAAATGTTTGTCGCCTTGTCCTGGCGCAGTGGCGGGCAAAGAACGCTTTGTCAACAATACTGTCAAGCTCGAGCTGATGACTCCAAAAGCGAGAGCAAAGCCGACATAGATGCCAAAACTTCGCCACCAATCTGGAGTCCAGTCGTTCCATTTGTGACATGCCTCTTTTGTTCTAAAAACGTTTCCAGAGCAATAGCCCTCTTTCCAGTCACTGACTGTAGCCTCTGCGATATCGACCAGGAAAGCGACACAAGCGGTCAACAGTCCGATGAGCGCAACGGCTACCCAGCCTTCACATGATGACCATGCGGCATAGAGTCGGGGACGGAGCCCTTTACGACAATGGATTAGTCGATAACGAAAGGAGTTCTTGACCTATTCTCAGCTTAATTAGATAGGCCCCAAAGCTCTGTTGAGTATATTCTGGTTACGGACAAGATCATGCAGCCAGTCAATCGTAGTATAATCATTATAGGGAAGCCGTTCTCCCAGAGGTGTTGCAGAGAGAGCCTGCTCTTCTTTGCTCAAGTGCGATGAAATGACTGAATCCTCCTCGGCTCGAACGTGGTTCAACCGTCGATCACGGACAATAGAAGGGATAAGACTTGTTCGCTCATTTGCCAGCTCGGGGTCTGAAGCCATGCTTTCTCTAGTCTGGATACATGTTCATGCGGCATAACCTTGAAAGAAAGACCAACGTTCTGCAATATAAGAAAAATAAGAGCACAAAGGTTCCTTGAAGCACACATCTCCTCGGGAATCAGCGACGTCAACATTTGCAGAGTACCGATAAGCTTCTGTCTCGACACCCTGCACACATGCATGGGTCATATGGATGGCATAGATAAGGGTATTGATTCAAGTGGCTGAGGCTAAGGACGTGAACAGGTGACTGGAATGACCAAAGAGAAAGAGATTTATGAGTTTAGGCACATATAACATGGTTTATCCCACAGCATCTCGATACATATTATCAACACCATATCCGTGAAAATACGTAACAACGTGCGACATGGCTGGGACAAGCCCATCAGTTGAGAATATTTCTTGATGAGCTTTTGATAAGGAAAGAAATGCCCTAATCAGTCAGGGGGTTGCACCATTCCGGCAGACGCGCACGTGAGACGCATGTGGTTTTATCTTCTAGTCCTTCCCGATTGGGAAAGCCCAGACCAGAGCCGCTAAAGGCCCTGCGCGATCGGCCGAGGGGGGCAAACAATACCCTTGACCTGGCTAAGAGAGAAAACCATCTCGAAGGGGGGCACGAGATCGACTTCCATTCTCTCCATCATAGGGAGTTGTCTGTTCTCCCACCCCTCTCCAACATCGTTGTAAGGCGATCATTAGCATCTTATCACCGTCGGAGTGCCTTCCCAGCACGGGAAAAATCTTAGAAACTAATTCGCATTTCTTACCTGTAAGGTGTGTGGACCCTGATCGGTTGTGCGCTCGTGTTCCTGGCGCTAGTGACGTTTCCCATGGTCTCTTGTGTCAAGGGATGCATTTCGGGGGATGAGGGCCCAATGTGTTGCCTCTACAACAGCCAATCTGGCCTTTCTTGAGCATTGAGGATCCTCTTGAATCCTGAATGCCAATTAGCATTGGTATCGTCTAACAGCAGAGGGCTTACCGCTGTATTCTAATTGTAGGAAATACTCCCTCCGTGAGGGGCAGCGTACGACATGAGTGTGACACAATCGCCAGCGAATTCCCATGATTCGCTCCTTCATATACCCTTGACTTATAATATTGCGGACTCGCAAGCCTCGGCCTTGAGACTGGTGCTGGCCTTGTATCCGCAGTGGGAACACGAAGAAGGTCCGATCGAGTTCGTCCGATTCACCGATGGCATTACCAACACCGTAAGAAAATCCAACCGTCCTGCGCAGTGATATCAAAGCAGTCTATAAGCTAATTTGTGACGATTTCAATAGCTCCTCAAGGCAATCAAGAAGAGACCTGGTTCGAACCAGGAACAAATTGATGAGGAAGCTGTTCTCCTGAGAGCCTATGGCAAGGGAACGGACTTGCTGATCGATCGCGAAAGTAAGTGTGGTGACCTCCGCCTCAAAATGCGTGGGGCTCCCAAGCCAGGACGCAAACTAATTGAATCATCTAGGAGAGACCGCCTCGCACTCCCTTCTCGCTCGTCATGGACTCGCGCCCGCTTTACTCGCTCGGTTCCAAAATGGCCTGCTGTACAAGTTTATCCGTGGAAAACCTTGCTCATCTGAGGATCTCACAAGGCCCTCCGTGTGGCGCGGCGTAGCCCGACGACTTGCCCAATGGCATGCTGTTTTGCCCGTTGTCTCCGTCAATGACGTGGCGACAGTTGAAGCGACAGATGATGAGATGCCTTTACCGCTCCCCGGAACTCGGGCTCCGCGCGTTAATAAAGCCACGCTCAGTACGATACAAGGAATTGCGCCCGGAAAACCTGTGCCCAATATCTGGACGGTCATGCAACAGTGGGTGCTGGCTCTACCGGCTGGGACAGAGGCCGAAAAGCAGCGACAAGCCACCTTGCAACGGGAGCTTGAGCGGATAGTCAAGGAACTCGCATATCTGCCTGGTCCAGGAAAGAATGGCGTACGTCTATCCCCGTCGTTTGATGTGATTCTTGTGTTAACAACCCCACAGCTTGTCTTTGGACATTGCGATCTTCTTTCTGGTAACGTCATCAGAGAACCTTGTGTCAATGGCACTCATTCAAACGCCGAGGCGGAGCCTGTTAGCTTTATCGATTACGAGTACGCAACACCGGCGCCCGCAGCTTTTGATATCGCCAACCATTTTGCCGAATGGGGTGGTTTCGACTGCGACTATAGTGTCCTGCCAACCAGCGCTCAACGACGAGGTTTCCTTAAAGAATATTTGGAAAGCTACCACGAACATTCTGGTACATCTGGTCCCACTGAAGCAGAAGTCGACCAGATATTCCAAGACGTCGACTTGTTCCGCGGCATTCCAGGATTCTACTGGGGCGTCTGGGCTCTCATCCAGGCTACCATTTCCCAGATTGACTTTGACTACGCCAGCTATGCTGAGATCCGTCTCGCCGAATACTGGGCATGGAGGGAAGAAGCAGAAGGTACTCGGGCCAAGCAAGGCAAAGAGACGCCCCTGCGAGAGCGCCGCTGGGCTCAGGAAGCCTAGATCACACCCTAACCCACCATTTTGAATACGCTTCGTGGATTCTCCGGCCTTGAGCTTGGCTTCTCGTCACGGTGATTCGCGAGCATCGATTTCTTTTCTTATTACCCCCTCTTCTCCTCTAATATTAATAATTTTCTGGCGTCATTGGCTTGGGGACTAATCGGATGACAATGCGGCTAGCGGGCAAAAGCTTTCGAGGGCAACATGGTATGTCACCAGGTGGCGGGAGTTTCAACAACTATATCGCTCTCACATTTACTCTCACTCTCACTTTATACTCTTTTGGAAACAAAGGAGGCATTCATTCGTTACAAGAGTTGTTTAAGAGGCGATTTTCTTTTTGGTTAAGCGGAGCGAAAGTAGGACAAACGAATCATTACGACGAAAAGGGCCAGCGGAGCATTGGACGGCGTTTTGTCTTCAACATGACGATACCCCCACGTCTTGTCTCTCTCTTACTCTCACTCTCTCTCACTCACTCACACACTTACGCATTCACTCGTTGAGACACTGTCTAATTCTGTTTCGAACCACTTTTCTCACCCAATTCTCTTGGTCGGAGATTGGGTACTTGATGTTCCACCTCCGCGGCGACTTATCTCAGGTCTAACGGTTTTACGTCTTGTTCCCTTAGAGCAATTTGCATCGGTATACACTGAGGATAGAGATGGCATTGGACAACGCCAACAAAAAAGAGGGAGGTCATTCTGTTGGTTTGTCTTTACAGAGGTGCGATCAAAACACAAGGAAGATGGGGATAATCACACGTGGAAAGACAGGAAGGGTAGAAAAAGATGGGCCGGATTGAAGATTGAAGAAAAGCTTTGTTTTCGATTCTCTTTTTTTTCTTTCTCTTTCCTTGTCGGTTTCTTCCTCTTCGTCTTCCTCTTTCTTTTGCTCCCTATTTTTGGTTTTCGGGAAATAGACAGCAGTTTAAATCAATATAAAGAGAGACAAGCAGTCATCACTGACATCACATTTGTACTTCCATATCTTGCAAGTCACTGGATCAATTGCTCACGATGGCATACTTCTTAATAATTCCCTTTGGGATATGTATGATTCTTGATAATCCGTTTCCCGAATGGCGCCAGTTATTAAAAGTATCTGACCTAGGATACGCCACATTAAGAGATTCAAGCCTGACTCTCTGTGCTAAGCTAATGATATAAGGCGCGCTAAAAAGACCATGCAAAATAAAAAGCGGGAAAAGATGGTGAAAAATTAAATGAAAAAGGGGGACATTTGAAAGATTTTGATCGCTCTAAGATCTATACATGGCCGAAATTTTTTAGAGACTAGCAAAGCGCCGAAATTTATGAGATATCTCGCAAAGATTATACCTGAGGTAAGATGGTTTATATCACCCACGGGCTAGGAAATCGTGGATCTCACCAGAGACTGTCGTCTTCGACGATAGCCTGGTAGCCCGTTGATCCATGAATGTCTTGGTAGCCAATCATGTCAGAATCGAAGCCAAAGGTCGACTCTTGTTGTTTTGGTTTTGGTTTTGATTTTGGTTCCCATTTTGGTTTGGGCTCCCATTTTGATTTGGGCTCCCATTTTGAGGCGCCGCTTTTATTTCCATTGGTCTTTGTTGTTGTGTTCTTTTCCGCAGGACCAGTGGGAGCGGCGCTATTGGAGTCACCGGCATTACCGGCAGAAGTTGAAGAAGCAGGAGGCTCGGCGAACCATTCGGCAGCAAAGGTGCTAGAAGGCGCAAGGGGAACACTGGCGATAGGATTGAAATCTTCTGCGTGGGGGACAGGGTCAAAGTCGTCTGCGGCGCCGTCGAGGCCGAAATATTTATCGTCTGGATTGAACCCGTCCGTGTCATCCAAGTTTTCGGCAAATTCGGCTTGTTCAGCCCGATTCTCATTACCGCTATTGTTCCAGCTATTGCCGCCGTGAGGAGTCCATTCTTTTGCGCCGGCACTGAATTGGAAACTTGGTTTGAAATCTTGGACGTCGGGTCGCCACTCTCGTGCAGCAGTAATATTGGCGGGCTCCACCTTGAGCTGACCGCTGGCTGTGTTATGGTTGGATTTGCTCGATTTGTTGGACTGGATTGAATTTGCTGATTTTGCCGATTTTTCTGATTTGGCTGATTTTCCAGACGTGGAGGACACCAAGGACTTGGCATCATCATCGTCGACGGCGCTGTTGAGATTGTTGTTCGTGCGACCAGTCTTGGAATTTTGAGATGCGGCGCGCATGCTCGCCGGCATACGCGGTGGATCGAATGTGGGCGGTGCCGCTGCAGGAGCAATTATAGTCGGGGGAAGGTAGGTACTGTACGCGGTGTCCTCCTGCTCCTTGATTTCGTCGTCTTGACTCTTGTTGTCGCTCTCAGAGGATTCTTTGGTGCCGTTGGCATGACTGTAATTACTGTCTTTAGCTGAGCCATTGGCGCTGCTGCTCTCTGCAAATCGACTCTTCGAGAGACTAGGTTTGGGGGCACTGCGCCAGTCGGACTTTTCAAGGATTGTACGCCTCTTGGGACTTGATGGTTTCGCCCATTCAGGCTCCTCGGCTTGGTCAGATTCGTCAGCAACTTTTGGACCTCCGACAACCTCATTTCGATCAAGGGATTTCTGAAGACGCTTGCTGAAATCGTTGCTGAAGATACTCTCTGTGTACTCCGCAGCATCGTCATCATCATCTTCATCGATATCATCTGTGATTGCTGGTGGTGCAGAAGTGGCAAGTTTGGAAGGTGGGGCGGGACGCGAGACCTTTGCAGGCGGAAATCGGAAAGAAAAAGGTGCGGGGGCAGGAGCAGGAGCAGGAGCCGGTTCATCAGCAGGTTCATCAGCCAGATCATCAATTGGTTCATCAGCTGGTTCAGAAACGGGCGCTGGTGGGGATTTTAACGCTGGTACTGGGGCAGGTTCAGCAGCTCGCTCAAATTTTGCAGCTCTTTTAGCAGGGAGTATGGGTTCGGAAGGAAGAAAGGACGCTGCGAGCTGCGGTTGGATGTCCGCGCTGGATGCCCCTTTGACAACGACAATGTCCTCTCGCTTTTCCTGTGTTGGAGCTCGATGTTCAACCACGAAAACCGTCTTTGACCCTGCATTCGGCTTCCCTTCAATGACATCTTCACTTTCGTTAAGATACTGATCGATGAGAGGAGCTCTGATACTGTGGTCAATAGCTTGCTTTAATGCCCAAGCACCGAGGCTGAAATTATAATTTCGGCGTGCCAGAAGGGCGCATATGGCTCCGTCACCATTCGGGCCGGAGCCACCGTTTCCTGCCCTATCCCCTGAAATGTGGCCACTTCCATTGCGGATTTGCAGATCAATATGGCCAATGAAGCGCCGTTTTGCAAAATCAATCGGCTGCGAAAGCTCGGAGACTAGGCTTAAGATGAGCTTGTGGGCAAGAACGGCCTGTTCCTCTTCAGAATAGGGGAAAAAGGGAGCAACGACGCTGATGCGCTCGGTAAGAGAGGCCTATGAATAATCTATTAGTATGTCTGAACTGATGTTACACTGACCGAGCCGCGCGACATACCCCAGAGTGAGACAGTGTTGCTTCTTTGATCGTATTAATTATCCTGGTAGTAGATCCAGCAGAAAGGCTTCCATCAAGGTTCGCATTCGCTTGATAAAATGCTTGGATGTCATGGTCGCATTTGTTACTCGAAAATATCCAGATGGCCCTGCCGCAGTCGACTGTTTTGCGTGAGTGTTGGGTATTTTTGTACTCCAGTTCTTCAATGAACGAGAGGAGACATTCTCGGACCTCAGCAGGCGTCCTGTCGAAATTTCGAATAAAGACGATGCTTGTCTTTCCATCATGTTTCACCAGATGGTCATTCAGGTTGGCGATAACCTCATTCTTATCATTTGAAGCTGTGATTCCTTGAATTTCTGCATCTTGTTTCATATGAGCGCCATCCAAGACGAGAAGCTCAGCCGAGAGCTCATAAGAGATTTGCCTAGCCAACTCCATCTTGCCATGTCCCGAAGGTCCCGAGAACAACATCAGCAAGGGCTGATAACTCTCGCGACTGAAATGCGAAAGTATGCCCTTGTGAACCAGGTTGATGGCATGTTCTTGACCAACAATATAATATGGGACACTGAAGAGCCCGGAGAGCTCCAACGCACGAGCTACCTGAACTTGACGGGGAGGGATTGGGCCTCGTCTGGAAGCATTTCTTAGCAGGTATCGATGAGAAAGATGTAATGAATCTGTCAGTCTTTTTCTTAAGAAGAGATTGCTGCACCAGCGGGTCTCTGGCGTAACCTCGAAATTGACATTGGATGGGTTGTTCAAAATATCCTTGTACATGGTACCTGGTATGACTTCTGGACTGGCACCAAGAGTCAATAACGTGGCCACAAGCCTACCAGAGTCCGGTCGATTCCGCAGGATTGTCCAACCGAGCAAGGGAATGTTTTCGCTGTCCTGACTTCTGATATTTGGATCTGCACCCTTCTCCACGAGTAACCTGACCAAGTGTTGGTTATTGACCTGCACCGCATAAAATATTGCCGCGCGGCCTTTGTACGGATTGTTGATGATATAGCGTATTTCATGCTCTGTACGCGAATTCAGATATGTACGAATGGTGGGGAGTGAAAGCGGCTGCAAGATGGCGCGGACCAAGTCAGCGACTTTGAATTCGTCGCGCTGTAGTAGCCAGGGCCCATCGATAATCTGATCCATGGAAGGCTTTTCAAGATCCAACAATGGAAAGTCCTCTGGAGAGGCATCGTGCGCTAAAACCGGAGCTGTGCCTGATGACGGTGGTGGAATCGAGCCCTGCGCTGGTGCAGCTTCGGATACTTCAGACCTTTCTTCCGCTTTATCATCGTTGTGACTCTCGTCCCTTCCTTCATTATCGTCTATTTTCCTAGTATTCGATGGAGAAGGATCCCTGGTAAAGGCGCCAAGCCTGCTTTTCTTGATATATCGTTTCGGCTTTGGTGCTTTTTCGGCGGTGATATCGGGATCCCAATAATCAGAACCACCCTTCTTCAGGGACCGTTCGAATCGATCTTTTCCGCAGGATATCAGTATGTCAAAACGAAAACAAATTGTACCTCATTCTGAGAATTCATTGCATACCTAAGTCCCTCCACGGGCCTGAATCCGGGCCACTTTCCTTGTCCTTGTTTGCATGGACAAACCGGCATTCAGCGGCCGAGAATTTGCAGTATCCTTTTGAAAAGTAAAGGCAAGGCTGATTCTTCTTCTTCGGGCCACGGTATTCTGATATTTGTGACATTTTTTCCTAGGTCGCTCACTCTCAGAAGACGTCGAGCACGATTAGAACATTAATTAAGTAACTTGAAGCTTAGATTTCAGTTGGACGGCGATTTCATAATTAGGTCTATGATAGACTGCAAGAAGTTCGAATCAGTGGCTGAGCCAGGAAACGCGGAAAAAGGAGCGCGTCTTCTCAATAGAAACTGACTCCTGTAAGAATTGCAGGGAACTACGGCCTTCACCTGATTCAATTGTCCAAGTGTAGGAGATTAAACAAGATAGAGCAAGACGTAAGGTGGAGTTGAAAGTCTGTGTTTACCGAAGTGGTCGAAGCTTCAAGCTTGCTGTCCTTAGTGTTTCCAGGTTCATTCTCATTGGATGGGGGTTCTCTCGGTTAAAACTGATACCGCGGCTTATTCTTATCGATTAGACACAAGAACGCTCTGATAGTGGGCTGCTGCTTCTCCGTTTACGAGGGGGATTGTCACTTCCGACAAGCCCCCAAAAATAATACCATAGCTGATAGGTTAGGTATCATATAGCTAGAAATGGGCAAGGAATCTCCATTAGCTCTAACGCAATACTATCTTTTCATTTAAGGTGGCGCTGCGAGTGAACGCCCCCGAAACCTACATGGACGTGAACGCGTGTGTGAGCAAATAGAGGGGATCCACAGCGGGAGATGATCTGCTTGCTCAAGTCACCACCCTCAGCTGCCTCAGCTTTAGCCCCCAACCTCCTCACTCCCTCACGAAAAGGAAGAAGTCTAGATCAATATCTTTTGGGAGGCCTGCGAATTCAAAATCTTCTACATTCGTTATATCGCAGTGACCTCTGACAACTAAATTGATTTTGCTTATTTTGTCTATCCCCCATCAAGTAACTTGTTGCCGCCGTTACGTGCGCTTCAGCTGCCTCTTCCTAAGCCGTTTGTGCACATTTGATCCTCTCTTTTAGGTTGACGATCATGACTACCACCGCTCAACCTCCGGCTCCTCATACCCATGAGAATCCTCTCTTGGCTGCACTTCCTCCGGCGACCGATTATCTTACCTATAGCACTCTCATTGAATACAATCTAACGCCTGATCTCCTTCCCACTCTCCACGATGTTCTCCAGACCCCCGAACTGGCGGCCAATATTGGTTGGGATCTCATTCATATACTAGTTCCCATGCTTCCCGCTTCGGCTCAGTGTCTAGAGGACATAGCACGATTAGGAAACCCTCGTGAGGTCGTGCTAAAAGTCGCTGAATCATTACGTCATATCGACTTTGCCCAAGATTCAGCAGATGTGCGCTCAGAGGCAGATCACACAGAAGACCAGGGGAGACAAACGTTACAGAAGGAAGCGCGGCCTAGCTCAGGAGGTGACGCTGCAGAGCTCTCCTTACCCGTTCTCCAATTCAACACCTTAGTCTCTCTCCTCTCTATCCTTCACCCAAGAATCAAGACGAAATACCCTAGCCGCTTCCTCTCCACGACATTGCAAGCTCTGCTCGCCACCTACTCAGAAGCTCCAACAGCCGAGACTACCAATGCCCTCTTGCTATTCGTCAAGAGTATTGCCGGCGAGCGGCGACCCAGCCTACCTCCGAGACTCAGCAGCGGCTCCATCATCACGTTGTCTTCTCAATCTGCGGCGCCGGAATCGGGAGCCCAACCAGAACCTATCTCGAGAGAAGAGCATGCCCTGCAAAACAGATTACTTCAATCATTTGTCACTCACATTATGGAGGAATACATGATGTCAACGGCATCAGACATGGACCACCCTGGTCTGGCTTGGGCTAGCCGATTCCAAGAAAAGGCTCGGCCTGAGAAGGTCGTGCCAAATCGGAAGACGTTTGGAGAACTATTCTTGACTGCAGAGGAGCTGCGTGACCGAGAGACGACAGCCGGTCAGATCACAGTAAGCACACTTCAAACTCTTCAACAATTCGTATTTAATTGACTCGAAAACAGGCGCTGGCACGAGACCTTGGTCTTCATTCCTCTGATTTACTTGCTGCTGCGCAGCAAGCTGACACGAATGACCATCTTCACTTTGAACAAGAAGATGAACCACCCTCTGCACCTGAAGAGATTCCTCTTTCCCGAGCCGGATCGCTCTTCCTCCTAACAGCTCGGAAGGCGTCAGCCTACATGTTTGGATCTACGCCATTCCAAGCCGAGCAATTCTACATCTTCCCCGACCATGCAAAGCTTGTGGAGAGCTTTATTGGTACCGAGGCTTTTGGTGGAATGGGTGGTGCTGGCACCGAGCCATTTCCGATCCTCGACGCCCTTTTAGCTTTGGGAGTTCTCGCTGTCAACGGGGGACATATCGGCCAGGCCGAGAGCGACGACGAATTCAACCAATATCTTCAGGTCAGTACAATCCTTTCAGTCATCGCCCGCCCTTTCTATCCATACTAATATTGAATAGACCATGTCTTTGATTTCTGCCAACACACCGGCATCAAGTTTGCGTTATCACGCTCATACCTTGACTGCCTTGGTGCTGCACTCACATCCGTCTGACATTATTCGCCTCTCTTACATTCGAGACACTCTCGAACACTGTCCGCTAGAGAACCTCAAAGTGAGCGCGGTAGGGTGGCTCAAGACCGAGACACTTTCCGCATCCCAGCATACGCAGCCCGATGACGCATCCCACACCTCAGAACCGTCTGTCTTTTCAACACCTGTCGCACTGGATACGGCAGCGCCGTTCCTCTTCCCTGACTTGTCGGCTGATTACCCTGGTGCGTCCACGCTCCAGGGATCTCACCTTCTCGAGAAATGGACGACTTTCCGACTCGACTTACCTTTCTACCTCGCCTCCTTGAACTTTTATTATCTTTTATTGTCGGCAACCCATTTGCATGCGGCGCTAGACATCTCCAACCTCCACTCTAACAACGATATTGGCGGGTCCTTCCTCGGCCCGCTACGAGAGGCCTCAAAGGTATTCCAAGCCTCCCTGAAAGACGGGCCCTTGGCGCAAGAAGAAGGCAAGGACAGCGCACAAGCTAGTATCCTCGAGCTCGAAATTCTAGACGAGACACTCCACCGCGTCACTCAAGCGGTGGCTAAGCTGAATGTCGAATAAATTGCCCTTGTCCGCGTATAGGAGTACATTGGAGAAAGGGGGACCAGACGTCATGACTATAAGGTTTTGAGTTAATGACCATACTTACGAGGCCGCAGGCGGATTCCTCCTTTATATTGTATCGCTGAATCAAGAATGCTTTTTTATGTCCATTCAATCGTTGCTTTTAGAGATTATTACATGCCATATGTTCGGATAGTTTGCAAATTAAATAAATTGTCCGATCCGCATATCGCCCGTACTCGGTAAACGTTGGCAGTTCCTACTTTTATTATTTATTGCCATTATGATATTATAAGTGTATTTATACTTGGTAGGCGGGTGTTTGATTAACCTGCATAATTCCGTAGTCCTAAGCCCGCCCCTATCTCTTCCTGCCAGATCGTCTCACCAAGGCGGCCTGTCCTTCACGTACCTCATTTAGGATCGACATTTACGCGCATACTCCCCTATCACTCCAGTAGAATTCACACCATATAATTACCCAGGCCTCGAAAATATTATAGTTTCAATCCCTGTATTAACTATCCAAAGCCTAAAAAAGGAGCGAAAGCCTTAAGTGTACCAAGTATGACACATACCAAGTACGCATTGGGCGAGAGGGGCCTTAATCTAACTAATACTAAGGATTGAAGACAAATGTGATAGAACGATAATGAGTATCGATCTCTATATAAGCACCGCAAAATTTGAGAGGGAAAAAATAAATAAATAAATGGGAGGCAAGGGAGGGAAGACCAGCGAATACGAAAAAGAAATAAGAGACCGATTGGATCCGGATTCCAAGTCGATTTCTGCATTGTCTTTCGAATTCGACGCTTCGACGCTTCGACACTCCGCCTTGTAAAGTTCCTTCAAGCTTGGGTTTCTTATCTGTTAGACACGGAGTTGGTGCTGCTGCATTCTTTCATTGAAGAAAAAAGACGAACTGTCCCTTGAGAAAAAAAGACGAGCAGTCCCTTGGCTTAGAGAAAATAGACGAGCTTCGATTCAAAGAAAAAGAAAAAGACAGGAGATCAACAACATGTCTGAACAGAAAGATAACAAAAGCGAAGGAACAGACAGGGAGAAAAGAACAAATTCTCCTGTCGAGAAAAGAATAAGATAGGTTTGAGAGGAGAAAATAAACAAAGTTGAAACTACCAATGCGTCATCCCGCGAGGAGACTCAGCACAAGTGGTAAAAGGAACAACCAGAGTAACCACACCAAAAGATATAGCGATTGAGAAAAGAGGGTGGAAGAAAGAGAGATTAGAAAAAAAAAAAAACTTCAATTTCGAAACACCCGTTTCCCCGAAAAAGTGTCCACGTGCAGTCTGTGCCTGGAACGAATTTCCGCGTGATAAAGTAATGCCTGAAAACTTGATAGACTGAATGAAATCCTTTCCTCTTCCCTAGGCTACGTATGTGCGTACTGTACGTCTTTCTTGTTCCGCTTAAACGCCGTATCAAGGATAGTAGAGAGCCAATAAATAGTCCGATATTTTTTTAGGGAAAGTATAAGACAATGCAGCTTCGAAAGTCCAGAAGAATCAAAGGCTTGATTAAGTGATGATGTGTTTGCCGTTGCCGGTAGTATGTCCCGATTAAGGCAGTCCATTATCACTGGCCGTCGAATGGTTAGAAGTCGAGCTGAAAATATGTCGATGATAAGAACACCTTTTTTCGGGTATGGAAAATATATTGGATAGAAACCCAATGGCGTTGAGCTGAGGAAGAAAAGCCGGACAGGAACGCAGATGCGAGACTGGAGGTAGAGAAGAAACCATAACGACAGGACGAAAACGAGAAAACTGTGGCACAGCACTGCGGGACGACGTCGCTATACTACTTTACATAATGGTGCAGTAGAGGCCGGCCTGGGAGTTGTCCTTGGGAGCACCAACCTCCTCGGAGGTGGCCTGAGTCTTGATAATCTTGACGGGAGCGGGAGACATTTTTGGAGATTTTGTTTTTTGGACTTGAAAAGTCGTGCTGTAGAGAGTATATGTTAGTCTAGAGTTCTTATAATAATATAGAGTGCAAGACAGGAGGGGAAGAAGTGAGTATAGCAAGTAAGACGCACCGTTAAAGCGAGTGTGATAGAAATGAAAGTAAGAAAGTGTGTTGGATCTGAGGAGGAAAGGTAGACAGGAAGGGAGGAAGGCGGTTTATATCTTCGTGGAAGACAGGATGAAAAGCATATAGCTAGATGATAATAGAAAAAGGAGGATAATAGTAATTGCAGAAACGGTCTAGACGTCCATGGATCAGACAGACTAAAGCCGGATAAAGGATTACAGGTAGGAGAAGAAAGAAAATAATTGCTTCCAAAGGGGACCTAAACGAGGACAATAAGGATTTGGAGAGAAGATAATAACAGAGAATAATACTTACGAGAGGTTGACGGCCCTCCAGCCGTCAACACTAGAGGTGTACCAGTTCTGCCCGTATGTTAGTCTCAACTTGGAAAGCGCCCTATGGTGTTAGTATTGTTCCGCTTGATATTGTTGTTGAGTAGTGTCGAGAAAACTCTTTGAAGTAGCAGCTGTGGATAAGCTCAAACCGAGACTGATGGAAATAACAGCAATTTAGTGGTCAGATTTGGCTAATATGACTGTAAATGTATAATTTGGAGAAAGAAAGAAGAAAAAAAGGGGAAAGGAGATCGAGTCTCTTAAGCCACGCCTTTATACTCCACACCCAGATGTGATGAAAGTGTGAATCTCGCAGAAAGTAGACTCATAAAATTTGTAAAGATCAATATACGTCTTTACAATTTGCTTCACAAATACTTTGCAGCATACGCGAAATACTCGAAAGTACGTTGAATACCTTCAATGACAGAATTTTCAGCCTTGGACACCATAATCATTCACTAAAGGAGTGAGTGCAAGAGTGAGTGCAACACACTCGACTGTATTGCTTTGGAAAGCTTGCAAATAGAAACACGATTCATGACAAGATAAAAGACAGACATAAACAATATCAGGCTTGAGAAACAGACAAGGAAGATGACGGAGCTATGGGTTCGACCGGATTCGCAGAACAATCGTGATGGCGTGGCGTATGCCCTAAATATGGCACACCTGTGCTCAAAGGCATGGCGAACACTTCAAATGCGAACTTGAAACGGCATTTGAAAAGAGATTTCAAAGAAGAGCTTTTGGGTCAAAACAAATTGACCCGGCGTATCAGCGCCGTAGTGCGAGCTGGGAGGAACGAGCGACCAAAACAGCCCAGCGATGGGCCAACAGGCTCTTCCAGGCACGCCGAGGAGTAAATGGTGAGTAGCGGATTAATCAATATCCTGTCTCTTCAGGGGAACAATATCAAGCGATTTTTGATAAAATCATTGACGTTGGAAGAGAATGATTTCGCTCTCAAAGACGTCGTTAATATTGTTCCTGGTTTGAAAGGGTTCGGCGTAGGCGCTAGTCCATAACTGGCTCCCGGTAGTAAATAGGTAAAACCTCGGCTGGGGCTACGCATGGCATTATTCACCCCCGATGACGTATTTTCCGAAAATCATTCTTCTTGAGCTCTCGTTCAAGGGTCTTTTTCGAAATTTCCGCAGCGCAGTTTGTCTGCAGCTCCCGGAGCTTTATACAAGGATTTTTAGAAATTTCTCGGAGAATCTGTCTGGACGTGCGATCAGAAATCTTTTTAGGCCGTCCTGGGCGAGGAAGGGACGCGCAATTTTCGCGCTTTTTGTCTTTTGCAATCGTTGATTTGACGGTGCTAAATGATAGATTGAAAATTGTTGCAATTTCTTTATAGCTTTTGCCAGACTTTCTAGCACCGATTATCTCTGCCCGCTGAATCGGCGACAGCTCAGCGCCGCGTTTTCGTGGTTCAATGGATGGAGGCATTTTGTTGTTATTGTTGATGTTACGACGTGACTCTCGCAAAATTGACTCCTTATTTCTTCCCCCCTTTCCCCCCCGAAGCTAGCGAGCCCTCCAGCACCTACAGTGGCAAGATGCTCTGAGCTGGCTCTTATTCTAATGTATGCGGGTTGATTTCGACCTCCTCTCTTCTCAATGGCAAGCCGACATGCTGTGCGGAAAAGTACCTTGTCCAATAAATTTGTGCACATCTTGGCTGTCAATTGAAGTCTATGAAATCAGAAAAGACGTATAAGCCTCAAATTGCTTGCTTTAATTCAGCTAAATTACGTTTGATTACGGAGCTTACTAGGAGAGGTTCCAGTTCATCTCCACACCCGTATCACTCGTAAATCAAGGAAATTCCTTCAGCAACGAAGCTTCCAAGCCAATAAATTGCAGAAATCCTAACGTTATGAATTAAGCTATGCATCGCTATGCTAATATCTGTTATGTTCCACAAAGGAAAATCCATGTCGTCATGATGCTAAGACTTATTTCTACGTATAGACAGCTTCGGTGAAGGCATTCAAGCTAATGCCTTCCTTGGCAATATCCTCCTTGATGAGGAACATCAAAGGCATCTCAACCAGTGTACCTCGAATCGTACTCAAAACCTTCTTGACTTCCTGGACGCCAACGTCGCCAGGTGGAAAGTCTTCGGCGACGACGTGTCCCCACTTGTATTGAGATGGTTTCAAGTCCTTCTCTTTTTCGGCGTCTTTGAAGAAGCGCTCGTAATACGCATCATAGTCTTTCCATGTCCTGACTCCATCATATGGAACTGGATGGAAGACGCGCGCAAAAGCATCTGTATTCTGTTTCGCCGTGCTGTTCCACAAATTGAGGAAGCGGTCCGAAAGTGGATCAACCACATCATGGTCTTCAGCGGAACCATAGTCGTAAGCATTTGGCACTCCTATCGGCTCAAAATTCTGGTCGGGACGCTCCATATCCTGTGGCGGAAGCAGTCCGAGGTGCTTTCGAAAGAGTTGCCGGCGAAGAGTTGCCGCAAATTTGGACGCTTTCCAGGGCTGCTCGTTCAGGTACGAGTCAAGTGGAGTTGGATCTTCGATTACAATGGCAATTTCGGAATCATGATCACCTAGCTGGGATCGGTCATTTAGGTTGGCAGATCCGCAAATGACGATTCGATCATCGGCAATGAGTAGCTGAAGATCTTGTCAGTGAAGCTAGGAAAGGAGGAATAGGGCTTTCAGTACCTTGGTGTGGATGTAGAGCTCCTCGCTCACAAAAGCATCAATTTCCGACAATTCACCATCATCCCATGGGACACTTCGAATATCTTGCCCACCAAGCATATAACATTCGCTGACGGTATCCCAACGACCAGTATTGGCTTTTCTTTGACCATCCATCTGCTGCGCCGCCTCTTGATACCGTTGATACTGTTGATTTTGTCCGTAAATCTTCTCTTTGGCTGGACCCTCCTGACTATAATAATCGTCGAATTGCTTCCGAGCATCCTCATAGTCGACGCCGCTTGCATTCTGTACGTCACGCATAAATGCACTGGAATTGATGCGGTCATAGTTTCGGAGATTATAGAAACGGATATATTTTGTAGGATCAAAACCTTCCTTGGCGATGAGCTCCATGATGCTGTGGCCGCCACGGTTGATGGAGTTGTACTGAAATTCCATAATAGCTCTTGTGCTGAGACTATCATCGTTTCGCAGGTCTCCGGCAAAGGCTGGAATCGCCGGCATTAGGACAATGACCTTGTACGTCTGGCCAGCTCGAGCTGCTCGAAGAATCCGCTCGACGATAGCAGCTCCAATTTTGTTTTTGACCGGTCGTTGAGCATCAGACGTAGCAGTAATGAAAAACTGGTTCTCAATATAGATGAAGTGTTGGCTGTTCTTAATCACCTCGATGTATGCATTGGCCACAGAGTGCTAGAAACACGTAAGCATGGGTAAATTAGACCAATGCGACGGATTTGAAGAGAGCATTCGAACCTCTGTCGGGACCCCGCCGCTCCATTTAGAGCAGCTCCGAACAATCTGACATGGGACGCCGCCAGAGAACGCAATGTTTTGTGAAGAGTCAGGCTCGACATTTCGAACGTGCTGAACACCCTCGTGGAGTCGATACTTGAGTCTAGTATTAGACATACGAGTTAGCCTCGATTCCGACGGTATAGAAAAGACATAAAATCAGGCACAGTATGAGTGGACTTTTTGAAATATTGTAGGAAGGGTTTGTCCTTAAATGATTCGAGGTTTAGTTTCCTTTGAAAGTATTGATAGCGCACTTACTCATGGCCATAATGTGCAAATCCAGACGAGGCTTGATTTACGTCTGCCTGAGACGGCGGTTGTCCTACGATGCCGGACTGTGTCTCCGCAACACTCAAGCGCGAATAGCGTGAATCTTCCCTGACATTATACTTTTCGTTAAAGATGAAATTCCACCTGTCGACGAAATGGACTTTGAGATCTTCGACCACTGGGCCTCTCAGGGATATGGAGAGATCCGACCATCCCATGCGAGAATTGGTCTTGCGGTCGAGCTTATTATTCTGCCAATTTGACACGTCTTGGAAATCCATGATTCTAGCATTGTTGAAGTCTTGCCCAGGAAACACGATCTGGCTTAGATCCTCGGGATGAGCATCGGCAACGGGATGCTGGTTCAAGTCCCATCGCCCAAAGCAGAGGTCGAGACCGCCCATGAAGGCAATCTCACCATCCACAAGCAGAAGCTTCTCATGATGTGCCCAATAAAGAATCACGTCCTCATTCATGCCATAAAGTGCCTTCAGTGCATCTTCTGGAAGTTTCGAAGCAGTTGCAGGATCCAGCGTCATCTTCTGTAAGGAAGATGTCAAAGAAGACTGAAAAGTTTGGGCATCGGGCAGATGGTCAGGGTGTCGGAAAACGCTAATGTTGGGGTGCAGCTCTTCGAGCGCATGCTTGGTGTGGCTCGACGAGACTGTTACGGGTGGAGTGATCAGCGGGTTCTGAGCTTCAACTTCTTCAAGTGAAGCAAAAGTAGCTGCAAGCCCCAGCCTGCTGAGGATTGACGTGATTGGATCGGTCGACGAGGGAAGAAGGGAATGGATATAGTCGGGCAGCGTAGGAGAGAGATACTTACGTGTTAATGCCTGCGTAACTTCTTTGTAGACGATAACGTTAATTTTAACACCCCGCTGAGCAGCTGCCTGGAGCATTCGGTCCAGTCTATACTGCTCGTTCTTCGCAGGCGGACGACGAAGATAGAGTTCTGGGGAGAGCCACCCTATAGGAGTTATTGTTTAAGCACAATTTCAGCGGTGTCATACGCCGAACTTACAATCGAGAATCCAGATTGACTGCGAAGCATTTTCCAAAGCCCTTGAAACTGCCCAGAAGTATCCACAGCCGTCGACAAACCACTTCACGTCGTTGCCGTCACGTTGAGGCGCAAAGCTTCCGAACCGGTGCTGGCTGGGGTCATGAGCACCGTCGCTACACTGTCCGCTGGTGTGCGTATGACTGTGGATGTCGCCCTCGCCAGAGAATTGCTCGACAATCTCATGCCCAATGCCATGGACGGCATTACTGATGGTGTCAAGTATTGAGGACATGTTGAAGGAAGATCTTTGCTCGGCAGAAGTAGAGGAAGGCTTCTCAAATGACGACGCCTGGGGTTGGTTGAAGAGATGAGGTTGGTATTGCTGAGTGACACTAGAACTTTGGCCAGGCGGCTTGTGAAATAGAGAAATCGTCAGCTTGGGACTTGATCAAGTACAAAGCTGGGGGGGGTGGTTGTTGTTGTTTTGGTGTAACTTACTGCCTGGGATGAGCCTGAATGATGTTGTCGAGATTGGAAAAATCGATACGCGTCCCCTAGCAGGCCCCGCTCGCCTCCTTCTTGATTGGCGTGGAAATTACCATCGTGAAATTCGCCGTACGCCAAAGGATCGTCGTGTCCTTGACCCGCCATATTTCTAGCTTAAATTTGCGCAGCTCATGCCATTTTGCAGGATGCAGAACAGGGTTGCGAAGCGTACATTTTTGCCCAGATTCTACATAGCTGGGCGACACTTTGCCAGTGACTACTGGGGTGGTATGCCTTTTTCAGCTGACGACGAGGAAGCGGGGTAATAAAGACGGAGCTGAGCCCTCCGCCTACCGCTACTGCTACCCTTTACCCGCGTCTCAGCGCTCAAGCGGTATGGTAATACAGTACTGTAGTAAAACTTGCTAAAAATGATTTGCAAGCAGCGAGAAGATGTTTCCGTACCAACATTCACGGAAACAGGGTCTGCTTTCTGCCCTACACACTGATAATTACAAGCATACCGGCTATTAACTACCTAAGGTACTCCAGCGTAGAAAAACAGGGTTCGATTATTTCCATTTTGGGTTGAGATCCCCCTGACCTACACATGACACTCCGGCAAACAAGCGAAGGAGGGACGGAAGAAAGTCACTATTACGGTGTTGGGTTAGGGAATCGCACAGCATTACGGAGGTATTCCAGTGCTATTGCATAACCATGGGATCAATAAGATTAGTGGGGTTTCCCCCCCCCCCCAAACCAAACCCCCTCCTCTTTCCCGCTTCTCCACTTCTCTAGTCACCCGTATTTGCCGACTTGGCTCTCTACCGAGAAGAGAGACCCCGCATGGATTCGCGAATCTTAAAATGACGTCCGTTCGACGCGTTTCAAGTGATTCATAGTATATTTTCTATTCTCTATCATTGCAAAATCATCGAACTTGATCTCAGCTGCTACATCTTTTTCGAAATCCTATATTTCAAATAATCAGACAACTGATTCATAGAACAAGCAGTAGCGCCGTGCCAAAATGTCGTTTTCCGGCGGAGTAGCAACCGTAGACGTAAGGGCCATTCTAGGAGCGAGCTTTATGTTCAGTGGCAATCTATAATGCTGACATGGACAGACTCCCCTCCTGAGCCATCTGTCCCAGTCTTCAGTAACGCTGTTCCAAGCAAAAGCTCAGAAGCAGTTGACATTCGAGGCCATCGCCCAGAGGCTGGGACGATCAGAAGTAGCAGTGGCAGCTCTCTTCTACGGGCAAGCTCAAGCCTCAACGGAGGATATTAAAAAGCTTTCCTCGATACTTGGTATTGACGAGGCACAACTGGCTTGGCAACTGCAAGGATGTCCCGACCGAGGTAGATTGGTGGATATGCCGCCAAAGGAGCCGTTAATCTACCGGCTCTATGAGATTGTCCAAAATTACGGATATGCCTACAAAGCCGTTTTAAATGAGAAATTTGGTGATGGAATCATGAGCGCCATTTCTTTTTCGACAAAGGTAGAAAAAGAGACGGACGACAAGGGCGATTGGGCCGTCATAACCATGAGGGGCAAGTGGTAAGTATAATTCCCGAGTTTGGTATTAAAGTGTGCGGCTTTATAACTGTTTGCAGGCTTCCTTATTCCCGGTTCTGAGTGGCCCCCGAGCGCGATGTCTTTACGTACCTCATTTGCTTGACCTTGCATGAGAAAAGTTGATGTAAATGAACCTCATTTGATATGAATTATATGATTTGAAGATGCGGGATTACTCTGAAAGGTTTGACGTGATGTTGCATACAAGCTATTTATGTAATTCTGCAATTTATGGTATTTCAAAAGAGATCTTTGGAAACAAAAACAATGCGTTCAGCTATTTGCGAGCATTCAAGTGGCTAAGTGCCGCCTGGCTGTTCGAATTAGGTGCCAAGAGTCTGGTGTTTACATTCTAGTTCAGCTGACGGGCTCCATTTCACATCCAAATCAAGCCTACACGATCATTCGCGTTTTGTTTGCAAACTTTCTGCACATTAAACTCTTGTCCTTTTTCCATTCGTCCAGTTCAAATTTCTTTTGCAGAATCATCAAACACAGCCACAACCAAGGATTGGCCCCCTCACAATGGGTCAGTCTCAGTCGAAGCGTCGCTCAGACGTTTCGATGCAGAATCTCAGGGCCAGTGCCTCTTCAGGCACGCCATTGAACTCTTCTACGCCCAATTCATCAGGTGACTTCGATTTGACGCCTGCCAGCTCTGCTCAACCCTATGGTGATTCGGCCACGCCTTCACGCGTCATTCCCCTCAACAGACTCAGCAGCTTAATTGATCCTCTTGAGATTGTTGGCCCTGTCAGAAGCCTGTCTGACGATGAGGATGAGGACGGCGTTGTTTGGGTATCTGACGACGCGTGGGAAGAAGAAACCATGGTCTGCTCTCCTTCGGGTCAGCGACTCATGGCGCCGGAAGATTACTTTGCCAGCCCGGAACGTCCCCTCAGCTTGCGCGAAAGGCAGGAAAAGATTAAAAACAAGATGCTCGCCAAAGGCTCTTCCGCTAATCATCTGGATCCCGGCACAAGTTCTCAGTCTCCGGCTGGAGAGTTGGACCTGTCCGAGGCCCAGGCCGAGGAGCAGCTTCAGGATCAGAGCGACGACGAGGATGAACAAACCTCGGCCGTGGGAGCTCCAGCAGAGGCGAACAATAACAAGCTGCGCCTGTTCAGTTGCTGCTTTGGAAGTGCTATGGAGTAATTTCTAATTGTAACGACGCATCACAGGCCGTACGTCTATCTATTGAACTTCTTCAAGCCTCAGTGAAGCTGATCGAGACATAGGACACCTTAAAGACTATTTCTTCTAGCAACCAACATTTCCTTGAAAGCGGCTATCCAAAGTTACACTTGGACATATTGATCGAATTTCCTGTTACATAACCTCAATCTGCTTTGTCAAAGCCTTTCCCAACGTTTAAATAGGCCAAGATAGCGTGGATTTTACTGTTTTCGGAGCTCGTTTCTGGATTTCGGCGACTAAGATCGGCGAGATCAGACCAGGCAGTCAAAAGATATCGGCACATACTCAAGTAGAATATAGCAAAACAATTGAGAATTCTGCTGACTACTGGTTATTTGAACATTACTTCAATTATTAAGGTGATTGTATACATTCTTTAAGATTGGGCAGTGCCAGTTTTGTGATTGTCATTTCAGATGGGTGGGTAAAAGAAAGGAAATCTGGCACTCTACTTCAATAATCGCGACGTGATACTTTGGGCTCTAGAAACACCGAGCGCTTCACAAAGGCACGGGGCTCGAATACCCATCATGCCAGTTCACCAGCTGAATGGGTCTGACGCTCCTGGAACTTCAAAGGTCATTGGCCGTAAACGTTTTCACCGCCGAGACCACTAGCTTGTTTACTCAAAATTTGACTTTCAACTCATCACGCATCTCATCATCTACACTTATTTTTCGGCAGCTCGGGCGGGCGCTTTCCTTCAAACCTCAAATTGACCTCTACCGAGGATTTGCTTCAATTCTAATTTACTTTGCCAAGCTGAGCAGCTATGGCTAACTTAAAGGCTGCAGGTGCAATTTGCTGCACCTACAAATTCTGCCCCGCCACTTTTGACACTGAAAAGCTTATGAAGCGTCACAAAGCTAGCGATCCAGAGCATGACTACTGCCGGATCTGCGACCTGGACTTTGACGATGAATTGAATTTTCTCAGGCACAAGATTGAGAGCTCTAACCATGTCTGCTGCCCAGTTTGCGGTGAGGACTTCAAGAGCGAGGGGGGAAAAGATCGTCATGTCAGACAGGTAATACAATGACTCTTGCCGTTTAATTCGGCCAGTCTCTGCAACAACTTTCACCTGAAGTAGAGATCATGCTAATTTCTGAGCCCAGACTCATGCCGCGGAACAAAACTTGGAGTGTGCAGGCTGCCGCAAGATCTTTCCTAGAGCTGGCGCCCTTATCGAACACATCGAGAAAAGACGTTGCAGCAGCATCAGTCTCGAGGAGTTCAAAGATCGACGCTTGCAGAAAGAGCTAGTCAGTGCCTATCTTGATGATGGCCCAACTTCCCAAAGATTTACTGAGCCACCCTCTACTAATGGTGGAGTGTCGATTGGGTCCGCCTCCTCTGATGCCGGTTTCCCATTGGGTCAAGGTTGCCTTTTGGATGGTGACAACATGCCCACTGGAGATCTAATGCCCCCGCTGATCAAATCTGACGGCGTCAAACTGGGCAAGGGTCCAGAGAGAACCAAAGAAGATGTCTGGCCAAAGTTGCAGCCTAGATCCTTTAACAGCCAATTGGAAGAAGATTTGTTGGGCGGAGTTGAGGACTTGAACGTCGGTGAAACTACTACTCCATGGGGTTCTGCCTCCTCTTCCCAGAAGCTCTTCCCCAATGCTCCTGGTACTCCGGCCACTGCTGAATACCTAAATGGTTTCGCCAAAGCCGGCGGACCTCGCCCTCCGGATGCTTTCCTGCGTCCAGACTGGCACCCGGATGCGCCAGGCTTTAAGTGCACCGACTTTTACGACAACCTCTCGGAGAAATACATGTGCCCTTACTACATGTGTGGGTAAGTAGATCTATTTCTTTAAACTATTCCATCTCATTCTAATTCTAACAATGTTTGAAAAGGAAAAACTACCGCAAAGGGGTTGAACTCGAAGCTCATCTAAAGTCTGATAAGCACCTCAAAGCTTCATTAGAGTGCCCCGGTTGCTATAGGAAGTTTGTCACGCACACCGCGTTGGTCCAGCACTGCGAATCTGCGAGCACTCGCTGCAAGGTCAACCAGACTAACTCGTACGGAAAGTACATTGACAAGGTCAGCGCAGGTTATATTGAGGTTCGTGGCCAGCATGCCGATGGCACCGTCAAATACATGAAGCCTGAGAACATGGTGGCGCAGTGGTAAGGTGCGAGGAGTCCTGAGGCCGAGGATCGGTGACTTCGAAGAGTATCCTCTATCCCTGCGCTCAGCATAGGATGGCCTGAAAACCCAATATTTCCAAATGCGCTTTTCTACAATTTTCAATTATCTCTCTTAGTTAATGGCGGAGCAAACCCGGAAAAGTTATTATTTTCCTTTATCCAGCAAGCGCCACAAGCATAGCGGCCGCATCATAGTGAGCAGTTGATTAATAAATTGATTTTTCTCATTTAAATACAATAGCTACCTGAATTATTTGCTGGTAATGGCACTTGTAACATTAAGAGTGAATAGTAAACCTATTGTTGCCCTATTGTAATCGTTGCTTGTGCGTCATGCCGAATTCACTTTCGGTTCTACTCGCTTCGGCGCGGGCAAATAATCGTCATCTGCAAAACAAAGCTTGCGGCGACTCGGAGCTCTCAGCAGCTTTGTTCTTTCATTGCTCTACTCTTTCCTGCCGAACAGACAGGACCCTGCTGATAACAATGAGGCCGATCAAGCGCGCGAGGACTGAAGATGGAGAGCACGAGCATGGGAGCTTCACGGGCAACGGCGCCTCTCATGGCTCTCCGAAGGTTATACCCTGGACAGATGTGAGCCAAAGCCAAAATTTCCTTTTTTTGTCTGCCACGAGATTTGCACAATGGAGCTGACGCGCATTTGCTTGCATTATAGATTTTCAAGTCTCATTTATCCAACCTAGACGGGCATGTGCGCATGCTGGCGATGATGCAGCAAAGTTCTGCGCCAAACACTCAAAACTGGAATCTGATAACACCAATGGTTGAGCGAGCAAAGCAAATGCTTATTGACGCGCAGAAAGTCGCAAGAGAGTTTGTATGTCAAATTCGAAACTCTCTCCCCCCAGCTTGCGCAATGTGCATATATGTACGTGAAGGCTAATACTCGGCCATCGCAGGATACTTCTGAAGCAAACAACACCGGTCCATCTAGACCGCCTTTCCACTCTGGCAGAGCTAGTGAAGCAACATCCGAGGCAGGAAGCTTCCACACAGCTTCTACGGATCTAAAGGAGACCAAGGTTCTACCAGAGCGAAGAAAGAGGTCACTAGATTCTGCTTCAGCTGCGCCTGGTACCACAGAGGAGAGATCGAATACGGGCAAGAGAAGAATGTTTCCCAAGGATCAACATGTCAATGGCAAGCAAGGCGGAGTAGGAGGGCCTAGCTCGATGGAAAACAAGGAGAACATTTCAGATGCGCATATGCATCCCGATACCACTTTCAATGACGGTGCAAACGACGCCAAAGAGGGACTGTTCGACAGTGGACCCCGCGATCCGCAAAACTACGCCAAGCCGCACCAGCCATTTGTAACTACAGAGGAAGAAGAGCAGAGCCGAGATATTCCAGCCCAGGATGCGCGTCCGGAGCCAAAGGTTGAATACGAGGATATCTCCCAATTGGTCGAAGCGCGATTGCAAGAAAAAGAGCGCAAACGGAGGAAGAAGGAAAAGAAGCGCAAGCGCGAATCAAATGACTCAATGATTGCGCCTGTGGCTGATTCGGTAAAACCTTTGCAGAAGAGAATCAAGCAGTCCGATGAGGCTGTTCGCGAACCCGAACCCAGTGGCGGGCTGAAGAGGAGAGGCTCAGACATGACGCTGGCTAGTAATGGCAATGGCGGAAGCGGCGGCGAACCCAGCAAAAGGCGGAGACGCAGATGAGGTGTCACGACGGAAGCCTGTAGTTTGCCCGAGAAGGGACCTTATTTTGTTTCATGCATGTTTCCTTTGGCGTGATATTAATTACAGGATATTATCTGACACTATGCCCGCGCAACTTATTTTTACAAAGAAAATAAATGACAGAATTCTGCACGTAATCGACAGCCTTGTCGTTTGCAGGTCAACTGTCAGTATTGTATGATACAATAACAAAATGATATCGATACCCCGAAAGACAAAAAAAGAACTCCATCCAGTAAATGCCATCAAATAGAGCAGCGATTGTCAAATGTCCAATGTCCAAATGTCCCGCATGCAATGTTTGCCATGCTACCGATACCCTTTGACTTTTTCCCTTCTATTCCCCCCTTGTTTTTATTTTCATCTTTCAGCCCATTCTTTTTGTTCTTCCCCCGCCATTCTTCCTCCCTCTTTTCACAAGTTCCCCTCACGTCCACCTAGTCCTCCTCATCCTCGCTCTTCTTGCCCCAGTTCCAGACTTCCCAGATATGATCCATAATCAGACTTCCATACCCTCTCCCCTCCTCCAGCGCCTCCCTTTCCTCCTGCAACCTCTTCTCCTTCCATCCGTCTGTCTCCCCTCCCATCCACACCTTTTCCAGCACCCCCTGATTATTTGCCTCCTGCTGCTGTCCTTGCTGTTGTGACAGCTTCGTCCGCTCATGTCCCGCCTGCAACTCCTCCTGCATCCGCAGCATCTTCTCCCGCTTCAGCTCCTCCTGCACCTGCCGCGCCCGCGCCGTCGGCAGCCCGCCCGTCGCACCGCCCCCGATGCCCGTCTTCGCCGCGACGTGGCCCAGCAGGCCCATCCCCGAATACGACACGGTTAGATGATTCGCGCCAAACACGAAACCCCCCGTCAGCGCAAACGAGTAGAGGTCGAGTTTCCGCGGCGGCAGGGCCAGCGCGATCGGACACCCGATGACAAGGAACCAGGATGTGTTGTATTTCATGCGCTCCCAGTCTTGTACGGAGATGCCGTTTGAGCCGCGCGTAGATGGGTCTGCCATTGTCGTCGTTGTCGGTGTTGGGAGTGTTGTTGGAGGTGTAGAGGTTGAGGTAGTTGCTGTTGGTGTTGACATTGTTGGCGTTGCGTCGTCTTTCATTCTGCTTGGTCTTGGTCTTGGTCTGTATCTGGGTTGTCGACTTGATATACGCCGTCAAACCCCTTTTGTGTATGTATGTGTGTATGTTTGCGTGAGTGACGTCTCGGGGTGCGCAAGTTTGTTCAATCCGGTTTTGCGGCTTTGATTTTCGGTCCGAGATTATATCTGTCGCGATGGGCGCTGTGCGATGGGCGATTGCGCTGAATTGAAAATGCGGAAATATATATACTGCGACCCAATTGATATAGTCGCCCTATCGTCAGTTCAGTACCAGCCTTTCTGTATCAACGTTCGCGTCAGGGCGTTGTCCCAATGACCAAGGTAGTTATGGGTACCTGTAAAGAGAAAATAAATCTATGAGGTTTACATTCGAAGCGTCGGAAGTTTTGGCAATCGGTCCTCGGTCCTCGGTCCCAGGGGTCCGCTACAGACCCCGGCAGGCGTTGACTGGCGGGAGCAAATTCCAAGCTCGCTTAATGAAAGCTTAGTATATAGATTGAAAAGTTGGGAAGTAAAGCAAGTCGTGGTGTCCGAGTGGTTAAGGAGTGAGACTCGAATTCCTTCGCTTTGCAAAGGGGCACATCAATTCGTTATCTTATGGCTTCGGCCGCGCAAGTTCGAATCTTGTCCACGACGCCATCTTTTTTTTTTTTTTTTCGATAAATTTTTTTTACCCATTGGAGACAAGCTTTTTTGGTTTAGAAGGTTTTGTAAATGAATCTAAAAAAAATTTTATTTTATTCTTTGCCCCCTCCCCCCAAAGGTGGACTGTTTTGTTGCGATGAATGCGACGACGAGGTATAAGGATTTAGGCAAACGGTCGGGATAGGATGTTGAGTAAGTTATCGAGCATGTCAGAGTTCAGAGTCTACGAAATGGTGGAGAATTAAAAAAAACGACTTGTTTCTCATTGTGATTAAATTATAGATTACCATTACGGATGATTATATATTATGCTCTTGGTCCGCGTTATGCGGTTGGTAAAAAATGTAACGGCGGCATATCGCCCTCTGCTTCCTCAAGGGTGTGAGAACCGGCAAATGTATTTTTGCAGGTAGGATGGGGCAGGTAAAGGAGAGATAGGTTATCCAAGCGATACTAGGTATCCTTCATTGTGATATTTATTGCGGCATCTCTGCTGCTAGGGGATGGTTGGATGGTCGAGAAATGGCCTTTACATGGCTGTGTCCCGTCGGCCTTTCCCAGAGGAAAGACCCGGGCGAAAAGAGAGCATATCTTGCCTGGGTCCAACGCTGAACGGCGCCGAGAGGTTATCTTCTGATGACTCTGTGATCCCGTCTGGGCTCGCGTGTATACCCTTCTTCTGCAGAGCGCTTCTCTTGCAGCCTCCAGGGCGTCTCAAAGCCGGATGCTGTCCCCAAGAAAGCGCCAGGGCGGTGAACTGGCCCACGATCCTCCTGGTTGGAAGGTAGAAGCTCTTGAAGCCATTGGCGCTGGTTCAAGACAGCTGGTCGAGAGGTGCAGGCAGTCAATTTATGATCTGGGACTGTTTGAAATGACATATTCAGCACCGTCACTTGTCCGCTCATGACCCTGCCAATAAGTTCCGGACCCTTTCAATGCGATTGACTGCGCCCTCCAGCAATTCCAGTCGTTTCCGCTTATCCTCATCTCGACGTTCGAGCACTGCCACTCGCTCCTCCAGTTTCGCACGGGCCTTTCGTTCCGTAGCAACCATTTCATTGGCCTGCTGAAAGAGCTGCGCTGACAGTTCCTCCAATTCGCCATTTGTATCCGCCAGCATCTTTTCTGCTTTTTGACGTAGTGCTTGCTCACGCGCCAAGGCGGCCTGTAGCTCGCTCGTGTCCGAGGCGGTGGTGGAATGTTTGCTGTTTTCCGAGGATGTGCTTCGGCCAGAGAAAAAGGACGGGAGACGGCTATGTTTTGCAGGCAACGGGTTGGTTTGGAGTAGTGGAAGAGACTTGGATGCTGATGATGGAGTTGCGCCGTTGAGGGATGTAATGCTTGTGTTATCGGTGCCGCTTATGTCGCTGGCGGAAGCTGAAGAGGTTGATCCTGCTGCCGTCACTCCCGACGTCGTCCCGTCGACAACGCGATGGGCTTTCAGTCGACGGAGTTCTTCTTCGTATTCGGTGAGCTTGTTCTCTGTTGTAGAGGTACCGGGTTAGCAGGCTGGTTGTTGCTAGGTGGCTTTGCCTTTCAGGTGTGGGATGAGGGGAGGGAAAGCGCTTGTACTTTGTTGCTGCGCAAAAGAAGTAGCTTCCAATAACGGGTCAAACGGTTTGGAGATGAAGAATGCCCAGAGTAACAATGCCAGTAAACAAAGAGCAGAGAACGGAAATCATACCTGCAAGAGCGGCTTTGGTGCTGAGAAAGCGGACCTGAGTCTCGAGGTCCTCAACCCTTTGCTGCTGAGCTGTGGTGATAGTGTCATCATTGCTTTGCTGATTGTCGTTGTTGTCTTCATTGCGATGATGATGATTGGAAATGTGCGATATGGATGCTCCGCAGCTGGGGCAGATGAGCGAAGACTTGCCGAAACCTGGCAGTGGAGCTGCCGCCGCAGGGATTGCGGCTGTGACTGACATGGGGATGATTGTATGCTGTAAAGTACAGCACAGTGCAGATCGCTGGGCTAGATCAAATTAAAGCAGATTGAGAATCACACTAGAAATGATGAGTACAGCGTATCCAGACGGTGCACTTTTGTGTTCCTTTGTGTGTCTGAGGTAGTCATCAAGCACGATGGCAGAAAAAAAGATCAACGAAACGGTTCTAGCAGCAGCAAAACACCAAAGCACAAAGAACGGAGACCAGAAGAAAAAGGGACTACATAATACGAGATGAAATTTCTTCGCCTCTCATTTACGAGTCTCTCTGTTACCGAGCAAAACGACAGGCAAGGCTTGAGCAAGGGGGCTCAAAAGGGGGGCCAAGAAAAGCCCATGCAAGGGCGTTGTGCAAATGAAGAAATTCGTGGGGCCAGTTAAACTTATAGAAGGGGGATTTGTTGTTTTGGGGCTTAACTTGGCCCCTGATAATAGCGAGGTGTGACCCCTCTTGGACCCCCTTTTAAGCGCCACGACTCTATTTTTTAATAGTTCGCCAGCCTCGGCAGGGTCCGGTCCGGTCCAGTTAATTTAGCGAGCATCAAGTCCCTATAACCGCTGGCAATTATACCGAATAATGGTTATCCTCCGAACTATAGCCAGTTTGATATCATTATACTTGCAAGAGTAAAACTGTAATAAATTAAGATGATGGAGATGGAATTATTCTGATTGGAGGCTATTTAGATAATGATGTATTTACGAGACAATATGTATACCACATTGCATACAGCGAAGGAGATGATGCAGTTACGCCTGGTCTTTTTGTGCGGGTTTGGTAGATTTCTGGGACGTTGGAACCCTTTGAGATGAAAGCTGTCTTATGGTTGCTGCTCCTATTATTGTTGCGCATCCAATGCTGCCCATTGCAACCGCAACGGTTTGAGTTTTCGTATATCTCAGCCCGACAACAACGGCTACGGCTGTCAGGAATACCAGTGCAAAGATTTCCCATGACAAGTGAAGAGGATACAGTGGTCCATTTCTTCGGGCCGTGGGCAATGCTGCGGTTCCTTCTGCGGCAGTCGCAGTCTTTATCGCTGCAATTGGCACTGTCGATGGCCTAGGCACGGATGCTGGCTCTTTCTCTGGCGTCGCTGTTGTGGCTGTCGATGTCGAGCTCGCAGTCGTTGTCTTGCGGCCCGCAAGAATCACTACCATAAACACACCGACACCACACGCCATAGCTGCTCCAAACAGATAAAACACACCGTGCCCAACACAGTCTACGCCGCATGTGACCCCACCGTTGTCCTCAAACTTCTGACACTTGACCAGGAAGCGATTCCAGCTGTCTATGCCAGCTCCAAAAATGTAACTATGCGTGATCGAGGTCAGCGTCGGATGGAGATGCTTGGCATCTTGAAGAGTTAAAGAATTTGGAAAATGTCAAGGATACCAAAGCTGCAAAAAAGCATATGTAGGAATGCAATGGACCGGAATATGTGTTTTACATACTATGTAAGCCCTGCTGAGCCGGCAATCCATTTTACCCCTGACCCAGTGGCTGCCAGCGTGCACGGTGCCAATGGTTTCTTCATTCTGTTATGCACCTCACACTTTTGTGGATTGGCACGGGAAACAGAGTGTTCATATGTGTTAAGGTAGATTGTCCGATGTGTATGTTTGCGAGCTAGGAGGAAAGAAAGGGATCCCGTTGCAGGTCTAAGCTAGTATCGAACACCCGTGTAACAAAATAGCCCTTTTGTGAGGTTCTACATCGAATCTGGTAAAAGACTCTTTGAAATTGCCAAGGAATGCGTTTCTTTCTTTCTTTCTGTCTTTTTCTTTTTAATTTTATTTGATCTTATTTTATTCTCTTTTTTTTTTTTTAAAAAAAAAACGGAAAAGAAAATTCCATCCAATTGACAGTCGAAAACCCAGTGTGCTTACGCAAGTCGAATTTCTCTGATATTACTGCTCGCAGTCTCTTAAGAACCTAGGATTGGTTTGATCGCACTCAAAAGGATATCTTAGATTGCCCGTAAAAGGACAGATAGCCGTCTTCACGCTCTAACACCCATAGATTCAAAGGCTAGACGATATTTTAATTCATCAATCATGGATTGGGTTATATCTTCTGGTACGTTTGGAGTGGAATACATTCATCATCTGAAGAAAAAAAGAAAAACGTCTCACACGTGAAAACATGGAACTAAGATCTTCAGTGAAGAGACAAGGAAATGTCGTGCGTTAAACTTTTGAAATAAAACAGAGGACCACCTTCTCTGATGCGAAGGTGGATATTAGAGGGGAAGAAAAGGGGTGACAAACCATCCGGGAGTTAGAAAAAATGGCAAAAGAAAAGTGAAATAGACAAGAGATCGCAGTGCATCGAGAAGCCTTGGAAATCGGAAAAGACCCCTACTCTAGGACATGACACACATGCGTGTGCTGAACCACCCGAAAAAGACCGATTGAGCGTTGTATTTGGCCCGCCCCATCAGAGCAGTGGAGAACGCACAAGCCTGTTTCGGCAAGCAGAGCGGACAGATGAACAAGGCAGAATAGGAACTGAAGATGGTCTAAAAAAGAAGCCGACCATCCTGCGCCTGACAATGTCCGAATTACCCTCAAAGCAAAAATCAAGGTCCCCGAGTGAACGCTGGAGATAAAGAGAAAATCGAGTGCGCCCCCATGTCGTACTAATTACTTGCCTCGGCTGGAAAGATCGAGTGGAGTCAAAGAAATAACGGCCATTATGGTAATTTCCTGCAGAAGATAGTCGGCCCCCCATGTACGTAACCCTCCCGATAAATTAATCGTTTAAGAAGCAATGGCGCGTGCGCCCTGGTTGCCGCCGCGACGGTTGTTGCGGGCCTTGGATACGGTACTCCATCCATCTTCTTCGAGGCTCTCTGCGGTCGGCTCAGACGTCCGCCTCCAGGTACCCTCCTGCGGGGTCTCCTGGGGCTTGACGGCCTTGTCATCAACAATGGCACCATTCTGGGTCTCAGATCCCTCTTGGGCAGGGGCGTTTGCTTCCTCCTTAGACAAAGCCTTGAAAGTGTTTCCGGGTTGAGGTTTCTCAGCTTCGTCCTGGCCAGCGGCGGCGGCAGCGGCTTTCTCGGCCTTGGCCGCCTCCTTGGCTTGTCTCTTCTCTTCACGCGCCTTTTCATCTTGCTCCTTCTTTTGACGCTGAGCCTGCAATCTCTTCTCTTCAATTTCTCTCTCCTTGGCAAAGGTGTTAATGGGACGAGCGGCACCAAAAGGACTAGCCTTCGAGTCCGAAGAAGCGGTAGAGGGTGCCGCGGGTTCGGCTTCGGAAACTGTCCGCTTCTGAAGTTGAAGCTTCGGCCGGACAGCGGGAGCGACAGGCGAAGTAGGCGTGCTAGCCTCCTTACTGGCCTCCTTAGGAGGGGTGGGAGCGCTCACAGGAGCGTCAGGTCGCATTCTGGCGCGCCAGGCATTGTCCAGCTCTGGGGCGGTGGGTGCACGATCAGCAGCTCGTTCTTCATATTCCTTTCTCGGCGGCCGCGATCCCTCTTGGGAGCGGCCCTCACCCCAAGATGGGGACTCTCTGCGGTCTCGCGGCGCTTCCTTCGTTGGGGCAGTGGGCAACACGGGAGCTGGTGGGCCCTTGCGCTCCCAGTTTCCAAAGTCGCGAACCTTTCCATCTCCAGCCTCAAAAGGCCGACGACGATCTCCAGCCTCGAAACCACTGAATCCTCCACGATCGGAACCACGTCGGGGAATTTCAGGAAGAGGGCCCTTGCGAGTCCAGTCGTTCAGCTCACGGGCATCAGGACGATCTTTGGCTGTAAACAGGAGTATATTAGTCATCTTTTTCTGCGCGAAGGCGGCTGGTCAGAAATAATTCAAGGGTAGCTTACGAGGCTCGGCAACGCTAATTCTAATTGTTCGACCCTGGAATTGAGTGTTGTTCAAGTCCAATGCTTTCTTGAGTCCATCCAGAGTACCAAATTCGACGTAGCCAAATCCTTTTGGACGTCTCTCAATTTTGTCCTCGACAATTCGAACGTTGGTGACGGCACAGTCCATGAAGAAATCGGTGATATCACCCTCGGTGGCGTCGAAGGAAAGATTGCCAATGTGGGCGGTAAACGGGGGCTTATCAGGGAGAGGGAGCTGTTCTCGAGGAAGGAATCCTCCACGGTCTTCATGGAAACTTAGCTCTCAACATTGCAAGAGGCACGTGAGCCCAACAGGCATATGAACTCACCACTGAAGCCGGCTCCGAAACCAGTAGAAGCGCCAAAACCACGTCGCTCAGATCCGTAACTGGGGGCAGGGGCTGGTGTTGTCAATGAGATGAAACGCTATGTACATAAATTACTCGTTGAGGTACAAACCAGCTGTCGCATTTGAAGATTAGCATTTGTGCTTGACAGTCGTCGGATCGCGTATTACACATACCAGGAAGAGGCATATCCTCCATCTCGTCCGCCCAAGAGCCAAGAGCTAAGCAGAGTTAGCCATCATCTCCCCTCTGAAACATGTGCTTCCCCGAGCCATACACTCATCGTTCAAAAAGTCCCCGAGGGACATCTTCTGATTCTTCGACTTCGCAGGAGCTATAGAACAGAATGTTAGCATCACTCAACAGCATGCAACACCACCAGCGTTTATCCGAAGAGGAGAAGATCAGCCTCGTGTCCCGCACACTCATGACTTACCCATGATTGCGATTTTTCAGGTTAGCGCGCAGTACACGGAAAGCGCGCTCGCTATGTATGTAGATTTGAATAAAGTGTTCCGATAGATGGTCAAATGTTAGGCAGCCGACGATGTGTGGTGACGACTTGGTGTCTGGAGATCCGTCGTCTTCAAAAAAAGTAAGATGGTGAGAGGCTTCTTTTCGTGCACCGTTTAGCGAGGTGCGATTCCTAACTCGGAAATTTTTGTGGGAAGAATCGGGTATACGCCGGCATTAAGGGACAGGGGGGTACCCCGAATTGCATCACATTCTTGACGTGACTTCAAGAACCTCGTGTCTCAACAAGCCCCAACGATTTGAAATAATAATTTAGGTAGATCTTTGGCATTCAGCTGCACAAAAACATACAATTTTTTTTTAAATTCCAGATAGCACAAGGAGAATTCAAAATTATCTGTAGTTTTGGACCACGTGCACATTCTCCCAGAAGATGGAGAGGTCGCATGGTGCTCAACCCGCACTCCAAGATGGAATCATCTTTCCAGCTTTACAATTTGGTACCTTGGCAGGTTGGTCAATCTCTTCAAAACATTTAATTCTGGTGCTGCTGCTGAGCGCATCAATTCTCATATGCATGTCTCGCTGCATTTGAGTTTGCTTCTGCTTTTCGTCCTGTCTTTGCCTTTCCGCTTGCCTATACAATCCCTCACTGCCGTGCTACAGGGGCATCGATACCAAGGATCCCTCTTTGACCTTTCATCGTCCACTAATGATGATTTAGGTGTTGCTGGACTAGGAGTTGGCGGGATTGCTGGCTTAGTTCGCTCACAGACTCCCACGCTTTTTGCATTCGCATCCAGCACGCAATGGTTTACTTTGGGGACTGCCTATTGGGGTGAGTCTCACATTGAGTTTTCCTGTCCCTCATGGGCCACTAATATCAACCCCTACAAAAGGTGTACGGGGAATTATATTACACATGCGTGGAGCCCAGTCTGTCAGTCCTCGGGAACGGATCTATGCGAGTGGAATTGCTGGCGGTCTCGCAGGGGCAGGAGTCGCTCTTATCACTAGTAGGTTGAGATTTACCGTTTTTCTTAGGACTCTTCTGAATCGTGAGCTCTTAGGGGGGCGATCTAACGTGATACCTGGGGCCATTATGTGCTCTTTGCTGGGCTCAACGGGTCAGGGGCTTTATAATGTCATGGATGCACAGCATGCTCAAAGCTATGGTGAAAATGAAAGGCACGCCAGCAGCCCCTTCTGGCAGCGACTCGCTCAGGCCAAGTGGAGCCCCGTCCGAGTTTTATCCGACAAGGAATACGAGAAAATGCTTAGAGAGCGGTTGCTCCGCGTTGAAGCAGAGATTGCTATAATTGACGAAGAAATCAAGAGGAACACTAAAGACTAACAGAAAATGAAAATCATCAATCAAAATCATGACTGAGTTAGGAATCTTAGACGACCACCAATTTATAACGGCTGCTTGACAGCTCTAACAGCTTGATTATTGCAAAGACCCCAAGAGCATTTTGCAATACAATTTAACTACATGGTACCGGCAAGACTGCGGCTACCAAGTAAACGCCGCAAAAGGCGAAAGTGCTTACTCGCACCACCTTGAGACGCAGGCTGGCTCTACTCAAGGCGGAATAGAAGGCACATACATGGATTGGGAGAGTCAGCTTATTAAAGTGAAGAGTTGATGATGGGAGAAACATGATTGGATCCTTGGAAAGCGGGTGACCTTAATGAACCCTCCTTTCCCCACCGAAAGAAGTCGCATTTTGGACCATCCCTACTCCGTATATGGAAGCGAAGGGGATTGAATCACAGCAATGTGACGTAAGTTGCTGAATTATGAAAGAAACAGACTGCTCGCCATATAGCACAAAAAATATTTGAGTCGCGCCAACTTTGAATAAAACCAATATACGCCTGGAAGTGTATAATCAGGCAATAGGAGAGTACTTGAGATTCAAGGCTAGTCGTGTATTGAGTGCGAACCGACAACAAAAGAGTAGGATTTTTGTATCAAGTACTCAGTACGTACATTCCACGCTGCCTTGGATGAAGTCAAGCTCAAAGGGCGATTCCGCCAGCCTTGATTAGTCATCATCACAAGTAGCGTCAACAAAGTGAAGTATCGAAAAGGTGAAGGAGAAGATGATAGTTGGTGCGATAGTGGATGACAAGACTACCTTATTTAACATATGAATGTTTCCCCAATTTGAAGGGCACATGATTCCAAGCCTCGTTTCTCTTCCTTTTAATGTTAATAATAATGAAAGAAAATGATGATGAGCTTTAGTCAAAGTCGATGGGACTACTGTGCCGCTTTCTCCACGGCGCACGCGAGCTGTCGGTCATTGCGCGCCAATCACAATCCATGCCCTCTCAGCGTCATTCTTTTGGAGACCTTGCCGGGCCTCCGAAATTTCCGAAGGGATGAGAGTTTCGATGGATGGTCGTGCGAGCGAGGCATTATTATTCCTTATTAGTTCCGGCCGGGAACCCTACGGCACGATCAAAAGATATACTTTATTGGCGGGAGAAGCTGTGAAAATAAGTAGATAAAGGTAGTAATAATCCAATACATTACCAGACATGAGCCCCCAGTGCTTATATTTTGACTGTATGCGGAGAAGAGGTGTCAGCTCTGATTAAAACACCCCACCTTCATTGATCGATAGACTTGATCTTTTCTTCCTCCACTCACTCCTTCTCTTGTCGCCTTTCCACTTTTCTTCATATTGTTATAGTATATTTATCCGGGGGGCGATCATATCTTGTGTGGTAATTTGTATGACCCCTGCCCCTGGGAAAGGTAGAAAAACATTCCTTCGCTTGCTCTCACTAAAATTATACTGGGCGATCATAGTGACGGAATAATACCCGTTTGGACCAGGCTCTGAAATTATACAGTATTCCACGTCAAATCTTTCCACTATAGATGGTCAAGAGGCGGACGAAGTCGGGAAGTTGCTGCAACGGAACAATGGAATAATACGGAAAAAACAAACCGAAAAGGATCCTGCCGTGGGGTTTATTTCCAGCCCTTGATCCCTAGAGTACATGCGTCGTGATCCTGCGCGTCGGTGCTGGTATCCGACCCTTCTCGAGGGATCATGGCAGCGTTCAGCCCCACCTTTGTGCTGGGCGTGTGCATTCTGCTCTATCTGGCATCCTTCGTCGTCTTTGCCATTGTACGAATCGTCACCGGTGTCTCCATTCAACGAATCGGTTATTTCTCTCTGCGGCGAATAGCATACACTCCTAGAGATGGCGTTCAGATCGAGCTCCGTGGGCTCGGGCTCGTGCTGCATCGACCTACGTTTGCTCAACCAACCTGGCTTAGTGTCGTGCTGGAAGAGCTGCAGGTGACGATTGATCTGACGGCTCTCGGCGGTCAATCAGACGGCGATGCCGTGCTCAAGCAAAATGCCGCTTTCGACAATGCCGATGGTCCCTCGTGTGCCATCGACCCCTCCGAAAGCCATGAAGCATCGCTCCGGTCGGCGCAGGCCGAGCTTCGTGTGAACCAGGTTTTGAAACGGCTGGGAGAGATTAAGGACAAGATCAAGCGATTACATCGAAAATTACACTTGCTGCGGATGGTGGACCTCGTTGCGACCAATTCGTCCTGCGCCATTGTCGACGTCGGATGCGTTGAGGTGGGAAATCTCACGGTTGCGGTTGAGACAAGGAGTAAAATGGTGGAAAGGAGTCGCCTTTTTCAGCATCAACGAGCGCCTTCCAAGGGACAGAAGCCTGCTGAATGGATGTTCTCTGTACGTCGTGTGCTCTTCACCCCGTACGGAAAAGAGTCCCTTGAAGTCCTTGATCATTGCACCCTCAACATCTACGGCCTCCTTTACCAACACCTCGACGGACTGCGCGATGCCTGCATTGCTCTGAAACTCGGCCGAGTCCACATCCCATATGACGACCTCGTAACATGCCGAAATCGTTACCGTCGCTGTCGCTATGCATATCGAAGATCGCATGGCCCGGAGGAAATGGAGGAGATCTCTTTGACGGATGTCATGGAGGAGTGGAACATTCCTGGGAGCCGCGAGGAAAAGATTGTGCAGACAGTCTCCGAGTCAAAGGAATTTGCAAGCTCCATACTACGTGGCATCGAAGAGATTCAATTTGCCGTCAGCTTCGTGGGAATGTCCAAGTCGATAAGGTCTCTACAGCCTTCCGGTTCACCGCTCCGATTGAATATGGCCATGAAAGAAGTAGGAATAGATCTTCACCGCTTAGACCAGGGCAGCCCGAGCCATCGCATGTATTTTGCTCCAGGCGATGTGGCGCACCAAGCCCTGGTGGCCGCCATTTCCATCTCCATCGGCGTGGATGACGGCCAAGGGTTGCCCGAAAAGCTTGTCTATATTCCCATGGCCACGACGACTATCAAGACTACTCTCCCATCCAAGTCCGTGCAAGTCGAGAGGGAGAAGGATGTTGCAGAACGAAATCGAAACATTCTCTTCGCCAACCTAATTGTGACCTCTCCTTCAATCGATTTGGATCCGAAGCACGTCCCTCTAATCTACGCCCTCTGCCAGCCGCGGCCACAACCTGTTGGAGTGCCGCCGCCGCAGTCAAGGAACCATCACCTTATATCTCGCCTTCTCCCAAAAGCTAGTGTCAAGATTTCTGTGCACGAGCCCGTGGTACGGGTTTCACTTCCGCCGGCGGCCCGCGAGAAGAGGGGCGGCGATGACTTTGACCTGCTCATCTCCGCAATATCGTCGGTGTCCTTTGACCTCGAATCAATCCATTCCGCTGAAGGCGAGCTTCACTATTCCTTGGCGTCTACCCTTCGCATTGCATCACACCAATTCTATTATCAAACTGCTGCCGGTGAGAAATATGATGTGCTTTCGATGGACAGCATGGACTTCAAGATGCAATTGAGTGCTTCTCCGGAAATTTACGTCGTTGCATCTGGACATTTCCAAACACTTTCTGTTCACTTTGTCCGTCCCGAGATCACGGCTGGAGTTCGTCAAATTGTGCGACAGCTGCGGCGGGATGTCAGAACTGAAAAGATGAAAGCTCGCAAGACAAAGAGTCAACCCAACTTCCTTAGAAGGCTACCTCCATGGCTCCTTCACTTTAGCTTGCAAGGTTCGGATTTCGGGCTGGAAGTTGCTGGCGTTGACCAAGAGATATCCGAGAATGCTCGCGGCGTTGCTATTCAGCTGGAATCTTGGACCGCAGAGTATAAAGCACAAAAGGACAGCACGCCGAGCAAGAGATCTACCAGGCGACGAACATCAAGTCGATCTCTGCATCCTGACGAAGTTCTCGTGAAACCTGGCGCCTCCCCTCTCGACCCGAAACGTCAGCGAGACCCGACTAATGGGAGAAGATTGGCTTTTCATGTACGCGGACTTGAAGGATTTGTTGTTGAATCAATTGAAGCCTGGGAACAGGATGCATTTTTATCTATTCCTAGATTTGAAGTCGCCTTAACTGCGTCTGCTGATTCGATGGGGCCAGTATTTCACATCAATTCACATGCCAGGTTCATTTCCCTGCAGTATTCTCTCTATCGGCACTACGCTATCGGGGTTGCTGCTATGGTTCTTCGAAAAGTCTTTTTTCCAAAATCAAAGGATCGCGACGGGATGAGGCAATCCGAACAAACTCCATCGGATGATCATTTGAAACCTGCTCGCGAAGCCTCGACGGCTGAACTCGCTCCGGAATCTCCTCCCGAGTTTATTCTTGTGGACATCAAAGCAGCATTTTTGCAGATCAAAGCTACCATGCCTGCAGATCCTCCAATGCTTCTTCAGATGTACCATCTTGAAATGGGCCGCCATCGCTGGAGCGATTCCTTCCTAAAAGCCCGCCTCATTCGGCTTTGTGCAGAAGCTCCCAAAGTCAAAGGCACGTGGGCACGGCTTTTCAGCCTGAAGAATTCTCGCATGGACCTCCGCGAGAACCGTGAAAAGCAAGGCTCAAAAACAACCAAGGAGAGATCAATCGATATGTCCATGGATGGCATCAGACTTGGCGTCCCTCACCAACTTATCCTTCACAAAGTATTCGATAATTTTGTCAATGTCACCAAAGCAATTGAGCAGCTGCACCATCGCTTTAAGACAGAAACAAACGAATATATTCTTGAAAAGCATCCTCAGAAACCTCGAAGACTTCCAAAAATTTCCGTACGCTCCAAGCTCCTTTTATTTTTATTGGAAGACGGCGCCTTTGAATGGAAGCTTGGAAATATCTATCGAATGGGCTTGATTGAGCAAAAGCAAAGACAAGCTCGAGAAGAAGCCTTTAAAGCTAAAGTAAAGCATTTGCAAGACCGAGATCAACAAAGAAGTTCTTCTAGATTTCGACCTCGTGCGGAAAATCAACAGTCGGGAGAAAAGGATACAGCAAAGGATACAGAGGGTAGGAGCAGGGAACGGGGTCGAAGCGATCCTCGGTCCGCCTTCAGCAGCAAGAAGATGCGTTACAATCCAGAGGGAACATGCGGATTGAGTGATACATCCCGTGTCACGGTCAAGGAAGCATGGTATCGACTACAACAGCATAATTCGGCGAGCTGGAAGAAGCGCATTGACGGAGCCATGCAATTCCAGAACCGAGCAATGAGAGAAATACGTCAGACATTTTGGGGCTTAGATGAGGTGCCAAATGATGTAGAGGACACGGAAAGGATTTTGGCAATTCCCGACCGGCCTGGATTAATGGCCACCCTCGTTCATAACCTCCACATTCTTATCGACAAACCATCATTCCCCCTGGAGGAGTATCCGGAATTTCTTCATAGGGTTGGGAAAGGGATGCCTCGCGACATGCAATATTCCCTTCTCCTGCCAATGAATGTCCAAATCAGCATGGGTGAGGTCCGTTCGACGCTCCGAGATTATCCGCTGCCGTTACTGCATGTTCCCGGATTACGATTAGACCAATCGCCACGCCTCCCGAGCTTGTCATTGTCAACAGACTTTGTTATCGCTGAAGAATTTCGAGACGCAGAGTCAACGAGGCATGTCAGGGTAGAGATTGTGCCGCCAGAAAAAGTCAAACCTGCCTCAAACCGGAGAGGATTTGCCATCGATGTTCGGAGGACTGTATCACCGGTCAAGACGTACTCGGATGTCAACATCGATATTAACACCGCGTACGCGACGAAAATTACTTGGGGTACATCCTATCAACCGGCGATTCAGGACATGATGATGACGATCGAGGGATTCACCAAACCACAGATTGATCCCTCTGACCGTGTTGGCTTTTGGGACAAGCTACGTCTTAACACGCACTCTCGCATCAAGGTCAACTGGAAAGGAGATGGAGATGTCCACTTAATGCTAAAAGGTAGCTCTGCTTGGTCCTTGTTGCCTGTCAAAAAAGATTGTTGCATGCTGACAATGACTTGATAGGTTCTCGTGACCCTTATGTTGTCACGGGCCACGGTACTGGCTTTGTTATGTGCTGGCGAAATGACGTGAAATGGAACATTGCTCAGGATGAAGATCCAAGAAAATTCATGACTGTAGACAGTGGAGAATACGTGCTTGCGATTCCCGACTTTAGTCACCATGCTCGCCAAGCTCTGGAGTACTCGGGTCATGATTCAGAGAGCGTGTCATCGGATAGCAGTCATAAGAATAGGGCCTTGTTTCGAAAGGTTATTATGAAGCTATCGGGCAACGTGCGGTGGCTCGCAGGTCTAGTTTTCGAGCAAAACCTCGAAAATGGCCAGCGTTCTTTCGAATTTAAACCTCATTATGATGTGATCCTCAAAAATCCAGAGTTTGCCAAGGCTCCAGAAGGACAGGTAGGCCATTTTGCTCTCGGAACATCTTCTTGCAAAACATCCGCTCACTGTATTCGATTAGGTTTATGACGCCATGAGAGGATTTCGAAGTCATCACTTGCACCTGTCTATTGCAGTTGTAGCGCCTCTCGATCGGGACTGGTCAGTGAACAATCTCAAACCGTCATCGAGTTATAATACTGTGCATCTCTCGCCTCGATTTTTCACGCATTTCTTCAACTGGTGGTCATTGTTCTCAGGAGCCATGTCTTTGCCAATCCGGCAAGGCAAGCTTTGGCCTGGCATTGACAAATCAAGCAAGAAATTCGGCCGTCATTTGGCCACCATTAAATATAACTTACTTTTATCGCCCCTCTTCATCAGCCACATCTACAAGCACAAGGATGCGGAGGATTACAGCGAAGACGCCGTTGCGGCGACAGGGTTGAAGCTACGCTTGGACAGCTTTATGCTTGATTTGCATCAACGCCGAGAAGAATTTGCCCCCAAAGCAAAGGGACGCAAAAAGGGTCCCAAAACTAGTGGAATGAGAATCAACCAAGCCCAGCTGGATTTCATCGCAGCCGACTTTCGAGCAGTCTCTGCGAACATTACTGGTACTCGACAAGAGGACCTCAAGCATGCAACGGAGGAAACACTAGCCTCTTACCAGGAGCTGGTACCATCTGTTGACATGTCGCGCTTTCAAATTCCCGACAATGACTTCTCCTGGATCGATATGGATGATTTCGTTGAGCTAGACTGGATCTTACCAGCCGAAGCTAATCCCGAAACAAAGATTATGCCTCTTGCGTTCACACCGCGTTTTACATATTTCCGGCAAACAGATCATTTGGGCTCTGGGTCTGAAGACACTACGAGATTCAGCCCCTTTGGCAATGAGCCAACCCATTACTGTGTCATGTCTAATGAAAATGATCCTCGCAGAGTTCAATGTGATTTGATCAAAGAGCGGCTCGAAAATATTGATCAGCAAATGGAAAGTAATCAAAGATCGATGGGAGAAATGGAGCTGAGGGTGATTAGAGACGAGAAACGCAATGATGCGGATGCGCATCATGAACTTCGAACACTCCAAGAGCACGATCAGGAGCTTCGTTCAAGGAGGGAATTTCTAAAAGGGCTGCTAGGACGCCATCAACAGATTCTGAAGGCGAATACTGCTGTGAATGGAAATAGTACAACGGATGAGGCGGGATCCAATTCAGATGCCGACCCTACTAGTGGTTCGACTAATGACACGTCTGACGCCGCAGATGCAAATCTGGAACAGGAGCCCCTTTCTGAATACGCCAGCGACTTCAATAACAGGTTTTTGATCCACAATATTCAGCTAAAGTGGAATAATCCTCTCCGCGATATCATCATGCGCTACATTCATCAAGTCAGCCAACGACGTGGCTTTGTCTATTACATGTCGCGGAAAGCTGTCAAATTCATCATCGACATTGTTGAAGAGCAGAATCGGGCCAAGGAGAACGGCGTGAAACCGTCAAACGCGTCGAATGTCTCGTCCAACCCTCAGTGTCCAAACTGCAATGTGGACGAAGAAGATGCGGCAAGCATTGAAGATCGCATCCAGCAGCTTCTGGACGATGCGAACAAATTTGTCGATGCCGATGATCCAGAATCCCATGAAGCTGGCAGAAAGCCTAGCGCCGACGATGCAGATGAGATTTCGAAAGAGTTCACGTCTCAGAACAGTTACCATATCCGCCTTGTTGCTCCACAAGTCCAGCTGCAAAGCGACAAGAATACAAATGCAGCGGTCCTGGTCACTGCAAAGAGCATGCAGCTCAAGGTAGTTCAAATTATGGACAAGGACCGTGTAACAGATAACATTAGCGGTCTGGTCCAGCGCCGTTTCAAGGCCGATGCTGAGGCAGTTCAATTTTTCGTTACTCTGCAGAAAGACTTTTCTACCTTGAATCTTCACATGTATTCTGGTCGGCGGTATGGCACAACTCCTAGTTCCTTCTGGCCCCCGTGGGTACCACTGGAGGTTATGTTTGATTTCCGATCCAATCCATATGGCTTTTCGCGTGTTGTACAAAAGACCTCTGCCAGTCTGAGGTACGAAAAATTTAACACTCTCCGATTGAAGTATAACGACGAGGTATCAAAGGGGCAGCTTGGCCGGGGCGATATGCCTGAGCAGCTTCAAAGTCGCCTAGACCATCTGTGGATTGAGTTTCCCCACATTAGGGCGATTTGTGACTCCTCACAATATTATGCGATCTATATTATTGTCCTTGACCTTCTTCTGTACAGCGAACCGTTGGAGAAGGTGCGAAGCGAAAGGCTGGAGAAGATTATGCTTGCCTCCGACTTCAGTGATTTACGAGGAGCGCCAGAGTTGATTATCTGTCTTCAAGAACGAATTCGCCGCCTCGAGGAGATCAAACTGCATTTCCAATTAAACGCTCGGTATTTGGACCGACAAGGTTGGCAGGATCGAGTTGCACTTGAGCAAGACTTGACCAATTGCGAAGATGAACTATTCTTTATGATGAAAGCCATTACCACTTCTCAGCGCAGGACCGAAGGCTTCCAAGATAATGAGACAAATACATTGTTGAGGTGGAATCTTTCTGCGACTGAGATTGTCTGGCATCTGATGCGAGAGCAAAATGAGCCGTTGATGGAATTTCAACTCAAGAATGCTGCGTACGACCGCATGGATAATAGCGATGGGTCAAATTACAATTCAGTCGAAGTTGGTGAGATTCTAGGGCTTAATCTGCTCCCTGATGCCGTTTATCCAGAAATGATTGGTCCCTATTTTGACGAGAGCGCCAAAGCTTTCGCCGAGGGGCGAGAAGCAAAAATGCTGCGGGTATACTGGTATATGCTAGAAGCAATTGCAGGCATTCCAGTTATGGATCAGTTCGAAGTCAACCTTTTCCCGATGAAAATCCAGCTTGAGCGTGAAGTTGGCAAGCGGCTTTTTGAGTACATTTTCCCGGGCGTCGGCTCAAATGCCTTTGATAATGGCAATTTCTCCCCTTTTATGGTCAAGCACATGCAGCCTGTCACGGAGGAGAAGGAAGACTTTCAGCGGCATGCCTCGGGCGACAGTATAGAACCATCAACTAGCGGCGTTAATGGACAGGACAACCACGATGGGGATTCTTCGGACCAAAAGACCGATTCAAGCTCACTGGCGGTGCGACTCAAGCCTACACTAACGTTACCGGACCGGCGACCTCGGTCGTCGCACAAGCAGACTGGTCCAGCAGGAGGAGCACATCATTTCCGACTGTTCCAGCATCAAGATAAGTCCCAGTCGGGAACCCGGCTGCCAATCCCGCGATCGATCAACAAGCAGAGCTCGACAGATAGCCTTCGCAAAGCATTTAAAAAGCCAGAACGATCCATGACGAATAATTCGACACACAATGCGAATGGTAGCGCCGAACGTCCAAAGCGCTTCCCACTGCAGCGGAACCACAGCAACGAAAAGCAAGCTCGAGAAAAACGCCGAGCATCTGATGATCTCAGTCAGATGATGGCACGTGCGTCCAACTATATGACGTTGGCATACGTCAAAATTCCGAGTGTTGTTCTTTGTTTAAGTTACAAGGGCCGCGGCGAACGCAACATTGAGGACGTTCACGATTTTGTGTTCCGACTGCCCACGATAGAGTACCGCAACAAAACGTGGTCTAATCTTGATCTGGCGCTTCATCTGAAGAAGGATGTTATTCGGGCTTTAATCTCTCATACGGGAGCCATCATTGGCAATAAGTTGTCTCATCATCGGCCGAACAAGGTTCAGCAGAATCGTCTTCGGGAGCTTGTCAGTTCGTCCGTTATGCTTCCTTTGCCCGACCATGGCCAAGGGGGCAGCGATTCGAGTAGCATGCGTGAGGGCGACGATCGAGATCTGTCGCCCAACCCTTCTGGGTCTCGACCGGCTCTTATGAATCGGTCGGAATCGTTTGCGTCAACGACATCGGCTGGAGGACGCAGCAGTGTTTTCGCCTCAGAGCCGCCATCGGCGCCGGGGTCTATCATGGAAGATGACGAGCATGAGGTGAGTGTTTCCCGACCAAGATTTTGCAATCGGAAATTTTATTGATGATTTTTTTTTAGCAGCCTGATCATCATCATCATCATAAGTCTCCTTCCTTTTCAACTCCACTTGGTCGCCACATAACCACTCTCAGCCAGTTGGCTCGTCAGAGAGGTTTGCCCCCGGAAGAGTCTGAAGAAAGGTAAGACAAAGTGTCATGGCCTCGTTTTAGATGTTTATTTGTCTGACAGACTTTGAAGCAGTTTTCGCCGCAAAGGAAAATTGCTTCTAGGCAAGAAGCTCCTCGGAAATTCCGAGTAATATGCATCAAGGATTCTGACTCCTCTGTCAACCTAATGTACATTCACTCATGGCCAAACCTTGGCGTCTTTTTCGGTCCTCTTGACACTGTTATTTGATTTCATATAATAACGATTCCCCAGCAAGCTCTTTCTTTTAATTGAGGGGTTGGCGTTGTATATTTTCATTCTACCGCGGGCGAGCCGACTTTAATCGAGTCGCAAAGTTTATTTCTGCTTTCCGTCTTTATCATGGTACGTTCACGTTCAACGATCCCAGCTTTTTGGGACTGTCATCTCTTGTCCGGAGAGCGGCGACAGTTCCTGGATATGGGTATTATTTGTGCACCAGGCGTATGATATACAGGGCCTTTATACTTGTCGCTTTACGGAGGTATACCTTGGTATGTTTTTTTTTTTTTTTAATTGTCGTGTTTTCCCTCATAAACAAAGAGGAGGATTTTCAGATTAGTGTATTTGTATGTGCTGTACAGGACTGGTATATAATGTATTGCTACACACTGTATATATAAAAGATATGTACCTTATTAAGAGATACAGTCTCTGGTATTGACAAGCTAAATATGTGTCCATCTCTTTCTGCAGTTTATTGTCTGTTGTAATGCTTTTGAAATTGTCTATGGACTTTGGTGCTAGATGAATCCCACCATGGCTTTCTTTGGACTTTGACGTACTCCCGAATCAATGGTGAAGGGTTCGCTGTAAACAGTATGCCAAAACGGAAAGGCAACTCCACGTGATCCCTTGGTAAGCCAGTCATTAGACAGCTAATCTATCTGAGTAGGAGATGACCGATACGTCATACCTGATTGCTACGGAGCAACCCACCTGAAAACATAAGGTAAGGTAGTTAACTATAGCCAGAGTACATACGGTCCCGCTAACCCCGAACCAGCCAAACGACAGGACTACCAATGCTTTTCCCCGCTTCCCCACACACTTAACTACGCTTAGTCATTAGTCTTATTGGGGTTCAATGTGGGGAAGACCGAGGATCCCGAGGACGTTGAAAGGCTGACAGTCCCGTAAGCCTCCATCCCCCCGCGCCTCTAAACGCCCCTCTCGTCATTGTACTTACCGTGTATCATGTATAAGAAACCTTAGGTAGGGAGGTAGGAGGTAGGTTGTCCAACGGCTGAACTTGTACGAAGTATTGTCTGCTGTAATAATCCCGTGCAGAGACTTGGAGAATCTCACCCCGTTGTCTGGTTTGTCTGATTTGTCTGATTTGTCTGGTTTGTCGACTCCCGCAACTACCTACCGAATCCTCCAAAGAGGCCTCTGCTACTCCGTATAGTAAGGTAACTTTAGCCCTAGCTTACTGCACCTAAACCCCGTAATCTACCCCGGAGAGCGCTCCTCCGACCCCAAACTCCCCTCCTTCGTCTCTGTCACCTTCAACCCGTCGTCAGCCCTCGGCTTCCTCTTCTTCTTCTGCTTCATCATCGTCGTCGTCGCAGACTCGCATCGCATCCCAACGCACTTTTTATATTTGCGTTGCTCGCTCTGCTCGGGGGCTTTGGTTATAAGAGACACCAGCCAGAAAGATCAGCGAGGAATAGACGTCAAGTCAAACTTGCCCTCCAGTTCGATTCGTCGAGCATTAAGACAGACGCACGGAAAATACGAAAGAGGCTCACGGACGAGTGACCGCCAACGGTTAAACAAAAAACCAAAAAAGCAAAAAGAAAAAAGGAAATATCAAAATGTCTACAGGAGGAGGATACGTTCCCCCGCCCTCAGTGGGCCATGAAATTGGCGTCATGTTTGGCTTTCTCGGTGCGTTTTTTTCCTTCCTCTTCTCTTCCCCTCCTTTATTTTCTTCACCATCTTTTAAGGTCTACATACTTCAACACGTATAATACGATGATTACTGACTTTTTGAAGGAGCCATGGCTCTATCCATGGGCCTGTACGCAGTGGTATGGAACATGGGCCAGAAACGCAGTGCCGCCAAGGAGCTCGAGCGCCGCAAGTTACTCACCGAAAAGGGCATCGGTACGCACTTGGACGCGCCGCAGATGTCGACATCGGCGTAGTCGGACAATGGTCGTAATATGGGTCGATATAGCCAAGCCATACGTCAAGCGAGTTACGGGGTGATAGCAAGTCTAGGCTTGGAGCTCCCGAGATAGTATGCTTCGAATGTGTTGACTGTCATGTCGATTTGTCCTTTGCGTATGTTTATCAATGTTCTTTGTATGTGGAGTTATTCCCTTTCTCTCTCTATGTGGGTTTTTGTTAGTAGTTTCGGGTTTGCTTGTCATGTTTCATTTGAGATTCCAGGTTTGGTGTACCGCTTGACGAATGAAATACGCATGCGATGTACTGCGGATTCTATGGGTACTAGGTCTGGGTTATCTAAGTAAATTGAATTGTTACGGTTTTATTTCTCCTCATTGTAGATGGAAACGTTGTGATTTATGAATCATGTCAATGTCTTTATTAATATGATCCAATGCAGTTCAAGTATCTCGTGGTATAACTGTACATGAGGCTCGCCGCTTGAATGAATACGATGTTCGATAGATGCAATGTGTAGGGTATCTCCTCCTCCTTTCTTCACATGAGAACGAGACCACAAAAACAGTTATCTTGGGGGAAAGTGACCATATGTGGTCATGATATGAAGGAGGATATATATAGCGGGAGCGGGGGATGATGAAAATGAAAAGAAAAGAATAAATAAAATGAAAATGCAAATACTAAAAAATGAAGATAACAGAAATAATAATAGAGGGACTATCTAGCTCCGGTAGAACAGACAGGCGAACTCCACCCGACCGTCCAGCGGACACTGCCCATGATGAGGACCAAGAGCGCAAGAGACACGCCGACGCTGACGAGGCCGTAGACATACGCGTGTCGTCTTCTCAAGCCATTGAGTTCCATGACCCAAGTGCTCACGGTGGTCAAGCAGCCGCAAAAGCCGTCCATGATGCCCTGGAGGACCTGACAGCCCGTGACGCCGCCGCCGACAATGCCCAGGGATGCTGCCGTACTACCACCGCCGCCAGCAGGAAGACGGACGTGCTGCAAGTCATACGCCATGCCGAGCACAGCAGTGCCAAAGACGTTGACGGTAAACGTGCCGAGGGGAAAAGAGGCGACGAGGCCGTTGAGCAGCAAACTCAGGTAGAAACGGAGCAGGCAGCCGAGCGGGGCGAAGACGATGGCGAAGACGGCCTCGCCGCGCCAGTGGTCTTTTGAAGAAGAAGAGCGGTCAGGAGGCCAGATGGCGAGAAAGACGGCGCCGAGCCAGGACGTCCACGCGACAAAGACCATGACGCGGTCAAAGACTTTGCGCATAAAGAGGAACGGGAGCGTAGGGAGGACGGGCTCGAGCAAGAGGGCGAGGTGTGCGCCGATTTTGAGCGCGGACATGCAGAGACAGAGCGTCAGGATGAGGACGGCCAGGACGGCCATGAAGCTGTATCCGCCGTTGCGGGGGACAGTGGATGACGAAGATACAGCCACGGGAGAGGGGTGCGAGACGGGCGTGGGCAGGTTGTTGGAGAGCGCGAGAAAAGTGTCGCGCATAAAGGACGAAAAGGTGGTAAAGGAACCGCAGAAGCCCGTGGCGAGGCCGATGAAGAGCGGCAGTGTCTTTTTCACTTTGACGTGGGCGGCGAGCAGAGCGGCGCGGTCGGCGGGCGGGGGCGGGGGTGGTTGTTCTTGTTGTCCTGCTTGTTTTTCGGTGTCGTCAATGGTAGATGAGGATGCGCCGTTGCTCTCTCCATTGGGAGGGGATTCGTTGGGAGGTGTAGAAGTGGTGGTCGTGGTCGTCGTGTCTCCCTCTGCGTCCGCCTCGGCCTCGGCCTCGGCCTCTGCTTCTGCGACTTTGACCGATTTGCCCCATTCTTCGCGGAACAGTTTGCGGTCTTCACTGAGGAAACCCATAAACAGGCTGCCTGCGAAATTGGCCCAGAGTTCGCCCATGGCGACAGGTGCGCCGGGGTACATGGTGAGCCATTGCAGGCCGAGCCGGGCGAGGGTGCCGAAGATGGAGAAGAAGATGAGGTAGGAGACTGTGTAGAGTTGGGTTGCGTTGGTAGAAGAGAGGGCGTATTTGCGATACCATGGCCGCTCTTGCTGGGCCAGGGCTTCGAGGCGTTCCTTTTCCGCCTTTCTCGCGGCGTCCTGGGCCGCAACATGCGCCTGGGCAGCTTGCAATTCACCGGCAAGCGACGCGCCGCGACTGCGCCGCCGCTCGAGTTCTTCTCGTCGGTGCTCCTTTTCCCACGCGCGCGACTCCTCCAGCGACCGATGCCGGTAGTATGCCGCCTCGTGGGGATTCTGGAGCGGAGACGGGCCCGCGAGTCCGTCGAGATTGGCAAAGTTGTCGGGGAGATCAAACTCGATGTGCTCATCTCCTCCTCCTGCTTCCGGGCTCTCTGAACCAAACACTGACGACCGCCGCCGTCGGATTGCTGAAGACTCTCTGGGGGCGCCACCACCGGTGGCAGTAGCACGTCTGTTTGGCGGTGGAGTTTGAATGGTTGCTCGTCTTCGGATAGTAGTGCGTGGTTGGGTGTCTTCATAGGGCTCATCAATAGGAGGCGGGCCCAGCTCGTCGAGATTTGCATATCTGTCGGGCATTTCCAGGCTCTGTTGTCGTTCTGCGTACGAGGGATGCCGGCGAAGATGGCCCAGCTCGCCGACCATGATGCTATTTGCACGAGATCGGCGACGCCCGCGGCTCCGGCTTTCCCGTCGTCGTCCTTGAGGCGGTGTAGACGACCGCTGGCGCCGCCCCTGTCGGAAATCCTCGAGCGTCGTATGCAAGGAGAAGCGCCGCTCATCGGGGTTCTGCACGGGATCAGGCCCGACTTCTCCCAGATTGGCAGCATATGGGATTGATGATGATGTTGATGCATGGTCTGCTGCTGCTGTTCCACCATGATGCAAGCTGTGTGACCGTCGTCGACGAGAAGATATCGAAGGCAGCCGGGGTGAGCTGCGAGGACTAGGCTCTTCCGGATCCGCCGCTGTCGGGACAGGTCCTGCATATTCGTCCCCTGAAGTATCCAGTGGCGCAGGAGCAGCCAGCTCGTCCAAATTCGCGGTTTCGCGTCGTTGCAACGACATTGCGTTTTCTTTCTATTTTTTTATTATTCTTATACTTCAAAGCCGTTATAATATCGTGGAAAAGAGAGCGTAAGGAGCTCTATTCCGTCTCGCACCGACAAACGTGCCCCCCTCCCTTCCGAGCGCGGGACGGAGCGCTGTCTCTTTCTCTTCCCCTTTTCCAGGTTGTTAAGCGCCAGGTCCCAGGGACAGGACGGTAGATATCATCGGACAGGCCGCAGAAATAATTTTTCTCTCCGTCTGTTTTGTTGAACAAAAACCAAGAGGGAAGCTTTGCTGTTGGTTTTGAGAAATTATATTCAATTCACGTGATCATAATTTATATCCTGCCGGTCCGTGATAGCCGCCCTAGCCGGATAAGGACAAGTCTACTCTGATTCGTCCAAAGGGTTTCCGCCTCGTCCTTTTTACGTTCCACGCGAAGGCGCAAGGCAGCGTACCGGTACTTCTTGGCTCTCGTCTGTTTCCGTGCCAAGCAAGGTGTCTGTACCTTATCTCTTCTTATCAGCCTATCGGAGCTGACTCCCCTCCCCCGCTCCGCCTGGAGCGAGTTGCGGCAATATGTCATGTCAACAAACGACTACACCTCATTTCCTAGAGCTGACTGCACTCTTTAATTCTTTCTGAATGCTACTTTCTCTTCTCTGAATCTACTCGTTTCATCCTCTCCTAATAAATATACAAGTAACATCTCGAGTTATACTCAAATACTCCACTCAACTTACACAACAACAACAACAACAACAACAACAACAGCATCCCCGGTGTCCACTGCGATGACAAGCCTCCCGTCCAACGTCCGCGTCTCGACGCATCCATGCCTCAAAGCAAAGATTTCGCAATTGCGCTCATCTTCGTCTCATGCGCGCGTTGTCAATGCGCTCGTGCATGAGATTTCCACAATACTAGCCTGCGAGGCGCTGGCCAGCGGACTGACTACGAAACCTGGAGACACCGTATGTCTATCTTTGCTTGTTGTGCACTAGCTCTATTCTGTTCCTGTTTGCTCCAGAATATCAGCTCCACTCTATTCTCTTTCCCTCCCTCCCTCTACGCTTCCGTCAAGCATACATTCGAAACCCTTATAGGTCCTCTGTATCTAACACGTATCCCGGGGACAGGACACCACTCCACTAGGATACACCTACACAACCGACGGGATCAGCCCGACACACATTTCGCTCGTGCCTATTCTGCGCTCCGGTCTGTCCATGGTAGAAGGTAATTCGTCCCATTCCTAGTCTTTCTTTGTGGAAGTCCTTTGGCATCCCAGGCCTTCCTCTCCTCTCTCCCCTCTCTCCTCTTTCCTCTCTCCTCCCCCCGCCTCGCCCTTCTCTCCTTTCTATGCCCTGCAACATCCACAACATACCCACTATACTTCAACATGCACAAAGAACACCTCAACTATTCGGCCTTTCCCTTCTTCCCCTCCCCCCCCCCCCCCCCCCCCCGTGGCCCAATCCATCTACCCAAAAAAAATTAAATAAAAATAAAACTGCCCCCTTTCCTCCCCTCAACCCCACCCACACACGCACAGAGAGAGAGAGAGAGAGAGAGAGAGAGAGTCAGAGTCAGCGAGACACATCCACCCGCCCACCCAAAAACCTAACCCCAACGTAAACCACTAACCCCCATCCTGCAGCATTCCAAACCCTCCTCCCGCACTCCGTACCCGTGCACCACCTCGGGCTCTTCCGCGAACCCAGCACGCTGCAACCAGTCGAATACTACAACAACCTGCCGTACCACCGGCCATCAAGCACGGGCGCCGAGACGAGCGCCGCGTCGGACCTCGCGATCCTGCTGGACCCGGTGATTGCGACGGGCGGGACGGCGTCGGCGGCGATCCAGACGCTGCGGGAGTGGGGCGTGAAGAAGGTGATACTGGTGAGCGTGGTTGCGAGCGCGGCGGGGGTGGCGCATGCGGCGGAGGAGTGGACGGACGGGGTGCAGGTGCTTGTGGGCAGCGTGGATGGGGAGTGCGATGAGCAGGGGATGATTAAGCCGGGACTGGGCGATGTGGGGGATCGGTTGTTTTTGACGATTGGGAAGTAAGTTACATCGCGGGGGGAGGGAAAGGTGGGGGGGGGGGAAGACGGGATGACGGGAAGAAGAGAAGATGGGAAGACGGAATGACATGGATATTTTTAAATCTGTTAGATATAAGATACGAGTACAAGAAGGAGAAATGAATGATAAACGAGTAAATGTCTTCTCAGTGGAAATGTTTTAAAGTAGTTGTTTTTTTGCAGTGTGCTTATTGCTATCGAGTGCCTGGTTTCTTGTTGTGACGTCTCTTGAAGACATTAAAAACAGAATTGCAAGTGCTTAGTTCTGTGGCTCAATCATACCATAGTTATTCAAATCAACATATCAATACCGGACCCATCTCAAGTCAGGCTGATACATAACGCCAAATTCCATGTGCTAAAAAAGACAATATAACAAAGACACGAAAAAGAGAACAAGTCAATAAGTGACCGCTGCCCTAAAATCGCCCATACCACCATATCACTGCAAAAATACCCAGTATAACTTCCGTCACCAAAGGCCCGACAAAGAGGGCGGTAAACAAGCCCGTTTGCAACATTGGTGCTGAGAGCGTTCCCCCTGCATTCTTTTCTGGACGATAAACCGTCTGATTCACAGTCATATTCGGCTGGTGAGAAAAGAAAAAAGTATTTCCAGTCTCATTCCCATTAGGGCCAATGGGACTTGGAGGCACCAGCTGGTCGGGAATGAGGCAGGTTGCACGAGCATCAGACGAATCTTTACATCGCCGAGCGTAATCTGCATGCCGGCTATCTAGCGACGAGTTAAAGTAGGCTTTGACGTACGATATACTCAAAAAGGCATCTTCTGTAGGAGGCCCACGAGACCATTTCGAGTTACCGTTGCTCCAGTGGTTCATAATCAGATGACCGGGTTTCGTCGGGACCGCATCGGAGCTATCCCAAAGCCAGTGACCGTCGGCATAAAAAGAGACCTTTCCAGGTAACCAGTCAAAACGGTACTCGTGGTAGTCTTCGTCAGGGCGGAAAGGCAGCTCATAAAGGCGAAATGTAGTAGTATGGCTGGCATCATACCCTGCTCGAGCAGACTCCGGCGACTGCAAGACGAGATTAACGGGTGAAGATGAGGAATTGAGCTCACTGGAAAGAAACTCAATATCAATTTCTTGAGTGTTGTTGAAAAACTTGGAATTACGAATAAATGTCAGTCCATGTCAAAAAAGAAAATAGGGTATTAGACATACCCAGAAGAATGCTCCACAAGTCCCAGGTGTCCCACTCAGCTTCATGGCAATACGAAAACTTCCATACAAGATATCGTCCCTTTGGGATGCGACTTCAGCCGTTCCAACAAGCCGTTCACTTTGGCCATCAGCAGCCTGTTCTGGCTCAAATTTGCGCACATAGAGCCGAAGACCAGGATCACCACCAGAGACAGTGGGCCCAGAGTAGGAGTAATCATCCTTGATCGGATTCTCGATGACATTCATCAGTTGCCTAGCCTCACCGTAAGGTCCACGCGCTGCTTCTGCAGTGATATTGTACTGCTGAGGTACCCAATCCGTATCTAGGGTGATGTTTTGAACGTGGAGGAAATCCGACTCCAACAATTCGGTGAAGACAATAGGGTCATTCTGGGAAGAGCTGCAGTAATATCCGCATTCACAGTCGGCAAATGCTTGAGTGAGTTAGCCAGATCGTATTTTGTTTGCGTCAATAGGCAAAGAGAAGAACTTTCCAGAAGTGACAGAAAGTGTGGGAAGATGAAGTGAAGCATTTCAGAAACAGTACAATGTCCGACTCACCGACTCTCAGCGCACTGATCAAGACCAATGCCACAATCTTGATGACATTTGAAAGACATATTCCAGGCGCCAAAACCGTCGGACGCGGAGAGATGTGCGGTAAGAACTCCTCACACGCGCGTATGATCGCACCAATCTTCATATTTGAGATAAGATGCTCAACTGGAGAAACCTCCTTTAAGAAGGTGACGGGTGTCTGATGGACTCGTGGCGACCTGACGAAAGCAAGCTGATGCCTCCTCGCAGGAGTGCGTATTTGTACCTTTGACTAACGAAGTTGAGGCAATTTTTATGAGGAGGTTTGATCTAAGAAATACCAGATTTTGTTGTGAGATGTTTGGAAAGAGGTTCAATGGAGCTACCTAGATCAAGAGTCGACAAGGACAGACTTCAGATGAAAGGAAGAGTGGGAAGAGGAGAGTGGGAAAAGAGAGAAAGAGAAATCAGAATATAGATAGGGGTCTAAGCAGGAGCTCTATGCTTGAAAAAATGAGGCTCAAGAGTTCGGTGGTGGGAAAAGACGTGAGTGAGTGAATGAGATCGGCCTTGGAGAACGTAAAAGGGAGTCGAAGTCCCCGCAGCTGGCATCTGCTTAGTATCCTATTGATCCTATTGTCAACGTATTTAGAAAGAGCCTGTCTGCAGCGCCTTCTCTTCCAGTTGAACTGCTTTTCGAACTGTGATGCTCCTGAACAAGAAAGGCAAGAACTAAAGAACAAGGCCCGTAAATGAGATTAATTTCCATTGGTGGGCCAAACTTAGGTCAAAAAAAGGCCGGATATCGGCCATTGAAATTCCAAGATGCAGAGAAGTGAATATTCTATGCCGGCACAAGGAAATGATGCCCCTAAATCCTTCGGTCGCTCCTTCCATAGTTGCAATGACCTACAGGAAAGTTGTACTGGACTTTCCTTGGTACATTTTAGAGTATGACGTACGGATGGACCTTACTCTAAAGGCACAGACTGCCAAGGTATCAGCCTAAATCGCTCGACCTATAAAACCAAATTTGATGAAGAAGAAGAAGAAGAAAGATAATAATATAAATAAGAATAAGACTAATTTGCAGTGATCAAGATCGTCGTCGGGGTTGGAAGAGGCTACTTGGTTTGAGCTCTTTGCCCAGAGGAGTTGTTTCTCCGCAAGGATATTGTAGCCGACGACGTACAAGGCAAGAATAAACGAACGAGTACGTTACCGCACCTTTCAATCGTTCCAATGACCAAGCAAGAGACCTGACACAATCATGTCCAAACAACTCGGAAGGTTTGCTTCAGCAACACGTTATCTCAGCGTCGGCTCCATCGCACAGAGTGATCAAAAACAAGGTAAGAGCGAACTTAAGAGAGAAGAATTTCGTTGCTTGTAATTAAATTTTAAACGCTTATACAACAATTTAAAAACATGCTAAACTTGCTCGAGCAATAAACAAAGACCAAGTGGAGATGCATGCTAGTTAGATGCCAGCAAAATCCAGATAAACGAAGAGATAATACTACAAAGACAAATGGAAAGTCAAAGATTACTCAGAACATGACGAGGGAGGTCCCGAAATGAGAAAACAAAAAAACAGCGCATAAACAATAAAAGCATTATTACGATGACTGAATTTTGGAATAACCAGACCAGATACTTTTCAGAGGCAAGCACGCTGGCCGCCAAAAGTTCAAGTTCAAACAAGGACAAACAAGAAAAGCAACGAGATCCGAAAAAGGAAAAAAAAAGACAAACAGACGCAGAGCGTAAGCAACAGAAATATATATAAAACAAACAGAACAAAGCTTGCAGGCGCAGAGGCGAAGAAGGGACATGTGAAAGAATTGACTCGGAAGAAAAGACAAAAAAAAAAAAAAGAGGCAAACAATAAACGGCTATATCGAACAAGGTATACAAAAAGGAGAAGATTAGGCAATAATACTAAGATGCAAAGAGGGAGTATCGAATCGAAAATTAGAATAATTTGAGTCGTCGGCGCAAGTCCCCTGCCAGCGGAGTTCTTGCAACCAGACACTCGGGAATATTAAGTCAAAAGGGGAATCTTTTCCAAACGACCGAAAAGAGAAAAAGAATCCAAGGGAAAAATTCACACGCAGAGAGACTCCCCAACCACCTCCGTATTTGCCCCCAAACCGTAATAACCTAGCCGAAGGACCAAACCAGAGATGCAAGCGCAAAAAGACGCTTTGCTGACGCAAAGAATGCCCAGGGAGTATAAAGACGGGAAAATGCAAAAATCACAACGCCCTCCCCAAGATTGGGAAAGGTGTGCGGGGAGAAGTGCCATTCTAAGAGAAAAAATGAGGGAAGAGAAATTCGTAAGAGGTCGTAATGATTAGTGTATGCGTGTGTGGTTTGTGTAAAGTAGAATTATGTCTTGAGCAGACCGGCTAGTAAGCCAGTTGCATAGGCAAATGTTCCTCCATCCGGTGAGAGCACATCGACGGAGTAGATGAACCGGAGCAGGATAAATCGTCGTCATAGCTTCGAAGTGCTTGAGAGTGAAGCTTGAAGGATTCGCCGACCAGTTTGGTGATACTAGGAGATGGCGTTAGCAAGGAATCATGGAGGTTCAAACACGTCTCAAAACTTACCCCCAGACCACAACCTCATCCAAAGTGCTACCCCAAAGCTGCGCGACTGTCGAGCTGAGACTGAAACGAGGTGGCTCAGCAGAGTCCTCATAAATGAGATTTCGAACCTTGTTGTACATGGAAAGCTCCTCAGCACTCAGTGGCTCATCGTCATGTTCCAGGCGATAGAGCCAGAGACTGAGGATGACCATGAGGTCCACTCCGCACAAAGGATGCTCAACGCTCCAATTGGTGGGCGACGTTCTGGCTACCCAACGGATACCCTGGAGAGCAGCAACCTCGAGACAGTCAAAGCAGGATTGCATGACCTTGGTCATCTCGCTAGACCGCTTAACGTTGTCTCGCGCATGTGTCATGGCAGCCGCAACCTCATACGGATCGTGGTAGCGGAGGGCCTCCTGGACAGACTTGAGGTCAACCTCTAACCGGGCGAGCGTGTTCCGATACATGGCAAGTGCGTTGAAAATCAACGGATGTCCTTTGTGCGGGGCGCTGATTTGCACAACAATGGTTTCCGGTTCGCAAAGATCGAGCGAAGACTCCCAAGTCTCTAGAGCAAGTCGCAGCTTATACTCGGTCACCACATCCTGAAGAGCTTCCGGGCTACGCTTGTGGTACCACACCTCAAGGAAGAGCGCATTGATCATGACACGAGTTGCGAATGCGCTGTATCGAGCCCCAACGCCCTGGAAAAGCTTGTCGTGTGCTTCGCGAAAGGTAATAGTCGCTGCAGCTTCCCGCCATGACTCGTCATCCGATGCACCAGAATTCCACAATGACTCCGACGACGGAAGTTCCAAACCGTCAAACTCATTGAAACTCATTCCGGGAGTGTGGTTATAACTCATGGTAAGCAGGCCGAAGAAGATGTAGACGGCATAGTAGGTGCGACGGCATCCTTCATCCTCAATCCATTCCTCATGTGTCAAGAGCGCGCCCTGACGTGCTTCGCCGCGTAGTTTGAGCTCATATCGATTACCGGCCACCATCTATACACGTTGAAGTTAGCCAAAAAAAAAAAAAAAATCAAATCAACAGTGTGAGAACTTTTGGGGGCAACAAACATTTGCCAATAAACTCTTAATTGAACACGTCCATTCCAGTCCTTTCGGGTCACCACTCCAGCTAGCAAAAATCATATTGAGTAGCGAACTCTGCATTGTCCACAGAGGGCATTTGCGCGAGCTAAAATTTTCCTTCTTTTGCAAGAACTGGGACACCAAAAGTTTGGAGCCAACATGGAACATGTAGGCTTGGTCGTGCTCAAACGCATACAACGCGCCAATGGAGCAAACAGCCAACAACAGCGTCGGGTTTGCCTTTGCCGGATCAAACGAAGCCGGATGCAAAAAGGGCATGTGGTGGTGGAACATGGTAAAGTACGTGGAAAGGAACCGGTTCAAGTCGGCCCGTCCTGGGAGACGGAAGGTCTCCACAAGGGCATCTTCGCTATCGCAATGCGCAATATTAGCCAGAATGGCGTGTCGATGCGCTTCGCTCTCGACTTGAGGGCACTTTGTCACGGTGAGTACTTGATTAGGCCCAGGAGACTTGCGATAGTCCACTGGTGACACCGGACCAACCGCAGGGTATGGGGAAAATGCGCCAGAGGCACCGAGGTTGGCAGAATTGGCCATAGAGTCGCCGGCCGAGAGCTGACGCTCCATGATGGGAGCAAGTTGGTTCACAGGAGGTTGGGCCGTGCCTGTGCTGGTCAAGGAGGCTTGCGACTCAAAGGAAACATTGGAGGTTATCGAGTGGGCCTTGGATTGGGATGCGGAACGTGGCATGAAGGAGTCCCAGGACACGGAAGGCAATGACGAATAAGGCATCGACGGCTGCAAGAGCGTCGCACCGCTGGACGACATGGTCGTTTCTGGCTCATGGCCCAGAGATGGTTGCTCCCGACTTGACATTGCTGCGGTAGCCTTGTGGTGGAGATCGGTCATCAGCATGGCTGCCGTCTCGAGGTCCACCATGCCGTCACTGCTCGCTTCTATTTGCTCGATGGTCGCCGTGTCAATTGCGATGGATGGCTTAGATGGTCCAGCCATGGAAGAGGTCTTTGGGCCCACCCGTCGCTTGGCTTCGCTATGGAGCGGCACACCGCCGTCCTTGGCATGTACGGTACGATCATGGCGCAAGAGCAAATCTCGTCGCACAAAGGTGCTTCGACATTTGAGGCATTTGAACGGACGTTCTTTGGTATCTGCACAAGTCGCATTAGCTGGGAGGTGTCAACTGGCGAGAGATGATGATCAAGTAAACTCAGGCTATAGAACCCGCATACATGGAGGACCTTTGGAGAGATGGAGAGAAAGGACTTACGCGATCTTTCGTGTCGACTGCGATGTTCGCTACGACTAAATGCTCGATTGCAGAACTGACACTTGTACTTCTTTTCGGGCGCAAGAGAAGACTTGCGCGCCGAAGCGTGCGATGTGGAGCCGGCAAGAACCGTCATAGCTGCAGCTGGCATCAAACGATGAGAGCGAGCGAGATGTGGTGAAGCAAGAAGATGGTGAAATCTCCTCGTGGCGGCCGCAGGCGCTCGTTGGCGTTAATTAGGCGTGTGTTGAAAGTAGCCTGAGTTGCTGTGCATTCCTCGATATAGCTGTAATCATTGATCGATAACAGGAGGGGTCAATGGGGGTCGAGATAATCGTTCGACCACGAGCGGTGTCAAGGGACGACAAGGCGCGTCTAGACCGGACGGATATGGGGTATCTGTAAATTAGAGACGTCGCGAGACGCTTGTGATGTCGTCTTGGTGAATGAATATCCCCGAACACCAAGAAGCCCGGCAAAGAATGCGAGGAGAGCAAGAAACAAGGAGGAGGGGAAAAGGAGGGGAGATGTATGAATTAAGGATGAAAGAATAGAGGGGAGAAAGGAGGGAGGAAGAAGGAGGATGGGGGGGGGGAAAGGGTAAGTTGTAAAAAGAAGAGGAAAGTGTAAAGGAAGAGTTA